AGCTCGATGAAAAGGTTAGCGAAGAGGAAATAAGCACCCCTCTCGCGCAACCAACTGCTACCGCCGGACCGTCCGGTTCTTATGACATACGATCTTATTTCGTAGACCACCGTGAGAACATGCACCGGCGTTCACCGTCCCCCAATAAGCCCCAGTTCTAGTTGCGTGCTTGCGCAGCGGGTGCGCCGGGGTATGTCGCGCAAGCGATGCGGGGAAAACAGGTCATCGCATTCAGTTACCTTCCTCCAGATGCCCGCGCTGGCCCTTTAAGCCGCCAGGAGCCTGGGACACCGGAACGCGCACATGGTCCATTAAGATCTCAACCATCACTCCCATGCATAGGGACGTGTGGGATCCGCCTTCGGGCGGAGCCAGTGTAGAAGCGATTTGCAACAGGACCCAGTTTAAAGTGACCCCGGCTTAACTGCTCATTGAGGGTGCCTTGTTAGCGCGAGTGCGTGCCCGGTGAGGTCCAAGCTGGCGCATGTCTGGAAAAGAATAACTGAATATGTTGACTTCGATGATTACCCGTTGTTGCGGCGCGGTGTGCTCTCGGTTGCCCGAGGCTCAACGCGTAGCGGGAGCATGACTCATTGTAGCAATTCCTTGGCTTTCTCTAATATTGCTTTAGCAACTCGTACGGCCTGCTCACCAGGCGGTATCGCGGTTTAACCCGAACCCTAACCGTACGTGTTCTAGCAACGACTTAATCGTCGTTATATGCGATAACTGATTACGCTTTTATAGCTAACCCGAACCCTAATCGAACCCTAACCAAAACCCGAACCCTAACCGAACCCTAACAGGCGGCACAAGGTATATCTGGCATATCACGTGATGTTACATCATAGGAGATCTCCGATCGATTAGGTGATGTCATAGCCTAGACCGTCGCGTCATGCGCAGCCTGGACCATGACATCATTCATGGCAGATCATCAGCATTAGTCACAGCACGGGAGCTGTGCGCCGATGACGGGAACAGCATCAGTAATCAGATACTATTGTTAGAACAGCTCGAACAATAGCAGCCAATCGCGTATCCGCGATTGGATATCCCATGTAAGCAATGTTACGCATTGCGCAGGCCGTAGTTCCGGCCGCGATGCCGGGAAAAACCTTATCGGATGAACTATACAGGACCTGATGAGACTGTTAAAAGTCGAAACAGGATGGGTTGGAGTTTTCTCCATCCCCTGTTGTCCTAGTTCGACTCCCCACTCGTCGTCGTCGTCGCACAACTCGCTTCGCTCGTTGTGCTCCTCCTCCCTAACCCTAAATCCACTTTGAAGTGAGTTTACTTCCATAGTTGCTGCGGAGATATGGCCCAGTCAGCCCAGCCCACAGGGGAGAGCCCATGTTTGGGGTGGGTGCACAGCCACAATCGTACTCATTTGTTGTAGCCCTGATCGAGGGCTTCAAGAATATATCATAAAATGACCTTACTTCCAGGGTTGCTGTGGGGGAAAAGCTTACTTCCATGTCCGATACGCTTACTTCCGACGGAAGTAAGCTCACCGTCGGCCCGGACGCACAGCCACCGGTACGTAACCACCACCATCGTGTAGCCAAGAAGCGGGGCTACCATAAAACCTTTGGAAGTAAGGGTATATCCCTAACGGTTGCCGAGATACGACCTTACTTCCGCCTTACTTCCACCTTACTTCCGCCCTTCTGAGCTCAAAAGGGGGTTTTATAGAGATAGACCCAGGGCTACTCAGAAACGTGCAAATACGGGGTAGAATTCCTAACGGTTCCCGAGCTATGGCCTCCGTATTCAATCCGTATCCACCCGTATTTGTGCCACTGACCTCAGTGGCAGGTATTATAGTGTTAGGCCCAAGAACAGCCTACCATTGAGGTAAGTGGCAAAGTTGCTAGTATTGTACTTCTGTAAGCTCACATAATTCGCTTTTAGACCCTGCAAGAGGAAATGACTGCCCCTCGTCCTACACAGGGTGGCAAGGGCCCTGCTGCTCTCGCTGCCCTCAGTACGCAGAAGAGGAAGCGGACGGATGGGGAGTCCTCTGATGACAGCAAGACCTCTGATGAGGAGGCGGAGAACGAGCAGAGCCTGGCGCGTCGCAAGGCCAAACAGCGCAAGCAGCTTGAAGGTGAGTGCCTTTGTATTCATGTTAGCAACCCATGCTTATTAGACTCTTACAGGTACAGAAGAGGAGGAGCGGGAGCCAGTCTTACGCAGTCTGGATGAAGAGCTTCTTGACGCTGTGGTGAGTGTTCGCATTTTTGACATGCAGAGCACCAGAGGCTGAACTTTACTCAGGGCCACCAGGACCCTGCAGGGTCCAGGGGGATGCAGCACCCCTTGCATGACACCCACCTGCCTGCAAACGCACCGGATGCCTCCCAGATGCAACCTGCCTGGTTCGAGGCCTCAGATGCTGAGCGGGAAGCCATCGTCAAGGTCAGCGAGGGGGCCTTTCACCAGGGTGCCTCCCCATACATTCAAGCTGGGAAGTATCAAGTCCTGAGGCTATTCGAGGGAGTGGCGCAGTCCTATGGTGAGGACAAGGAGAAGTGGGACCTTGCCTTCAGTGACCTGCAGCAGTTTGTGGATAAGCAGAGGGAGAAGATGGCTGAGGGAGCCAAGGAGAAGGAGGGGGGGAGCCAAGAGTAGGGAGGTGGTAGGAGAAACCATGTAGTGCTGCGAGTTTTGGGTGTAATGGGGTGAAATTTCATGGGAGTGTGTAGGTGTATCAGGGCCAACCAGAGGCAAAATTGCGTGATTATCCGAGCATAAACGAGAACGGGGAACAGCAAGCAATGAGAGGTACATGACAGCACATAGCATTAGTATTTAATGTCTCAAGGTGCGGATTTGGCCCCAGGGGGGGCGATACTCAGGGCATGTATAGTGCTCGTCTCCGACTACGTGATGCATATGGCGGCCCGCAAATCGTCGCAGAAATGCGCACACAATTGCCAATTTACGATTCCCCATGTTCCCAGTGCACCGAAACAGTCATATACTTGGTATATGATGCCTCGAGGCGCGAGTTTTGGCGACGCGCAGACGATATCCGGGATTTATATAGTGCTTACATGTGGCTACAAAACGCACACAGCGTCGTGCGAATCCGCGCAGAAATGCGTCCGCAGTCGCCGGTTTACGATCCCAGGTGCACACCATTGACGGTATATTTGGTATATAATGCCTCGAGAGCGGAGTTCTTGCGACGCGCAGACGATACGTGACAGATATATATCACTAGCATATGGCTACCAGACGCACACCGCGTCGTGCGGATCGGCGCAGAAACGCATCCACAATGGCCATGTTATAATTTTCCGTGCATGAGTGCAACCATATATTTCGCGTTCAGTGGCTCGAGGCCTGTGTTTGGCCCGCGAGCAAACGATACTTGGGGCATATTTAGCCACATGTGATGACGCCAAGACGCGCACCGCGTCGCGCAAAAACGCGCAGAAACGCGCCCGCAGTGGGTCATTTACTATTCTGGGCGCGCGGGTGCAGCTGCATATGCAGTCTTCAATGGCTAGAGGCGCGAGTTTGGCCGACGCGCAAACAATACTCAAGGCATGTATAGCACTTGGCCTTGCCTACCTGACGCATACGGCCGCGCGCAAATCCGCGCAGAAATGCGCCCGCAATCGCCAATTTAGGATGCCCCATGTTCTCAGTGCGCTCGTACAGCCATATATTTGGTATTCAATGGCTCGAGGGTTGAGTTTTCCCCGCGAGAAAACGATACTTGGGATATATGTAGTACTAATGGGTGGCTATCATACGCACACCGCGTTGCGCAGAAACGCGCAAAAACGCGCTCGCAGCGGGTGATTTACAATTCCACGTGCCCGTGTGCAAGCATATAGTATTGATGCATCTCTCGAGAGCGGAGTTTTGCCCAGAAACAGCGCGAGTTTGGAACATCCATGGAATACATTGGTAGGTATCCAGCGTTCAAATTTCGTTCCGATCGGAGCTGTATTGAAGTCGCAGCGGAGGAAATACTCCTGCATCCCCCCTGAAGGATGCCTGTGCCACTTGCCCAGCCGCTCGACGAATAAGCGCTCATCGCGAGGCGCCGAAACTGCGCGCACCAGTAGCGCCATGGCATCGCCACCGGGCGTCTAAATTTCGCGCGGATCGGCGCAGGGCTGTGGCCACAGCGCTGGACTTATCATTTCAAGCCCATGCAGGCTGCCAGAATGAAGAGCCCTGGTGCGCCGGGATGTGAATACCCACTCTTATGTCTTGTAACTTGACACATCTGTAGGACAGTGTGAGGGCTGCTCGGCGTTCAAATTCGGCGCTAATCGGAGCAAAGCTGCAGTCTGAGCGACCCATTCATGACCCAGCATTGCTTTTAATGCATGTGCCACCCAGAGCTTACTACAAAATGTAGTAAGCTGATATTGAGACAACCAGAGCAGTTATAATCATGAAACAAGATGCATTATGTAGCCTGGGTATAGGGCTATCAGACCATGAAAAGAAGTAAGTTTACTACATGGGTTTTGGGCGAGATATGGACCCTGCACTGATTCTGCACCCAAAGCTTACTACATTATGTAGTAAGCGATTATTGAGATAACCAGAGCAGTTGAAATGATGAAACAGGGTGCGTTATGTAGGTCTGATTGAGGGCTATAAGATGGTAAAAAGAAGTGAGTTTACTACATGGGTTTTGGGCGAGATAGAAGCCTTGCACATACCTGTCACCAAGCCTGACTTCCTCATATAGTAATAATGTAGTAAGCCTGTATTGGGACAACCACTGGGGCTATACTCATGAAAATAGGTGCGTTTTGTAGCCCTGATTGAGGGCTATAAGGAGGTAGAAAAAAGTGAGTTTACTACACGGGTTTTGGGCGAGATAGGAATCTTGCACATATCTGTCCCCCAGACTGACCTCCAATGTAGTAAGCCAGTATTGAGACAACCAGTGGGCGTTAATTCATGATACCAGGTGCGTTTTGTAGCCCTGATTGAGGGCTATAGGAATGTGGAAAAAAGTGAGTTTACTACACGGTTTTTGGGCGAGATATGAGCCTTGCACTGGGCAGCATATGGCAGGGCTTGGCAGAGCCAGTGGGATATCTTGACCCCCAGCACAGCTATTGATATGGAATAAATTGCACATTATAGACGTCACTGGGAGCTACTAGGGGCCATATAGAGTTCAGTTTACTACCCTACCTATGCCAGAGACAGGACGCTGACCGGGGATGGCAGTGGTGAGAGCGAATTTTTGTAGTGGGTGCACAGCCACAATCGCACCAGCATCGGATAGCCACCGCCAAGGGCTACCAGAATATACCATAATATCACCTTACTACGTGGGTTCCTGGGCCAGAATTAGGGTTCACCACGGGTCACCCCCGGGTCATTTTGCCTTGACCCCCACCCATGACCCGCAGGACCCGTACCCGCAGACCCCCGGGTTGTGCGGGTCAAGGGTTAAGCGCCGAGTCACGCGGGTTGGGCGCTACCCGCACCCGTCACGGGTTCTCAGCCGGGTCCAGGTATACACACAGAGTCAAACAAGTCCAACTCGACGCGATTCTTATGTTGTACGAAGGAAAACACGGTGACACTACTCTACTCCGAATCCGAGTGGCAGACAGTCACTAACGACGGGATGCTCGAATCACTATCATAGCCTGCCACCTGTACGGCCTCCGAGTCGTCCGAGTCACCAGCGCTCGCGGCTTCGCGAACGTCGCGCCGCGTCTCCGCGGTGGTGTTGGCGTCCGTGGTTGCAGTTGCATCGCGCGCGCGCGCCCGTTCGGCTCGCCAAGAGTTAGAAGTCTGTGATCTTGAGCAATCCAGCTGTACGTATATACACAAAACATAAGCATGACATACCTGGTATTCCACGCGAGCCCAGTCGAGCACGAGCTCAAGCTGCCGCTCGCCCGTGAGGCCCTCTCTTGCGGCGATCTCGCGGATATGGTTGATGAGATGCGGCCAGTCCCGCCGGTGTTCGCCATTCGCGTCGTCGATGCTGAAGAGAACGAGCGTGCGCGCGAGCCCGCGGAGCGCAGCACGTTGCCGTTCCGTAGTCGACGCGGGGAACATTCCCTGGCCGGTGGGATGATTGATGACCTCTAGCCACCCCTCCCATCGTGCGCGCGATGCGGCGAGGTCCGCGTAATTGTCCGGGAGGGTGAACTGTAGGTAGTATTAGCTGTGCACTAAAGGGAGACAAATTAGTACTCACATTGACTTCTGTGGTGTTGTCCTCGATGCGCGCGACCACAGAAGTGAACGAGCCCCGCCCCGCATGACTAGTCCAGGAGTCGACGAAGAGGCGGAGGGTCGATTCGGGCGTAGCAGCGGTCGGCATTGTGGTTGTCGTCGTCGTGGGCGAGAGCAGCGAACAGAGATGGGTGTTGGTGAGAGGGGAGCGGGGCGACAACAGAGTCTGAGTCAAGTCTTAAATCAGCGCGAGGGCGCCGCTGACGGGCAACGTGTTAGTGCCTTGCGGTGTTATCTCCTGCAAAATCAGTAGAATATGGTCTAGTACGGGGCGGACATCGTAGGCACAACGAGGATCAGAATATCGTAGCAGAAACGCATTACATGAGCGGCGCGAGGCGGATCGATCGGGCTAAGGACAATCAACTTTCTAGTACCTAGAGACGTGTTGACGTCGACGTCACTCGTTCTCCTCCACCTCAGGGAGCTGGGCGGCGTCGAACATGTCAGCTGTGTCCACGAGGCCATGCTGGGCCCAAATTCCGAGACAGATGCTCGCGCGCGTGCTTTCCGCGATCATCCGGTTGCGGACGTGCGTCAGCAGCAGCCGACCACGGCTGAAGACCCTCTCCACCTCGACGGAGGTAGCTAGATATCCCAGTGTCAGTATGTGTTAATAAACAATCGAGCGACGCTGTTGACGAACCGGGGATGTTGAGGTAATCGATCGCCATTCGGGAGAGGCGAGGGTACTTCTGACGCTTTCCCTGCCACCAGGAGACGGCGTCCTTGACCAGCTCGACGTCAGCCGCGAGGTAGTGCTTGAGTTCATCGACGTCGGCAGGCTCCACGGCGCCGGTGAGGAAGGGGAGGTTATCAAAGATGTTGTCGCTGCTCTCCTGGGCCTATCTGGATTAGTTTACATGCAGAGCACTCACACGCCAGACGACACTCACCTTGTCACCAGATGCATGCGTCGCGCGGGCGTTGACGCGGCCCCCATCATCCTCGTTGTCCCGGTCGCCGTCGCCGCCGTTGCTGTCGGTGTCCAGAGGGATGTTCGCGTACTTCTTGTTGAACTGCGTGCGGACGAGCTCCTCGGCGACGTCAATCCATTCCGGGAGCCACCCGGCCTTCTCGAAGTAGGCCTTCTTGTAGCTCGGATGAAGCACTGCAACACAGTGCGGATTAGCGGATAAATGACTTTCAAAATGAGATTAGACGTACCCATGGCGATCCTGTACGCCTTTGAGGCGTCCGTGAGCTCGTAGTACTTGTTCAAGGTCTTCTTGGCCAAGCCCATGGCCGTACGGATCGCGAAGTCGTATTTGGCGGTCTGGAGGTGCTTCGTGGCGAGCTGCTGGTCGATGAGATCCATGGCCGGGATCACTGTCGCCAAGTTGGGAGTGCCGCGCGAGAAGAAGTATGTAGCATCCTTGAACACCTGAGCGGCGAGGTCGACGAGGCGAGGGGAGAGTGGACGTCCACGCAGACACGTGTGGCAGAGGGACGCGGGAGGGAATAAGGTTCGTCAGCTCGCGTGCACTGCACAGCTCAAGGAATAAGGTTAGAGTTCACACCTTCAGGACGTCGGTGAGCTGGCGAGCTATCGTCCACTCGCGCGCACCTAACTCGTACTTCCGCAGTCCAAGATCTCTGTCCGCGCACATCGAATCGACGACCTTCCTGTACTCCAACGCTACCGTCAACATATCATACGTCGAGTTCCACCGGGTGGACACGTCGCGCGGGATCAGACGCTCCGGCATCTTCAACGCGGCCACTCGTTTCTTGTAGGCGGGCAGGAGGATTGTCGTGGAGTTGACGACTTTGGACGCGAACTTGCGGATCTACGGGTACGTGAGCACTAACAGTGTTTCGCCACAGATGTAGCTGACTTACCTTCGTCAAGCAGAGACGGACAGGCCGAACCTTGCGCTCAAACTCGATGCGCTCGTCATCCGTCATGGCCGCCATTTCGTCGACCCAACCCTCAGCATCATCCCCGCCCTCTGCACCGTTTGGGAGCGCGAAGTCGCCGTCCTCGCCCAGATCCCCCTCACCCTCATTCTCGCCATTCTCCTCGTCCTCCTCGGCGAGCTCATAAAGCTCCTCGTCCTCTTCATCAACGTCCAGGGTCGTCTTCGCTTTCGGTACGTCGAACTGGCGCAGGAGGGTTTTCACAACGAGATTGATGACGTGTGCGAAACAGCGCACGCGCCCAAGGTCCCCCTCGAAGCTCTCGACACGCTCACCCAGAATGTTTGTCATCACGTCGTTGGGGGATGCATTGTCGCACGCGAGGCCGAGCATCTACAACCATGTCAGTGCGTCATTACTAGTGAGAGTTTGAATGTAACCTACCTTATCCTCGATTCCGAAGTCGCGCAAGACCTGCATGAAGGCCTCGGCGAGTCGTTCACCCGAATGGGACTGGAAGGAAAGCACGTCAGGAGGTAGCGGCTGAGGTGAGTGTTGCATCACCGACGCACCTCGGGAACCTCCAGCAAGTCGAGCAGCATACTGACTGGCTCATCCCTCAGCACGAAGTGCACCGTCACCGCGATGTATGCGCGGTGGTTGTTCGAGCTCCATGCGTCGGTAGCGAAGCTCAGTTCACCTTCGTACTCTTGCAGCAGGCGCGCGATCTTCTCGCGGCACTTAGTGTAGATAACTTTGATATCGCGGGCGACGGTCGTCGGGGAGGGGATCCAATACCCCGGGCGGCCTGTCTTCATCAGGCACTGGAACCCGGGGTCCTTGACGATGAGAGTCGGCCGCATGCTCTCAGTCACCCACTTAACGATCTCGACCCTGCGTCTGCTCAGCTCACATGTATTCACACAGATGTATGGACGACATACCTGGTCTCGGCACGGGTGTGCGTACGGTGAGAGTACGAAACCTGGCCCTTCTTGCGCGCGAAACTATAGGTAATCACACCGTCGCGCTTCAGTCCCCCGACGATCTTCTCGCGGACCTCCGCAACGCTCGCGGCCATGTCGGCCTGCTTCAGCACCTCAGCACCCCAACACTTGCGGACGTGGCGGCGAAGGTTCCCGGTGGATGACGAGTCGCCGGTGTCGAGAAAGCGGCGGCAGGTGTACTTGCAGCCCTTGGCGACACACGCGAAGACGTGCGCGCGCCGGTTCTTCTCGTAGACTATCTCCGGCGTGGCCTTGTAGAAGGCGTAGACGGGAGAGGTCCAGTCCGCGCGCAGACGCTCTGCGATATTCTGTAAGCCGCCGTGTCCAAATTGCGATGTGTCAACATACTCACCGAGTTCCGCTTCCGAGGACTCCTCCTCCTCGTCGCTGCCGGGCTGCACAGCGTCGACGTCCATCTCGTCACTGGACTTCGCGTCGGTGGCCTCGGTGGCATCATCATCAACAACGACAATGCCTTCGCGCTCGAGCTCAGCACGCTCCTCCTCCTCGGTGCGGCAAGTAGTCTTGCGGCTACCGCCACGCTGGGAGGAAGAGGTGGTTCCCGAAGAGCGGACAGATGTGTCCGTCGGCATGCGCTCGAGTCCGCGGCGGCCACGAGGAACTGCGGCCGGCTCGCTCGCGTCGTCCGATGCGGGACCGGACTGGCGGGCTTTCTTGATGTTGGACGGTGCGCGCCCTCCGGTGGACATAGCGGTACGCTTGGTCGACATGGGGATTGCAGTGCGAGGGCAGGATCAAGTATGAGAAGGGAGTGAAGTTTGGTCGGAGTCGCGCTGGCACGGACACGTAGGGATATAGCTGAGATTACATAAGAACTGTACAGCGGCCGGAATTTTATATTTCCATGTGTGGCTGAATGGCTGTGTCAACTTGCCAAGCGCCGGCGTTCAGTAGACCGGCGTACCGAAAAGGCAAGCCCGACGGGTTTGGCGCACGGGTGGCGGGTCCTGCACGGGTACGGGTCTTGTGCAGCGCGGGTGCTCTTCCCTTGACCCCGACCCCTACCCGCATGACCCTCGGGTCAAACCCGTCACGGGTAGCCCTACCCATGGTGAACCCTAGCCAGAATGAGCTTACTACATGGCTTACTACATCCAATACCCTTACTACATTACGTAGTAAGCGCGTTGTGGGACGGGGAGCGCAGCCACCGCCTCGTAACCACCACCGACGTGTAGCCAAGAAGCGGGGCTACTGGAAAACGCAATGTAGTAAGGGGTAATCTGTAACGGTTGCGGAGCTACGGCCCTAACAATGACCTTACTACACCTTACTACGTCCCTTCTGAGCTCAAAAGGGGGTTTTATAGAGATAGGTTTGTCAGTCATACATCATCCGCTGCAACAGAACATGTCGTACCAGGCGAAGGTCATCATATTAGCGAATAGCTCGCACAGCTCTGCCGTCACGAAGTAGTGGGTTGCCACTTGGAGGGCTCGGGGAACGTTTGCATAGTATGTGCGCATTGTCGCACTGCTGTGGACATAGTAGTCCGGATGATAGCGAGTGTGGCATGCTAAGCAAGGGAATGAGTATCAGTACTCCCAGGTATAGAGGCACAGCGACTTACAGCGACAGTAGAGAGAGATAGATCTAACCGGTAGTGGCCCTAGGTCCTTGGTGAAGAGCGTCGCGGAGTGGCTGAGCGGATGGTCAAGCTCCTTGGGCCGTGTCTGACCCGGTGCCATGTCGAGCTCGACAGCGCACTTCGGATCGAGGCATGTACGCGACGGCGGCCGGAAGTTATAGAATGCTTGACATGTTACTATGGTGAGTTAAAGCGCGATGAAATAATGGCAGGAACACATACCAATATCGTATGTAGGCCCATGCTTGAGGAACATATCCAACATCCTTCTCGCGCGCACCTCAATATCAGGAGAGTCTTCCGTCGCCTCTACCCATACTTCTTCGCGTAGTGTCGCCCATAAGGTTTTTGCAGTGCGATTGTTGATACCTAGAGCATCCAGGAGAAACTCGTGCACATTACGAGGCAGCAAGAATGGTGGAGATGAGACGTAGGAGGGCTGATGAGCGGCGATCTCAGCTTGAAGCCAACAGGTCATGTCGAAGAAACGGGTGATTGTTTCCAGCTCTAGGCCATCGAGATCTTCGTTGCTCAAGAGTAGTGCACCGAGCTTCTGAGCTTTCATAGCGTTCTTCTCGACAGGTAAGGGCTGAATGCGGGCGGCGGTATATGGGAATTGACAGTCTTTTATATCGGTCTCGTATGGTACATGCGTACTACCTACTTCATGGTGACAATTAGCACCATCGGACCCGCCGTTTCGCTTTGGGTCCGTGCAGACTTACCAGCAAACTTACCAGCCTGACCCATGCGACTGTTGCCGTGGCCCTGGGAGGACGCGGGCGAGCATACACTGGCCGCACGCGCCCTGGCATCCGCCGACACGATGTCGAGCCCCTTCTCGAAAGCGTTCAGTAGGTGGCGCGACGTACGGGTGGCGCGACGTACGGGTGGCGCGACGTACGGGTGGCGCGGCGTATACAGTACGGGTGGCCACGCCGTCGGAGTGGCGAGGCATCGGGGTGGCGTGGCGTCGGGGTGGCGACGCGTCGGGGTGGCGAGGCGTGAGCACCGAGAAGGGCGGGCGGGGCACAGTGGTCATCGCACGGTGGTACGCGCATAGACGGCGCGCGGTGGCCAGTGACGTGACGCCTCTGGTCACTGCGTACGGTCACGGTTGTTCCATTGTTCAGCGGAACATGTTCCGCGGAACACTTGGGCCAGCCGCCCGGACTTTCTGGACGGTGCGCGAGGGCGCGGTCGGTCGCGCGCACGTCGCGCGATTAAGCGCCCGCGCGAGCGGAGTGAACGGCCTCTCGATTTTGATTCAGCCACAGCGGAGTTTGAAAAACAGAGCAAACCCGTTGGGAGATCAAGGTCAGATGGTGTCGCTAGTTACTAGTTACTTCGCGGACCCAGTGGTACGTCGCAAGCACGCGTAAGACGTTTGGACGATGTCCCTGGCATGATGGCGGGAGGGAGGAGGCGAGGGGTGACGCGAATGAGTGACGGGTGCACCTGACACAAACGCGCCGGGCCGTCACGCGTCCGGGCTCGTCACGTCCTGCGAGGAGAAGGTCCGCTCCACCCGACCACAACGCTTTGTGCATCCTCTCCTCTCCTCATTTCTCCTCTCATTCTCTCCTATCTCTCTCAGGGCAGGATTACCATGCTAGACTGTGCGGCCTCGGCCGTGTCCGCTACCTCATATCTCAGCCAGCTCTGTGTCTATTTCTATGACGGAGCCGCCCCTCGGATTGTGCTAGTCGATATATACCTCTTCGGAGCTCACGCCGTGTTACATATCTTGCAAAACAAGATCTGCTATGTTTTTTGTGCTTGAATACCTGCTTCAGACGACACGTAACTGGTATCGCAACCAAATTGCACGTCGGGAAAGTGAGATGTCCTCCAGGTGCGATTCGCCGAGATTAATGAACTCGGAACGACCTCTCCACCGAGTCGATCGCTCCGTTCGGGAGAGGACCTCTTCTCGCATTGAGATGCGCGCAGATAGGTGAGCGTTCATCTCCCGTATCATCCGCGCCAGTCGCTGAGAGCTTCGGCAGCGTCGCTCGATAGAACGCTCTCTGCGAACATACGTCCGGGAGGCCCTCCTGCGTGTTCGGAGCTCGGGAGTCTCTAGCGTACACGCCCTGTGCCCGGCGCGTCTCTAGGTGTTCTTTAGGATTCGCAAAGCTCTTCTGAACGACGCTGGTCTTGCCCCGCTGCTCTCCTCGAAGCTCACTGCGGACTGTGCAGGTCATCGTCATAGGTGAGCGTCTCATGCGCATTCGTCTTACAGCACCCACTCACACTTTGGTGGAGTATGCTACCGCAAAATGGCGCTCCTTGGATGACGCCGGAGACATCGTCTCGAGGCCTGACTCTCGAACGTCTGGAAACATCTTTGCGGCCCCGGTGGCTACTACGTTCTGCACGCTGCGGTCTAGAGTTCATCTCCGAGTCCATGATCTAGCTGCGTCTCCTCGGTCCCAGACAGCTGATCTCTCTCGGACCCACCCTGCACGCACGCGCTGTCCACGGTCTGCTCACTGCGTCTCGGACGGTGTCTTTTTGTATGCTTACCTGCGGTTTCTCTTTGCTTCGCTCTGCGCAGGGCGCCTTGTGATCTACGTCGACGGCGCGTTTTCCGCGTTTCTCGCAGACAGGCTCTCACAACGCAACTCCCCGTTCCCGTTGAAGACATGGCGGTTCACATGCGAGGTCGAGCCTCGCGCGCGGGCTGAAGTAGGTGCGTCGTACACTAGCCTCGAGGCGGACCGATGACATACCGCGTGCCTGACTGAATAGGCGGCCCCAGCTTCCAGCGCGTTCTGGTGCGTGCAGGTCAATGTCGCGGCTCGTCATCGGGGCCGGGCGCGTGTGCTGGAGCGGCTGCGCAGGCCATCGTGACCGGGGGCGCGACGCTGGGTGGACGCAGCGTTGCGTGTTCGGCGTTGGGTGCGCGTCTGCGCCTGCTTGGAAGACGGCCTTCGGGACACCGTTCCAGCGGGATAAATTTGGGCGGGCGTGTTCGCACAGAGGTGAGCCGTCCCGGTGCGGATGCCGACAGTCCACTCGGAATGTCGAGGGCGAGCTTGAGGCTGATCCGGGCGATCAGGCAGGGTTGCACTGATCGCTCATCTCACGCAGTTCAGTTGGTGGAGCAGCGGGAGCGTGTTGCGGGGTTGGAGGAGGGCGAGAAGACAAGAACGCCAATCTTGCCATCTCTCGACGCGAGGCCGGCGCGGAGGAAGTACGTAGGCGCCGGGAGGAAGGGTTTAGGGCAGGCTGGGACTGCCTAATTGGGAGTGCACGTGTCGTTGGAGGCCAGCAGATTGAGTAGACGCCGGACGGGAGGGAACTTTGTCGACCGCGCACTCGGTCCAACGTCTCCTGCGCTCTCACTGGGTATTATCTGGATATCCTCTGTTGTCCTCTGTCGTCGCCTTCTCGCCGCGTGGTGCGCTGGCTGAGCCCAGGGGCAAGACCGCCTCTCTCCCTCCAACGATCGCCATCTGATCCCTCTCTGCGACACCCTCTCCCTCCTCCGCCATGGCTCCCCCGCCCCCGCCTCCGCCCCCGCCTATCTGTCTCCCCTTCTTCGGGGGCAAGAACCGCAAGCGTCTCACCCCCTCTGAGCAGTCTATCACTGAGGACTGGACCTCTCGCCGTTCGAGTCTCAGTCGCCTCCGAAGCAACTCCTTCTCCCCCACCGCTACTCTCACCTCACACCCAGCCTCTCACGCCGACAAGCTCACCTTCTCATCTGAAACCGAGTCCTTCAACGTCTCCGATGGCCTCGCCGCTCGCGAAGTCCCCACTCACCCCGTCCTCAAGCGGTCCAACACCGCGACCGGCTCCAAGTCCAAGGGCAAGAAGTGGGGTTTCGGCTATGGATGGGGCACGGGCCAGAAGGAAAAGGAGCGCGAGCGCGAGAAGGAGCTCATGGAAGAACATGAGGCTACCCCGCCCCCCGTCTACTCGCACCAGGGCTCGGACGGCCTCCGCTCCCGCTCCTCGCGTTCGAGCCGCACCAACTCAATGCAGTCCTTCGCCCAACCAGGCCAACCATCTTTCAACCCCATCCCTGGCGGCGCCCGCTCTCGCTCGCAATCCACGGGCCATTCTGGGGGCCACCACCCATTCCCGCCGGAGATGCGCCAACAGAGCCAGCACAACCGTTCCAATACCTTCAACTCCAACACCACAAAGAATACCGCGCGGAGCACCGGCCGGCGCCCTCCCCTCTACCCTTCCGAATCCTCCAGTACCCTCGTCGGCTCTGCGTATGAGCGCAAGGCTCGCGACGACCCCGTTGTCGACAGGCAGGATACCAGTACCAGGATAGAAGCCATCCGTGACCATATGCGTCAGCACGAGCTCGCATACTAGTGCGTATTCTTCACCCTCTATTGGTGTTCAATCGCTAACTCTGTGAATAGCGTGATTCCCACCGAGGACGCGCACGGCTCTGAATACATCGCCATCTCCGACAAACGTCGGGAGTGGGTCTCAGGGTACGGATCTTCCATTCATTCCGTTTACTGGCGCTGACGCCGATGTCCAGATTCACCGGGTCCGCCGGCCAGGCCATTATCGCTATGGACTACGCCTATATCTTCACCGACTCGCGCTACTGGCTGCAGGCCGATGAGGAGTGCGACCACAACTGGCGTAAGATTCGCACCGGCGCACCGGGCGAAGTCAGAAACTGGATCGAGTGGATCGTTGGGCGCGCGAAGGACGTCAAAGTTGGCATCGACGCGCGCCTCATCTCGTACAAGGAGGCGACCAGTTTGAACAACGCGCTCAAGGCAAAGAACTCGAAGCTGTACTACCCCCCGCAGAACCTTGTCGATCTCATCTGGCGCGACAAGCCTGCGCGCAGCCGCGAGCTCATCTACGTCCAGCCTACGGAGTTCACGGGCAACGGCGCGAATGATAAACTCAGGAGGCTGCGAGAGTGGATCAAGGAGCAGCGCCCGGCTGTACCGTCCTACTCCAAGTCCGAGCCCAAGCCCTCGCAGATGCAGGTCGCAACTTTGATGTCGAACCTCTCGTGCATCGGTGAGTGTGTATCATACGGCGGTGTGGGCATGATCTAATGTGCGTCAATAGCTTGGTTGCTCAACCTTCGCGGCGACGACATCCCATTCAACCCGGTGTTCCACTCGTACCTGTTCGTGGGACTGGAGACTGCAACTCTGTTCATCGACCAGGCCAAGGTCACTCCCGAAGTCGAGTCGTACTTGTCAACTATCCGCGTCAACGTCCGCGATTACAACGACATCTGGACCTTCCTCCGCCGGAAGGAATGGGGCGAAGGCAATGTAAGTACAGATACACCACAATGCCGAGCATTTCCTAACAGCTCGCTGCGCACAGGTCATCATCTCGCCCCAGACGTCGTACGCGATCTGCCTGATGCTTACAAGCTTCCGCTACACGGTCCTGCCGTCGTATGTCGAGGAGATGAAAGCGATCAAGAACGAGACCGAGATCAACGGCCTCCGGAACGCCTACCTGCGCGACGGCGCAGCGTTCGTCAAGTGGTTCGCGTGGCTCGACGAGAAGATGGCGCAGGGCTACGACATCACCGAGTGGGAGGCAGCATGGCGTCTGACGGAATACCGCCGCAGGAACAAGCACTACATGGGCCTCGCGTACGAGAGCATCTCCGCGAGCGGGCCCAACGCCGGTGAGTCTTCCGCAGCTATACCGATGCCGTACGACGGGATGCTAACCGCGGTGGTTCGCAGCACTGCCTCATTACACGCCGCATAAGTCGACGGCGCGGATGATCGACCGCGAGACGCCTTATCTCAAGTGCGTAATACGCCGCTCCAGCTTATCAGAGTCTGTTGTGCTGACATGTGCCTGGCTTGTAGCGACTCGGGGGGACAGTACCGAGATGGTACGTGCGACACGACTCGGACGGTGCACTTTGGCCGGCCGACGCCCGACCAGTGCGAGGCGTTCACGCGCGTGCTGCAAGGACACGTACGTACCCTGTCTCGCTGGCTGTACCGAACGGTTATTGACGGAGGACGGGTGCGTAGATCGCTATCGATACCGCTATCTTCCCGGAAGGCACGACTGGGGCTAAGCTGGACGTGCTGGCCCGTCGGGCGCTGTGGCAGGACGGTCTAAACTATATGGTGCGCGCGCTTTCAGGTCGGTGTGTTTCAAAGGTGCTGATGTTGTCGTAGCACGGCACTGGTCATGGCGTCGGATCGTTCTTGAATGTCCACGAGGGCCCGCAGGGGTTCTCGTCGGACACGCCGCTCGAGCCCGGACATGTGCTCACGAACGAGCCCGGCTTCTGTACGTTTTCCCCTCGTCGCTCTCCGTAGTGGTTGACTCACACAGTTGTTCGACAGATAACAACGGCAAATGGGGTATGCGCATCGAGTCCGCGCTCGTCGTTCGTCGTATCAGGGTACCTTCAATCCTCCTTATTGCTAAGAGATCTTTCTGACGTTTGAATGATAGACGAAGGGGCAATTCAATGGTGATGTGTGGCTCGGGTTTGAGCGTCTCACCTGCGTGCCCATACAGACGAAGATGGTCAAGGAGGTCATGCTCTCGAAGGAAGAGCGGCAATGGCTGAAGGTGAGTAGCGTCAATATCGTGCGACCGTTATATATTGACGGCGGCCGCTTCAGGACCACAACCGCCGGTGTGTCGAGCTGCTCGAGCCGTTCCTACGCACGGACAAGCGTGCGATGAAGTGGCTCCGGCGCGAAGCTGAGCGTGGCATCGGCATTGCTAGCGCAGGCCCCGGCGGCTTGACCATTGACTGGGATTAAACGTCTTGACGACGACGACCGACGATTCCGACGACTACGACTGCGATGACTCTTTCCTCTGGTTTGCGGGACTGACGGTGACTGTATGACCCCCAGGACGTGTTACGCGTCCTCTCTCCGCTCCGTCCGTCCGTGTTTCCTCCCATTTATCTCACCGCCCGATCCTACTCACGATTCCCCTCCGTATGCTTTGTTCCTTTTGCCCGTGACGTTGTACGACTCAACTCATATCTTACGTACCGCTGCTGCTGCTCGAATAAGGGGTGTCGTAGGGCACCCCTCGTCAGTTCCTCTTCCCCTTCTCTCTCCTTGCTTATACGCCCCCCAATAACCCTAGTTTGACATTTGGCTGGATATATCCCCCTCTCTGTGAATAAACCCCGCCTGCTCTTCCTTGCCGCTACTTATCCGCGCCCGGTCGCTCGGGCGCAGTGCGCGTCTTCTCTGTACATGTTTCTCCTCCACCTGGTTTGCGAGTAGATAGAGCTCCTACTTCCTTACTCTTCCTGTTGTATGTACCGTGGAATATATCCTGCCGGTGTTTGTACTATACTTCGGGCGCACGAGCATTTGGCACGAACATTGGCGGGCGTTGAGTAGCGGGCGCTAAAGGGACCGCCGCACGTGGGTAAGGCCCTTACCTAATCCAAAATTTCGATCCGTGCTGCCGTTTTGGGCAAAGCAGCTCCTCGTCCTCCGCCTCGTTCCCTCCTCCCTCCTCCCCTCGGTCTGCTGCTGGGCCCCTCTTTTTCTGTATATCTAGACGACCGCAGCAACCGCAAAAATGTCGACGACCTCAACGAGCGGACTCAAGGCGATCGCGCCCGTGCCCAAGGCGGCCGACTTCTTGGACATCGTCCTCTCCAAGACGCAGCGGAAAACGCCGACGGTGCGTTTGGTCTTTCAAGGGCTTGCGGGCTGGTGGAGAGGGAAGTGTTGCTTATTGAGGATGTGCGGCGCAGGTTATCCACAAGAACTTCAAGATCAGCCGTATCCGCAACTTTTACATGCGCAAGGTCAAGTTTACCCAGGACTCGTTTGATGAAAAGCTCGGTGGAATTTTGGAGGAGTTCCCGATTATTGACGTGAGTGCTCCGTACTTTTTTGAAGACGCCGCAGTGCTGAAGCAGCGGATCGCTAGGACCTGCACCCGTTCCTATCCTCCCTCCTGAACGTCCTTTACGACAAGAACCACTACAAACTCGCCCTCGGCCAGCTCCGCACCGCCCGCCATCTCATCGACCAGGTCGCGAAGGACTATGTCCGTCTCCTCAAGTTCGGCGACAGCTTGTACCGCTGCAAGCAGCTCAAGCGTGCCGCGCTCGGACGCATGGCCACCATCATGCGCCGCCAGAACGAGGCGCTCGAGTTCCTCGAGGAGGTCCGCAAGCATATCTCCCGTCTGCCCGCGATCGACCCGACCGCGCGCACGCTGCTCATCTGCGGGTACCCGAACGTCGGCAAGTCGTCCTTCATCAACAAGGTGACCCGCGCGGACGTCGACGTGCAGCCGTATGCGTTCACGACGAAGTCGCTCTTCGTCGGCCACCTCGACCACAGGTACATGCGCTGGCAGGTGATCGACACTCCCGGGGTGCTCGACCACCCGCTCGAGGAGATGAACAACATCGAGATGCAGAGCATCACCGCGCTCGCGCACCTGAAGGCGTGCATCCTCTACTTCATGGACCTCTCCGAGCAGTGCGGCTTCTCCGTCGAGGCGCAGTGCCAGCTCTTCCACTCGATCAAGCCACTCTTCGCGAACAAGCCGACGGTGCTCGTGCTCAACAAGGCGGACGTCTCGCGCCTCGACGAGCTCGAGCCCGAGCGCCGCGCGCTCGTCGAGGAGATCATCAACGGCGAGGGCATGCGCCACGTCGAGGTCTCGTGCTACACGGACGAGGGCGTGATGAGTCTCAAGACGGTCGCGTGCGACGCGCTGCTCGAGCACCGCGTCGACTCGAAGCTCAAGGGCAGCAAGGTGAACGCGATCCTCAACCGCCTGCACGTCGCGCAGCCGAAGCCGCGCGACGACGTCACGCGCACGCCGTTCATCCCTGAGGCGGTCAAGGAGCGCAAGAAGTTCGACAAGACGGACCCCGAGCGTCGTCGCCTTGCGCGCGACGTCGAGCTCGAGGAGGGTGGTGCGGGCGTGTACAACATCAACATGAAGCGTGGGTACCAGTTATATACCAGCGCCGTGCGACTTGCTGATGATTTGTGCAGAGAACTACATGCTCGCCAACGACGAGTGGAAGAGCGATATCATCCCGGAGATCATGGACGGCAAGAACATCGCCGACTTCATCGACCCCGACATCCTCGAGAAACTCGAGGCGCTCGAGCGCGAGGAGGAGAAGCTCGAAGCGGAGGGCTTCTACGAGTCCGGATCAGACATGGTAACCCTCGCCCTTCTGCTTTCCCTAGCGCAGATACTGACACCCGCTGCAGTTCGACTCGGACGACGAGCGCGAGGCAGTCCAGGCGAAGTCAGACCGCGAGCACAAGCTCGTGTCGCAGAACACGAAGAAGGCGATGAAGAACCGCGCACTCCTGCCCCGTACGGCGGGCCTGCGCTCCATCACGGAGCTCTCGTCAAGCATGACGAAGGCGGGCCTCGACCCGAGCCGGATCACGGAGCGCGCGGAGATGCTCGCGAAGGTGGCAGGCGCGAAGCGGAAGCGCGAGCGCGAGGAGGACGAGGCGATGGCGGCGGCGATGGAGGAGGACGAGAGCGGCGAGGAGGGCGAGGACGACTGGATGGACGTCGATGGACAGGAGGCACCCAAGATCAAGCGGAAGAAGGCAAACTCTGGCGCGGTCGTCGCGAAGCACCCGCGCGCGCCGAAGACAAATCGGCAGCTGTCCGGTATGCGCGACGAAGCGGTGAGTTGCGACATGCATTCTGCGTATAGAGCTGGTACTGACAAACCGTTCGCGCTCTCTAGCAATCATCAAAAGCGGTCAAGCTGCGGAATCTCGGGCAGAGAGAACGCAACTACCAGGCGAAAGCCGGAGAGGGCGATCGCGCGATCAAGACCAAAATGGTACGTCTCGTATTCGTGTGGTGTGTCGTTGGGCGACGATCGCTGACGGCATGGTCGACTTGCAGCCCAAGCACTTGTTTGCCGGCAAGCGGAAAATGGGCAAGACGGATCGTCGGTGATCGTCATCGCGCGGCGGCTGTTCGTTTGTGTTGCATCGTGTACTGTTCGACTCTCGCATTTCATTGTATTTTGGTAGTAATACATCCGGATTGTGCTACAACGACGGAAGGCCTCGAGGTTGGACTCACGAGATCCTCTGACCTTTATTCGTGTGGGCTCAAACTATACGCACGATAATGCCTTGCTTTGGTGAGCACCGAAGAATATCAAAAGAGTCGTTAGGTGCCTGCTTAACATTCGCAAGTTGGCTTCGTTGACACTTGTCTCCCGGGAATCGATCCTTCTCACTTGCCCAATAAGTGTCGAGCAAGCGCGAAAACATCCGTTGGTCGCGGGGTCGAAATCCCACGCCCTCTTGCTCACAACGCTCACTCCCACTCGTGTCCGACTTCACTTAGCGCATGAGTCCACTCGTGCGACAATCTGTATACGGCGCGCGAGTCTGAGCACGTTTACCACCCCTCTGAGTCCGAGTCGTTGACCACGGCCGTCGACGCCATTGCGGACGTGTGCGTGAACCTGACCTTGGTGTGTGAGTCTCCTCATACATATGAATCGGACTCGCTTACTTGGCACCTGCCGCAGAACGATTCACATGATATCTTCTAGCCCAGTCGTTCCGCAAGTTCGGTTCCTCGAACTCCATTCGACTCACTTGCATGGCTTCCAGCCAAACATACCCCGTTTTCACCCAAACGCAGAGGCGGGTATTTAGGGATTACTCTATGCTCAGGCCCCCTTGGTCCCTTGCCCTCGGATCCTCCTCGCCTACTCGCTGCTGTACCCTCAACGTCGTTGAGACTAGATTACTCACACATCGGCGGATACGCGTCGTTCTCTCACTGTCGCGTATTGCGTTCCCAACCACTAGCTCGGGCGCCGCGACTTGCAGCATGTTATCACTTTCTGGGATTCCTGGTCGACGTCTTGCTCGTATAAGAAGACCTCTCACGAAGCTCGTTACACGTCTGCACCCTACAGCCACGCATCTGCTTTCTTGACGTTTTCCCTGCACAATGCCGTTCGCCGACCTCCGTGCGTTACACGCCGTCATCGGCGAGGCCATCGACAACATCGAGAAGGTCTACAAGAGCCAGAGTCCGCCCCTTGAATACCCTTCACTCGATACCCCGTACTACAGCAGCCTGAAGCACAACCCGGAGGCAGACCGCGCAGAGGCACTGAAACTCGATGCAGCTGTCTTCTCGGCAGCGAACGAGATCGTAGCTGCGTGCGGACAGCTCACCGCGTCGGTACACAAGCCGTTCTTCCAGCTGATAGAGGTCATGAATGGTGTACGTCGTTCAACACACATGTCACCAGCGGTGGTTCATTCGTTCGTTGTTGACGGTTTGCGTGTAGACAAACGTCGTCGCTCTGATGCACTTCGTAGAGCAAAGCCACATTCCGGAGATCCTCAGGGAAGCGGGACCTGCTGGCCTCAGCACGAAGGACATCACGATTAAGGTTGCGGAATTGCGCGAAGCGACGCCTGGTGCCAAGAAGGTCGACATAGACCCTGCGAAGATAGGTACGTGCGCGTGAGCCATCGCACGCGTCCGAGACTTGGAACACTCACGTCTCTGGGAACAGGTCACATCCTCCGTGTGCTCGCGACGTACCACTGGGTCCGCGAGGTGACGCCCGACGTGTTCGCCAACAACAGGCTCACGTCCTTCATCGACTCTGGGAAGTCCATCGAGCAGCTCAAGACCGAGTGAGTTCGCTTTTGCGCGTCTGGCGCATCGTCTGCCCTAACGCAAGTTCCTGGTAGCCCACGGAAGAAGTACGACGGGACTGATGGCGTTGCCGCTTACGTTGGTCGAGCGTAAGTGGCGCCCCATCCTCCGCTTCGAACCTCCTGTAACGCTTGCTTGGTAGTGGGGAGGAAGTCTTCCGGATCATGTCTCATCTCTCGGAGTGGCTACTCGACGGCGGTTTGGCCACTAACGCGACGAACGGACTGCCGCTCAAACTCGCTTACAACACGCCGCTCAAGTACTATGAGTGGGTCGAGCAGCCTGGAAATGAATGGCGTATGGCGCGCTTCGGACATTCCATGAACGGCACCCGGCACTGGGAACTCGCAGAGAATGTCGTTCACGGTGAGTATCTCGTGGTCAATCATGCCACGCGCAGGAATGACGACGAACATCTATAGGATTTGCTTGGAACGACCTCCCGAAGGGTTCAGTCGTAGTCGACATTGGCGGAGGCATTGGCTCGGTTTCCGTTACTCTGTCGCAAGCATACCCTCATCTCAACTTCGCTGTCGAAGACCGAGGCCCTGTCGCGGCGATTGCACGCGAGGTGCGTCTGCCATTTTTCCATCGTACTCTAAGATGAGCTGAACTCATACGCCACGTTATTCGCGTCTCGCTGTAGGCTTGGGGTACTCAGCATGCAGATCTCTTCGAGAGTAACCGGATCACGTTCCACAGTCAAGACTTCTTCGATGAGCACCAGCCCTTGGAGATCCCAGGTATCGGCACGGTCACCCACCCCGACGTCTTCCTCGCTCGCGCGGTCGCGCACAACTGGCCCGACAAGGATGTCAAAGTGTACGCAACACTCGTGGTATCTGTGCTCTTACTGATTGGCCATCCTCCAGTATCCTGGCCATCTTGCGCCGCGCGGCCGGGCCTAACACCAAGCTGCTCCTTGTCGACAACCTCCTTCCGTACGCGTGCATCGACGACAAGGCAGATATCGAAAGTTCCTCCGCCGGCGCGGTGCGCTCGCTCGTCCCCGAAGGGTCGCCGCTCCTGCCCAATCTCGGCAAGGCGAGCGCAAACGGTTATCTTCTAGACACTACTGTAAGTCTATCTACTCGTTCCATTAATGACAGTCGTTGAACTGATTGATCTCCGCGTCATAGATGCTTGGGCTGTTCGACGCCAAGGAGCGCACGTACCGCGAGATGGACGCACTCACGCAAGCGGCGGGCTGGAAGATCACGACCGTCAAGCGTGCGGTCGGGTCCCTGTGGGCGTACATCACGGCGGTGCCGGTATAGAGCACATGGACGAATCATGGCTTGAGTGGGCTACTAGAGGTGCAACCGGGTGATTCTTGACTGTAGAGGTGCGTTCTTTTCCAATCGCGCCGGCGTTCTGATGTTTTCTGACGCAAACGGTGCGGAAGTTCGTATATCTACACTGCTATAGAACATGATAGCTTTGCTGCTCGGTCTATACAGACCCCGCCGCTTACACGCCCTGACATGCGTACCGTATGTTCGGATTACAGGTACGTCCGGACGCCGGCTGGGCCGAGCACAAGGCATGCTCGCTACGCATTCGGCCAACTTCGAGGGATGGTATTGCGACCGCTCCCGCGTGCCCCCTCTTCTACGCTGGAGAATCCCGAATGTCGTGGAAATCGAATAGCTGACGACGTCACCAGACATACGGATTTCTCCCATGCGCAGTAGGTTTGTATCGTCGGCGCCCGCGGTGCCCCTCAAGCGGTCTCAGCACAGACCTCACGCCAATGGGGCTCGGCGGGACGGCTCGCTCAGCATCACGCTTCATAAGACATCGGCCGCACTGGCTCCACCTCGCGCTATCGAGCGACCCATTCCTAGCCTCTCCCAGCACCCTCTGTCGACAACATGACGTTCGCTGACCTCCGCGCACTACATGCCGTCATCGGCGAAGCGATCGACAACATTGAAAAAGTCTACAAGAGCCAGAGCCCGCCCCTCGAGTATCCCTCGCTCGACGTCCCGTACTACAGCAGCCACCAACACAGCTCCGATGTCGACCGTGCAGAGGCACTCAAGCTCGACGCCGCCGTTTTCTCTGCCGCGAACCAGATCGTGGCCGCGTGCGGGCAGCTTACGGCGACGGTTCACAAACCGTTCTTCCACCTTGTCGAGATCATGAACGGCGTACGTCAAGCGTGTTGCATTACGCACAGGTTGAGGTTCTCACAAACGTTCCTATAGGGAAACATCACGGCGCTGTTCCACTTCGTGGAGCAGGTCCATATCCCGGAGATCCTTCGAGACGCGGGTCCAGCGGGTCTCAGCACGAAGGACATTGCAGCGAAGGTGGCAGAGCTGCGTGCGGTGACTCCCGGTGCGAAGGAGGTAGAGATCGACCCTTCGAAGATCGGTACGTTACGAGCGATTCCGTGGAGTCACAGATGCTCACGTCTGCGATCCAGGCCACGTCCTACGCGTACTTGCAACATACCACTGGGTCCGCGAAGTGACGCCCGATGTGTTCGCCAACAACAGACTCACGTCGTTTATCGATTCCGGGAAGACTGTCGAGCAGATCAAAGCCGCGTGAGCTCCCTTGTTATCCTCACTATTCATCTAACGCTGAAAAGGATTCACCAGCCCTCAGAAGAAGTACGACGAGACAGATGGCGTTGCCGCTTTCGTGGGCCAAGCGTGAGTCGTACACAGTACACCCTCAAGGACGCGTTAACATCTAGTGCGTTGCAGAGGTGAAGAGGTATTCAGGCTCATGTCCTATTTCTCGCAATGGCTACTCGAAGGCGGCTTGGCGACCAACGCAACGAACGGGCTCCCACTCGCGATGGCGTACAATACGCCCCTCAAGTACTACGAGTGGCTCGAGGAGCCCGGGAACGAGTGGCGGTTGACGCGCTTCGGGCATGCGATGAACGGCACACGGTACTGGGAGCTCAAGGAGAACGTTATCCACGGTGAGCCGCTCGAGACGTGCGACGCCCGCGGTCAGACATACTAAGCGGCTTGCAGGATTCCCGTGGGACGAGCTTCCGAAAGACTCGGTCGTGGTCGACATCGGCGGAGGAATCGGTTCCGTGTCGGTCGTCTTGGCGCAAGCGTACCCGCACCTCAAGTTCGTTGTCGAAGACCGAGCGCCTGTAGTCGCGATCGCTCGCGAGGTGATTTTCTCGCTCAATGCCCGTCGTACGTATTCCGCTTACGCATAGCACGTCGTTCTAGGCGTGGGGAAATAAACACGCCGAGCTTTTCGATTCCGGCCGCGTTACGTTCCATGCGCAGGACTTCTTCGAGGAACACCAGCCATTCGAAGTCCCCGGCGTCGGTACCGTCAGCCAGCCCGCAGTCTTCCTTGCCCGTGCGGTCGCGCACAACTGGCCTGACAGAGACGTCAAAGTGTGAGTACACGTTGCACTACCCGGATGGCATGCCCAACTCACGTTCAACGGTGCAGACTCTTGTCTATCTTACGGCGCGCAGCGGGGCCGCACACGAAGCTCCTCCTGGTCGATAATCTGTTGCCATACGCATGCGTCGACGATAAGGCGGACATAGGCAGCACCTCGCAAGGCGCGGTGCGTTCGCTTGTCCCGGAGGGCTCGCCGTTGCTGCCTAACCTTGGCAGAGCGAGCGCGAACGGGTACATCCTCGATATCTCTGTAAGACACCCGCTGCATAAAACGAAGCCATGTCAGTAACTGACTAACCCCACTTCAGATGCTCGGCCTATTCGATGCAAAGGAACGCACATACCGAGAGATGGACGCGCTCACGCAGTCCGCGGGGTGGAAGATTACGGACGTGAAGCGCGCCGTTGGTTCCCTGTGGGCGTATACGACTGCCGCGCCGGTGTAATGTGCCGCAGAGCGCTATTGGTAAGCATACTCTACGGAGGATAACTTCGCTGGTCACTGTACGCGTCGATGCTTGAGGTTGTAAGATAGAAGTCCAAGTGCGAAAGTAAATCTGGCTTTGAGTGAACTTCGACGAACGGTGCATACCCATTTATGGTGATTTGTGAACAACTACTGGCAGTGCGACTGCCAGTATCTCGAGGCCTCCATCGAAACCGCAGATTACGGGCCGATCACCACTATTCCACAATCACGACGAGCACGCGCGGCTGGCTCTTGACTCGAGCCTCGACACATCAAACAACCAAATCCCTGAGCACTCGTACCAAGAGACGTCCCGTCCCAAAACCTCACATGCCCAAAGAACGCAAACCGAGGGCATCTCGCTATGTCCGCTGTGTCGGCCCGCAGCCCAAGTTTGGCCCCGACGGGGAGTATCTAGGAGTGCAGTGGCAGGATAAGCGGGTGGGCCTCAAGGAATCGGAGTTCCGCCGCAAGTGGGAAGAAAGTCAAACGCCGGAAGAGAGACAGCTGGAAAGGGAATGGCAGTGGCAGCAAACCTGTACGTCGCCTGCGCGAGCGAGCGACTTGTCGCTCCATGCTGACATATAGACCACAGCGTTGTTGCGCCGCGGGCATCGCCAACTTATCCCACCGCGTCCCAAGCCAACTGCTACAACCGCGGACTCGAGTGAGCCTGTAGCGGGTCCCAGTAAGACGGCGGCGGAGGAAGTCGCGAAATACGAGGACGCCAAGACCGGGCCCAGTGAGGTGCAACCCGGGCTCTAGAGGCTCATCTGGCAGATGGTTGCGGTGGTCGTTGGCGGCGTTGCAGCTTGGAGTCGTAAGATAGAGCTCGATTTGCGGAACTTGAAGGAGTCCTATAATGACATTTGGGCGTCCTGTTCGTCTTGAAGCCTGATGAGTAACTAGACGCGACTTGCACTACGGCAGAGTTATCGTGCATGTCAATTCTCGGAAGCCGACGAACAAGCAAGTAGGCCTCGCGCTCGGCCCGGTCATCGACAACCGCAACCAGTACGCGCAGCGCTGCCGTAAGTCGGACTTCAACGTACGCAACGTCGCGCCGTGTTGACTCGCGTCGAACAACCACTCTAATCGCGGACGCACCAACACGTCGAAAAGCCGGACCGCAAGTACCAAGAGACATCCCGTCCCAAGACCTCAAATGCCCAAAGAACGCAAAAAATCGAGAGCCTCTCGCTACGTCTACGCGAGCGGCCCACAACCCAAGTTCGGCCCCGACGGGGAGTACCTTGGAATGCAGTGGCAAAGTAAGCGAGTGGGTCCCATGGAAATGCAACGTCGCCGTCAGTGGAGAGAAAGTCAGACTTCGGAGGAGAGACGGCTGGAAGGGGAGTGGCAGATGCAGCAAAACGGTCCGTCGCCTGCGCGAGCTTACGCCTTGTTACCCGATACCGACATGTAGACCGCAGCTCTCAGGTATCCCGGGCATCAAGAGCTTATTCCACCTCGACCTAAGCAAGCTGTGGCAGATGTAGATGATGTGGGGGGTCCCAGCAGAACCGTGGCAGAGAAAGTGCAAGACGAGGACACCCAGGCTGGGACCAGTCGCGTACAGCCCGAGCTGCACTCGACGCCAACTGCGGTAAATGGGCTCCTTCTTCCTTGCAGCGAGAAAACAGCTCAAAGAATACCATTGTCCAGGAAGCCTCAGTCTCTGCCACCTTGAGCCGCGACAGCTCTAGCAAGGACGCACCGTAGAATGTGTACATATATAGACCTTACACCGTGTCGCATGGGCTCATATATCCTTGACCTCCTATCGTCCAGTACGCCTATACAGGCACTCACGAGCGTAACGATGCCAGACTTTACCAGGCTCACCTCTATTTCGGAATTCGATCTATCTGCTCTCCTTGCATCATCTGTTCTGTCGCGTCGCAACGGCTCACCGTTGGTCCCTCAATTCGATGCCCAGAGAGAGAGAAGAAGGAGCCAGCAGCGAGGGATCGGTATTTGAAGGTGGTGGTCGGGTCGAAGAGAGCGAAGAGAGGCGCCGTCGAAAGCAACCGCGGTGGCTTATGGGCGCCTTTCTACCTTCTCCTCATCCCTCACCCCGTCTCTTGCGCTTTGCTATCTGTATCCTCGAGCGTCGTGGCTGGCGAGTTAAACTGAGAATAATGTGTTTTTCAATGGTGATGGAGAATTTCTCACTATATCCTGGTCGATTTCGACATTCTCCGGGCGGTCGCACTCGTACTTCTGCAGGTCGGCAGTTGTCGCCGCTTGGTCCTCTTCATGCATGAACCCGCCAGTATACGGTACGCATGCGTATGCTAGCTTCTGTCATATATGCATATTGACATTGACAGTACTTTACAGGAAGTGCAGATGGCACAGCTGCTACGAGAAGTCCGCGTGGGCCGTTCCTCATGCCAGTGGTGCTTGCCTGGCTCCACTGCGTCTCCTTGCCCACCTCTGTTCGGTCGCCAGCCTCTGTGGCTAAGTGCGCATCTTCTGCGATATGTGCACTGTAAAATCGCAGCGATCACATTGACGGGTATAGCTGCGGTAAGAGCATGGTATCCCCCAGCCCGACGCTACTCACGGGGTAATGGGCACCGAGGACGCTGCGACCGAATACGACCCCATGGTTCTGGCAATTTCAGTAGGATAATAATTCAAAAATTCCGCAGGCGTTCACAGGGATGCTTCGACGCAGGCGCCATATTCTCATCATCTCCAACTCACATGTTCGGACAACGCCGGGTGCTCATGTCAGTGCACCGTGCGCATATAGCTTGATTGGGATGTCGGCGCACGGCGGGCTTCGTGCACAGTAGCTTACAGGTGAGTTGCTACTAGCACGGCTTCTCCAAATCAGCGCCACGTCCTGACATTTGAGCGACTAGATATTTGCCCCCTATCAGAGCGGGTTTGGAAGGAAGTCTGCCGACGCCAGACGACTTCCGCACAGCACCGCTGACAGTCGTGTGATGTGTACGTACAGACGGTCTGTGGCGCCCTCCTGCGGCTCTATCTTGTGGATGTGGCGTGTCGGAGCTGCTATAAGTCAACTCTCGAATCTGCAAGGTCCTTCCCTCTCCGTGCAACATGGACATCAACATCCCATCAGACACAGACGGCATTGTCGCGGAGCTCGCGCGCATCTCTGCGTATAAGCCCACCAAAGCAGAGCGCCGGCTGAACCACCTAGGTACACTTTCTATGGGTTGCAGCTTCGGAATGGACCAACCACCGCCATGTACTGACCAATCATTAGGCGATAAAATATCCACCGTCGCTGGAAGTGACGACGCTGCGGCGTTTTTGTTCATCGAACGAGAAGTCTCCAACCTCACAGAGAAGAGCAAAATCGTCATGGCCGTTCTGGACGAGGTAGCCCGGCTCCATCCCATCACCCAAGGTACGTGTACCCTCGCGTCCTAGTTCATCCGTGCCGAGAACTCAATAATTGTTGTCGGTGCAGCCGCCATCCTCCTTTTCAAGGCCGCTCTGAACCTTGAACTCGGCCGACGGGAAAACGATGTTAAGATTAGGGTGCTATGCACGACGATGTGCGATACGATGGAGGTTCTCACCCAGTGCGTCCATTTCCGCTTGGCACACTGCGATACAAGATCACACGCTTCGCAGTTTGAAGGGGGTGGCAAGCCTCCAGGAAGCCGAATACCCCTTGCTGAAGCGGTGCATGGACAACATCGTCGCCTCAATCAAACTCTGTGCCAAAGTATGTGACAGTTACCGCAAGCAGAGCCTCCTCGGTGAGTCAGCACGCTTTCACTAAATGTGAGTGGATGATGAAACCCGTGCACGTACAGTCAAGATATTCACCAGCTCGGGGTGGAAGACAAAGTTCGCCGAGGTCGGCCAGCGATTCGTGGACCATCGGAGTGCACTGCAGACTCATCTTCACGTCGAGCTGAACATCGCGGCCATGAAACTGCGCAAGGACGTTTCTACAATCGGCCTACGTATGGAAACGCTCATGACGATGGTGTTCGAGCACATGGGAACTCTGGAGGAGCGCGAGCTCGCGAGCTTTATCTCGAGCAAATCCGGGGGCGCCGGTGCGGTGCTGGAGAACAAACATCTTCTCGCACAGATCATCGCGAAGCAGCGCTCGTCACAATCACAGACTCGTACTGAGCCAGGAGTGGCGGATGTGCCATTCACAGTCGACTATCTGCAGAAGGTTGCTAAGAAGACCGTGGATAGCATCATCAACGGCAACGAATGTTTCGAAGACAAGTTTGCGGCAATGTCCAGCGAGATCGATAAAGTCCAAGTTGCAATCCTAGGCGGCCCTCATGAACGTATAATTGACGAGGTAAGCCAAACGGAAATGCTCTTCCCCTGAATGTGCAGCTCAATATATGGTCGTTCCTCAGGATCTTCATCATATCTGGAAGGAGATGGTAATCCCTCACGCCCGTGTCTCTGGGTTCATCCGGTTGACTTATCTCGCCATCCATTGCCTAGGGGTGGAAGAACAGCGTCAAGGCAAAGCATCTCGTAATGGCTATCCACGACCATTTCGCGAAAGCAAATTGTGTCGGCGTTTCCACAGAGGTCTACGACGTAGCAAACAAAGCACGGCCAGGGATATCACCACGCGCGTCCTCGGAGGGCTCTGGCGGGCACCTTCTAGTTCCCCGCAACGAGGCATGGGCGTTGCGGTACATCACCGCATCCCGCGCGCAGCTTCTCGTGGAAGCCATCAACCACGATCTATCTTCGTTTGTGACCGTATCGGAGGTGAACGCTTTTACCTCGATGTGCCCTGCGGGATGGAGGTGAGTAATAATCTGCATGATGTCGTAAACCCCGCTCGCTAACCCGGGAACCCGGGACATAGTCTCCCATGCTGGGTCGCGTACTGGACATACGGTAAGTATCTACCAGCTGACGAGCGAGGAACATTCGTGACATGTGTACCTCCGCAGGCTTTGAAATGACCGTGCAATGGTACTACCGACGCATCCGCGCGCTCTTCTCCGGCATACATGCCGCCTCCTATCTCGTGCTTGCTGAGAATCGGCGAACACTAGGGAAATTCATTTCTTCTCCGCAACTGCATTTTGTCGAAAATATTATGTCCGGACTGCACCGTACGACCATCGACAGCGAGATCGACTGGGAGCGGGACGACACCTTTACAAATTTCAAGGCATACGTCGTGGAACAAGAGAGCGAATTCGAGCGGAGACTGCGCCTCGTCAAATATCGGATCGACGAAGTCGAGACCCTTAGAAGTCTAATAGCCAGGGGGCAGAGACCAGAGACGGTGCGCGATGTCCGACTATATAAGAATGCACACGATGTACTCACCAAAGTAAATCTAGTACATCCTTCCCGTTGTATTCCTTCTTCTCAGGAGGAGCCTTGCTGTCATACAACAGGCATCCACCTGTGTACTCGACACTCTAGAGCTCGGCGTCCTCGTATGGTCGCTCGACACAGTCTGGGAAGCTGCTAGAGATCGGGTCAAGATTCTGCGAAGTAAGTGAACCAGACTTGCGAGACCGAGCGGCTTCAAGTTGAAATTTTCATAGCGATGTTCAAGTTCCAGAATTTCAACAACCCGAAACAGCTTGGAAATTTCTCGCATGGCTTGGTATGAGATCACCGCCTCGCGCTCCTGAGCTTGTCGCTCACGTTCTCGCAGTATGCACACCTATCCGGTCAGATCAAGATGAGTCCTTTCTGGGAGCGCGATCCGGCAATGGACAGAGCGCGCTTCTCCTTTAGACGGCCCTTGCGCACTCCACCCCACATTCGCGACTTTTACTCCGACCCGAAATGGGATGCAGATCCAGAGATGGGCTGTAACTCCGAGTGGGACCTATACTCCCTCACCGGCCTGGCCTCCGACGAGCTTCCTTTGTCGTATCCCAGTCCCCAGGTCGAAAGTCTGGATGATATCCTCGCCGAGCGCCCCGACCTATACGCCGCCAACGCCGCCTGTGCCGCAGACCCGGATCCTGGCGGCGTGGTTGGAAGCCCCAGACTTCTTGTCGGTCACTGGCAGGGTTCATACACCGATGATGACAACGACGCAGACAGAACCGACGGCCTTGTCATCCTCACAATCACCTCCCATCTGTCTGACGGGACAGTCGCTGGCTGCGGCAAGGACGTACACGGCCCCTTTACGATAAGCGGGACTTTGACTGGGCTCAACTTTGCCTTCATCAAGACATACGCCGTGCTTCAGTCATCCGACGGCGAGAAGGTTGCGTGGTGCTACCAGGCCGAGCTTCAAGACGCGGACATGAACACGATGGAGGGCTCATGGGGCCTTCGACAATCGTTCCGAGCACGCTCACGATTCTTGGCGCCGGACGACTCCGAAAGCGAAAGTGAAAGCGACAGCGACCCGCATGCGGACGACCTAGCGGTGTACGGCTCATTCACCTTCACCCGCCGTCCCGTCGGCTTTCATCTCGCCTGTCCATCTGCGGACGAGTTCGCCCACAACCGCCCTCGCGCGCTGTGGAAGCTCGCGATCAACGTCGCAATCCATCTCGTCCATGTCCGGTCGCGCACGATCGACTGGAATTCCCTTCGCAAGCGCCGCCAGCTGCGCGAGCAGTACATGCAATTGCACATGAAGAAGGTGGCGAACCCATATAGCACGAACTATCTGGAGGAGCGCGAACGCGAAGAGCTGGTAAAGAGGATCCACCCCGACGACCTGGTTGTGTGGAATGCGCTGGGAGTCATGCGCTCAGGCTGCGGTATCATTCACGGGTGAGTGCTTCGGTATACGCAGCAACCCATACTTTTTAACGAGGCGGCGGACTCCAGTTCCTCTGTCTGCCGTTCTTGCCACAAGTCCCCGATCACGGGCAGCCGCATCGTATGCATCGACTGCACTCTTGGAGTAGATGAGACTTCCGACTTCTGCTTTGCCTGCTTTTCGAGCAATGCGCACCCGCTTCAGCCTCCGCACGCCGTCGTGCAGTTGCGTAACATTCGGATGCGGGTGTATCTCTTCTCAATCCTCAACGCTGCGAAGTCAATGCTGTCCCAGCTGGAATATCTCCGAGCTGCCGACAGCCGCTCAGGCGGGCCCTCTCTCCCTCATATCTCATGTGTCGAATGCCAAGCCGTTATCAACCCCAGGAGGTCGTACTGGTACTGCCTGGACTGCGAAGGCGAGCACATTCTTTCTTAACGTACCATCAAAATTGTGCTGAACTTATGTGGTTGCAAGGCCCGACGTACCTGTGTGTGAAGTGCAACAGCCGTATCGAACGGCAAATGTCATGGCTTCTTGGACGAACTCAACGTGTCCATAGCAGCGTTCACAACTGGTCACACCCGCTCCTCTTTGTCTCGAAAGCGGACCCCACGCCACCAAGACAGCTAAATTCCATTGAGGATCGACTATCGCTGTTAGAGGCCAAGATTGACGCACTATCGATAGCAGTTCGCTTCGCTCGACGCAGATAAGGTAGCAGGAGCCGCGGAGGAAGAGTGTATCGCGACCATGATGGGACCCGCCATGTGTCGAATTCCTTGAAATATCACTCACCGGCGACGTTGAAAAATCCGAAAGGATGCTAGAAGTCTATGGAGATCAAGAGGTAATCCATCGCGACGTGGTCGACTGGCTTAACAACAGGGTTTGACGACAACCTGCAAACCTGACACTGACGATCACGCTCAACCGGAGAAAACATCCCGTTGGCAGCGCGACGATGCACTCTCTTCGAACGGTTCTTGGATTACACGAGCTCGGGGATATATACAAATCCACTCTTACAAATTGCTTATCAGAGACGCGATGCCGGACGTTTTAGATCTCCACTCCTATCCGACTTCTTCCCTCTGCTCGCCGCCAGCTGCATGGTCTTCGCGTGCAAGGGGATAGTTCGGGTGCGTGACTTCTCGTCTTGTCTTCTTACACTCTCTTGTGCTCATCGCGCACCTTCCATGTCGTCATTTCAGAACCCGATGGTCCTTGAAAGCCCGAGGAACGGGGCTGCCAAGAGACTCGATGTTATCGTTGCGCTCGGGACTCGGACACGGCGACACGGTAGTCTACCGGTGCAACCCCCGTAGCGTTTGCGATGTCAAGACAGTCGAGGATGCCCTGAAGATACCAACAGTATGAGAAGTTAGGCACGTCTGAGTCCCGAAAAACACATACCGTGGGACGAAGTCCATTATATCCCAGAGTTTACTCACGCCGTACAGTGTCTAACCTGGGGAAGGGACCCGAAGCTCACGGACATGCTTCGAGCAATGTTACATCGGGCTGCAAATGACCACGCACATCCCCTTTACGACCAAGTTCCCCGTCCTTCAATGCCACGCAGGAGAATCTTCGGTATGTACCCCGCCCAAGCTTTAGCGCTCCCTGACACTACTACGGCACTGAATGTCGCACATCCCTTCCGCAGTTAATGTCGCATAAACGCGTCGGTCTCGAACTACTCATGAAGCTACCATCGTCCCCAAAATGGGCACCGCTGCGCGCAATACGGTTCCGATCACAGTTCCGACACTGCATCCCGCCGCCCTGTCGTCGCACCTGCCCGTTGCGTTCGCGAAGCGCACGCGCTCTCGCCACGCCGGGCTCGCTATCGCAGATGGCCATCAGGCCTGCGCCAGCCCGCTTGCCGGGCGATAGAGTCCCGCACGCCTCCCGCGGGTGATTGCCCAAGCTTCTCGCGACATTCCTCCGCGCGGCTTCGCGAACCCCGGGCGCAATGTGCCCCTCATGCCCCGCGCGCGCACTGATAAAACCAGTCTGCGGCCGTACCAGGCTTGCTATTCCTTCGCCTTGCAGCGTCAAGGAAGAGCCGCTGTGCTTGTCTGTGGCACCGTCTTCCTTCCTCACGCCCGCGCCTCGTTACCTTCGAGCCTGGAATATCCTTCGTAACCCTCTCGACGATCAGACAGCACTCTCCAAGCATGGGTGGACCCGCAGCAGTGTCGGCCGGGAACGGTCAGGGATACGCGCATCTCATTAAGGACCACAAGCCATGGTACAAGAACCCGAGGATGATCAAGCTGAACCTGTGCATAGCGCTCTTGTACGTATACCGCTATTCCCTTCTCGGGCGGGATTGACGACGACGATAATACTAGGTTGATCACGTCGACAACGAACGGGTACGATGGAAGTATGATGAGTGAGTGTTCTTTCGCACACGGCAGCAGAGTTCAGCGCTCAAGCGGCGAGCGTAGACGGTCTCCAGTCACTACCACAATGGAACCAAGCCTTCGACTACCCCAGCGGCGGAAAGGTTCGTCACGCTGTCAACCTGCCTTCTCGCACGCTGACTCTCATTTCAGCTTGGACTCCTGAGTGCAATCCAGGTCTGTATCGCCCCGTCATGAGTTTACCAAAAGACTCATCTCGCGTCTCTCGCAGAACATCGGCTCAGTCGCCGCATACCCGTTCTCGCCATACGTGTCCGACGGACTCGGCCGCCGTGCAGCAGTCATTCTTGGAGCGACGATCATGTGCGTAGCGACGGTGATCCAAACCGCGTCGCACTCTGTGGGAATGTTCATCGGCGCACGGTACGTACCCCGTCTCCGTCGAAGGTGTAGCCCGGTCCGCTCATATCGCGAAGGTTTTTGATCGGCTTTGGCCTCACGTTCGCCGCCGCAGCGGCTCCAGTCCTCATTACGGAAATAGCATACCCTACCCAGCGAGGGCCCGCGACGTCGCTGTACAACACGCTCTGGTGCGTCGATCTTCTCGCACGCTCATCTTGGACCGTTTGCTCACAAGCGGAACTCTGTAGGTTCCTCGGAAGCATTACGTGAGTTGCGGTCCGTACCCCACTACTTGGCTCGTTACTCATCTTCTTCGTATCACTTCAGGGCTGCGTGGACGGTACGTTTCGCCCGAGTCGGACTCGAAATGCTACAGAAGGCTGACTGGCTCACAGACGTTCGGAACGTTCCACCTCCCGACGAGCTGGTCTTGGAGAATCCCGTCTGCGATACAGGCGCTCCCCTCGGTCATCCAACTGATACTCGTCTGGTTCATCCCTGAATCTCCAAGATGGCTTTGCTCGAAGGGCAGGGAGGAACAAGCACTTCGCGTGCTCGCGTACTACCACGCCAACGGCAACAGGTAGCGTTTTCTGCACTTTATGGTACCTCTCGCGATTTTAACTTGATGACAGGACCGACGCTCTCGTTGAGTATGAGTTCGAAGAGATCCGGGCTGCGATCAGGTTCGACAAGGAGGTTGCAGCGAACGTAGGGTGGTCGAGCTTCTTCAAGACCCCTGGTAACAGGCGTCGCCTCCGGATCATGATCGCAATCGCGTTCTTCTCCCAGTGGTCCGGAAACAACCTCATGTAAGCCCGCCTTCTCGACTTTTATCGGCTCATGCATATGCTTACAATTTGGCGCAGCGCTTACTGTACGTACATGTGTGCAGACAGTGTCTTCGATGCTCACCGCGATTTGTTTCAGACATGAACAAGATCTTCGACGCGATCGGGAGTAGGTCTTTCGTCTTGCCGGACACATGATATATTCTGATGCCATTCACAGTCACCGACCCTACCACGCAGCTCCTCATCGTAAGTTGTGCGAAGGCGGCGCATCCTGGCGGGGTCGCTAACGTCGTCCTAGAACGGTTGCCTCAACATCTACAACTTCATCATCGCAGTCATTGCGGGCCTGCTCTGTGACAAGATTGGCAGGCGGCCACTGTTCATCGCGTCAACCATCGGCATGTTCGTCTTCTGGGTCCTGCAGACTGTCTGCTTCGGACTGTACTCGGAGACGGGAAATATCACTGCCGCGCACACCTTCATCGCCATGATATGTGAGTCTTCAATCGCGATATAACGCTCGCGGTATTGACTATGATCAAAAGTCCTATTCTACGCCTTCTGTAAGTCATATTTGAATCTACTATGCGCGTGCACCTCATGCTGACGGGGACCTTCATAGACGATGTACGTTCTCGCGTCTGAAAGTGCCTAGCACTTCCCGCTAACATCTCCTCCAGATTGCCTTCACGCCCTTGATTGTCGCGTAAGCTTGCATATTTGAAAAACACGCAGAGACGTCTCTGACCGCCGCCTTCGCGCGTAGATACACCGTCGAAATTCTACCTTTCCCTCTTCGCGCGAAGGGGTTTACGATCTTCAACCTTGCGCTGTCGCTATCCTTGATCTTCAACCAGTGCGTTGTCCGTGGTCTTAGTAAGCTAAAACTGACGCCGCCTTTCAGGTACATCAACCCTATCGCGCTAGCGCAGTACGTCGTTTGTCCACACCGTTCATCAGTAATGTGCTGATATGTAGCTCTCCGAAAGTCTCGGATGGAAATACTACGTGAGTCTTCATGCCATGCCCGCCACCCTGCAAAAACTTACCGCACCGTAGATCGTCTATGTATGTTGGCTCGCATTCGAGGTAGGCTTCATCTGGAAATTCCTCGTCGAGACCAAGAACGTGCGTTACTCCTCCCGTCCATTACGACTACCATATTGAAACTTACCGTGTCCCTGTAGCGCACTCTCGAGGAAACCGCGGCGTAAGTCCTTCCACGTGAGCTTCGACGAATCATCCACTCACTTGAGAATACAGACTCTTCGACGGCGAAGACACGGCGGTCCACCTGGCCGAGCACGCCGCGATCAACGCCGGTATTTCTGACTCGCATTCAGATCGGGAAAAGGCGTCGACGGAGGAAATCAAGGAGGAAGTTGTGGGCTAGACGCGTCCCGCGAGCTCGGTGGACTCGGAACCAAAGCAAACGTACTGGACGCGAGCCGGGCCCTCGTATCTGCACCATGACAGGTTCTTGTCGCGATGTTGTATTTGTACCCACCAGACGCTTCTCCTCGCATCTTGTTTCTCCGCCTCATTCTCAATGTAGAGTACTTGTCCATCGTCTAGCACCGAATGAAAAGGATCGTCTCAGCTCTCTCACGCGGTGCGGTGCCGAGCGAACCTACTGAAATTGCCAAATGCGGCAGCGCGTGCCTCACTTTGCGGATATTTGCGCTCTGTGGCTGCAATTTGCGCTGTAAAGTGCGGAGAAGGAGTTTTGGCTCTTGGCTCTTCTGCTTGTGCTCATCGTCCCCGCCGTCTTTTGCTTGTGCCCCGTCGTCTGCTTTCACGTTCTCACCATGTCCCCCACGATCAACGTCAAAGGCAGCGACTCCGGCTCAGCCCGTGTCCTCGGCTCGGGAGCTTCAGGTGCGCACCAGCACCTCTTCTCTAAGCTGCGCGAAAAGTAAACGTAGACATGACATCTAGGTATCGCTGAGCTGCTCCTGTTCCACCCCGTGGACACGATTGCGAAGCGGTTGATGAGCAACAAGACCAAGGTGCGTGCCAAGCCTCGCGTCAGAGCCCTTTCAGTAGGACCAGGACCTCACACGACCGGCACAGGTGTCGATGGCCACAATCTCCCCCATCATCTTCAAGGAGCACGCAGCAGCACCCCTTGGTCGCCGGTTGCTGTCCCTGTTCCCTGGGCTCGGCTACGCGGCGGGTTACAAGGTGACGCAGCGGATATACAAGTACGGCGGACAGCCGTACTTCCACGACGTCCTCTCGCGGAACTACAAGAGCAGCTTCACGAACGCGTTCGGCGAGCGCAAGGGCAAGATGGTCATGCAGGCCGCTGCTGGCAGGTGCGTGTCTGACGCGTCTGTGTGCTACGTGTGCGATTAGCTGACGGACGTAAACTCAGCTTGACGGGTATCGGTGAAGTTGTCCTGCTCCCCTTGGACGCTCTCAAGATCAAGCGTCAGGTGAACCCCGAGGCGTTCCGTGGTCGCGGCGTCGTCCGGATCTTCATGGAGGAGGGCACCACTCTCTACCGCGGGTGGGGCTGGACAATGGCGCGTAACGCCCCCGGCAGTTTCGCAGTACGTTGTCATCATACCGCTTCAATGTTCCAGTTGACCAAACTTCCGTCCAGTTGTTCGGTGCCTCCGCGATGACGAAGGAGTACATGTTCGGCATCCAGGACTACCACAAGGCGACCTGGGGGCAGAACTTCGTCGCGTCCATCGCGGGCGCGGTCGCGTCCATCACCGTCGCCGCGCCGCTGGACACGATCAAGACGCGCATCCAGAACGCGAACTTCGAGAGCAAGGTCAGCGGCATGACCGTCGTCAAGGACCTGCTCAAGAACGAGGGCCCCGGCGCGCTCTTCAAGGGCCTGACGCCCAAGGTACGTCACTCCCCATCTTTCTCGCGCTGCTGATAAGGGGACACGCCGCTGACGGTGGTGGATTGGCGCATGCAGATCTTGGTCGTCGGTCCGAAGCTGGTGTTCAGCTACACGCTCGCGCAGTCGCTCATCCCCTGGTTCTCCAAGTACGTATAAGACGTATGAGCCATGGACGGCTCCCCTCCTACCTCGATCTCGTAATGTTGCTCTCGCCCTACCGCATGCTATGCTCCTTACGACCTAGATATGCTCCCGCGACCTGCGCGCAGAAAAGTATACTCACCCACTGTCGTCCCCCTCCGCTCATTGCATATCTTCTAGATTCGTATAATAGATTCTTGGTTATTGGAATAGATCGCGACCTGATTCTCATGCTTGAAGTCTTCGAGGGATGTGATGAATTGTTGGACTTTGCCGTTATCGGCCGAGACGCCTTCGAGCTGGCAGATATGCACCGGCAGTGCACGCTATTCCCGGGGGTAGGGTGATCCGTTAAATGGGATGAACATACAAGGTGAGCAGACAGAGCGTAAAACAGAGGCGATAAAGAGGCGTGAGCGAGCATGAACGTAAGGAGGAGACGCAGAGATGCAATGCTGCTGCTGCGGTGGCGAGAAGGGGATCAGAGCGCAGGGCCTACTGCCACTGCGCCTTGTCCCACGCGGGGTCCTGTAGGAACGCGCACAAGACCTTGCTTCCGGTCTGTCGCGGCGTCAGCACAACTAGGAGTAGGGGGTAGAGGAGGACGCACTTGGAGGAGGGGGTGCCCAGCCACGATGGTCAGGAAGCGCTCGAGGCCCTCACGCCGGCTCTCGATGACCTCGTCTGAGAAGCGGTTCGTGAAGACTTTGCCGGGGAGGGGCGGGATGTTCACGCGCGTGGACTCGCGCTCGAGGATGTCGCGGAAGGCCTCGAAGTCTGAGTAGCGGCGGCGCACGACAGAGTGGCGGAGCTTGAACGCGGGGATGTTCGTCTAGCGTGGGTACGTCCGATGTGTACGCAGTGGCAATGGTTCGAGGAAGAGCAGAAGAGGATGCAGGGCGAGGGGAGGTGACAACGCGAGGTGAGCGAGCTAAATTAGAGCGAAGAACGGAGGTGTCGCACCTTGCACACGATCTCATAGTCCGTGTACATCTTCCTCCCAAATCCTGCAACGCCGCTCGCCCAGATTAGCCCCCCACCCCCAGCGAATCACCACAACCTATACGCGACTCACCGTGTGTCTGCGGATTGCGCACCTCGATCTCGAGGAAGCTCTCCGGGACGCTGTACATCTCCTCGATCTGCATTGCGCCGTATCACGCGCGGTCCTACGCTGCAGCCCACAGGCAAAAGAGCGTACTCACCGACTGCTCGCGGCCGCCGAGGCGGGGCTCGTCGAATACGCTCGCACGGGCAAAGGGGGAGACGGTGGTCATCGCGGACGGCGGGGGCGGGGGCGGGGTAGCGGACGTTGTGGTTCGGTCCAAGCTTGTCGAGCCCGGACTCTCTGCTTTCCAATTACGCTCGTTTGGGCGCTTGTGGCTCGACGCGGCACAGGATCTGTTTGGGTGCGAGTCATACAACGCGGACATATCATTCAAGCAGGGAGATTCACGTCGGTGTATATAAGATGGGGAATGCAAGAAAGTCGCTGGTCGGTACATAGGTACAATCCAAGCACGAACATAGATCTCGCAATACAGATATTGTCTACCAAACCAAAGCACGAACGACGAGAACAGATGAGTACATGTATATACATTTTGTGTAGGATGTCTGGCGAGAGGGAGATACGTCAGCTAGACAGTTCGCAATAAACAGTGGTATGATACTCACCAATGAAACGCGCTAGTAGCGCCTGTCGTCCCTCGCATACGCATACGGAGGCGGCGAGCGTCGCGCCTGCCGGCGCGCTGCGTCTAGATCTGCATGACGGTCGTACGCCGCGTATCCAACGTCGCGCTCCCTCGGATCGACATAGTCCCGCGCCGGACTTGGGTACCGAGGTTCATCGTAGTACACACTGGCCGGCGGCGGAGGCGTGCGCAAGCGCGGAGGCGGAGGAGCGTACTCAGCAGCGCGCTCGTCGGGATAGTAATACGCATCGTCCCGCGCACGCTTCGGCGGCGGCGCACGCATGTCGTCGCTGCCCCCGGCTCGCCGAAGAGGACTCGGACTGCGGGGCCGCACCCGGGAGTAGGAGGCCGCAGGCGGCTCGACGGTATACCGCCCACGGTCGTGGTACGCGCGGTCGTCCGGATGTGCGTCGGAGAGCCGCGCGCTGAGCGGGCGGTCGTACGAGCGCGATGCAGGCGGCGGAGGGGGCACGTCCGCAGGGTACGCAGCGCGGCGCTCGCGCTCCTCGCGCGTCTCCCAAGCGGGCGGGACGGCGTCGCGCTCGACAAAGCGCGCGTCCCGGTCGTACTCGCGGCTGCGGTCCCAGGAGCGCTCGTTGTAGTCGTCCCCGTACGGCCGCTCGCCCTCGCGCCACTCCCGGGTGTACGAGTGAGGGGCGAGGGCGGGATCGGCCGCTGGCCTTCGTGCGGGCTCGGGCTCCCTGTAGGCTTCCCCGGCAGGTACCCAAGCCCGATCGCGGGGGGGGTACGTCTCTGCGGGGGGCGGCGAAGGGCGGCGGTAGGACAGACGAGTCTCTGCAGGGCGAGGGTGGAGATCGACGTCCATCGGCTCAGGAGCAGGCGTAGATGCGGGAGCAGGGCGTCGCTCGGAGGCGTAGCGATCTGGCTCAGGCACGGGGCTGCGACGGTAGGAGAGGCGATCCCTGGGCTCACCCGCAGGACGGAACTCACGCACGTCAGAACGCACTGGAGACCGGGCCGGAGAAGGCGGCCTGAACGTGCGTGGCTCGTCACGGGCCACAGAAGGCGCACGGTATGAGTTCCGGGCAGGAGGAGGATGTCCACGGTCGCTTCCTGCAGGCGTGACAGCGCGGGGAAAGCGGTCTGCAGGCGTGAAGACGCGGTCTTCAGCGCGCGGTGCTGGCCGCTCTACTGCAGGCGCAGGGAGGGGCTTGCGGTCATCTACAGAGCGGGCGGGAGGGCGTTCGGAGGGCGCAGGGAGCGGCCTAGGTGGTCGACTGCGAGACCGAGGACGGAGACGCTCATCAGGAACAGCAGGGGTAGAGAGTCGTTCTTCCAGAGAAGGCGGGGCATTCGCAGGCCGGCTGATGCGGTCCTCGAGACGGGGCACCGGCCTGTCGTCCTGCCTGACAGGAGGCTGGTTGAGCCGTTCATGAAGGGAAGGTGCACGGCTGATACGCTCCTCGAGCGGTACAGGTGGACGTGTGCTGCGGTCATCTGCCTGCGCAGGTCGAGAACCGCGCGGTTCAAGCATGGGACGAGCAGGGACAGAGTCAGGCAGTACAGCAACAGGGGCACGGCTGATACGCTCCTCCAGCGAGGGTGGACGGCGGTTCTCTACCTCTGGCCTGGCCATGGGTGGACGATCCTCAACCGCAGAGACAGGCGGGCGTCTGTCGTCCACCGTAGACGCTGGAATGTACCGGTCCACTGAGGGTGGAGGGCGCCGATCGTCGACCGGACGACGGTCCACAGAGGAGGCTGCAGGTGGAGGCGGTAGACCACGGCGATCATCTGATGACCTTCCGTACCGGTCACCAGCAGCTGGAGAGAGAGGACGTCGACGGTCGTCTGTAGGGGGGCCAGGACGCTCCGAGGCTGCCGAAGGTAAAGGCCGCTTATCCTCCGGCCTTTGAAGTCTGTCGCCAAGGGGTGGAGGTCGCCGGTCATCACTGGCCTTGACCGAACGATCGGGCCCAGGTAAGGAGACAGGAGCGCGACGGTCATCTACAGAAGACGGAAGGGGTTTGATGTTCCGCTCTTCCACAGCAGGAGGCGTAGGTGGAACACGGCGTTCATCAAGCAAGGGCGTCCGCGGCACAGAGGGGTCAATAGGAGGCCGAATGATCGCGCGCTCCTCTCCGAGATTGCGAGGAGGCGGACGGACATCAAGGGGGCTCTTGTCGGCGAGGCGAGGCGAGACTACAGAGTTTTCAGAGGCCTTAGAGTCGTACCGACGAGGTGGGTACCTGGGCTCGTATCTCCGGGAGTCAGGCGAGGGACGACGGTTATCTGAAGGACGAGGACGGTCGTCGTTGCGTCGGTCGTCACGGAATCGGTTGGATTCCTCCCGTACCGAGCGACCTCTGTCGCGGTCGAAGTCCTTGTCCTTGTCGCGTTGGTTTTCGCGATCTCTCTGGTTGTCCCTTTCCCGATCGAAGTTCCTGGAGTCTCGAGATGGCAGCTCTCGGGCATCGTTGCCATTGTCGAGTCCTGGTACGCTCGTGTTGCCCATACGCGGACTCTGGGACACAGGACGACCTCTGTCTGGCTCAGTTCGTTGCTGCCGGTCGACCATGCTGTTGTTACGAGATGGCCACATAGAGTCTCGGGGACGAGAGTCGTCCTTCCCGTTTGCGATAGGCAACTTCGCAAGAGAGGGCTCACCAGACGCTATAGGACTTTCTACAATCTCATTCCGTACTGGCTTTCCAGGGCTCGAGCGGATGCTAGATGCTTGGTCAAGTCGCTGTAGGCCGGGTGGGCCCATGCGAGGACTGCTATCGGGGTCATAGCGAGCATTGCCAGTGTTATTGGCGGCAGAGGAGGCGGGTTTGTTCTCGACGGGGTCAAACCTGGTGCTATTCCGCTTGCTAGGAGGTGGCATAGCCTGTAAGATGTGATTTCGGTGAGTGGTGCACATGAGAGGGAAAGAAAGGCAGGTAGCACATTGTTCTTCGGAGACTCGCTGACCGACGAGCGATGCGGAGGCTTCTTAGCGCCGTCCCGAGCATGGGGGCTTTGAGAGGGAAGACGAGCGGTAGAATGATTCAAGATATTGGTAATAGATACGTTCGCGCCATCCTTAGTAGCAGTGTCATGAGAAAGCAGCGTGAGACCAGGAGGAGAGGGGTCCGAGGGAAGCTGTTCAGGGTGAGGAGCGACATGTGAGACAAGCGAAGCCTTTGGCCCCAGATAGACATTAGCCAGAGCAGCAGGTTGAGGAACGGGGCGGAAGAGCTCGTGCTGGTTGTTCTTGATGGTCTGTTTGAGCCGTTCGAGGATCTCGAGGTCGTTCTGACCCGGGGATAGGACGTGTTGAGCTGGCAGGGGCTGTGGGATAGACTGAGGCTGTTGCGGGGCGAAGAACTGGGGTGGAGAGTGCTGGGACTGGAAGGGAGGGCCAGCGAGAGGAGACATGACAAAGTTGTGGTAGGGGAAGGAGGCAGAGAAGGGCGAGAGAGGGAAGGGCCCGGCCAGTGCGGCTGGAGTGGCGGCTGAAAGGGGCGTAGGGACCGAGAAGGGCGGCGAGAGGAGCGCAGCTGTGGGCGAGTCTTCGTAGTCTGGGAGGGGGGAGGGCATGAAGGAGCCCTCTGGGCCGTCTGTGAGGGTGGTGACGGTGCGTTCGCGGGGAGGGGCGTTGGGCCGGCCTTTGCGTTTCTTGTTTTGCCTTGTCGCCATCTGTGGGTCCACCAGCCTCGCAAAATATTTGCACACCTCTGCCGAGCGATCGGCGCTTTATTCCTTTCCCCTACAGCCTCGCCTCTCCTCCGCGGCGAATATCGCGAGCACAGAGACGGTATACAAGAAAGCAGAAGAGCGATATATGGAAGGCGCACAGGACGGACGGAAAGGGGCTGATCATCGTCTGCCCATCGCCCGCCGTTATCGCCTTCAATCACCCGCCCACCTCTCCGATAATAGGTCACGCGTGACCCTATAAGCAGACATTAACGGAGCGTGACCCAAAGCATATTCGTGGGACAGGCTGAGTCATCGACAGAGCTTACCTTGCAAGCCTTCTGCGGGCCGTGACTCGAATTGAGCAGCTGCGAAAAGTTAAAGTGCGGAGAGGTGGATGCAGACTCTGATTTCCTTCCGATCTTCTGCTCTCCTCCTCAGACACACCCGCCCACCCCGCTCCCCTCCCATATCGTTCGCCCACGTACGCAGGATGGCCGAGAGCGCAGGCACTCACAAGGACCCCGTCACGGGCGAGCTCATCTCCAAGACGTGCGTTCACTCTCTTCTTCTACCCCAGACCGCGCTTAACCTGTATCGCGCGACCTAGCGAGCTCAAGCGTCGCGAAAAGGCACGCAAGATCGAGGCCGCCAAGGCCGAGAAGGCTGCCGCTGCCCCCGCGAAGGCTACTCCCGCAGCCAAGAGCTCTGCCGCAGATGAGGAGAATCTCTCGCCGAACGTACGCCCTCTCAATATGTCCCCACACCTTCCCTTCTCATGCACTATATTAGCAATACTATGAGATCCGTTCGCGTCACATCCAAAAGCTCAAGGAGACCCATGAACCGAATCCCTACCCCCACAAGTTCGAAGTCTCCATCTCGATCACCAACTACATCCAAAAGTACGGTCCTGAGGGCAAGATCGCGGCCGGGCAGAAGCTGGAAGGTGTCACGGAGCACCTCGCCGGCAGGATACACAACGTACGCGCATCAGGCCAGAACCTGCGCTTCTACGACCTCCACGGTGAGGGCGGTAAGGTGCAGATCATGGCAAACAAGCAGTGAGTCCACCTCTTCGCATCCATCACCTCCCTCAGCATACCAACTGTGCGCGCATATAGGGACGCGAAGGACCCCGAGGGCTTCGTCGCGTGCCACGAGCACTTCCGCCGCGGCGACATCGTCGGCGTGATCGGCACGCCCTCGCGCACCAAGAAGGGCGAGCTCTCGATCGCGCCCTCGCAGATGATCCTGCTCGCGCCGAACCTGCACCAGCTGCCGTCCGCGCACTTCGGGCTGAAGGACCAGGAGACGCGCTACCGCAAGCGCTACCTCGACCTCATCCTGAACGAGGACACGCGCCGCATCTTCGTCACGCGCAGCCGCATCATCAACTACGTGCGTCGCTTCTTCGACAACCTCGGCTTCCTCGAGGTCGAGACGCCCATGACGAGCATGATCGCGGGCGGCGCGACCGCGAAGCCGTTCATCACGCACCACAACGATCTGGATCTCGACCTGTACCTGCGCATCGCGCCCGAGCTGTACCTCAAGGAACTCGTCGTCGGCGGGCTTGAACGCGTTTACGAGATCGGGCGTGTGTTCAGGAACGAGGGCATCGACCTCACGCACAACCCAGAGTTCACGATCTGCGAGTTCTACATGGCGTATGCCGACATGTACGACATCATGGACCTCACAGAGTCGCTTATCGAGGGCATGGTCAAGTACCTCACTGGCGGCAAGACGAGCCTTGAGTACCACCCTGAGGGCAAGAACAGCGACAAGGTCCAGACTTTGGAGTTCAAGCGCCCGTGGCCAAGGTACGACATGATCGGCACCCTCGAGGAGAAGCTTGGTGTCAAGTTCCCTCCGAGCGAGACTCTGCACACGGACGAGACGAACGTGTTCCTCCGGGAACTGTGCAAGAAGGTATGTTCTCAAATACCTACAGCTTTGGTACGCGTTCACTGACATCGGGGACAGCACAACGTTGACTGCAGTGAACCGAGGACAAATGCGCGTCTGCTTGACAAGCTTGTCGGCGAATACATCGAGCCCCTTTGCATCTCCCCCGCGTTCATTGGTGCGTCTATCGAAGAATCCAGTTCGCGCTCGTAACTAACAATAGTCGCAGTCGGCCACCCGCAGGTGATGTCGCCGCTGGCCAAGTACCACCGATCGCGACCCGGTCTGTGCGAGCGGTTCGAGGGCTTCATGTGTGGAAAGGAGTTCTGCAACGCGTACACGGAGTTGAACGACCCCTTCGAGCAGCGTCTACGCTTCGAGGAGCAGGTACGTTTATTTCACCAGTCAAGCGAGTGTATACTGAAGGGATTGCCTTCCGCAGTCGAGGCAGAAGGAGCAGGGCGACGACGAGGCCCAGGGCATCGACGAGACGTTCATCGACGCGTACGTGCTCCAGAATGTTCTTACAACCCCCATACCCCTGACGTCTTCTACAGGCTCGAGCACGGTCTCCCGCCGACTGGTGGATGGGGTATCGGCATCGACCGTCTTGTGATGTTCTTGACCGACTCCACGAGTGAGTGCACACGCTCTTCTAGCGCCGTTGTGCGTGTTCTGACACATTCGCCCTGCAGACATCAAGGAGGTGTTGCTGTTCCCCGCGATGAAGCCCATCGAAACCTCAGCGAACACGACGGGAGCCGTTGGCCCGAGCGGGCAGGTGTAGATACAGATAGATGAAGAAGCAGATGTATTACTAGGAAAACTACTTACACGGGGGAGCGACGGCGACTTGCGCCAGTCGCTAATGCAATCTACCGCTGCTCTCTGCACAGAACGCGAAGTCGTGCCAGATCAGCGAGCCACGACGCGTGCGCCTCTCTAGCACCGACCACGACGTGTCCTCGTTGTATTTTCCACGTTGTCCTGCGCCGAGTGGGGAATATCGATGGGTGCGGCGAGGAGGGAGCGTGGCCGAAGAAGGCGGAAGGCTCGAGAACATGCCCGAAAGCGGAGCGCGTCAATCTGGCGCGCACCAAATTTTGGGCGCGTAAAAGGCAAGTGGCGGCGTGCGCGAGTGTCCAATCGATCCTGCACGCTCTCGTTACGACCCCCACCCTCCCCGCCCCCCTCACGACTATACGAACGCCATGTCCGTCGTCGGCATCGATTTCGGTGCTCTCCACAGCAAGGTCCGTGCCCAGCAGCCGCTTGCGTGCATATCGATACCCGAGATCTGACTGTATGCGCAGATTGGTGTCGCAAGACACCGCGGAATAGACATCATCATCAACGAGGTCTCCAACCGCCAAACTCCGTGCGTATCTTCCTTGGTGCTGCTGTGGCGATGTGTGCTGACCTTTGTGAGTAGTTCTCTCGTTTCGTTCGGCCCCAGGCAACGCTCGATCGGCGAGAGCGCGAAGACGCTCGAGATCTCCAATTTCAAGAACACCGTCGGGTCCCTGAAGAGGCTCATCGGGCGCACCGTGTCCGACCCTGAGATCACGGATGTGGAGACAAAATACACGCATGTGAAGCTCGTTGACGCGAACGGCACTGTCGGCGCAAAGGTGCGTCTATTTTGTATCCGGGCTTCTTTGCAATGCGTGTTATCCATCTCAGGTGGCTATGTTCTGTGTGGCGGATGCGTGCAACGTGCTGCTCGAGCGAGTGGGCAAGTCCGTATGGTTGTTCGCGCTTGTACGACGAAACCTTTGCCGATGGCCTATTTCGAGAATTTCCTTTTCATGGAGTCTGTGGGATCGAAGGCACACTCGATCGTGATCTCGGGGCTCGTGCGACCTGAGGCTTCTCTTGCAGGAGTCGGACCAGAGGGTGTCGCAGTCTAACTCAGACGGCTATGAAAGGCTCACGCGGTCTTCTCCGAACAGGGAGAGAAAAATCCGTGAAGGGGGTCCCTGGTGATTATCGTCCGCATGATGAGAGGTGTCTTTGGAACTGCTTCCCCCGTCTCTCCGGACAGCTCTTGATCGATTTGGAAGCCCGCTTCAACCCAGCGCTACCCTGCTCGAATATCACTCATGAATGGGTCTACACGCATTGCAAAGAAGGACGTAACTGGATATCCGCAGACGCTTACTCCGATTTATTAGGTCAACTACCTTGGCGAGCAAAAGGTGTTCTCTGCCACCCAGATCACCGGCATGTACCTCGGGAAGCTGCGCGACATCGCAGCGAACGAGCTCAAGAACGGTGTCTCCGACGTCGTGATCACCGTCCCCGGATGGTACACTGACATCCAGCGCCGCGCGCTCCTTGACGCCGCCGCGATCGCTGGTCTCAACACCCTCCGTCTGATCAACGACACCACCGCCGTCGCTCTCGGCTACGGTATCACCAAGTCCGACCTCCCTGAGGCCGAGAACCCCCGTCACGTCGTGTTCGTCGACGTTGGCCACTCGAGCTCGTCCGTTTCCGTCGTCGCCTTCTCCAAGGGCCAGCTCGCGGTGAAGAGCACAGCGTACGAGCGCCACGTCGGTGGACGTGACATCGACTACACGCTGCTCCAGCACTTCGCGACCGAGTTCAAGACCAAGTACAAGATCGACGTCATGTCGAACCCGAAGGCGATGTTCCGTCTCGCCGCCGGCTGCGACAAGGTCAAGAAGGTGCTCTCCGCGAACGCGGAGGCGCCCCTGAACGTCGAGTCCATCATGAACGACATCGACGCGTCCTCGCGCCTCACCCGCGAGGAGTACGAGGAGCTGATCGCGCCCGTGCTCGACCGCCTGGAGGCGCCGCTCAAGCAGGCGCTCGCCGACTCCGGGCTTACGCTCGACCAGATCGACGCCGTCGAGCTCGTCGGCGGCTGCACGCGCATCCCCGCCGTGCGCCGCAAGATCGAGGCCGTGTTCGAGGGCAAGGCGCTCTCGACGACGCTCAACCAGGACGAGGCGGCCGCGCGCGGCGCGACCTTCGCCTGCGCGATGCTCTCGCCCGTCTTCCGTGTTCGCGACTTCGCCATCCACGACATCGCGCCGTACCCCGTCAAGGTCACGTGGGAGCGCCAGCCCGAGGACGAGGACACGGAGCTCGTCGTGTTCCCCCGCGGGAACGGCATCCCGTCCACGAAGGTGCTCACGTTCTACCGCAAGGACGCGTTCGACATCGAGGCTGTGTACGCCGAGCCCGAGGGTCTCCCCGGAGGCATCAACCCGTGGATCGCGAAGTTCACCGCGAAGGCGGTCGAGCCGCAGCCGAACGGGGACTACTCCGTCGTGAAGGTGAAGACGCGTCTGAACCTGCACGGCCTCTTGTCGTTCGAGGGCGCGTACACGGAGGAGATTGAGGAGCGTGAGGAGGTGGCGATGCAAGTCGATGGCGCAGAGGCGGAGCCGCCGAAGAAGAAGAAGGTCGTGAAGAAGAAGGACGTGCCGTTCGTGTGGAGCGGGACGTCCCTCGACCCGACCATCGTCGAGCAGTACAAGGAGGCCGAGGCACAGATGTACGCGGCCGACAAGCTCGTCATGGACACCGAGGTACGTGTTTTGTGTGAGACTCGTCGAACATGTGCTCACCTTCGTTGCAGGAGCGCAAGAACGCCCTCGAGGAGTTCGTGTACGACACGCGGTCGCGTCTCGACGAGCGCTACGCGCCATACGTACAGGCTGCCGAGAAGGAGAAGATCAAGGCGGCGCTGGCAGACGCGGAGACGTGGCTGTACTCGGAGGAGGGCGAGGATGCGACGAAGTCCGTGTACGTCGAGCGGATCGAGCGGCTGCACGCGCTCGCGGACCCGGTCATCAACCGGTTCAAGGAGGCGGAGTCGCGCACGCGGGTCGTGAGCGAGCTGCGCTCCACGCTCAACAACTACCTCGCGCAGGCGACGGGCAACGACGAGCGGTTCTCGCACATCGAGGAGAAGGACAAGCAGGCGATCGTCGAGCGCGTCGCGACGATCCAGAAGTGGCTCGACGACCAGGTCGCGCGGCAGAGCGAGCGGCCGAAGAACGTCGACCCGGCGTTCACGGCCGCGGAGGTGATCAAGAAGAAGGACGACATCGTCTACTTCGCGACGCCGATCCTCACGAAGCCTAAGCCGAAGCCCAAGGTCGAGTCGACGGGCACGCCTGGCACGGAGACCCCGAAGACGGGCCAGGAGACTCCCAAGCCCGAGGGCGCGAAGCCTGACAACGGGCCCACGGAGATGGATGTAGACTAGGATCGCTCGCGCGATACGCACGCACTGCAGGGGACAGCTGACGGTATCTAGCCACTAGAAGAAAGTAATGTGTTGTACGTAGACCTCTCGCGTATTGTACTTTTTTGCATCATCCGCTTCTTGTGTCGCATCGTGTGTCGTTGGAAGAGCAAGTCGGAAACATAGGAAACCACGCCGGTGTTGGTCCTATGTTCGAGGAACTCCATCAATAGTGAGTCTTCGGTATCGAGGGATGTCGTGCCTTGCCCTATTCTTACAGACAACTGTGCTACCCAGCGTACAACGTACACGCTACACTCAAGTGATGATACAACAGCACCCCTGGCAATGCTTGGAATCCTCTTGAACCGAATACCCCTGCCTGTTCGCCGAACCCTCATGCTGCCCCGGAGCCTCCGCGTCTCGCACCAAACCCTGCTGCACCGAGTCCTCCTGCACCGAGCCCCCCTGCGCAGGGCCCTCCCGGATTACCGAGCTCTCCTCCGCCGAGCCTTCTTGCACCGCCGAACCCTCTCGCACTGGGCCCTCCTGCACTGCCGACTCCTCCTGCACTGGTGAACCTTCCTGCGCCGTGTCCTGCACCGAGTCCTCCTGCACCGAGCTCTCCTGCGTCGCCGAATCCTCCTGCGCTGGCGAGTCTTGTTGTGCCATGTCCAGCACTGAGCCCTCCGGTATCGAAGCCTCCGGATCCTCTTGTGCCGGGTCCTCCACTGAGCCCTCCTGCGCCGAGTCTCTTTGCACCGTGGAATCCTCTTGCTCCGAGGTCTCCTGAGCGGGCAAACCTTCCTGCGCCGTTTCCTGCACCAAGCCCTCCTGCACCAAGCTCTCCTGCGTTGGCGAGTGTCCTTGCGTTGGCGAGTGCTCCTGTGCTGGCGAGCGCCCCTGCGCAGGTGCGCCTTCCTGTGTCGTGTTCAGCACCGAGCCTTCCGGCATCGATCCCTCCCGCAGCAGCTCTTCCCGCACCAGGTCCTCTTGCACTGCGTCCTCCTGGGTTGGCTCCCCTTGCACCGCCGAATGCTCTTGCTCCGAGGTCTCCTGCGCTGGCGAGCCTTCTTGCATCGAATCCTGCACCGAGCCCTCCTGCGCCGAGCCCACTTGCACCGCCGAGTCCTCCTGCACTGAGCCCTCCTGCGTCGGCTTCTGCAGTGCCGACCCTTCTGGCATCGAATCCTCCTGTACCGAGCCCTCTTGTTGCAAAGACTCCTCCCCTGCAGCCGAACTCTCCCGCGCCGTGCCCCTCTGCGCCCTAGACAGGCTAGACTTCACATCCGCCGACAACAGATCGAGCTTTGCCTCCAGCAGCGGCAACCTCACCTCCATTGAGAGGTATCTGCTCGTGACCAGGCTAGCTAGCGTGGGTGTCTCCGTTCCATGCACGAACAGGAGGGTGTGTGCCCAGTGGTGGCCGCCAGGATTATCATCAGGAATGGTACGCGCATCCGGGTTTTGCCATGGTCGATTCCGCTCGACATCGTCATTACAGTTCTTGCAGATGTATGTGGAATCTGGAAAGACCATGAGCCATACATTCGAGAAGTCTGTCAAGCCACCTACCTTCACAGTCCAAGCACAACCAGCGCGACATTTTGAGATCAACCGGGATTTTGCAAGCGGCGCAGACAAGTGGGACTTCCGAACGAGAGACGGAAATCTCCGACGCCCTTTGCTTCGCTGCGTTGAGGACCGAGAACAGATACATGCGCATCCTGACGGTGCGAAGCTGTACGATCGTGTGCGGCGGCAGGAGGGTGTGTGAATGGTTAGAGAAGCACGCCGAACAGAAGTCGACGGTCTTGTCGATGTCCCGAGTGCATTCGACGCAAATAAGCCGACTGCCGATGATTGGCCTTGGCGTATATGTGATGCACGCGTCGCACACAAAGCCGCTGAGTTGTAGCAACCGTCGTGTGGAGGTTACAAAGAGAATTTCACGATGGTATGCGCAGAATACTCACTAGTGTGTGAGATTCAGGTCTTGAGGTTGCGTGTCAAACCAGACTTCACTGGCGCTGGAGACGTCTGGCTGAATGGGCCTATAACTGAGGTACAAATCGGGCTCGCTGCCGATGGGCTCAACGCCTAGAAGGTCTTCTGGTAGCGGCGCTGGGGAAGTTGGAGCAAAAGGGGGAAGTTGGAGCAAATTGTCAAAGGAATCTGTCTCGGGATCCCCAGCCCAGAAATCACCCATCGGCCTAGGCACTCCACAGAGCCGCGCATACTGCGCCGTGGGGGAGTTGTATCAACGCTCCGGGTACGACATAACTTTGAAGAGCACTGACCATGCCGAACGAGAAATCGTGAAGTAGTTCTGAATTCGCCATGTTCTCGAACCTAGACATCGCTATCGTATGCTTTCAGTATGTTACACGCCGAGCAACACCATACGAAATACCTCGTAGGATACCTATCCGTTCTCGGACAACCATCCAGATTGTGATGAGAGACTGTTGAATGATGAAGAATTCCTGCCTATGGAGCTTGTAGTGTCCTGCGCAACGGATGACGAAAAGACTCCTGCGAAGAAGGAAAAACATAAGGGGTAAGAGGTACTACGTATAGGGTGAGTAAGGAGCTTCATCGTATAGACATAGCTGCATGCCTACTGTTTCTGGTCTCTCTCCGGAGTCGACGATAAGACTCGTCAGAGTGTTCGCCTCGTCGATGTAATATTTGACTTTGCGGAGTCTCTCCTCTAGCTGCTCCTCGCGGCCCTTGACGTAGTTCTGAAACTCTGTGAACATGTCATCCCAGTCCCAGCATGCATTCCAGTCGTCGCTGGGATGTAATTCAGCAAGGAGATCCTCCACGAATTGCATTTGTGGCGATGACAAGAAGCGGTTGGTTATGGCCCGATTTGCGGGATGGACAAAGCTGGCAGCGGTATGGATCTTCCCACATAGGGCGCGAATGCGGCGATAGTACCACCGTACGGACATCTCGAAACCTGCAAAGCTGCGCATCAGAGCACTTAGGCTGCCGCCTCAGGAGTACGCTTACCACATGTCCAGTAGGCGATCCAAGTAGGCAGACTGAATCCTTATGTCAGCGCGACAAAAGCTGAACATGACACTGCGCATTACTTACTTCCACCCATGAGGTTGGGCCGCGATGAACGCGTTCAGTTCATTTACAGTCACAAACGTCGAGAAGTCGTTGTCGATTGCCTCGATGAGCGGTTGAACACGGGCGACGGTGATGTACCGCAATGCCCTCGCGTAATCGTTCGGAGTCGCTTCAGTGACGGTCATGGTGGCATTTTGAACAGCGACTACACGCTGGCCATCGGTTCCCGGGGGTACCGTTTCGTGAGTTCCCTCTGCGCCGCCCTCTTGCATAGTGCGACTCTTTGCGGGGGCGCCAAGTTTGCCTTTCAGCGCAAAGTGGTCCCGAATGGCCATCACGAGATACTTCGCCTTGACGCTGCGTTTCCACCCCTGATATGCGGAATACGTCAGATACACAAAGCATTCGATTAGATCGAGAGGTCTCGCCATCTCCCTCCATATTTCAGAGAGCTCCTGTTTGGATTGGAGGTGCGATCGCGTCAGTGCAGGTCCTGCAACGATACTAGTAGGAACTCGGTCGATGTGCCTGACTCGCCTCATCACGTATATCGTCGTGAGCACCGGCCTGCAACTGCTTCAACATATGCTTCGACTCGGTCTTGATAGTGTTCTTGAGCTCATTCATGGCTTTCTCCACGGAGGCGCGGACCGCTGAAAACCTGTCGTCGAAGTTTCGGTTGTCTTCTAAGATAGTCTGCAAATCCTGCCGGACCTGCTGTCGGAATGCAAGCAGTGTGAGTGATGTGTCCGCTTGTCCGTCTAGTGTACCCCTTTTGTCTTCCTTCACTCTCCCCATGTCGATGACTTTCTCGAGGAGCCTGTCGTCACTGAGAACGTCGTGGGTATCCTTTGCGTTGCGGTCGATGAAGAGACAGATGCTCTGTTCCTGTCTAGAGTCCATGCGACGAAACGCCTCCTCCATGCGATCAGATACGACCTTCTCAATGTGGTCAGATGCGTCCGCTATGGCGGTCGCAGCCTTAACCTCCATGCTTTCGATCATCTCCTTCGCGCTGGCGATGCCGAGGGCATTATACATTTGGAGATAAAGATGGATTCGCGTCTTGTGCTCGTCGAACACCTTTGCGATGTTGCCGAACTTTTCTTTCCAAATTCCGCTGGTGAAGATCTTGTCTAATGGGTGGGGTATGTTACTTCGCGTGTCGATTAGCGAGATAATGCGGCGCGAGCACTCACAGACAAGTTTTCTCTTGTGATAGGTGTCGCAGACCTTCGCACATTCCGTGATTGTTTTGGCGATGTCCTCCATCCGTTGCTTCAGGTAATCCTCGATCGATTTTTCTTCAGCACCGGCTTTCTTCTTCGACACGGGCTCCAGACTGATAGAGGAACTTCGTGAGAAAACGGATCCACGGATGAACAAGCGTTCGATGCATACATGTGGAGCACGGACATCATCTCGTACATGGTCATATTGAGCTCGATGACCTTGCTGTTGTTCTCTTGTCGGTCTCTCTCGAGTTTCACGGCGGCTTTGAATGCGACCACCACGACTGAGCCAAAGACGCATTCGTAAATCCAAGCGCGTCAAGAACGGGATAAGTGGCTTGCTGACCTTTGACGAAAGGGTGTATGCCAGCTACTTCGTCCAAGATGTCGATCAAGATAGCGCTCCTCTGGACGAACTTGTTCGTTTGCGTGACCACGAGGGCGAATGCCTCTGTCGCAGGTTCGCTTTTCGCGGCGGAAACGAACTTGCTGTTGGCCAGCTTGGATACCTTGTCGTCTAGTGGCTGATCAGTACGATGCGTAACTCCGCGCTCTCTGGCCCGTAGAAGGGCCCGGGTGGAGGACGTACTTGCTGTCTTCAGCATCTTTTCTGTTTGAGATGGTTCGTGCTCATTGTAACGTTTGAGTTCATCCTCAGCCTCTTTGTAGCGGCCGTCTAAGTAGGAAGGATCAGGGGTGGGGGGCATGTTGCGAACGAGAGAAGTGTGCTCCAGGAGTACGAGAGTCTGCTTTATATCAGAGCAGACCCCGAAGTCCATGAGTGTCACTCACTGATAAATTACGAGCCCTATTCGGGCCAATGATGGGCATATTGAACCGTTTTCGATATACGACAGTGCGCGCGTGCCGCCCAGGTGTCATAGGTGGCCTGATGGAGACGGCGTTCGACGCCAGCGTCTCGTGACCCCGATTTCGACGCGGATCGGCGATGTCGTCGATGCACCATGGCAGGGTATGTTTGGAGTGGACCTGAAGACAACGTGAGTACACGCCAATGATTCGAAGAAACTATGAGATAGCCTGGAAGGCCACGGCTCAGTGCACGAGGGGAATTTGTTGGACCAGTCGCCAGTCTTCCCGTCACCCAGCGCGCCGTCCATGCAAGTGTCCATGAAGATTGCGTCCGATGCTGTTACCCTGATGGCGGCTGCTGTTCGGCGGCAGATAATAAGCCCTCCGGGGTTTCCTGAAGAGCATAAGTGAACTCGTATCGCCGAAGCACGCGACGAGATGGCGGGTGAAAACGGGAGAATGATGGGTGCTGTACCATTCATGACTGGCGAAGACCATCGAGGCAGCAAACAGAGGAGATATGCATCACACTCCACCTGCCCAGATTTGTTGCTTATATAAAAACGCCGTAGCGCCCTTTACGCAGTGCATAAAATGTGCCGAGAGTTGCCAGTGGAGACAGCTCGCGGACACCCACTGAGACAGGACTCGGAGCCGGCCGCTTCTCGAGCCAGAACAACAGTCTGAAGCTCGGAGGCTGCAAGGATCGTCAGCGAAGTAAATAAAATAAGAAGAATATATACGCGTGCGTACCGTGACTGCGCGGCTCAGCTATGGATGGCTCGGCTGAAGTTGCAAGCTCTTTCGTACGGGGTGTGTTGGACTTGCAGCGAAGGTTCTTCGCCTGTTCAGAAGAAAACGCGAGCCATACTGTGCACGTAGTTCACACATCGCGCGCCATTGTATAGTATATGTTGTTTAACGTGCACATATAAATGTAGAAAGCAAAGTTTCGATGAGGTGATCGGAGAGAGTACTGACAGTGACGCTGCGCCGCGGGCTGGGTGTGACGGGCGGCGGTTGTCGTGCGTATTGACGCAGACTTTGTCTCCCCTAGGCAGACGATATATGTGAGCACACATATACACGCAGACTCGAAAATGACGCCGGGAGGACTTGGAGCTCGGAGCGCTTCGAGCTGGCGATATAGATGCGTTTCGAGGTGCACAATACACACACACCAACTATGCGTCATAAAACTGCGAATTTGACGCAGGGAGGTGAGCACGCTCGTCGCTGCGACCTATCTACAAACGGACACGCACTAGGTTTTAGGCGGCTCTCTTCCATTCAGCTTCATGTTGCATTTGGTTTCAGTAGTATACGTCGTATAGGAACGGCTTTAACACTATACTCTTGTGCAGAGGGACAGAAGATACAGCCAAGGGGAATTCATGACGGTCAGAAGGAACCCGGACGGCCGAGCAGACGCCCAAAGAAGCCTCCCATCTCCCTCTCTCGCCGTCAACGCCAGCCTCTGAGTTCTACTGCTGCACCCATCCACGCAAAACGAAACGGCGTATCTTACAAAACCCTATACTCTTAACGCCTACCGTACACCAAAATCTCATGATAAACGATCATATATAACATCCCCGCACACGCACACACAATACCCCATGCTCCCAGCCTACCGAACGACCAGACACACCCGCCACTCACGCCCCGCCGCTTTAGCCACGCCACATAATGAATGAGTTATAGTACAGTAAAGTACATCGTGCCGGGAAAAAGCGAGACGTGTGGCGGGCGACGGGACGGCAGGACGGGGACAGGGAGGGCGGCCGTGTATTATGCCAGCCCGATCTTGGTGAGGTGCTGGCGCATGATCGCTTCGCCGACTGTTAGGGAAGAGATGACGCAAAATGTCAGCGCCTGGCAGGGAGAATGAAGGCGAGTATGCAGGGAGGCACGCACCGTTGATGATGATCGACTGTGTCGCCTTGATGTCCTACATCCGGAGCACCGAACGTGAGCGCCTGGCGTCTACAAAACTTACTCATGAAGACAAAATCAAACGTACGAGCATAGACGTGAAGTGCTGCAAACATCACAAAAACCCGCGTCAGCGATCCCTCGCAATAAGATGCCGGCCACACACTTGCAGCCGGCACCAACTCAACTCGACGCACCAAGTATAGCGGCCGGTGCGAAACGTCCTTCCGGCGGTGCACCTGTATGAAGTGCGCGCGGAAGTACTCGCACACCTCCTCGTAGTCGTTTGGCCGGTCCCCGTACGACGAGATGCTGCGCGCGCGGGAACAAGAGAGCCAAGTCGGACGAGACGAGGCGGAGCGGACGTCATCGTGCAGCCAGGCACGCGCGGCGGCCAGAACCAGCCATATGGGAGAAGCGCACGCGCGGGAAGGGCGAAGGGCAAGTGGCGGTGGGATGGAGGAAGGAGTGGGAAGAGATCATCCGCAGTACGAACGTACGGGAACAGTGGACGAGCAAAGGAACAGGTGGAGAGTGAATAGTCAGTGCTGCGCACGGCCGGAGGCGAGCAGGTCTACGAAACCACGTACTATTTGCGAACTTTGATGCCGGCCTGCAGCTTCTGCCGGAGCAGGTCCGTCTGCCACACCGCCCCGCATCAGCGTGCGGCTCGGAACTGCAGGGAAGACCGTGAAGGAATCAGAACGCACCTTGTTAAGCATAAGCACGAGCGCGGCGTTCGAGAGCAGCTTGTTCGAGCATATCGCGGTGAACAGCTGCAGCGAGTCGTCTATCCGATTCGTCCGCGGGTCCTCCTCGAGGTACTGCGTCGCGTCGCGTCGCGTTCGCGCGTCGAAGGAACGGTTATTCAGACGACCAGGCACGGCGTGGGTCGCGATTGACAGCAGCGAATGTTGCGGTGCGAGTCGGAGCGGGAGGACGGGCGCAGCAGGCGAGGGCGGACGTGGAAGATTTCCAGAACGCACGTCGGACCACAGGCAAATTGCGAGGGGTGGGATGGGAAGTGCCAAGAGGCGAAGCAAGAGAAGCACGCCGTCAGCGACCTGGATGAGAAACAGGGCGCGGTCGCGCGCGGATGCCCACGCGCGGGACGCGGCGAGGGGGAAGAGGGACACACACCTGGTCGAAGGCACTGATCGGCGCGAGAAAGATGATGGCCGTCGCTGGAATCGGAAACGAAGTCCGCGCGTCAGCACCGGAGTCCGCGTCCGCCCACAACCCCACACCGGGACAGAGAACGCGCGCTGGGGAGCGCATCGATACGCGCGCGCGCAACCTACCGTGAGCGCGGGCGCGGGGCTATAACGGCACGCGCGCCCGGCCGCGCTGGTCCGTGCCCGCGAATGGGTACATGAGCACGGAAGACGGCTGTGCAGGGTCATCCTGATAGCGTCGTGCGCGTCTTGGACGTGCGCGGAAGCTGTGTGCCAGGCACAGGAAGCTCCGCGAACGCGCGGCAATTGGGCAGAGGACCGGAAGACGCAGAAGTCTGGATGGCCGGTCGTAGAAGCGTCCAGCCGTGGCAAGGCACGCACGGAAGGGGCGCGCGCATGCAGATGAGAAGCGCGTTCGATTGACTTACCGTCGTCAAAGTAGGGCACCCATGCGTGTCGCTGCAAGGGGGAGTGGCATTAGCATACGATCGACCTCGCACGTTCAGACAGCGTGAGAGGGGGCAAGCCTGGCGTAAGGCGGGGAAGGAGAAACTGGAGTACTTACTTGGCCGCGCTATTTGGCAGAAAAACGTGGTCCTGGGATTAGGAATACGGGATACGCGACAAATGGACAGAGAAGGACGTACCGCACCGCCTACATCGTACAGGAGCCAGTTGTACTGCGTGCCGCCGAGGTTGATATCGAATTGATGTTCGTTCACGCCGATCGTCTGCAGTCTTACGTGCAGGATGTCCTCTGCCATCACGCGCGTCAGAAGGCGAAGCACCGTGCTGCTCACGCACGTCCGGCGTACCGTTCGAGGGAAGGTAATCCGGCTGCGCGATCCGGCGAATGTTGGCAAGGAAACTGTCCGCATGAGAGCGAGTCAATGCAGCGGACGCGCAGACGGCAGCGAGCGGACGCACAACGCAGCGTACTCCTCCAGGCGCAGCTTGTTGCTCTTGATCAGGCCCTGCACACCGGGGTGCCACCACATCATCTCGATTTCGTGCTGCGACGCGGCGAGGGTCGTCGCGACGATGTTTGTCACCGCAGACTGTCGTGGTGTCATTGCCGTGCGGTAGTTCTCTGAGAGTGGCCAGGAGCGGTTGCCGGTAATGAGGGCCTGCCAGCCTGACCGCACGTATACGCCGGAACGCCCGCCGGTAACGGTGACCCCGCCGCTTAGCTCTGCTGCGAGCGCGTCCTCGCTGGCGACAAGAGGGAGGAGCTTGTTCCGGAGCAGAGAAAGTTCGGGGAACCACGCGGGGTTCGGCTGCGAGCGCGTCGAAGAGCCGGAGTTCGAGCCCGATCCGGAGGTGTTCGAGGTGGAGGGCGCAAGTGGAACGGCGAGTGGGTCGCCGGAGGACCCGAGGCCGTACTGCCAGTCGAGTTCATCTAGAATCATGCGGATAGCCTTGAGGATGTTAAAGTAGACGATCGGCCGCCATGACGGCCGTTCCTCGTCCAGAGTCTTGGAGGAGTAATAGAGCTGGAACTGCTTCTGGAGGGTAGACTTGCCCGACTCGGCTTGGCCAAGGAGCATCACTGGGAGCGAGAAGTGTGAGCATTCAATTTACGAGGGGTTTAGAGAGGACCCGGATGGATGGTAACAGCAAGGCTGCCCAGCGCGAGCTCGGGCTCGGTGCTGTATGCCAATACGCTGTACCATAGCGTAGCGGGGCTGATACTGTATAGGCAGTATACGCCACGGAGGAAAGCGCAGTCGAGAACGATCGGAGGCGTTGGGACGATCGGTTCGGAGACTCGCGGCAGGGTTGTACTCCGACGCGTAGCGTGCGCGGGGTCCGGGGAGCAGGGGTGGGACACGGGGATGGGCGCGACATACCTTTCACGTCCTTAGCTCGCCTCCTCCGCAAAACCTCCCGTTCGCGCTGCGGATGGTCAGGATCACTGCGCGCAGAGTACGCGAGGGGCGCGCGGCTTACCCTAAGCTCCTCGTCTATGGCGTTGCTGACGCGCACGGCCTCCTCTTCCTCGGCGGGTGTACGGCGTTTGGGCATGGTAGGAGGCACGGACGGAGCGGAGGGGACGGGTGTCGAGAAGCAGAGAGGAAGAGGGCGGGCGAGGAGAGAAGGAGGGTGTGGATGGGGGAAGGAGGATAAGGGCTTTAGAGAGATGGACGGGCGAGCGTCCCACGGAGAGAACAGAGGAAATGATGGAGAAGAGCAGGCCATCACCGTTTGATACTCTCCCGTCTCTCCACCCCGTCCCCCCTCTTCCCTCGCTCTCTCCCGCTGTCGCCGCGCGAGCCGGACAGGCCGTCGTGCACACTCTAACCGCGCAGCGCGAGCCCGGATGGCGGTCGGAGGAGGGAAGAGGGGGGGTCGCGCCCCGATCACGAGCGCCACAACGCCTTCGCCTCTCCTCCAGTGCACCACCACCTCCTCCGGCTCTCCTCCCATCTTTCGTCGGTGCGCCGCTCTGTCTTCGCCGATGACAGACTCTCCGCACCGGAGCCTCTTGCGCCCATGGATCACCGCTGCACATGTGCTCGTGCTGTGCTCTGATAGAGCTCTCCGCCGATGGCTACTCTGTCTGACTCTGCTGCTCTGCCACATCGGCTAGAAGCCCCCCCGCCCGACATTGTGTGCGCGCATGGCGACTGTCTTCCATCTCATCACGAACCCTCTCCGAACACTTCCCCCACACCTGACGATCTCATCTACCACCTCACGCGCAAGGTACCAGTGCAGACATGTCAGATCCGGAAGCTTCACCCGGTCCTGGGCCCTCCGAACGCTAACATCTCCGCGCGCTGTTCCCTTCGCCATCCCTTCCTCGATCGCCTACAGAACAACGCTAATCCTACGTTCGCACAGGCATTCATCTTCCAACTACCCGGCGTCTTGTTTCCAGCCGCCTCAGCTACAGCTCTTGCCCTAGCCTCTCTCTCCCCGACTCACCTCTCTCGCCTCCGGTACCATCTCGGAAACCGGCCGAATCCATCCATCTTCATCAGCCTGTGCTTTCTCGCATTACGACACTACTGTCATCGGCGCAGCCAGAAAGCCGTATACCGTGCTTCCATCACCCCCCACCCGCGACTGCTCCCGTCGGCGGCGGCGGACTCGACATGTCCCCACCAGCTGAGCACCCCGACGACATATCTGGCCATTCTGCTGCGGCGCCCATGCCCAGTTCTCATGCCACCGTGCAGACGCCCCTCCTGATTCGCGCGATCCTCGGGCTGCTGCCGCTGCTGCTCAAGCTTGGTGACATGTCAATCACTCATTAACGCATTCAAGAGCGCACAGGACCCTACAGGACCGCGGTGAACGGACGCCCTATACAGCCGTATCGTCGCCTAGATCCTATAACACCGGAACCTTGGGGAACCGCTCGCGCAACGCTCATCTAGGCGCCCGTCAGTTGTCCGTACAGCGGGCGCGTCACCGCCAGGAACCCCGCCACGAGCGTTGCGCTCGCTGTGAGCGCCCGCGTCATGTCGAAGGCGGTGAAGCCCACATATGTACCTTGGACGAATACAGCAGGGGCCGGCCGTCTCCGACGCGTTTTATCCGCGCACCAAATCTGTGCAGTGCAAACATACCGAGAAGAAGTCACAACGTCGGTGGAACATAGCGCCACACAAGTGAGTACAGTGTTGAAGCATCCGTACGATCTTAATGTCAGCGGGATATCTCAACCTGTATGGAAGGTGAGTGGGCAACGCTCAGCCCTGGCAAGCTTCCCGTTTTCGTCCGCCGGTTCGTCTAGCTTTGCGACAGGCCGGAGCCGGAACGTTATCATGTACATAGCATGATCCCGCCGTGCTCGCGTATACGACTTCTGTTGACTCGGATATCTGTGCAGCTCACAGCACATCCGAGGCCTGTCCTAGCGAGTCCACCTTTGGCGTGCTACATGACTCAGAGCGTATATTGCCGTACTACCTCACCACCGCCTCGAGGCTGGCTATGCATCCGGATAACAGGCTTTTTCGCATACAGTTTGAGTGCGGGAGTGATTTCAGCGTATACGTGACAGTACGCACTACGGTGGAAGCCGGATATGTCAGAGAAGTGGCTACGTCTTGGCTTCACCACCCGCACACGGGTACGATATATTCTTGTGATTATGATTTGGTTGTGTGGAGGAGAATGATATATCTCGCACCAACTCGCTGTTTGTAGGACTCGATCATTCGGTGTCGTCAACTTGAAGCGGCGCGACTTGATTGGTGGAGTTCACGACGTTACTAAAAATCATATTCCATCTCAAGGAAGCAGGGATATTATATGAGGCGGTTTCAGCCGATGTGAGCGGGGTGCAGCGTGCCGCAAGAGTCAGGGAGGCGATGATCATCGAAGTCGCGAGAAAGGCGTTTGGTAGCGGCGCGGCGCGGAGAGCCACAGCCACGTGGGCTGCCGCTTACAGCGTCCCAGCGCCTGTTTCGCACTCATCCTCGTACACTCAGCCCACCCAATCCGCAGTCCCCTCTTCTCCTTTTCATCTGCTCTTGCTCTCCTCGCAACCCCCACACCCACCCACAGACAAGTCTAGAAGCAGTCACAGCCGGTCAATGCGAACTACCGCGCTCTCTGCGCTCGTCCTCCTGGGCGCCAGCCTCGGTGCGTACCCCCTCCTCCCGCTCACACGCACCCGCCCCTTACCACAGCGCACGCCACCCACCCCCAGTCGCCTCGGCGCCCATCCGAGTCGTCGTCACGACCCACCAGGAGGTATCTTCCAGTGGCCACTATGTCGGGCAGCTCCCTCCCCTCCCGCTCGACGGCACCGTCGCCAGCATCCGCCTCTCCCATCTCGACATGATCGGGGCCAGCCACCCGCACCTCGACGCCCAAGAGCAGCACGGCGCGAACGGCCGGCACTTCTGCCAGTCGATGCGGGCCAAGGCGCTCGAGGCCACGAACCGCTTCCGCGCCATGTTCGGGCTCGACCCCGTCGCCATCGACGCCATCCCGATGCCCATGCACGCCATCCCGCGCCCGCGCCCGCACAAGCACATGCATGACGAGCAGCAGGGCGAAGAGGATGACTTTGTGCGTATCCTGCCCCTCCCGCACAACGTACCGGGGTTCCCCATGGCGAACGCCCCGATCCTGCCGTTCGTCGGCACTCCCGTCCGCCCCGCGTTTGCGATGGAGGAGACGGAGATGGCGCCTGGCTGGGTCGGTCGTCCCGCCCACCGCTTCCAACGGTTCCACCGCCACCACGGCTCGTTCCTCCGCCGTGTCCACCACGCCCTCATGGCGCTCGGGCCTTGGGAAGGCCGCGCCGTCGCGTTCGTTCTTGGTAAGTCCTTTACTATTCTTAACTTTGTCCCCTGCTACGATCGTGATCGCGTCCACCTCCACCTTTACCCTCTGCCCATGCACGCACTTACCTCTTGACTGCTTTAGGATGCGGTATCGGCGTGCTCTTGCGCATGATGTGGGTCATGGTCCTGCTTACCGCCCGCGCCATCCGTGGTCCTTCCGGCGAGGATACGGATTCGGACGGGTACGACGTCGTCTTCGACGAGGCGGAGCTCCTCGTCCCGCCCCCGCAGTACACCATGCTTGCCGGATCCGAGGCTGTTCCCGTGGCCGCTGCCACCGACGAGAAGGAGAAGGCCTAGTGATGGAAATGCGTGCCACTCGCATTTCCCGCGTAGCACCTTGCGGTGGTGGGACACTAGTCTAGGCTAGTGTCCCACGACCGTCTCCTGCTATGCGTTGGCTTCTCTTCTTTCTCCGTCTTACTCGCCCAATGGACTCTAGTTACCGCGCCCCGGACTCGTGTTGTATCCCTCTCTTGCCCGCCCTCCTCCCCTCTCCACTCGGAGATATCCCGGCCTCGTGTCCGCTTTCGCGAACCGATCCGTGATCCAGATATACTACCTACCTACACCGCTTCACAGAAATAACAGAAAACCCCACATTCTACATCTCCCCTGTCGATCCTTCCTGTCCCATATCTCCGCCCCTGCCTCCGCCTCCGTACCACCTGGCTGCCGCCTTTACGACTTACGACTTGCTCCCCTTCTTGCCCCACACTCGCAGCAGCCTTCTTTCAACGACGGACAGCCCACGGCAGCACGACGGTCCGTCCGGACCCGCTCGCTGCCAGCTCGTCCGGCACCCCCGTCCGCCGTTGAAAGAAAGCCGCTGCGGGTGCGTTCTGCGTACGGTATCGTCCGCGTGTACAATACATCTATGCGATCTTGACCCAGAGAACGCGGAATGTACGCTCGCCCGGGTGCTCGACGCACCTAGGCGTATACCGCGAGAACGCTTAATAGGCTTGGATTCCGAGTATATCTGCTGTACAGTCTGCTAGAACCCAGGTCGAGGCCAGCAGCGTTATATAAAGTTTAAGATCGTTTTCCAGCGTCGAAGGGAAACCAGGAACCAGGAAGTAGAGGCGAACCGCTGTCCTCATGGATGCGAAGTCGAATCAACGTTTGGTGGGCACGGGTACTAAGACGAAGACATCCCAGCTCAGGCCACAGCCTCTTTGGAATTGGTTGAAGCTGTCCAGAGACCCAACCAGCTTGCAACCAGCCTCCCGATGGCGGACAGCTAGCAAACGATCGTCAATATAGCCTCGAGCCTCGACTAATGCCGCGGATTGAACTGTACGGCTTAAAAGCGGCTCAAAGGCTTCAATGGCCGCGGTTCTTCGCTCTGAGTAAGGCGTGGATGCAGTCGGCCGTATGACTCGCCAAGATGTAGAGAAATGGCTAGCCGAGGGCTGCGACTGCGCCGGTGGTCGATTGCTGCCTGTTTAGACATTTCCAAAGGGCACCGTTGACGCAGTCGGGTATATACCACTTGGAGGCGAGCAAGGCAGCACTATGGAGTACTTTCTTGTTTCTCTGAAGCATCCTTTGCACGATGAGGCCTGCGAGTACTTTGGCGGTCACAGTCGAAGAGGCACGGCGGCACCGGGAAAGAAGCCGATTATGTTTCTTTACTTGACTGAGTAAGGATAAGTTCGATCTCCGAAAGGCTCCGGTCGTCATCTCTTGTCCTCGCCTAATCCGTGCTACTCATCCCGCCTGCTCTCCTCTCTCGCCCACCACCACCTGCACCTCCATTTACATACAACCATGTCTTCCGATTACGATGTCTCTGACGACGAAGGCGAGTACTACGAGTACGATGACGAGGATGAGGTGATGATCGACGTCGAGGATGGTCAGTGCACACGCCGCAAGCCTCCTCCCCCTTACCAATGTACCATACTGACCTACATGGCCCTGCTCGTCAGGGTCAGCTTCTGAGATCGAGGTAGACGGCTTCGGCAACGACTTCAAGGTTGGCGCCCGAAGCGACCGCAAGATCTACGACGTCGAGTTCTCTGCCCTCAGCCAGCCGGAGGTGGAGAGAATCATGCAGGCGGACGTAGACCATATCAGTAGTATCTTCGGTGTAGAGGTACGTCCGTGCATGCCATCTCGACTTCGCGCGCCATTCAACCATGTTGCGCCCCGCCAGCCACCTACAGCCGCCCTCCTGCTCCGACACATGATCTGGAACAAGGAGAAGCTAATTGAGAAGTACATGGACAACGCGTCCGCGGTCGCCGTCGCGGCTGGCGTAGAGCTGCCGCCACCGCCCAAGCCGTCGTCGAGCAAGGCGCCCGCCGCCCCGGGGCCCCAGCGCAACTCCCGGCGCTCCCCGTCCGCGCCGAAGAGCCCCAAGGGCAAGCGGGCATCGCCCCCAATCGAGGAGCCGGCCGCGGACGTGTGCCCGATCTGCTTCGACGACTCGCAGACGGAGTTCCTGTCCCTGCTGTGCGACCACAAGTTCTGCGCGACGTGCTGGAAGGAGTACATCGTGAGCAAGGTCCGCACCGAGGCGGAGTGCACGGTCGCCTGCATGGGCGAGGGCTGCAACGTCGCGGCGCCGGACCCGTTCGTGGAGCACGCGCTCGGGGACGACCGCGAGACGTGGGCGCGCTACCAGGAGCTGCTCGTGCGCCAGTTCGTGGGGTGCATCCCGCACCTCAAGTTCTGCCCGTACCCGTCGTGCACGTACACGGTGTCGTGCCCGAGCGCGGCGACGAAGTCGTCGCTCGCGCAGATCGTGCCGATCGTGACCTGCGGCGCGTCGAGCACGCATGTGTTCTGCTTCGGGTGCCCGATCGACGCGGACCACCGGCCGGTCGTGTGCGCCGTCGCGCGGATGTGGATGAAGAAGTGCCAGGACGACAGCGAGACGGCGAACTGGATCAAGAGCAACACGAAGGAGTGCAGCAAGTGCATGAGCACGATCGAGAAGAACGGCGGGTGCAACCACATGACGTGCAAGAAGTGCAAGTACGAGTTCTGCTGGGTGTGCATGGGTATGTTGTGTGCGGAGATAGCGGGTGCGAGTGTATGCTCATTTATGGCGGTATAGGGCCATGGTCTGAGCACGGCACGTCGTGGTACTCGTGTAACCGATACGACGAGAAGGCGAGCGTGGACGCGCGCGATGCACAGACGAAGAGCCGCGCCTCTCTAGAGCGATACCTTCACGTAAGGCCGCCTCGTGCAGTTATTTTTGCGCTATCCGGATACTAATAGCCCTATAGTACTACAACCGATGGGCCAACCACGAGCAGTCTGCGAAGCTCTCCATGGAGCTCTACACGAAGACGGAGAAGAAGATGGAGGAGATGCAGGTCACGTCCGAGCTGACCTGGATCCAGGTGCAGTTCATGAAGAAGGCGCTCGACGTCGTGCACAAGTGCCGCATGACGCTCAAGTGGACGTACGCGATGGCGTACTACCTCGCGCTCGGGAACGAGAAGGAGCTCTTCGAGGACAACCAGCGGTGCGTGCCTCCCTTCCCCGCCCCCGCGGGCTCTCCGCGCAAAGTGCGGGGTCGCTGACGTGTCGTGCGAGCAGGGACCTGGAGAGGGCTGTCGAGGAGCTGTCCGAGCTGATCGAGGCTCCGATCGACCCGGAGACGATCATGACGCTCCGCCAGAAAGTGACCGACAAGACCGTGAGTACCGCCCACACACCCCACACCGAGCTCGCCGGCTGACGCGCTCGCACGCAGGTCTACGTCCAGAAGCGCAACGAGATCATGCTCGAGGACACTGCAAAGGGCTACCTAGAAGGCCGCTGGAGCTGGAACATGCCCGTAGAGGGCTTCGACAATGACTCGGACTAGTCGCGTCTCTCCCTCCCTCCAGACTCACTCCCTCGCTCTCGTCTCTTTCGGACTCTTCGGAACGGCTCCCTCCTGTATGTACGGTTACTCACCCGGCGCTCGCCCTCGCTCTCTGTCCACGCCACATCCCATTCCATCCCACGCCTCGTGTTCGCTCCCATCGCTCCGTCCGCCGTACGTCTATCGCTCCCGTTCGTCGATTTGTGTATTAGTCCTGTGCACGCCACTCGCCGTTATAGTCACCTTCCCTATCGCAATGTACCACACCCCCACCCTCCCAGCTCGCCATACAATGTAATCGGACATATTTGTTGCTCACGCGACCGTGTGAGGAGAAGCATATTCAGCTTCTTCGATTTGGTGCTCGAATATTTGAATTCCCAGACATATGGATCATGGCATTACAACAAAACGAGCTATGTACTAACTGATAAAACTCAAAACACAACACACAACACAAACGGTCTCGCACCTCGCGCCTACAACAACAACACGGCCAGGCACCGTACATACGCATAACTTATCTCCCCCAGCGCTGCAGCAGCATTGAAGTGCCCCCCCCCTCCCCAAACAAAAACTCACAAATCATCCTCCGGATCCCAGCGCGAGATCTTGGGCAACGGCCGCCAATAGTACTGCTTCGCCTTCTTCGTCTCGCTCCGCTTCCCCGGCCGCCGCATCATGCTCCGCACCAGCCCCGCCCGCTCCCCGTCCTCGTCCCGCTCCGGGTCGTAGAACCACCGCGCCTCCAGCGCCAGCTCCTGGTTCCCCATGTCCTACACCCCATCACTCATCAGCCCCTCATCCCACAACACACAAAAGGAAGGGGGAAAGGGAGACTCACCGTGCCGCTGTTCACGACCTTCCCGAACACGCCGCAGCGCCGCCAGCCCGCCTCGAGGATCCCCTCGATCGCAGGCACCCACGCGCGCTTACTCGCCGCGTCCGCGTCCGCCTTCGCGCCCCTCCCCCGCCCCTTCTTCTTCTCTTTCTCCTTCTCGCCCTCCTCTGCAGGCGCGGGCGGCTGAGCGGCCTGCCCATCGTCCGCAGACTCGGCCCCGACGCGCACGGGCAGCGCCATCTCGCGCAGTGCCGGCCGCGAGGCCATGAGCACGCCGTACAGCGCCGACGTCGCGAGCGACGACGCGCGTGCGGTCGCGAGGGTCTCGATCAACATCCCCTCCAGCTCCCCCGCTGGTAATGGCAGGGTGTACGCCGGGAGCGCGGGCGGTTCGTGCTCCTGCTCGTCTTTGCGCGCGCGTTTCGGTGAGGGTGCGGCGGGGGACGCCGATCGACGGTCCGCTTTCGACTTTTGGGCTGACTTCGACTCGGGCTGCGGCGCGTCTTCGTCGTCGCCCGACATCGCGTCCGTATGCGAGTCGGGCGAGACGCCTCGCGGGCGCGCGATGTTCGTCGCGCTCGTAGGCGCAGCGGATCGCGAGCCTGCTTTCGCGGGAGGCCGGGACCTCTTGGACGGCGCGGAGCCCTTGAGGGGCTCGTTTTCGACGTCGTCACCGGCGCCCGTTTCTTTGGTACGCGCCTTCTTAGTCTTCTTCCGCTCGCCGTCCTGCTCCCTCTTCTTCTGCACCTTGGGTCGCGGCGGGGGTGGAGCGGGCGCGTCTGACTCGGACTCGTCGTCTGACCAGACGACCGTCCGGCGCCTCTTCTGGGTATGTTTGTGCGCCTGCCGCTCCTCCGGCTGCGCTTGTGCCGCAGGCGTTATCCGCGGTTTAGCGTCCTCCGCTTGTGTCTTCTTCGTCTCGCTTTCGATATCCACCATAAGCGCTCCGGATGGTACAGGATGCGTCATCTCCACTGCGGCATCTGGCAAAGGCGCCGGAGAGATACGGGACGTCGAAGCCTCTGCGCTGCTCTCGCGACGCGCCTTCTTCCTCGGCGGTTCGCGTGCGTCATTGTCGCGCTGCACCGATACAGAGCGAGCACGAGACGGTGCGCGGCTGACTGCGGGGCTTGGCGACGCCATACGCACGGGTGAGGAAGGCGGGAGCTGATCTTCGATATCCACATCAGCATCGATGTCGACGGCCACATCGTGATCGCCCGCGACGGATCGCGGAGGAGAGGATAGTGGGGATGAAGGAATGTCGCGGGGAATGGAGAGTTCGGGCGTGCTGGCACGAGACGATGCAGCGGAAGGTAAACGAGAGGCTGCGCGTGACTTCGTAACAGATTCCTGCAGAAGTTGCGTAAGTTAATACCGGCGCATCATTTAAAAAGTGTTGACGCACCAGTGCGTCGTCCACAACCTCTGCTACGATGTTCATTTCTGCATCCGCTTCGCCCAACGCCAACGGAGTTACATCTCCGTCCGTCACCAGCACAGTCGAACCTTCCCGTGAAGTCTCAATCTGCACCACCGGTTCAGGCGAGGCTGCCTTAAAGGCCACAGGTTGAGGAGAATCCGGCATGGGGTTAAGCAGCGCCCACACCGAAACGCGCGACGTGATGCGTAGCGCATCCAATGTCGGCGAGGGAGGCGAAGGAGTCATATCAAACTCCACCATACTCCTCTCGTTGTCCTGCACAGGCGATCGCGGAATGGGTATGGGCGATGACGGGGGGAGCGACAAATCCCTCTCCTGCTCGCGCGAGTCGCCGTCCTTAACGGGCGACGACAGCGGCGAAGACAGCGGGGATGAAATAGGGGAGGACGGCGGTAAGACATCGTCCGCGTCCTTTTCCTGCACGACCGGGGCACGGGCAGACGACGAGCGCGAGCGGGTACGTGGGCGCACCGGAGTGGACGGGCAGCGCGGAGGTGCCTGTGAGAGCGCGGGCACGCGCTCAGCCACGCCCTCGGCCACGTCCAGGCGCTCGCGAGGATTCTCCGGCGTCGTTGGTGCCGGGTCCGCTGCCAGCGCCGCGGGTGCCTTCTTCGCCCTGGTTTTCACGGCGACAGGCCTGGGTTTGGGGACGAAAGGGCGGACGAACGGACGATCGCGTTCGGACGACGTCGTGAAGGATACGCGCCGCGAGGGGGAGGAAGCGCCCAAGATGCCGTCCATGTCGAGGGCAAATCCGTGGGTGTCTTCGAAGTCATCGTCGTCATCTGGAAGGAGAAATGTGCGATAGCGCATAGGCACAGATCAGTATCGTGGATTCTCTTCGGGCATATGGCAGAGAGAGATGGAGGAAAGGGAAGGAGGAGGGAGACGTGAGCGAGTGATGTTGATAAGGATGGCGCGGGATAGCATCGCCGAGAATGCCACGGCGCACGGACTTATCATTTTGAAAGGGAAGCTGGAGCAGCCCCGTCTATATATTGGCTGCACAGCGGTGAGGCATGATGGTTCACGGGTACTGTTCACGAGTACAGATGCCGAGGTTTGGCGCAGAGAGAGCGCGGGCGGTCATCATCATCATGACGGAGTACGGGGCAACAGCAGATCTGACCGTGCAAGAGCTGTGCGTGTCGAGAAATCTGGATATGGAGGCAGGGTTCTGCCAAACAGGGTCCCGAGAGACGCTGGATGGACACGGAGCGCGTGAAGCCTATCGGGTCGGAGGGCGTTGGGCGGGGAGGGTCATGAGCTGATCCGATCCGATCACCCGAGCGAGATACTGCGCAACGAGGCAGAGTGCGCTCACCGGTGACGGATGCTGGATCAGAAGGCGGAGGAACTCCCGAGGCTGGGACGCGAACGTACGGTCGAGAGCTAACGTCTGGGCCGTACGCTCGGCCTCGCAATGGATAACAGATGCAGCGTACTGATGGAGGCGTCCACAGGGGAAGAGGGACGGGGAAGGAGACGTACCGTGGGGGAAGGCGCTTTCAGAAGCGGAAGAGGAGAAATGAAGATTGCCGTCTGTGTCGCTAGGGGAAAGCGAGGAATAGCTAGAGCTGGTGGCACGAGCGGAGGGTATGACGGCATAGGCATGCGATCTGGCAGGGAAGGACTTGGGCATATGCTCAGCAGACAAGAGATCAGGCTCATAGCCGATAGGGTTCGAGCTGCCGCGAGGATATCTGTAAGCATAGCCGTAGGCATGGTGGGCGGTGGGACGGATGGGGGAAGAGGGCTGGCGGACATAGGTTGTGTCCAAGTGAGAAGGACGGCTAGGGGATGTGCAGAGTGCGGTCGGAGAAGACGGCGGAGAAGAAGACATAGACATGGAGAGAGAGGGCGAGAGGGAGGGCGAGGGGACTAGAAAGGCATCTGGGTGGGGGAGGTCGTCGGCTGAGAGACTCTTGCGGCGAAACTTGAAGGGGATGCTGGAGAGAGACGGAGGCCCGCGGTAGGGGGACATGCCCGGCGACGTCCGTGTCGGCGGCATCCTGTTCTCCAAGCTAGCGGGTGGTGCGGATAGACTGGCGTGCAAGGAGGGAAACGATAGCGGACGGGCTAGTGGGGGTAGGGAAGAGAGAGAGGAGAGAGAGACACGGGACGGGATGGTTCACGTGGCACGTGCCTCATCAACAGGTCGCGCCCGCGTCTTGTTTGGCCCTGTTTGGCCCGTTCACGCGTCGCGCGTCGGGGCGTGACCCGCGTCATCGATCGTCATCGCTATCTCCCTCTGCATCCCGCCCCCGCCGGTGAACTGGGATGCGCCTCCTCCGGCTGCCATATATTCCTCCAGCCTTCCGCGCACCCCGTCCTGTTCTCAGCCCTCGTTTCTTCACCACACACCGCTCGCCCGCCATGCCGTCCACCCCAGAGACCGCCAGCTTCAAGGTGCGCACATCCAGGCTCTCCGAACGCATACACGCACTCATCTCTCTCCCAGTTCAATCACACCATGCTGCGTGTGAAGGACCCCCAGGCCTCCCTCAAGTTCTACACAGAGGTCCTCGGCATGGACCTCGTCGCCAGTACGTCTCAACCCCTCACCTTACTCCCCAACCTCTAACACCCCACCCTACAGAGAACGCGTTCGAGTCCTTCACGCTCTACTTCCTCGCCTTCGACCACGGCTCCGCCACCACGCCCGAGAACCGCTTCGGCCGCGAGGGCATCCTCGAGCTCACCCACAACCACGGCACCGAGTCCGACCCCGCCTTCGCGGGCTACGCCTCCGGCAACGCCGACCCCGGCCGCGGCTTCGGCCACATCGCCATCACCGTCGACGACGTCGAGGCCGCCTGTGCGCGTTTCGAGCAGCTCGGCGTCCGCTTCCAGAAGCGCCTCACCGACGGCAAGATGAAGCACATCGCCTTCATCCTCGACCCCGATGGGTGAGTCTCCTCGCATCGCCCTCACGTTATGATGAGAGGTCTGACGTTTGGGCGCGCAGGTATTGGATCGAGGTCCTCCCCAACACCTTCAAGCCGTGAACGCGTGCAGAACCCCATGGAACCCGGCGGAACCCAACGGAGTCGAAGCGTCCTGAACCGAAACTGTAGCCATCCTCGACCGGCACGCGCGCGGCATGCGGTCCCTCCTGTATCTGTATCCCTATCGCCTCACGCGGAACCAGTAGCATGCTTGCTTGCTCTGTCAGCGTCCGCCATACTGCACCCCTCCACGCCGCACACGCTCCCACTGTTGTCACCAGGTGCCCACACTACGGCTTCCCGCGTCCCGCACGCCGACACGGTCACGTGTGTCGACACAAGTCCGTAAACTGGTACCTCGTTCGCTGGCGGAAAACAACTAATTGTTTCTCCCGGCGCGGGTAAGTCAGGCTTGAATCTTTCGTGAAGGGTTAACGTGCCAGCGCCCTCCCTGAAAAACTCATTTGCAAGTTGTAGGCGCATCCCAACCTCCCCTTACCCGCCATTCACGCGCACGCACATTCAGGATAATACAGTTGTACTAATTAAGCGCTCCTCGCGGAGACTTTTCTGCAAGAAGTCTTGCAGACATCCTGAGCTAGAACTACGGACAGTAGAGGGCTTCGGCGACCCCTTCCATGTCCATCTGCTCTCGCGCCCAAGGATTAGAACCCGGTGCTATCCCGATGCACCCCTTCGCTGCTAGACGCCCGTTCCATCTAAGAGATAAGATTGTACTGAAAAGGCAGCGCTCGCGGCGTCTCAACGGCGTCTCTGACTCTGCCTTGAGTTTGAGCTTGGCTCAAGACCACCTCAACTCACAGCGGGCGAAATCTCAAGAGATCTGGGCTTGTTACCCTACTCATGGCCCATTAATTTTTCTGTCTAAATGTCGTTCGTTTTTCTCCACGCTACGTTTCCGGACTGACGATAACCACGCAGTTGGTCCCACCACAGACGCCCTTGAACTCCTCCGGCGTACGCTAAGTAAGAGGGGCATGTACCTGGACGGCTACGGACACTGTCACGGTCCGGTGCCTTTCGATCTGTTTGTATCCAGGCATGTTCCTGAGGCACCCGCTACGCCGGTAGGTGAACATGATGTCCGAAACGTCAAGAACGAAAAGGCGCTGCGTGCGGCGTTGGTGAGTCACTGTATCCTAAGTTTGCGTCTAGAAATACCGAGAGCTAACGTACCTACAGAGCAAGGACATAGAGGGCCTGTTGCAGAACATCGAACCAGTGGTCGATACTAGCAACTGTCCCGATAGCCAGTCAGCTAAAAGAGACAACATCGGGTCGGATTTCATACTGTACGACGTCACCGTCGACCCGAAGACCGGCAGGACACAGCTCAACCAGATGCATCCGGTTGCGGCGGACAAGCCCCAGATCGACCCCTTCAACGACGACGCGCCCCCAGGCAACTTCGAGCCCCCACCCGACAACCCCCACAGCGCATCCGCCAGCCAGATCCTGCTCCACGCCGAAGAAACACACGCCCGCCAGCCCCGCGTCCACTCCTTCTCCCTCCTCCTCACCAGCGCCTACATCCGCCTCATCCGCGCAGACAGGGACGGGCTGCTCGTCACCGAAAAGCGCTCTTGGAAAGAGGCGGACGCAGCGCTGGGTCACAACTGCCTCGCCGAGTTCCTCCGCCGCTTCGACGCCCTCCCCCTCGCGCTCAAAGGCTTCGACACGACCGTCCGCCCCGTGCAGCCGGAGAACAAGGCGCACGACATCCGTGCCCGCCAGGCGCTCCAGAAGTACGTCCCCGCAGACCAGCGGAACAAGCCCATCCTCGAGATGGACGTACCATTCCCGACGCACGGCCTCCGCACGTTCTACATCTGGGCCCTATCCCCGCCTCCCCGCGGCCCCCTCCGCACCCGCGCGACGCGCGCCTTCCCCGCCTGGGACCCCTCGAGCGCGGAAACCGTCTTCATCAAGGACTGCTGGCGCTCCGCCGCCCCGCCCGCACGGCCGGAGGCAGACGTCATCCGCGCACTCAATGCGAAGGGCGTACCGAACATACCGCAGCTCGTCTGTGGGGGCGACGTGCCGGGCCAGGCGACCGCGACGCACGAGTACGTGGACGAGCCGTGGAACAGGGGGCGCCGGGCTGATGTCGCGTGTCACCCGCGCGTGCACCATCGGCTCGCGGAAACGTTGGGGGTCCCTCTCTGGCTGTGCAGGTCGGAAAAGCACCTGCTTGAGATCCTGCTGGACGCGCTTCAAGGTACGCAGCTGAGCCTTTGTCTGTGTGCTATGCTGAGTGCGCTGCAGGCCACCGGGGCGCCGTCACAGAGTGCCGGATACTCCACCGGGACCTCAGCGCGCGCAACATCGTCTGGGACGAGCGCACAGGACGCGGCTTCCTCGTCGACTGGGACCTCTGCGCCCCCATGCCCCCATCTTCCTCTACACCCGATCCCTCCATCAACATGCTCGCCCAACAACCCGACGATTCCGACCGCACGGTGACCCTCCCGCTCCATCCCGCCCCCTCCTCCCACTGACAGCCCCAATCTTTCTTCGCAGGGCACCTGGGACTTCATGTCCATCGGACAGCTGCAGATCCCCAGCAAGCTGCATGACGTCCAGGACGACCTCGAGGCGGTCTTCTGGGTGGGCGTGTACATCATCGTCCTCTACTTCCCCTTCGACCGCGCGCACGCGCTGTACATCCTCGACAGCGTGTTCTCGTCCGCCTCCCGCGTGGACTCCGTTCCGTTCGGCGGGGGCGATAAACGGAGCTTCCTCGCGGACCCGGACATTTTCGGCTTCGCGCTTCCTGAGACGCCTCTGCTCAGGGAATGGTTCGAGATGTATCGAGGGATGCTCCGGGAATGGGTCGAGTACCAGGACAAGCTGCGACGCTGGACGCACATCCAGAAACAACTGGCCGAACACTCTGAGCCAGGCGCAACACCTGGTCACGACGACGCCAACGACGCCGACGACTCCGACGATGAGCCGCCACCCAAGATCAGCCAGCCACGCGCCCCCGCTCTGCGCGACTACACAAGACTAGAGAAGCGATGGACGAAGCTTCTCGCGAAACGGTCGTTCAAAGACCACGGCCGCCTCGATGATGAGTTGCATATGCGCCCCCCGGAAGAGGTCATCGCGGCGTACAGGAAGATGAACGAAGCAGAGAAGTTGACAGGGCTGACCTCCGACGGCGGTGAGCTGCAGTCCCGCTCGCAGAGCATGACTCTCCGTACTTCAGCCATGATCGACTCGGGGAGGGCGGACTATATCGTGGAGGCTGGGGCGGACGGCATAGTGGACGAAGCGGTCAATTCCGGCACGGGCATCGAGGTGGACAAAGGGAGGGGCGAAGAAGTCGAACGTGCGTCCAAGAGGCAGAAGACTTCGTAGACACACCCCAAGCCCTCGACTCTATGCTTCTAAAGTCTGGGCAAAGCGTGGCAAGGGCGGTCATGTAACGGCTGAGCGCTGAATATCCTACACTTGTTAAGTGTCACAAAGTGTACGTATCGTTGCGACTAATACCTGGTTAGCATATTTAGATGGTAGTTGTACGCTACGAGTCCCAATAATATCCTCTCCGCAAACACAAGCGGGACAGAACGTTTCAGAAATACCTCCAACTGAGCTCACAGCACCAGAGCATCGAACGCCCGACTCCTCCACCCACCTCTCCTCGCCTCCACCCTTGTCCTCACCTCCGCCCTCGCGCCCGCATCCCTCACAGCCTCCCTCATCTCTCCAGCCCTCTCCATGCCAGCCCTCACCTGCTCTTCGATGACCTCTGCCCTTGCCACGTCCCCGACCGCCTCCCTCGCCTCCTCCGTCCCGCGCCCCACCACGCCCTCGACCCCGCCTTCGAACGCACGCGCCGGGGGACGCGCCGCACCGTATGGGCCGCCCTTCCCGGGCAGCGCCTGCGCGCCGATGCCCACCGCGAGCACGCTCTCCTCTGCGGGCGCACCGTCGTCGGCGTGGGTGGTGGTTTTCTGTATGAGGCCCTGCGCGGTCGCGCGCGTGTGCGTTTCGACGAGAGGCGTCTCTTCTCCGTCTGCGTCGTCCTCCTCGGGGTCCGCACTGGTAGTGCCGATCTCTTCGCTCAACGCCTCCCACCAATCCGACGCGGTCGCAGATCCATCTTCGGGACCCCGCTCCCTTCTCGCAGCCTTCTCGGCTGCACGATCCCGCACCCGACCGCCAGTACTCGCTACCGCTTCCAACGCGGCACGGATCTGGCCCTGTAGGGCCCACCCAACCGCGGCGCGCGCAACAGGCCCCGCGAGCGGCTGCACGACGAGCGCATTGAGCATCCAATGTCGGGTCCGAGTAAGCTGGATGTCGAGCCCCGGGACGTCCACGCAGACATCGGTGACGCGGAACAGCGGTTGGGTTTCTTCCTCCCCGCTACTATCTTGGGTGCTCGAGCCCGTGAGCCATTCGGTCCAGCTGCCGTGGTTCGAAGTGGAGGTGCCGGTGCCGGTGTCGAATTCGAGCTCGACGTCCACGCTGACGCCCGTACCCTGCGCGACGCGCATGCTCTCGCCCGCCGCGCCCACCTCGACGCTCACCAGCCCCTCATCCTCGTACGAGGTGCCCGGGATCCGCGCTCCAAAGAGCCGTGCGCCCTTGTAGCGCACGTAGTACGCGACGTCGTGCGCCGCGATGCGCACGCCGTCGACATGCACTCGTGCCCTCGTCCGCGAGTGCGTCTCCACCCGTGTCCTCGTCCTCGTCCCCGCGCGTCCGGTCGTGTCGTGCGTCGTGCGTCTATTCGTACCTGCAACAAGAGCCATGAGCCCCGCCCCTCTGTGTGCAATCCCGCCCAGCACCGATGGATAAGCCGGCACGGTGTTGTCGACCTCGACCACGGTCTCGTTCCAGCTCTCCAGCCGGACCCTGTCCGGGACCAGCGACGTCTGCACTCCCAGGACCTCTTCCCTCCCTTTGCGTCGTGGGGCGGTGAGCAAGAGCGCGTCGACGGCCGCCTCGATCGTGTCGTCCACGTATTCCACGCGGGGCATCGGGATCGCGCTCACGGCGCGCAGGATGCGGGGAAGGAGCCACATCACGATGCCCTTGAGCGCGTCGCGTTTCGCCTGCTGGATACCAGCATGGGCAAGTCCGGGCGCGGTAGATAGAACAGTGGCCCCGCCATCGGTGAGAGCAGCCAACAGCGCAGAGAGCGCGTCCGTGACCGTGCGGGTGGTGCGGTCTTGTGAGAGGGCGGATAGATAGGCATCCGCTTCGCCGAGGAGCGAGTGGAGATGCTGAACCCACTCCGCCTGCGGATCAGACCTGGCCTCCTCCAGCTGGGCTCGTGCACGGTCGTAAAGTTTGCTCGCGTCCGCGTGCCCCGCCTCAGACGTGGCATATGCAGGGTCCGCAAGCGCAGCGTCGAGCCATGCGCCTAGGCTGGCGAACCACTCCCTGAGTGCAGCCTTGCTGTCGTTGTCCGACATGGCTTCGATGGGGACTTCGACGGCATCTGACACGATTGCGCCCAGTGCAGCTAGAAGAGCGTCGAGAGGATAGCCCGAGGCGATCCGTTCGAGCAGTTTTTTGAGATCAGCGAGTGCCTGTGCAAGAGGCGGGTCCGCCCATACGATAGGTGTGAGCTCGACCGTAGGTGCCTCAGCGGTGGCGGCCGCTGTCGCCGCCGTGCGCACTTTCGCTGCATATTTGCGGAATAGCGCGAGAACGGTGCGGAGGGCGGATTGGAAGGACGGATTCCGGTGCGCCTGCTCCATAGCCTACAAAGCAGTCAGCTCCGACCAGTCGGCATACAAACACATGATGTATACCCACCTCCTGTAGTCTGCGAATGACCGCGTCTTTTGCTGCGTCAGGGCTTTCCTGCTGAACCTTGACAGCGATCTGCCGCATTCCGTCGGCGACGATCCCGTCTCCCGAAAGTTCGTTTGCGAGCCCGTCCCCGAGACCGCCTGCTTCGGCTTTCACGTCAGCAAATGTCCCTCCCCCCGGACGGGCCGTCCCTTCAACATCTTCTGCCACCTTCTCCACCGCCGCGGCGGCCAGTTCAACCCTTGCTGCGACGTCCGCTGTAGTCTCCCGGGCGATAAGAAACACGTCAGACAGGACGAGGCGGAACGCGGCGGAGGTAGCGAGCACATAGACAAGACCATATATGGCGCGCACTAGTGCACCCGCGTCCTCAGAAGCTTCCTGCGTTGATGGTAGTGCGCGTGCTGTGCTCGCAGTATGTTTAGCCTGCAGCGCGTTACGACACACGAAGGCAGAGCTAGAATATCACCTAGCGCTTCTCCGTCCACGCGCCCAGGTTCGGCGGCGCCCACGACGATGTCCGCGTGGACCGGGATATCCGATAGCTGCCTGAGCTGGTGCACGAGGTCCTGCGCGGCGTCGTCGTCTGCGCGCGTCAGCGCCCGCAAGTAGTATAGACGTGGACGCAGCTGGGTGCCGCTCACCGTTCTTCTCCATTCCGAATTGCAGGAGTGCGTGACACGCCTCGCGCGCGCAGTCGACCACCCTCTTCGCCGCATCCGCCGTGTTCTCTTCTCCCGCCGCGCCGTCTAGACCGTCGGCCGTGTCGAGCACCCCAGACGCGAGGAGGCTGCGCAATGTGCCATCCAGCTGTTGCTGGGAGGGCAGCTTCCCTGCTCGCACCCCGGCGACGACGTCCGCGATCTTCTCGAATGGGGTCTTTGGTGGGGGCAGGGCGTCGTACGAGTTCGCAGGGAGGAGAGGCTCGCGGTCGGAGTCGTTAGAGCGTGGAGCACGCCTTTGCCTGCAGCAGGAGCAGCAGGAGCCCATCACGAGAGTCACAACTGTGCAAGTAGAGCGTCGCGAGTGTAGCCAGCAGTTCTCCGGAGCGCATGGACGTCGCGGGTGGAGGACGAGAAGAAGGCGCCCTCGCCGACGACGATGTTATGACGTCGTTCCCTCGACGCGGTCACGTGCATCCACTCATGGCTACGCGTCGATCACTGGCTCTCCTCCAAGCCTTGTCCAGAAGCCCGAAACCCCAGTAAACCCGGAAAACAAACGGCGCGGACCTACATATCGATAACATATCTCAAACGACCGTAATTGTACAAGTTCGTATCAGGCGACATACCAAGACATCATATGAACGGACCACGAGTCCCCCACGTTCCTCGCCCTCAGAGCTCGAACAGGAAGTCTTCCACCGGGCCCTGCCCGGCATCCCTCTCCAGCATCGCGGCAAGTGGGTCGTCCTCCACGCCCACCCTCGCACCACTCGGGCCCTTTCCCCCGCTCGCAGGCCCGATAAACGTCGCCGACCGCGCGCGTCCGCCGCCAGCCGTTGTACGTGTGCGCGGAGCCGCGACCGCCGATCCACCAGCGGCCTTCGCCGGCCCAGATACGGTCGCAGAGCGGACAAGAGGCTTCGTAGCCGCGAGGCTCGTAGCCGGCCTCCGCGGCAGCGCCGCCGGGGCTGGGCGCGCCCCAGCGCTCACGCTCCCCGCGGCTCGGATGGGGTGCGGCGTGGTCGCACTGTTCGAAGCCGCAGCCGCCTTCGCCGCTCTCAGGACTGACGTCCGTGTGGGCGCAGGACCTGCAACGGGAACGGGCGTCGAATTCGGGGTCCCCGTCGTCCTGGACGACGCGCGCGTTTGGGGCACCCCGAGTCGAGACGGACCCTGCACCGTTCGCGTTGATGCGCCAGTGGGAGCGGTCCGATTGGCCACAGTCCGAGCAGAGGGCCCGGCCGCCTTGGCCCCGGTCGGTGCAGGACAAGGCTTAGGCTGTTTACGAGCGAACGGACTGTCATCATCTGCGGAAGACGTTTAAATTCTGTGTCCAATAGCGTGCACCGACGGACGCACCGAGTTCCGACAAGTCCAGTTCCTCGCCCTTGGCAGACCCAGGCGTCGGGCCACTGGCCAAGACGAGCTCTCTTACGTCCACTTGCTGCTCGATATCGGCCGCATAATACACGTCCAGCGCGTCGTCCGTGAGAGGTGCGTGCCCGAGCCTGAACAGGGCCCCGCCCATGTTTGTGTAGTCCGGAAGTTCGAACAGCGGTTCGTAGGCGCGTTCTTGGGCATGATCAGCCCTCCAGCTTCCACGGAATACTCACGCAACGCTCACCAATCGCAGAGGGCGGCATGTATTCCATCTCGTCGTCCGCGTCGGAGATCTCCGCGGCGTGTTCCCTCGCCTCGACCTCCGCGCCGCCTGCGGGCTCCAGCTGCATGTCGCCCGGGCTCACATTCCAGTGGTCGCCCTTCGTGATCGGGGTCTTGAACGTGCCACTGAGCCGGCCGCGCAGGCTCTTGCGGGTGCTGGACGGGCGGAGGAGGGGCGCAGCGTCCGGGGACTCGCCCACCTCTGGCTCAGGCACGAGCAGCGCGAGCTTGGATAGTTTGAGCCCAGGCGTCTTCGACCCACCCGCGACGCGGTTCGGAAACGGTGTCTTGTCCATGAGGGGGCGAGTCACCGACACAGACATGAGCGGTTTCTTGCCATCTGGGCCGCGAAGCTCAGGGTCAGCACATATCGCAGGACGTAAACAAGGTGCGTACGAGGATGAAACGGGGTGTGCTGCGCGCTTTTCTTGGATAGCACGGTCTTCGCGCCGCTATAGACCGCGTTCTCCTGCAGCGCGGCGCGGTTCTTGAGGGCCTTGCGGCCGGGGGTCTTCGTGTTCATGATAGGCTGTGAGTCTGGGTCGGCATGGAACGAAATGGGGCGTGAACTGAGCATGGTCGCAAAGGCAGGTGCAGCGAGTCCGGGGAAGTTGGACGAGACCGTGGTGGCGGTGGCTCAACCCAACCGTCCGCGGGCGCTTCCGCCCAAAGGACGCGTTTGTCACGTTTCACGCGTGGCGTTCCAGAACCGGTCACAGTTGGTCACATCTTCGCAAGCGTGTGGCGCGCGCGACGTGGCTGTGGACCTGTTCTACTCGACCTGGCCGCTCTAGAAGCGTCGTCTGCGGGCTCTGGGCACGATATGACTCTTTGCATCAGTTGAGAGCGCGCCGCACACCCTCAACAGCACAACGAAACATCGTCCCGAGGGTCCATGTTGCGGATATGGTATGTGCACATTCCAGCGGCGGCATGAGATTGCGAAATCAAGAGGAAGGTGCTCGGAACCCGCATCGCTTCGCGCGGCATCCCAGGGCGCCCCCGGCGCTGGACGCACCTAACGTTACCCACAGATCGCATCGCCCCTGCTCGCCCCCCGCCAGTGCCCGCAGGCGTCGGCCAGCTCGCACCGGGCGAGCAGATGCCCTCATCGGCCCTTTCTGGGCGGACGTAAAGCGAGCCGACGCGCGAAACACGTACGCTGTTGCATGATCAAAATCTCGCTTCCGACACTCGGACGCTTCCCAGATCTCTCTTCTCTTTCCAGTCCACGACGGCCCTGGACACCAGGGCGCCCCATCACCCTCCTCTCGCCCTCCTCAGACGTCGACCGCACTTTATTTCGGACCCACAGCCGCCCGCTGAGGGGCCCTACACGCGCGCGCAATCTCCAGATGCACAGGCCCGCACACGGCATCCCCGGACGAACTGAATGCCCCCGCGCCCGCGCGCGACCACAACGCGATCTTCCTGAAGTCTATATCCCGTCACCCGCGCAGCGCGAAGCGCCCCAAACCCGTCGCAGGAAGGCCCCCAGAGGACATTGATGATGGCGTCGGTCGCGTGGCCGCGTCGCATACGCGACTGAATGCTCGCAGGGACGCGCAGTCCGTGACGCCACCGCGACGACGGCCTCTCCCAAAGCGGACTAGCCATCGGCGCGTGCCCTCCTAGGCTCGCCCGCCGCCGCCTCGCGAGTCCCGACCTACTCGCCGTCTTCTCTGTCCCACGACGACGCCCTCCCGTTCGCCATGTCTCGCCTACATATTCTGACACGTCCAGCGCCTTGGCGTCGGATCGGTGACACCCTTCTTATACTGCACGGCGGCGCTGCACTGCAGCCGCTGGTTTTCGCCGCGGGCCTTCGACATCATGAACCCCGCCTCGGAGCACGAAATCGACCCGACCTTCACCGCTCCGGAGGATGACTCTGCGGACTACATTGGCGACCACGGGTCCGGTGGTTTCTACACCGCAAGCACTCTCCGTTCATCTCTCTTGCGCTCTATCACTGACAGCTCGAACAGCAGGCGGGAGGCTACGTGCCCTACAGTCCCAGTCTCGCTCCGATGACCTTCCACGCGGAGCCTCAAGACTACACGCACTACGTCCCGCCGAGCGCGATCTCGACGCGTTACTACGCACTCAGCAACCCCTACGCATACCCCGCAGAACAGCCCACTCACTCCGCTATGCACGCCGGAAATCCCCTTCCGGCCGAAGCGGCGCCCTCTGGCGCGCCCGCGACGGGCCCCCCTGCCGTCACGGCAGAAGGCGCCCCGCAGACGTCGTTCACGACGTCTACCTCCCCCGCGCGCGTTGACCCTGTTCTTCCAAAACAAAGAAGAAACAGGGACGACCCCGGCGGCGAGTCTCGCCCACTGGCGCAGCCCGCATCACTGCACGAGGTAGGCCCCGCCCTCCTTCGCCTTGGACAGAACCCAAAGGTTAACGTCGCGTGCTCTTACCCGCAGGAATTTCAACCGGGCCGCTGGGGTCCCGCAGCAGCAGCAGCGGCGTTCGGTGCGCCCGCCGGAGGCGCGGGCTTCCATTACGCCCGCGCGCAGACGCCGCCCGCCATTGTGCCTTCGCAATGGAAGCTAGGCGCCGCGCTCGACGAGCTGCGCTTCAGCAACCGCGTCAACGATCGCCGAACCACGGCCATGGCCGCCTCGTCCAGCCAGCCATACCCGCCGACGCGCCCGGGGCCGTCGTCTCCCTTGAGCAGGGAGGACGCCGCACGTAAGTGTCACTTTACGAGACCTGGATGCCACGCGATCGCTGACGTGTCCCCGCACAGGCCTCGCCGCCCTCAAGATGCAGCTCGGGCTGCACGACGGCGCCGAGCGCGCGGGCCCTAGCACGAGCGCCGCCGCGAACCCGTCGCCGTCCGCGAGCACGCCGGGGACGGACAGCGAGGGCGAATACGTCATGAACAAGTCGGCCATCTACTCACCGACGACCGGGCGCAAGCTCGCGCTGTCCGCAGAGCCCGGCGGGAAGGCGTCCGTGCAGATCGTGCCGGGCACGACGTCCGCGAAGAGGCCGTACAAGCGCGGCACGCCCGTCGCGTGCGCGTTCTGCCGCAAGCGCAAGATCGCGTGCGGGGGCCCGCAGGAAGGCGACGAGGCGCGGCGGTGCGGGTGAGTGCTCTCTTGCGTGCTCTTCTCCTTCCCTCCCATCCGCTGTCCTTTATACTACCTCTCGCGCCATGCCGTCGCGGCCGGCCTGGCGCGATCGGTGTTTGAGTTATGCCTCCGGGGGAAGGTTGTCCCCCGCGGGGCGGCGTGGAACATGCGCATCCCATGTCGGCGAGTCTCATGACACGCCGCGCATCCCATATCGCGCGCGCACACACAACATACGCCTATTCCTATCGGATCGCACCCGCGCGCGCGTTCTGCCGTCTCCCTTCCGCCCCCATTAACCATCGCGCGCGCGCACCTTGAGCTTGCGCCCTGCGCCGGACGCCGCCGCACCCTTCACGGACCTGCGCATAAGTGTACTCGCGGCCGCGGAAGCCTTCTCCGATCTCGGCCGTCACCCTCCGCCCTTCTCTTCCCCTCCTTGAGTTGGCCCGTGCGACGCGTTCCTCGTCTATGTTTCGCAAGGTTCCGGCGTTCCGCGCACGCTGACGCAGCACCGATCGTTTCATTGTCAGGCCGTGCATTCAGCGCCAGCAGGCGTGCGAGTTCCCCGCGTCCGCGCAGCGCCCCCTCTCGCGCAACCGGTACTCCGCGGGGTACACCGGCCCCGTCGTCGTGCGCGAGTTCAAGTAGAGGCCCGCCCGCGATTCGCCCGCCGCCAAAACGGCACCCCAGAGGAGTACACGCGTCGAAGGGGTCGTCATTGTATGTTTTTGTTTTGATATCGCGAGTTCTGTATGTCGGCGGGCCCTCGTCGCCCCCCTGTACCTGCTTTCGGACACGCTGCACCCCCGCTCTTATTATCCCGCTGTCTAGTCGCTCACGTCTTGTATATTCCTGATGCTGCTATGTTCTCGCTCTCTATCCATGTTGTTCCATCCGCAAAAACATCGGTCCGATGCCAGCAACGATTTTACACACATGAGGTCACTCGTACACAACTATGACCTAAAAGCAAGCCAGATTGAAGGAAGACGATCCGATGGATGGAGGCAGAAGCGACCCGAGAGCCATCACAGCATAGCTAGTGTGAGAGAACACGAACGTCCCGGGCCAAGCCCAAGCTGGAAATGCACCAAAGAGAGAAACCGGATCCCAACATCAGCATATTCGCGAAAGGGGCGTCGCGCGTCGCATCGATCCGGGGATGAACTGTGCCGGATGCCCTGCGCCCCGCGAAGAAGGCGGAAGGCGACATTGACGGATCGAGGTGACTGTGACGACCTGCTCGCGATGATCATTGCTCCTCGACAACTTCACGCCCCTCGTCTACGCCCTGTGAAGGGTCCTCCGCTATGCCAGACAGACCGCCGTGATCGTCGTTCCCTTCGTCGTCGGATTGGGCACGATCGGTGTCGTCGGGGGCAGACCAGCTCTCGTACCCAGACTCGACAGCGGAATCGGCGGACTCGGAGGCCTTTCGCCGCACAGTGAGGGCCGCGCGGCCACCCGAAAATGCCATCCTAGGTCTCTTCGTCGTACGGGGTCTGCCCGCGCTGTCGTCGTCGTTACTGGGACTCCGAAGGCGCGTTTTCCTTTTCGTTCGCGTCTGCGCTTGCGTCTGCATCCAGCTTCCACCCAGATCCGTCAGTGTGCTCAGCTGCATCGCGCCGACAGAGAACGGGGCGGAGGACGGTGCGTCGCCGTCAGCGACGGCCGTTCGGTCTCCGGGGGCATGCGTAGGCCGTTCCGAGTCCTCTCCGTCCGTGATTTCTACCGCTTCACCATCTACCGACAACGCGCTGCCTGCGTCCTCTACCGCCTCTTCATCCGGCACTCCTCTCAAAAAATGGCGGAACGCATCGGAGATCTCCCCGTCCTCCTTGACGTTCGTCGGCCACATGGCTCGTACCTCGGAGAGCCAGGCGTGGTCGCGTGCCGCCGCCATCGTCATCCGACCTTGCGGGTCGTGTGTCAGGAGTTTACGTAGAAAAGCTTGATCTGTCCGGGAACAGCGGGTGAGTAAATCAGTCATAAACTGCGGGATGGGAACAGCCGTACCGTCTGGGCCGACGCCGCAAGCGTCGAGGACATCCCACCTAATCAGGCGTGTTTGTTTCGGAGCAAAGATCTTGCTCGACCGCATGCGAGGATCGTCGTCGAACGGTAGCCGTAACGTGAGCCTGCGCGCGGGTCAGCGGGGGCTCGGTGAGGACGTGCGTGCGCTATGAACACTTGCATCTGAAAAATCATGATCCCGAGGGACCAGCTGTCCACCAAGACGTCGTATCCACCGCCGCTCTGATCACACACCTCCGGGGCAACATATGCCGGGGTACCGCACTTGGTCTGCCCGGGAAGCGTGAGCAATTGTGGGGTATCGCGTGGTCGTTCTACGTACCTGAAACAGCGCGACGCCGTCGACGACCCTCGCAAGGCCGAAATCCGCCACCTTTACCACGGGCGGATCGTGCGCCGTGAGAAGCACGTTCTCGGGCTTGAGATCGCGATGCACTATCCCTTGGGTATGTATGCACTGTACTGGTTATCAGGACTGCTGCTCGTCAGGGAACCCGGAATGACGCACCTTCAATGCGTCGCATATCTGGTACGTAAAATATTGGACTTCCGCTTCGCCTGTCACCTGTGTCAATCAATGAGGGAGGGGAGGTAACAGCTCACTCACTCATTCGCAGAGGACGCAGTTTTCTCATATAGGTCTTCAAGTTACCGCCACATACAAGCTCGAGCACCAGTGCTGCGACGGCGTGAGCGGCGAACGCGGGCGAGGCGTAATGACGGCGCACCTAGCTCATCTTCTTCCGCGAAGAACTCCTTTAGGTGACAAATATGTCGGTGGAGGCCTACGCGCTGCATAACCGCAACTTCCCTCATGATGGTGTCCGACAGGTTCGTGCCAGGTTCCATTCTCTCGTGTAGAATCATCTTGATAGCGTAATATTTACCCTCCTGCATGTGCAAGGCCTTGACAACCGCGCCGAACGCGCCTCTTCCCAATTCATCGCCCCGGACGTCGTACGTTTCATACATCGCGCGAGTAGGCCACTTCCAGGGAGCAACAAGATGGAAGGTGTACGCTGCGGCACAGTAGGTGAGCACTGACGCTAGACTGTGCCAGGGGATAGCGTACGTACCCAGGGTAACGAATGCAACCTGATCGCGGTCACGGAGGATCCTGCTGTTTCCGTGGCCAATCTTTTTGTGGTTGATCTAAAAGCCCCCCCCTGAATATACCAATTCGCAAATGTTACAGCCAGCCCACTCACGAAGGTTCCATTCAGGGAGTTATCATATATCGTCGCCAAGTTCTCTTGGGGACTCCATTCGATGGCACAATGAAACTGGCCTAGATTGAAAATTAAAGTACGTCAGCTATGCCTCCCAGTTTGAAATACAGCACCACCGCTCACTGATGCCCATGTCGGGTATGACCTCATCGATGTTGTAAGCTTCCTCTGATCGTCCAAAGCGATATATATGTTTCCAGCGCCGAAAGGCGATGATACCGCCCTGTGTGCCATACGGCTTCAGGTAACCCCAGATATTTGGGTCCGGAACGTATACCGGGACGTCGATCGGTTGTGTCGCCGGGAGTTGGGCCACAGTGTCTTGCTCAGAGACACCGCCACTGGAAGAAAGAGCCTGGGTGGGGGACCGTGAACGAACAGTAGGTTCGAGTTCGAGAGTATCTGTAGACATTAAATATATGATGACAAGGTTTCAGGCAAATGTGTGCGAAGGGACGGGAATCGGAGGGGCAACAATTGAGAGATAGTCGATGCAAGTTGCTGCGTATTTATATACCGCTACGAGAGCGGACTGCCAGTCAAACAGCGAGTCTAAGAGCCTATGAGGTAACATAATGGATCTAAGCCATGAACTTGAAGCCGGTCAATAGTGCACGGTACTCAAACGGTTCAAAGGCTTGCGAGAAAGGGTATAATACGGCGTCAGCCGCTCTATACAGAGTCTATCCTGGTTAGTAGCAGTCGTTATAACATTTTCGTGTTCATCGTCATGAGTACTGGTTGCCAGTTAAATCGCCTAGTATATGATTAAACCAGGGAGTGCGAGATAGGGTGGCAGCCAGTGGTGGCAGAAGTGAAGGCGACGTTGTGGGGTCTTGAGCGCTTGCTGGATATGGTCGCCAACGCCGCGTGCGGTCACACGCACGGGTTACTAGAAGTGACTGACACTCTAAGGACTAGTACTATACAGGTCGCGTCGTCGTCACCTCATACATATCATAGGTTGAACGAACTTCTAGCATGTATATATGAACATGAGCGAAACAAACATCAAATACTGGTATCGATATCGAATAAGTATTGAATCCTGGCAGCATTCGTACGCCATGTGTAAATTGTCGACGTAAACTCCCAGCAGGGACGATATTCCTTCCATATCGACACTTAGTCTTCCGCCATCCCATCTCCTTCATTCAGGTCTTGGGCGAGCCTACGCCGTGGGGGGTACAAGCGCCAGATATCCTCAGATACGAAATCCTGGTGTGCATCTAGGTCGTTTCCTTCGCCGGGTGACAGCATGTCACCGCCCTCCAATATCTCACTTGCCGAGGTGCCGCGGGAGAATCGGGCTCTCTTCGACACATGAGTACTGTAGGAGCCGGGAGACGACTCACTGGCAGAACTTCTGGTGCGCCTTCGCGCCTGCGAAGTGTCCGCGGTACTGACGTCCGCCGAGGTCATATCAGAACCTGCTACCACATATTGACTCGCCGTTGGGGAGCCGTCTAATGCGAAAGGGCGGGCGTCGTCAATGGTATCGGCGATAGCCTCCCCAGAGGCGCTGCCTAGCAGCTCGCTATGAATCCCCAGGTGGAAGAACTGGTAAAGAGCCGCCTCGATGGCGTCCATCTCTTCGTCGGCATCTATTCCTGAGTCGCGGTTTTGCTCGCTAGTTGTTCGTCCGCCGGCGTCTGAAACGAGCTCCAGCCTCCGCGCCATGAGACGCCGCGGTACGGCGAGCCAGGGATGGTCACATGCCCGAGCCATGTTCATACGTTGCTGCGAGTCTATCTGTAGAAGCTCTTCAACGAAACGTCGGGCTGGCCAGTCACGTCAGGGTCAGTGGACAATGATCCTACCAGAACACGAGATGCGCGGCGCTTACCATTCCCGCTGAGGCCCCCGAATATACCCCAGAGAATCTGTGGCGTCCCGTGACCAATATTGAAAGGAATCCGACGAGGCGAGGTAACCCTACGCGCCGGGGTCAAATGGTGCGTTAGGATAAGTTCATAGGTGTGGAGGTACTCACATCTCAGACGTCATGACTCCGACAGACCAGCTGTCTACCAGCATGTCGTAGCCTTCACTGCCGCGGATCTTCACCTCTGGAGCGATGTACGCAGGGGTTCCGCAATAAGTCTAAAAGTGACAATTGGCATCAAGCTTGGGAAATGTAAAGAGAGAGCGTAAACATACAACGAGTAAAGCGGCCTCGCCGACCGCCGTAGAAAGCCCGAAGTCTGCGATCTTCACCCGTGGCGGATCCTCGGTTGTCAGGAGGATATTCTCGGGTTTCAGATCGCGATGTGCAATCCTCTGCCTGTGCATGAACTAGAAAGATAATGAGCGTCTCGAACACTGCTTAGAGACTAGCGTGAGGCGGAGTATGTACTGACCGCGAGTCCGTCGCAGATCTGGTACGTAAAGAATGACGCCTTGTGTTCCCCTTACACACTCATCAGTGCGCGATACGTGCCTCTAAAGAATACAAACTCACCGATTGAGTTGCCCTTGTGGTGCTTCTGCATATACTGCCGGAGGTCGCCACCATCTATGAACTCCATCACTAAAGCTATAGCAAGTAACAGTCAGCGAAGGCCATTTACGTCATATATCCACGTACCCAGCCAATGTTCTTCAGAGAAGAATTCCTCCAGATGACAGATATGAGCGTGTCTGCCGAGCTTCTTCATACTGGCAGCCTCGCGCTCTATCTGAGTCTCCGGCTCACCGCCATCCTCGCCTAGAGTCGCATCCCACGATACCATCCGTACATTTCCCTTGCGGACAACCTTAGCTGCGTAATTCTTCTCCTTCTCGCCATCCTTCGGCCCCTCTTTGAGTCTCACCCTGATGACGTTACCGAAAGATCCCTTTCCCAGCTCTTCGAACAAGTTATACTTCTTGTAGAGCTCACCGTTGTCCTCTTTCCGGGGCTTGACGAAGCGAAAAACGTATCCTGCACGATGGTCAGCACAGGATATTTCGCATTTCCGCTAAGGTACGAACTGTGGTCCGAGATGAGCTCTTCGCCGGGTTTCGGCTGTTCCGGTGTTCCGAAAGCAACCTCATCGCCGTGATCCACGGCTTGGGAGCTATTCTGTGCGACCATACTCTGGTTGACCTAGTCCAATTCGTGAACAACCACACCCAGAGGAAGCCGCATGTCCACTGGCACTTACCCAAGTGCGACCGTTTTCTGATCCCCCGTCTTTGAGCACCACAGAGTGCGCCCCCGAAAGCATCACATCCCACTGAATCTCACAGTGGGCTTTCCCTGTCGGCGACTCTGTCAGCGGCAACTCGGAGCGCGCGCGATCCAGCCATTAGCAGACGCTCCTACGAGACTTACTACTGATGTTGCTTCCCCTCAATCTGACATAGTTCGACCGGTCCTCCGTGTCCACCTCCCGTCCGAAGTGATACACCTGCTCCGACCTGCTAAACCAGATCGTCTCCTGCTCGTGGCCCAGAGGCTGCAGGCAGCCCCAGAGCGTCGGGTCGGGAACGTAGGGCGGTGTCTTGTCCGGCTGCGTCGGTCCGTCGTAGTCTGCTGCATCATTGTCGTCCGGTTGGAACCGGTGGTCGAAAGCGGTCTCCGAGTTCTCCGAGTCCCGAGAATCAGTGTCCGCCGAGTCCTTCGACTCGTCCGAGCGTGAGACTGCCGAATCTCTTCCTTGCGCTGTATTGTTGCTGTCAGATAGGAACCAGTCCCTGTAATCTCTTTTTTTGTTCTCTGAGTACCGAGACGCAGGGAGTACCGCGTCCTCCGGCTCGTGCGAGCGTGAGACGGTCGAATCTCTAGACCCGTACGACATCGGTATCGTGGATGTAGTGGAGATGATAGAGTGTCGGAGGCTGCGAATTTGTGCGGGGGACAGCGGAAGGTTGAGGCAAAGTCTTGGCAGTATTCAAGCTATATAGCACCCCTAAGGGCCTCGGTCTGGTCAAGTCAGCCAAAGAGCGGCGCGAAGAAAGAGACCTTGAATACCGGAGGAGTCGAACATAGTCATAATCGAGATGGTTTCCAAACCGTTTACTCACACTTTGAGAATGCTCTGGTCATAATGCTATCCTTATACTTGGACCGGCTATCCGTTGTTTCTGTAGCTTTGGAGAAGCTTTGGAGTCGCCGTACAGTTGAATGATCATTTTTGCATGCTTACTGCTAGCGTTGTTAATGAGCGCTCAAATACGGCATCATGAGCCATCTTTCAAGCTCACCAAACACGGTAGTGGATTGAGGGCTATGATTAAGTTGCAGGTGCATGCCAGACGATGCGATGGCGGCGGACAAAGTTGAAAGACGCGCCGAAACTCGCGCAGACGCCCGGAGGCACATGGGCGCTATTCGACGGCCCGAGCAAGTCTTCCGAGGACTACTCGGAGCCGCCAAAATTGCGCAACCTCCTAACGTTGTGCCGTCGCCCAGAGTAAGCATAGGCAAGCGCGATATGCGATAGTACACGTATATAAATCCGGTGTATATCAGCTACAAGGTATTCGACGACATCCACAGTAATAGCTACAAACAGGATAGACTCGGACGCCCGCCGGTGATGGGGTAATAGACATACGCTTTTGGAACCTTTGCACAACGTCCTACAAATACCTATACACAACCGAAATTGGGGAGATTGAGCGGGGATAGTCGACTTGGCGACGTCACGACCGAAACGGGAAACTGTTCCCGAGGAACAACGACAGTGAAGACGGGATGAGGGAACGCATATGAAGCAAGCAGTGGCAGCATAAATCCGGTGAAAGCACGATGCGCGTTCCCCTAGAGGACGTGCGTCGAGCACGAAAGCCCGCTAGGAGTCTTCGCTGGAGGAGGGCCCGACGGCCTCCACGCGTGCCCTCTTCGTCGGGGGCTTGTGACCCGCCGTCTCCCGCGCCCCGTCGACCTCGGCCGCACCAGCAGGCAGCGCTGTGCGCGGAATGGAGCCAGATGCACCAACGGGGGCGACCTCGACCGCATCAAGAGACGAAGACGAGCTGAACGCGCGTGACGCTGTGCGCTTCGTCAATCTCGCCGGTGGGTCCTCTTCGATATCATCTGCGGGAGGGGTTGGTGCGTCCTGAGGGATGTCGGAGGGAAGTGGTGGATCCGGTTCCCGGCCGTGTTGTAGGCCAGGCACGGATGAATAGGACTCGATCCGTCGGAATGGTGTGGGTTGGGATGACGCTAGTGGTGCAGGTTGCACATCGTCCATGGCTGTGGGTATCTCCGCGCTAACAGGGACTTCCGGGTTGTGCAGAGGAGCAGGGACGTTCGGGATGTTCATATCCTGCTCAACTTGGCTAGCGAGCCAGCGATGGACACACGCGTCCGCCATGTTCATCCGCTTCAGTGGGTCGCTTTGCAGGAGCCCGCGGAGGAAGTCCTCTCCTGCACTGTACGTTAGTCGAGCGCAAAAGGTACGATCACGTCTGAGACATACCCTCTGCGCTAATTCCGCACTGGTACAGAATCCCCCACTGCGGAGACCGGTTTGCGATCAGTTGCTCTATGTTACCCCTGGTGTCCTCGGGGAATGGGATGCTCATCGTGAGCCTGTCCAAGCTGTCAGCACGAAAAAGACTGCGCTTGCTCCGATATCACGCACATCGAGAACACGATCACCCCGACACTCCAGCTGTCGACGAGTAGGCTATAACCTCGACCGCCCTGGGTGATTACCTCCGGGGCGAGGTATACAGGCGTTCCGCAGACTGTCTATAGCGCACATGAGCCCTAGACACGAGGGCTGTCCAATATTCGTCCACGTACCTTGAGGATTGACTCGCCATCGATCGCTTTCGCGAGCCCAAAGTCCGCTACTTTGACTATGGGCGGGTTGTCATTGGTCAGAAGCACGTTCTCGGGCTTTAGGTCTCGATGCGCAATCCCTTGGCTGTGCACGTACTGCGGGTGCATCAGCGGCAATGCGAATGAAACCGAGGCACGTACTTACTGCTAATGCTTTGCATATCTGATACGTGATGTACTGTGCGTGTGGTTCGCCTGCAACAAGTGTCAGAGCGTGCATACACGCTCGCGAATGGTCACTTACTCATACGCTTATCTGGGCTATAATTGTTCAAGAGGTAGTGCAGTAGCTCGCCTCCGGGCATCCACTCCAGAACGAGACCTACGTAAGTCAGCCCAGCGACGATTAGTTAGTTCAGTGATACGCACTCAGACTGGTACCATCAACGAAGAAGTCCTTCAATTCGCAGACGTTGGGATGTTGCAGGCGCTGGAGGATGCTAATCTCCTTCGAAATCTCGTCGATGTCCTTCGTCTCGGACACCACGTGGCTCCAGTCCTTCCTGAGCTTGTTAAGGTCGATTATCTTCACGGCATACCATTTCCCGTCGTCCCTGCGGAGCGCCCTCATTACCGTCGCGAACGTGCCTTTGCCCAACTCCTCCTGTAGGTCGTAATGTTGGTACAGGCCATGACTCGGCCGACTGACCGCTGCGTGGCGGTAGATATATCCTGAGTGCACGAAATAAGGACAGAACTCAGACCAGAACCGTAGGAACGTACGAAAAGCGACCATATGCCCGTCCTCGGTCTTCTGAGGCTCCCATGTCCCGAATGAAAGCTCCTGGCCGTCTCGGAGAATTGCGGTACGGGTCTTCCCAATCAATTCACCATTGATCTGCGACAAAACTGTCAGCATCCTATCACGCAGAGCAGGGGATCTTCCGCTCACGAAGGTCCCATTGCTTGAGTGGTCCGCGACAACGATGGAGGGTTTCAGCCCGACTTCGCCGTCCCATGTGATCGTGCAGTGTTTGACACCTGAACGCCAGACGCGTCGTCAGTTCACCATAGGCCACGGACAGAAAACATGAAGCAGTAATTACGGCCGATCAGCAAACCACTCAACGCGACATCGTTCCCTTTTTCGTCCGCGGGGCTGCGTCCGAATTGGTACGTGCGCTTCCAACGTTGGAAGATGATCGTTGGGAGGCCGGTCTCGGTGTATGGCACGAGCTTGCCCCATATGTTAGGGTCAACGTCGTACAGAGGTCGTGAGGCGGGTTCCTGCGTGGCTTGAAGTTGAGTGGCTTGCTGTGTAGGTTGAACGAGCGAGTCCTGACTGCTAGCCACAACGCCTGTCGCGTCGTACGCTGCTGTCTACGACTCAGCACACGCGAGAAGTATACGCGCTGCAAAGACATACCGGTATGTGGTGGAACGGGTGGAGGGTCCATCTGTGGTATCGGAGCCCTGGGTGGCGGGAGGGGAAGGAAGAAGGCGCGCGTTAGACTTTGATGTGGGAAACCCGCTCTCTCGAGAACAAGGCGGTCCGATTGATCGTATGCGAACGCCGTTTATCGCTCCCTTCTTCGTACGATGACAAATGCACTATGCTACTGAGTAAGACCCGCCGTACGCGTGCTTTGGGGAAGAAGGGGTGCGGACGGACGAGCAGACGAGGAGAAATCGCGGATGGTGGTGATGGAGTACGCCCACAAATGCACCGCCGCTGTGGCTAGCGCTCCAGCCAACATACGCGCCTACCGATACGCGAGTGTCACGCCGCACGGGGCCGTGGGATAATCGCACCGTCGGCTCCAGGCACGGCCGAGTTACGCCCTCGTCCACAAATTAGGTTTGTACACTGTAGCTTTGAAAGCTTCCTCAGATGATGGAGGTAATAGATATGTTGTTGACAGTGCATGGTACAGGTCAATCAGAGCGTTGTAGTCTCGGCAAGCTCAGAAAACATCATAGCAAGAAAGCATAGCCAACCTCCGTAAATACTCCGGGCAGGTATATACGCGTAATCCATCCAGCACGATGCAAATTCACCTCAGACTAGATTGAGCTACCAGCACCGAAACTCCTCAAACCGATGTCCAAGGCCCTCAGGATGGAGGCGGATTCAACCGCGGCGACCGACGGCGCACCAGCCCCGGAACCTCATCAGACTCATCACCATTCGCACTCGACCCAGCAGTCTCGCTCCCTCCAGTCCGGACTCGCTTAATCCCCGGGGCGCGTCGAGAGGACCCTTTCTTCACTTCACGGGGCTCCGTCGCGGGCGCCACGCCGACCGTCGTCTCGGAGCGCAGGTCGCGCGATGAGTCGGCCTCCGGGTTAAGCGACGCGTCGGACCTGTCCTTGACCTTACGCTTGAAGTTGTACGCGCGCACCGTCTCTCCCAGATTAGACTCGCCCTCCTCGTGAACGACAGTGGCAGTGCGCGTGAGGGTGGATCTAGAGCGCGGCTGGGGTTGGTCGACCTCTTCGGTGCTAGCCCTGGTCGAGCCTCTACAGCCTGAAGCCCCTGAAGCCCCTCGTTTAAGGTCCGCGAGCGGGGCGCCGTCATCGTGCGAAGAAAATCGCTTGGAGTCGCCAGGAAGCTCCGGGGCTGGGCTAGATGCGGGAAGTAGGTAAAGAGGATGCTCCGATGTGATGTCAAGCCCCGCCGCCGCCTGCGCTACCAGCCACGGGTCAAGGCAGGCGTCCGCCATGGTGGTTCGCCGGGTGGGATCGAATTCGAGAAGACCGTGCAGGAATCGCTCGCCTAGGATATAATCTGAATGAGCAACCAGCATGAGGCGAGTAAGAGCAACGCTCCGCACACTGTTCGTCGACGCCGCGGCTTCGGAGGCACGCCCAGTTCACTTCACGATTAGTGACGCGAGTCTCGAGGCCCTCGTTCTCCAGATCATCGACGTACGGAGAATGGTGGAGAGTAAGGCTTCGCAAATATGAGCGGTGTAAGACCCATACAGCAGTCCTCGTAAAACGAAGGGCTACGCACATGATGAACGCGATGATGCCGACGCTCCAGCTGTCCACGATTTGGTTGTAACCCTCCGGGCCGTGAATCACAACCTCGGGCGCAAGGTATTTGTCCGTGCCACACAAACTCTGTAATTGTCGTATGCATCATGGGCGGCGCAACGTTCCGAGAGGGAAGTAGCAAACCCTACCTGCAGATCTGTGAACGTGTCGATGACCTTGGCGAGGCCGAAATCCGCGACCTTGACGACGGGAGGGTTATCCCTCGTCAAGAGCACGTTCTCGGGCTTCAAGTCACGATGTGCGACGCCCATGCTGTGGACGTACTGCTAGGTCATTAACATCGGTCGTCAAGCGCGCCGTACTTCGCTATGCACTTACGGCGAGAGCCTCGCAGATCTGGAGAATGATGTGTGCCGACTGGGCTTCTGCTATAAGAGGCGGTCGCGTCAGGAAGGACAAGGCACCGATATACGTGTTACTCACACATTGTCTCCTTATTTGCCTCTTTCTGAAGCAGGTACTTCATGAGATCACCGCCCTGGACCAGCTCCAAGACGAGGTCTGTGCCAAAAAACAATAAACGTATCCCACTGAACGTGAGCGCTATCGCAGTCAACACAAACCCAACACGTACAGATGCTATGGCTCTCCAGGAACACCTCCTTCAGCTGACACACGTTCCTGTGTTCCAACTTCTCGAGGATCTTGATTTCGCGCAGCATCTTCCTCGCATTCGGGTCGGTCGGGAGGCCGCCCTCGAGCGCCTTCTCCCACCCATCGCGCAGCTTGAGCTTGCGGACGTGCACGATCTTCACCGCGTACCACTGCCCCTCCGCCCGGTTCAGCGCCTTCATGACCGTTGCGAATGCGCCCTTGCCGAGCTCATGGAGCATATCGTAGCTCTTGTGCACGCCTTCTGCAGACGTGTTAAAGGGTGTATGGCGGAAGATGAACCCTGACACCGTGCGAGCATTCAGTTACAGTCTATGTGTCAAATGACGTGTCCAACGTACGATAGTCATAAGCCTCAACCTCTAAGTCCAGTAGCTTACGGGACCCAAACGCAATCTCATTACCGTCGCGCAGAATATGGGACGTCCCGGTAGGAATTCGCCCGCCATTGATCTGCCCATGCATATATATCAGCAACGGACGTGCAGACATGAATGTTGAAAACTCACGAACGTGCCATTGCGCGAGTTATCGGTGACCGTCACCGCCGACGTCGCGTTCTCTTCGCCATTCCATTTGATGGTACAGTGACGACCGCCTGCTCCGGAAGTCAACCACAGATACTTATGCGCCGAAGAAATGAGTACTGAGACTGCGACAACTGACTGATTTTGGGCGCGGGGAGAACGATCTCGACGGACGGGCCTGCCTTCCTGCCAATGCGATATTCCTGGACCGCCTTTTCGAACTTGTAGCCTGGAACCTTAGGGTTGCATGAAATGAGGCTTCCCCAGCAAGTAGTGTCTACGATGTATTCCTGCTGCGACGCCTGCTGTGTAGACTGTGTGCGTTGTTCGGTGGACTGCGTGGAGGTAGACTGTTGTGTTTCGGAAACCATCGTGCGTCGAGCATGCGCCAGGAGCACCAGTGCAGCCTAGATGAGACCAAAAGAGCGAAGCTGTTCGAGATGAAGTCTCGAGAGCAAGACCAACAGCGCAACAGGCAGAACGAGTCCAGGGTGGGTCAAGAGACAAGGAAAGGTGTACTCGGGTCCTGCTCCCGCCAAAAACTGCCCTGTGCCGGCAGGTCCGCGTGCCGGAGGTGCGCTGTGGATGGTTGTAGGAAAGGCCCGAAAAGTACAAGTAGCGGAAAATGCCTGAGTACCTGCCTGAGTGGGCCCCCCTGCCTATCCGGACTTACTGAATGGAATCGGGCGCGCTTATCTCGTATATGGCCGTCCCGCCGCCGCTGGCAGTGCTCTCGCTCCTTGTCAAACTCTGTTCAGCGGCGGATGCAATGCGACGGTGGATGGTGGGAGGACGATGGGGTGACATTGACCTGACCATGACCAAACACGCCGTCATCACCCATAACCGGCAAGACCACGTGTGCTACCATCAAGGGGAACTCCGCCTCGCTGACATCGCGGACGAGCCTCGCGGAGACAATGCATAGCACTAAGCGACACTCTAAACCACATGGCAATTTATTAATGGACTGGTGGCCGATATAGGATCAAACGGCCGGAGGCGTGTCGTTATACTAATGCATGGGGCGCGCGTAAGCACATGGATGGGCAGACGAGATACAGCAGTTAGACGTCGAGATGGACTCAGGGTGCCACTGAGAGATCAGACCTTCAGGCTTCAGGGATCAGGGATGGTAGGGTACAGTGTGAATGTGGGGCTAGAGCATTTAGGATGCGATGCGACGATGAAAGTAAAAGTACAAGATTTGATGAAAGTAAAGTAGTGCTATCAACCTTGAGGTACACGCCGTCTGCCGAGGAGTGGTGCGAATAAACAGGCGATAGACTTCGCGATAGCTTGAGATCTTCGAGGGATTTCAAAGCCGAGGCGAGTTTAGTCGAGGCGAACGGCGAGGCAGCACCAGTCCCGGCACTTCGTCCGAGTCGTCCGCAGCAGGCATAGTCATCCGGGCGCCGCCAGTGTGGACTTTCTTCTTCGCCGGAGCCCGAGCCGCCGTACGCTTCCCCTTACCACTAGATTTTGCGGGCTCCATGGCTGCGGCCGCCGCGCCAGCCGCGACGATATCGATGTCCTTCGACATTTCCAACTTGATTGCGAGACTTAGAGACGCGTCGGACCGGTCTTGGACCTTGCGTTTGCGCGCTCGGCCCGTGCCCTTCACCCGGGCGTCGTCGACGACAGCGACGCCCGTATGCGTGTCCGATGACTGTTGCTCCGCCTCCTTGGCCGTGACCCCGCTTGTCGTCCGTCGCCGGGCCCGCCTTGTGGGCTGAGGTTCTGAAGGGGGGATAATGTCGTGGACGAGCTGTCGCCCTGCGGGAGTGTGCGCCGGAGCCGGAACCTCGGCGGATAGTGATGCGGGCAAAGGATTCTCCCTCGGGGAGCTGGGCGCCTTGGGCGCATGCGCACGTAGCCAAGGGTCACGAAGGGCAGCCGCCATAGTCGTCCGCCGCAGAGGATCGTACTCCAGAAGGCCGCGAAGAAAGCGCTCGCCTGGCGACGACATCAGCGTGCAGGATATCATCAGTCGTGACCGAGAAGTATATCTTACACTGTTTGCTGAGTCCATGCTTCTTTAGGAGTTCCCAGTTCACTTGGCGAGTGGTGACCTGGATCTGGCGATCCGCATCGGTAACTCCTTTCATATAAGGACGCGACTCGAAAGTAAGCCTATGAGATTGTCAGCGACTATTGCGAAGAGTTGCCCACATGTTGAATGCCATGATGCCCAGGCTCCAGCTGTCCGCCACCACCGTATATCTATCATTGTCCTTCATGGCAACCTCCGGCGCGATATATGCGAGTGTGCCGCAAAAGGTCTGTAAATGGTATCAGGTTAAGCATAGAGACGTATGATAGCGGGGATGAACGTACACGCAAGTCTGACAAGGTGCTGAGGGCCTTCGCAAGGCCAAAGTCTGCAACCTGCACGACCGGTGGGTTGTCCAATGTCAAAAGCACATTTTCGAGCTTCAAATCACGGTGTGCTATGTTGTGTGTGTGGATGTACTGCTCACGTCAATGATCAGCCTTGATCTTCACCCACACCACAAGTCGAGGGACGTACCGCTAGCGCGTCGCAGATCTGATAGATAATTTGACCCGTCTCGCTCTCCGCTGCATCCATATCGAGTATAGTCAGAGTGGTGTCGGACGGTTGATGAATTATTGCGTACTCATCGCTCTCCCTTTCGCCTTGAGGTGTGTCCACAGATCGCCACCCTCCACTAGCTCCATAACGAGGCCTTCGTAACCCTGGTGAGACATTTATGCCTGTGACCAAGAGGGAACGTACTGATTCTATGGCGCTCGACGAAACACTCCTTGAGTTGACATATATTTTTGTGGTGTAGTCGTTCGAGTATCGTGACTTCTTTCAAAAGCTTCTTCACATCGGGATCGGTTGGCGGCCCGTTGGCGAGATCCTTCACCCAATCAGGTGACAAACTTAGCTGCTGTATGTCGATGACCTTCACTGCGTACCACCGGGCATTCTCCCTGCTGGAGGCCTTGTAAATGGTCGCATACGCTCCCTTGCCCAATACGTAAATGAAGTCGTAGTGCTTCTCAACGCCGCTGGCGGGAGGGTCGGGTAGTCTGTTGTAGTAAACGAAGCCTGTCGTGGACAAAGTCAGAACATTATGACCGAATCTCAATCCAGGATGCTTACGGAAGCGATGGACATGGTCTTCGCCGCTATGGCCACTTGTCGTGTCAACACCGAATGCAATCTCGTCACCGCTGCGCAGGAAGTTATATTCTCCATGCTTGAGCCGGGAGTCGTTCTTCTGCCCGAGACACGTGTCAGCACTGTCGAACGTATATCATAAACAACCCAGCCGTCTCACAAACACACCGGCGCCGTTGTCCGAAAAGTCGACTATCCACGCGGCTGACCCCCCGTCCCACTGTATGCGGCAGTCTAGGCTGCCTATACCAGACATCAGCGATGTGCCTTCAGAAAACATGAAAGACAGCCTGCGGACTGATACCTGTATTGGGGAGAACGATGTCAACGGGCTCGCCGATTTCGCCGCCGCCGCGAGACCTGGAGCCGATGAGGTACGTGTGTTGGCCGCGTGCTTTATGAAACTCGTAACCGGCCAATCCCTTGCTCTTTGGGATCAGGGCGCCCCACACGTTATCGTTGACGCCAGGTTGCGTAGCGGGCGGAGTAGAAAGCTGAAGGGTTGGCTGTTGGGCGACATATACGGGAGCATCGGTTTCCGCCTTGATCGTCATTGCACTTCCGTAATGGCAGATCGCTAGCAAGACGATGTGAGGAGGGATCAGAGGCGTCCAGAATGCAGAATGCAGGAGTCCAGGATGGAGATGGCAGACAGCATCCCCCCGATAGACAGAGTCATACCAGTATCCATCGGCAGCGTTGCGCGCCAGAGCAGTGATGGGAGTGACATTGACCAGAAAAGTACAAGCAGCGGAAGATGCCCAAGTGCTGCAGCGCAGGCTTACTCAGACTCGATGGGATCGAACGCGCCTATCTCGTGTTTCCGAGACGTCGTTGACGAGCCGCCGCGAACCACCGCGTGCAGGTTGCATAGAGGGCACTACTTCGTGGTCAAGAAGAAGAAAAGTCCCGTATTTCGAACGTTTGCCCTATCTTGTTCACTCTACCCGGGTGCTTCCGAGAACCTCTATGCGCTCTCCCTGGAACTGGGCATAAGAGCCGTCATCAGTTGCGAAGACCCTTCGTTGCCTGTTTCATGAAAAAGTGCCAGTCGTACCTAGTCTTCTCTAAATTTTAACCAAGACTTAAGATCCCCGAGAGATTGTCCAGAAATTTTGCCTACTTTGTTTGCTCATGAAGGACGGCAGTCGTAATGAACCTTGCGAGATGGAAGGGGGAAGAACGAACGACAGCTGCATCGGGCCCGCGCGTCATCAATTCATCGCCGCCAGCCACATAGCCACGTGTGCCACCATCAACTGCAACGGTGAACACTCGTTTTGCATCGGGTGAGTCTCCCTCAGACTATAGTATACCCTACGTACGTAGTGATAAGCGAGATTTTATAGTTTATAGTGATCCTTGATACACAATCGAGACCAAGAGAATGATGGCGCGTGAGCGGGAAGGAGGTGTGGCGGAGGGTGATACGGGCATTGAATGGGGGGAGGGGGGGGGGCGAGGTGTTCAATGAGAGGAGTTGAATGGGGGGCACAAGGGTTGGAGGAGGGGTACGGGTGTGACCGGTGGTGTCGACATGGACTGGGAGATGAGCACAAGGACGGCCCGGTACCGCGGATCTGTGAGAGTAAGAGCACTTCAAGTTGAGCGCGTGCGGTGTCGCTACTTGTGGCGTCATGAGGGCGAACGAAAGCAATGCAGAAAGAGACGACGGGGAGTATCCTTGCGACCGCGTCCCAGCCTCCTGGCGACTGGCAGCGACCTTATGCAACGGCGAGGTCGCCAGCCTCGCAGTAAGACGGGTCGACTGAGCCTCGACCCTGAGGCACCTTGCCTCAGCGGCGGCGTCGCTATTCGCCCCAGCGGTCCCCTGCGTACGGCTCTTTCTTGGAGGCGAGCGCGTCGAGATCAGCTCTGTCTTCATTGGTGGATAGGTCCGGTGCGAGTGGCCGTATGTCGGTCAAACCCTCTCGGCTGTCGTCGGTCCACGGAGCAGCGCTAGTGACTGGGGTTCGTTGTTTCCTGAACATGGAGGTCTCCGGATGACTTCACGGCGGAGGCGGGTTCAGGCGAGGGGAGCGACGGGGTAGCACCCGCTCCGGCACTTCTTCCCGATCGTCTCTGGTAGATGCGATGGTGTCCGAAGCGCTGCCAATACGAGCCTTCTTCTTCGCCGGAGCCCGAGCGGCCAGTTTCTTCCCTCCACGACTCGTCTCCGCGCGCTCCAGTGTTGCTGTCGCAGTGAAGGTCGCGACTACACTACGCTCTCCTGGGATCTCCAGCTTGGCGGTGAGACTGAGCAACATGTCGGACCGATCTTGGGCCTTGCGCTTGCCTGATAACCGAGGTGGGGCAGAGCAAGTGACGTCGGCGTAAAGAGTCGAACGTCTTCCAGGAGAGGGAGTTGGAACCGAAACTAGGATGGCCGGAGCTGGCGAACCGTCCTCCCATGCAGGGCTGGACGCGTTCGGCGCGTACGCGCGGAGCCAAGGGTCACGGAGAGCGTCCGCCATCGTTGTCCGTCGTGAAGGATCATACTCCAAAAGGCCACGAAGGAAACTTTCGCCTGACGACAACGTTAGCGTTCAAAGTTCAGACAGAGATATGGGGAAGTACATCTTACATTGTCTGCTGACTCCGCAACTCTGTAGCAGTTCCCAGTTTATTCGGCGAGTAGTAACCTGGGTCTTGATATCCGCGCCGGTTGTGCCTTTCACGTAAGGACGTCGTTGATAAGTAAGCCTGTATAATCGTTAGCGACAACCGAGAACACTGCATACGTCAACGCACATTATGAAAGCAATGATGCCCACGCTCCAGCTATCGACGACGACAGTATACCTGTTGCTGTCCCTGTCGTCCCTCGCGATTTCTGGCGCGAGATATGTGGGCGTGCCGCACAAGCTCTACATCAAGTTTCGACATCAGGACGATGGCATTCCCAACAACAAGGTCGAACAAACCTGCAGGTCTGACAGGGTACTGATGGCCTTTGCGAGGCCGAAATCCACGACCTTCACCACCGGCGGATCGTCCAAAGTTAAGAGCACGTTTTCGAGCTTCAAATCACGATGTGCAATTTTCTGCTCGTGAACATACTGCATCTCGAGATTCAGTCTTGGCCACCAAGAGCTACACAAGTCGATGGACATACCGCGAGCGCATCACAGAGCTGGTAGAGGATGCGACCTGTCTCGGTCTCCGCTGCATTTGTATTGCCTTTAGAGGGAGGCATCGCGTTGGAGGGGAGGTTGCGCACTCAATGCTTTCTTGTTCTGTAGGAGATACGTCTGGAGATCACCGCCCTCCACCAACTCCAAGACGAGGCCTGCACAAGACAGCGCCTGGTTAAGACGACGATGTACAACCGTGTTTGGAGTCGCACGCACTGAGTCTATGAGGTTCGGCGAAAACCTCCCTGAGTTGACAGATGTTTCTATGGTTGAGTCGTTCGAGGATCAGGATCTCTGCCATGAGTTTCTTCACGGCGCGGTCGACAGGCGGCCCGTCTTGAAGTTCCGTCGACCAGCCGGGAGGCAAGTTGAGCTTGTGGGTATGGATGACCTTCACTGCGTACCAACGCCCTTCCGCCTTGTTGAGGGCCTTGTGAACAGTTGCAAAAGTGCCCTTTCCCAGCTCACGATCGAAGTCGTAGAACTCGTGCACGCCGTGGACGGGAGGGCTGGGTACCATGTGGAGGTAGATGAAACCTCCACGGCAGCATATTAGGTCAGGACGTGAAGAGCATCGCAGTGACAGAGGTACGTACGATAGCCGTCGGAGAGAACTTCGCCGACTCCTTTCCCCTTCTTCGATTTCTGGGTCGCAAACGTGATCTCACAACCGCCGCGCAGGACATAGAAGTGGCCCGGCGTACACCGGCAACTGTTGAGCTGCTCAAGAACTTCATCAGCGCTGAACTCACGTTGCCCTCCTTAATACTTGGTCGACTTACGAATACGCCAGCACCGTCCACGGACATGTCGACTATCTTCGCGGCTGACTCGTTTCCGTCCCACTCAATGAGGCAGTTCAAGCTGCCTACGCGAGGCGTCAGTCAGTCGGTCAGTCAGTCAGTCGGGTTCAAACAGAACTGGCAGAACCGGCGGAATGCTGTAACATACCTGTCTTGGGGAGGACGATATCAAAAGGCTCATCCTCTTCGCTACGAGGCCCGGCGCCGATGCAGTACGTGCGCTGCGCCTTGTCGAACTTGTGGCCGGTCATTTCGGGGCTGCACGGAACCAGACGACCCCACGCGGTGTTGTCCGCGACATATTCGGGCTGCGGGGTCTGTTGAGTCGGCAGGGTGCTCTGTCCCGCGTGCGCAGGCAGAGTGCTCTGTTCAGCGCATTGAGCGGAAGCTCTGGTTGGCATAGTGATCGTCATCGTGCGTCAAGAGTTCGTAACGCGTCGATCTACAGGAGTTGGGCAAGTGGACGAAGGGGGGCAGCCAGCAGTATGCAATTAGGAGAGCGAGATGAAGGCAGGAGACAACTCCCAACTGAGAGATGCTCCCATGGAATCAAGTCGTGGTATGTTCGTCGGCAGTGCCGCGCAGCGGCACGCTGGTAGTAAGAATGTCTAGAAAAGGGCAGTCTGAAAGATGAGATGCATGAGTGTCGACTAGCTGAGAAATTGCCCTTGCGTGAACTCACAAAAAATTGACTATGCCATTTATTGAGCTCGCGTGCCTCGTCTCCCGCTGTCCCTTGGGTGCTTGTACCCGTTGGTGCGCCGTTCCAGGGATGCGTCGACAAGTGCAAGGCCGCGGACGACGACGACTGCAATGAGCATCCACGGTCCGGAAACAGTGTTTTGCCACACACGGCGTCATCAACCCGAGAAGACGCGATCACGTGTGCTGCCATATGTTCAGAATCACAAGTACTGCTTGGCGGCCTCGATGTGGACAAGTCTCGCAAAGACACAATGAAGCAACATGGGCGACATTCTATAACATATGGGATCCTAGATACACGTGTAGACAATCGAGACTAGATATAAAGACACAGTAATGAGCGTATTATTATGCAGGCGCAGCGCGCACGTAACAGGGTAACGGAGAGCACGTATACATCGGCGGGGGCGTGAGTGAGAGTGAGTGAGTGGACAGGTTGACGTTGCGAGGGAATCAAGAGGAAAGTTCAGGTATCGGAGACGTGTGGGGTAGGGCGTTGGACAGAGCGTGCGGCGGGATGAGCAGAGCTATGAGAGTCCACCAAAACAGAGCAGCACAAGAGAGAAAAACAACGCGGAGGACCATCGCACCCGCACCCTAGCCCCGACGAGTGGCGGCCTTGCGCGGCGACGGCCCCGAAGGATCCCGAGCAGTAGTAGCACGGGTGGACCGCCTCGGTGCTGGAGATTCGACAGCAGCCTCGGCGTTCGCACGAGCCTTCCTAGGAATTCTCGGGATGGGCACTCTAGCAGTAGCAGTAGCCTTCTTCCCACCGCGGGCAGCCTTCTTCCCTGCCGCAGCAGCTGCACGAGCCCGGCGCGGCAAAGGGGCCGCCACCTCGCTCTCCTCATCTTCCTCCTCCATCGGCGTAAGGGATGCGTCGAATTCGACCTTACGCTTGTTCGCGCGCGGCGGGCCCGCCTCCTCCTCGTCCTCCGCGATCGCCCGGCGCTGCATCTCCTGCGACGGCCCAGGCAGCGCGACACCGACCTCATTGGCATGCGAGATCACGTCCGCGCGGCGCTGCAGGCGCGACGGCTGCCGCGTGAGCATACTGCGGCTAGCCGTGCCGTTTGAGTCCTGGCTGCCCCTCTGGAGGTCCTGCGAGCCCAACGGCGGCGTGCTGCTATCGTGTCCGTTGGGTGCAGCGAGCATTAGTGCACCCTCCTGCGGGTCGAGCGCCATGCCATCGGACGCGATGGAGCGCATAGAAGCGTCGATGGCAAGTCGTGGCTCCGGGGACGCGGTACGACGACGATACTCGGTGTCCCGGTGGAGCTCAGACTCCCGGATCAGCCAGGGGTGGTGGCGGGCGTCCGAGAGTGTCATCCGCTTGCTGGGGTCGTACTCCAGGAGCTTCTGAATGAAGTCCACTCCTGTAAACATTGTGAGTGACCCACACCACTCGAAGGGATGGATGGAAGCTTACCTTCCGGGCTAACGTTGAACTCCTGGAGAATGCCCCATTCTACCTGCCGGGTAGACACCCGTGTCTTGACATCAGCACTCATGTCCTCCTCGCCGAATGGCGTGGACATCGTAAGCCTGTAAGAGTAGTATTGATCAGAAACGCCCACATCAGCCAGGACCACTGAACGCACATGGAGAACACGATGACGCCGACGCTCCAGCTATCGACAACCTGGTCGTAGCCTTCGTTAGGGGCCTGGTTGACCACCTCCGGCGCGAGGTAGACCGGAGTACCGCACATAGTCTGTAAGTCCTGTAAGCATCACGCCGAACAACGTGTTTAATATAGCGATCCCACTTACGCGCAACATGGTCATGCTGTCGACGACTTTAGCAAGCCCGAAATCCGCGACCTTCACCATCGGTGGCTGATCGTCAGTCAGCAGTACGTTCTCTGGCTTGAGATCGCGGTGCGCAACGCCCTGTCCATGGACATACTATGAACGAATGTCAATAATGCCCCGCTGTGCGTACATGCATGTTCACTCACCGCAAGGGCATCGCACATCTGGTAGGTAAGGTGCTGCGCCTCGCGCTCATCTGTTTTCCATGTAAGCGAGATTCACTTAAGCCAGGGGAGATAACTTACGGAGCCCGTTATGCTTCAGGATGTAGTCGAGCAAATCTCCGCCAGGGACCCACTCCAACACAAGGTCTGTGACATTTGGTCAGCATACGATCAGTCTCGCTGTGACGTATTGAGACTCACTGATGCTGTACCTCTCGAAGAATACCTCCTTGAGTTGACAGATGTTCGGGTGCGTGAGCCGCTCGAGGATGTTGATCTCCCGTGCGAAGTTGTTGGACTTGTCGTCCGAGTTTATGCCGTTCAAGGTCGCGTTGCTGAGACCCTTGCGCAGCTTGTTCGCCTGGATCATCTTCACAGCGTACCACTTGCCCTCCTCCTTGTGAAGGGCCTTCATGACAGTAGCGAACGAGCCCTTGCCGAGCTCGTGCATGAGGTCATAGTACCTGTGCAGGCCGCGGCTGGGCGGGCCACTAGCCAAATGCCGGTAGACGAAACCTGCACGTCATGTTGAGGGTCGCTGTAATGGATGTATGTGAAGGGAAATCACGTACGATAGTCCTCGAGCCCTCCGTTAGCCGGTTGGGGCACGCATGTCCCAAACGCGATCTCGTTTCCGTCGCGCAAGATCTTGAAGTGGCCTTTTCCTATCTTGTCGCCATTGATCTGCCACGCGGAGACAAAACTAAGGCGCCGTCGCGTCAAGGAAGAGGAGGGGTACTCACGAAGGTGCCGTTACTAGACAGGTCCGTGACCTTCACCGCAGACCTGATCGTTTCGTCTCCGTCCCACTCGATGGCACAGTGAAAGTTGCCTGAGGCGAGCAAGACGCGTCAGAAACGATAATACGCGTAGCAAGACGCGTCGCGACTCACTGATCTTCATGCCCGGGAGGATGATGTCGTTTTTGGTCTGCTCCGCGTTGCGGCCGATCATGTACTTGGGCTTGATCTTCTGGAAGTCAATCCGGCGCAGGTTCGAGCTGCAGGGAATGAGGAAGCCCCAGAGGTGAACGTCCACGATGTAGTCAGGCTGGGAGGCCTCCTGGGTGGATTGCGTCTGCTGCTGGGTCTGTACGACCCCGTTGTCGTCGGTGATCATCACGTCGGGCATGTTTTGGTCTTCTGCTTGCATGATGTACAGTGCGCTGGCAGAGGTTGGTGGTGGTTGGGTTGAGCTTGGGTGCTTGTAGAGGGAGGCGTCTGGAGTAGCGGGTGTGTTCTGGGGAGAATCCACTGGCGACGTCGCACTTTTAAACAATGGAGGAGAATGGTGGATGCGTGGGGTGGACAAGCGTAGACAAGGCGGGTCAAGCCAAAGTAGGGTCCAAGCGGGGCGGGTGAGGTGGTCAAAGTGGCAGGCAAGGTTGGGCGTGCAAAGCGTGTGAGGGACTTTGTCTATCTTCGCACTCGACGCGCTTTAAAGAGCGTGGAGGTGATGTCCGGGGTCGATAGGAGATAGAAGAAGGAGTTGTATACCCAAGCACCCACAATCCGTGCTCCCCGTTCAGACAATCCCCGAATGTCTCGAACCCATTTCGCAGCAGGCCGCTTGGATCGAGCGGAGATCGGCGGAGCTGGCGCCTAACATTGGCCCTTGGCTCTCACCTGCCTAACCTGTTTGAACTCCGACGGTGGCTATGCGAAGAGGGAGGTGCCGAAATTGGACTTGAAGGTCTAGTGGGCGGCCAGCATGGATGTCAGAGACGAGGAAAATGCGTGCTGCGTACGGCGTAACTGGAGTCTGTCAAGATGATTGATGAGGGAAAGCAGGAGCGACTCTTGCTCGAGATGTGTGTACGCCATCTTATATACTCCCTCAAAGAGCGCTGCAGCTTCTGATTTGCTCGCTGTCAGGTTGAGCACATAAGTGAGCGATCGAGCTTCTGTGAAATACTACCCTCTTAGCGACGCAGACAACAAGTTAATCGGGTCGAGCGGGAGGATTATCCTGGAGTATCTGGACAGCGGCGGAGGGCGGCGCCACATCTTGATCGGGTTTGGATAGTATCTCGGTTCTGACAGCGACTCCCGGGCCCATCCGATGTGGCGGGGCTTGCACACAACTTGGCCCAATCTGCCGTCACGGCATGCATAATAGGCGCGATACCCAAGGCAGAGTACTGTGCACTAATCATCCAGTTTTCTCTCGTTATTGCGGCCTTGAAAGCAGTACGCACTCCAACTGACGAGCATGCCGCATTTCTCCCGAAGCCATCGCCCGCATGCGACTTTCCGTAGCCCACTTGGACACATCGACGTTGAATCCGGTGCAGCTCACGGCATCCTATTACAGGGACCCTGCGTTATGGACCGCCTCATAGACTCATGGTCTGATTATCTGCAGCTATCTGTCCATCACGATCCCTTCTGTGTCGTGCTCTCCCAGGCGGGGCGGTGATCTTCGCTATTCGAAAATGGCACAGGCCTCTTCAAATTCTCTGTATAAATTCCATGGCGCCAATACCTTCCGTGTTCAATTCACTTGGCCCTTGCAGTGCTACTCCACCTCCGTACTTGTCGGGGAAGCCATCGGATCCGATGGCTCCCCACCCCCCGCATCGGGCTCGGTGTCCTCCACCTTTACGTCTTCCCGCATCCCTGTTAACGCTTGCAGCAGTCCCTCTATCCTCGACATCCTCTCGTTAAGCGCGGCGACCTGCTTCGACTGTGCTGCGGCTTGGGCGTCGAGCAAAGCGCGCAGCCGCTTCTCCACCACGCCTGGCGCCCCGCTCATCCCTGAGAATGAGGGCGGCGTGCATCGCACCAGCGTATGAGTGGGTAGGTGGCTGCCCGCGGACACTCCATCGGGCTTCGCGTCGCAGTCCTCGCAGATGAAGACGGGCTCGGTATCTGCAGGGATATCATGTGAGCCTCCCGTGCTCTAGTACAGCCCGGTGCGATCGAGCGAACTCGGTATACGCTTACCCTCGCATTCGACACACACCAAGCAGGGCCAACGGACCTCCCTCTGACAGGATGCACAGGATGGGACTGGTGCGAGTCTCTTCCGGCGCGAGCGTATTCTCTTCGATCCGAAGCTCCGCGATGAGGTGCGCGAGGCGTCGTCCCCGGCGTCAGTGTCCGTCCAAGATCCAGACGAATCCGCCTTGGGAAGGGCATCGGCGTCCAAGTCCTTTGCTGTGGGGCGTCTCCGGACTGGTATGTGACGATCGCCTTCGACATGGCCGTCCTCCAGCCTCGAGCGTTTTGTCTCGACTCTGGGCATGTTCGCAGCAGACTTTCTGAAGATGTTTTGAGCGTACTTTAAAGTGTCCTTTGCGAGGCGGAACAGATGGGGAAGGTCGTGGTAGAGAAGAGTCGGACGACGGAGCTTGATCACCTCGTGCGTGGGGAGATGGATCGTGTCGTCAATCTCCGTCGCAGTTGCTCTGCACTCAGACTTGTTGCAGAAGTCCACCGACTCGTCCAGCGCGAGCGAGCACAAGATGCAGGTGTAGCGGATGCCATTAATCTCGTCTCCACAGACGTCGCACTCGTAGATACTGTGGACGCAGTATCAATACGGCATCGAGAGGGGTCATATGTGTGGAGCAAAGGACGTACCTAGACGATGCCGCCCGCATTCTCAGGTCCAGTATGTGATAGCAAAGCGACGCTTGTTCGTAGGTGAACGTGCCCCTGAGCTCCGCCAAATCCTCCGCTTCTATCGTCTTCTCGTACGTGACGGGTTCCGAGCCGAAGTCCGAGTCTGAATCCTCCTCGGAGTCCTCCCTCTCCTTCTCCTCCACCAGGAGATCAACGTATCGCTTGCGGCGGGACACGTATTCCTTGATATACTTCCAGGAAAAGCGCGTCCGGAATCTCTGGTGGACGTACGCCCGCAGAAAGCACCATAGGGCGTCAACTCGGTCCATCTCGAAGTGGGCAGGCGGCGGGCGTGCGACGAGTATCTCAGGGGCGAGGCGTGTGAGGCGGAAACTGGGTCCGAAAGTGATATCATCGTCCGGAGAATCGCACCATCTTCCCGCGATAGACTGTTTGTCCGAGGTGAATACGCCTGCAAGAGTCCACGTATCAAGGGAGCCAAATGTCCACGTGGATGCAAAGGTAGTAGATCCGCCGTCGGTCGCGCTGATCCGCCCCGCAATCGCGCATGACTCGCCGTCCAGGGTTACGGTGTTGCTGTACAAGCTTTCCTCATCCGCAGCATGGAGGAAGAACGTGAACATCCCAGGGGCAGCCGGATAGGCCCAATCGGCATCCTCAAAGAACCCATACCATCGGCCTAGTCTGCGTGAGTATATGTTAGCTTCGTGACCAGCAGGACGCCCATGATGACTCTTACATGTCTTTCAAAGATCCAGTAACCGCCAGATCGGTTTCGGTCAAAGATTCCTGCTCGTGAATGGCGGGGGGTTCTGATGCAGTCGGGTAGAAGAGGATGTCCTTGGGATCGGGTAGAACTACGTTGGTAGGAATGAAACTTTTGATAGGATATTCGAGATCGTCAATCATCAGGTTCTTGATGGTCCATTTCTCCTTGTCGTTGAACCAGTAGTCGAACTAGGCATTCAGGACGCGCCGTCAATGTAATCCGCTCGGGAGATATTAGCGAACACGCACCAGACCGCAAGCAAAATTATCGAACTGTCGCTTCGGACTGAGACCCCGCTGCTTGAAGATCCCTTTGATACACTGATCAGCGTTGGTGCGAGGAAGACGCATAGAATGTACACATACGTTCTAGAAAGTAGCCTCGCTCGTCGACGGCGTCTAGAATGCACATGATGCTATCTGCGCAGTCTTCCAACTCTGCGTGATGGATGACGACTTCGCTCTGGCACAGGCGGAATATTTGCAGGTGACGTCGGATCAAGACATATAAAAGAGGGAAGAGCACCTACGCGAGTATTGTGAATGTCAATTGTAGGAAATGGTGATACTAGAGTTGAGTTTGAGTAACATACCGTTTCGATCCGCACAGGACCAGTGATAAGGGACAGTGTATCCCGGGCGTCGATCTTGTAGCAGAACGTCCGTAGATTCTCGTCCAGGCGTTTCTCCTCTGCTTCGACGTAACCCGAAAACCGAGATGGGAGTTCATCGTTGTCGTCGATTTCGTCGAGTGACCACGTCAGCTGCGCGACGTTGTCCCAGACCATGTCCAAGTATCTAAATGCTAGGGCGTGGTTCTCCGCGCGTAGCCGCGGAAGGAGTGCGAACATCTCTTCGAACACGTCGTCGATCTTGTCCACATATTCTGCAAGTGACAAGTGCCAACCTATGGAGTCATTTAGTATTACTGATCGCGTTCCTGCATGGATCGTCGTCACCTGCACTCCACCACGCAAGCCACTTCAGCAGACTGCAAAGAAGTTGTCACCCTCGCGTTCTGGTAAGTATGTTCAGACGTGACAAACCTCCAATGACGGGGACGCGAAGTGGTGAACGTGTTGACCTCGCTGATTGTGATAAAACCCGATGCGTCGTCATCGCATGCTTCTGCGATAGCGGAGACGTTGTTAACATCGATGTGCTCGAGCGCCCACAGGTCCGCACGATCTTCGCCCCTTGCACCTCGCCTTTCGGCTTGTTCCAGGTAGTGGTCACGAAGAGCAAGAACGAAATGGCGAGCCTTCACATGTCCGCGCCACCGCTGGAATATGAAAGGCAAGACGATCAGTCTCGCACACCCCCAACATGGCACCTTTTGTCAGAAACGTTCACCATATCTTTCCAAATCTCATAGATAACCTATGGCGCAGCGGTCATCATCTATACTTCGGCCAAAAAATAAGCCAGCACTCACTCGATCCTTGATCCTCTCGTGCGGTCCCGACAAGACGCTGTCAATGACGCGGTCGCTTTCGTGCTGAACGATGTTTTGCATGGCATCGATCTGCCGCTTCCACTCCACGGCAAACTTGCGCGCAAACGTCTCCATGTTCTTCTGCACAGCCACGTCCGTGCTGTCGAAGAGCTCCGCTTTGATGAGCGCGAGGTCGTCTTCCCCGGTCTTCTCCCTCTCTGGATGGCTAGGGTCGGCGTGTTTCACAGCTGTACTCCCAGCTGTTGACGGCTTGTATCTCACGAGACTCGCGAGAGCGCGATCGTCTTTGAGTACCGCTTCCGGGCCACCGCGGCCGTCTACGGCGTCGCGCAGCCGCTCCTGCTCTGGAGGAACGAGAGTTGAGAGGTGTGTGATGATGGTGGTCAGCTTCTCGTCCATTCCGATTAGCTCGCGATGGACATCTTCGACTGCCTTGCCCGTATGGATCACGAGCGCCAGCACGAACTCCTTCCGGCGGTCTCCAAACAGCGTCAGGAAAGCCTTGAACTTCTCGTCCCATGAGGAGCTTTTGAGGACCTTCACTATAAGTTTCTTCTTCGCGTACGTGTCGCAAGTGTTCGCACAATCTTTGATGTCTTCCGCGGTCCGCCCTACGAGAGCTTGAAGGCGCGCCTTGATAGTAGTGCCGTCAGGCCCCGGTGTGTCCTTGTCCTTGACACTGCGTAACCTGATGCTGGTCGTGAGCTCACGGTGCACCCTGTCAGTGATAATCTACGCCTACTGTATGAGGGCCTCCATCATGTTTCTCATCTCGACAAAAAGGACAGTGATCTTCTTGTCGTTGTCTCGTCGTTTCACGTCGAGCTCGACGACGACGCGGAAAGCGCCCACGGCGACTGCCCATGAAAAGGTAAGGATGGCAATGAAACCTGGATTCGCGTGATCTCGGCCACTACCACTCACCCTTGATGAACGGGTGAATATTCGCCACCTCATCGAGAGCCTTGAGGACGCCAGGAAGACTCTCGGCGAACGTTGCGATACCCTCTTGAATCTTTCTCAGAGCATCAGAGTGGAGTGCTGGCTCGACGATCGCTTCCACATCGTTAGCGATGGCCATCTTTCCCTTAGCTGCGTCGATCCAGTTGCCTATTCGTGCTTTCAGCGACATTGATTCGTGCATGGTAAGATTGCATTACCGGCGCGGTTCAAGATCCTGTGATCCTTGCCGCCTTGTGCCTGCTCAACTTGTACGCGAGTGGCTTGTATGTGCGTGTAGGTATCGTCGACGGTCTTGTTGAGGTCCGTATCCGTATCATCCGACGACTTCGAACTACCTACTGTAGTGCGATTGTCAGTCGCAGGCTATTGTGGTCGGGAAACCGAGCTGCCTCACCTTCATCCTTCGTAGATGGTGCCATGCGGTTTCTTCTGCACAGGTGCTTCAATGTGGGAGTGACCTATCTGTTGTGAACATAGAATGAGCGATACCGTCCTAGGTGAGTGTTCGAAAGCAGGCTCGGGGGTTTCGCAGCTACGCAGCTAACGATCCATATGCAAACTCTCGGCATCAGAGAAGCGCGTCCACAAAGACGCCGATCGCTGCGCCATTGCACGACTACACTTTACGTGTCTACCTTGCCGAGCAATATCACTAGGCATATGAACGTAGGCTTGTCACTGAAGGGGTGTCGAATACCCTGTATCCAGTGAACATCGCAGGAATGGAGCGCCTCGGCGTAGAGGGAAACTCATAACGTGTCTGTGGGTTTCCTCAGTTCACTCTCCAATCTAAAGAGCTTGGATTCCATATATGAGAGGCACAGACAGCACAGATGTAGCGAGCCGCATCAAGTCGACAGAGCAGCAAGAGGCAGAGGGAGGACCGAGTTATAGACGCTCAAATCGCCTGCTCAGAATTAGCGCACGTGGGCAGGCCACGTGATAGACGCGACTGAGAATGTGGGAATTTGGCGTCGCGCTCCCTTTCGCGTCTTGTCCCTCGACCACGATCTTCGACGCGTCCTCCGAGCCATTCCCCGCCTTTCTCCCGCATGTCTCAGTCGGTCTTTGATGGCGTGCACTACTACATCTCGCAGACGCTTCCGCCCAGCCAACGCGACCAGCTGAACGACGTCCTCAACGCCAGGGGGGCCAAGCCCGTTCCCTCCCCGTCCGACCCCAAGCTCACCCACTTCATCACATCCTCCATCGCTCTTGAAGACTTTGTCGAATCTCTTCCGGAAGACTCTCCGGCCCATATGGTCACCCCACGCTGGGTCGAACGCTCGGCCGTCCTCGCGTCCTTGCAGGACACTGAGTACTACTCCGCCGACCCTGCCTACCTCTTTTCTGGCGTTACTGCTGCCGCGACAGACCTATCGCAAGCCGACTGTGAACTCATGTCTGCAGCAATTACGGCCTTGGGTGGACAGTGGCGCTCGGCCCTAACACGCGACGTTACACATCTCTTTGCTCTCGCCCCCGGTAGTGCCAAGTACGATACCGCAATACACTTCAAGGAACAGACAGGAGTATGTATTCTTGTTCCTCACTGGTTTGACGATACGGTGCGGCTGGGCATTCGAGATCTTCCAACAAGAAATTACGAGTGGCCAGAACCGCGCGTCTTTCAGCAGCGCCCGGAGGGTCGTACGTCGCAGGAGGACGTGGATTACGAACCCCCGCCAGAGCGGATGATGCTGTATAGTACTTCATCAATGTCCAACGACGACCAACGTAAGGTCAAACCAGCCGCGCGGAACGTGTGGGAGGGCAAGCGTATTCTCCTCGGGCTCTCCTTGGATCTATCGGACAACCAGCGGAAGGCACTGGGTGCAGACATTCAACGGCAAGGAGGAGAAGTTGTCGAGTTGGCCCTTCCGAAGTCAACAAGCGGCACCGAACGCGCCCGAGAAGAGCTTGAGAAGCTAGAGGATGCGGATGTCTTTGTCACTCGGTACAGGACAGGTCCTGCATACGCGAAGGTGCGTGTGTGTACCTTCATGGACCGCAGGATGCTCATCCCTGCATATCAAGGCGTACAAGCGAAAGATGACTATTGGCACGCTCGCCTGGCTATGGTACGTGCGCGCATCTGGCACGCTCACAAGACCGGCCGATCAACTTTTGCACTATCCTATCCCGGACAAACCTGCGGAAGGCTTCACGAACGAGGTAACGTTGTCCACTAAATGTGATTTCGGCCCAAAGACGCTAACCGGGGTCGTCCAGGTCATCACTGTTACAAACTACACCGGCAAGGATCGAGAATACCTGAAGAAACTCATCACCCTGATGGGCGGCGAGTTCACTGCATCCATGTCGGCCGAGCGTAATACAGTCGTTGTGGCAGCATAGTAAGCTTTTTCCCGCTTCAAGGTTTCGCATCTACTCATGTTGGGAAACAGCCTACATGGAACGAAGACGGACAAGGCGACCTCTTGGTCAATACCGATCGTCAACCATACCTGGATCGAGGATTGCTTCGTGCAGTGGCGTCGCCTAACGCCTGCGCGCGAAAAGTATATCGTCTTCCCACCGGGCGTGGATTTCAGCACCGTACTCGCCGAGCGGGGTCTCGGCCGCATCGCATGGGATCCTGCTCAGCTCGAGGAGATGTTCCATATGGCCGAAGCAGCAACGGATGGTCGTGCATCCCCAACATCCACCAAGCGTGTCAGCGCGAGCGCAAGTCCCAAGAAAGCGAGTCCACGCAAGACCAAGAAGGATCGGCACATCGAGCAGCCCGAAGACGAGCAGCCATCGGGAACGGCAGTCAGCGCCGGCGAGGTCGAGGAGGCCGTGGCGTTCGACGATGCCGATGCCGACGTCAGCCTGGGTGGCCAGATGGACGTCGACGCGGACTTCGAGCAGCTCGAGAACGACGTGGCCAGCCAAGAGCAGATGGACATCGACGAGGAAGCCGGCCCAAGCAAGCGACCTCCACTAAGCAAGAGAGGCCCTCCATCTAAGCGCGCTGCGGTGGAGGAAGCCACTGCGGCAGAGATTCCGTCAAAGCGGCGGCTTGTGCGACGCTTTACCCCACGCAATACCGACGACGAGGGCAGCGCGGCTCCTGCGGGAGCTTCTTACCCGAAGCGCCCGGCGCGCACGTACGGGAGCGCAAAGGCCAAAGAGGGCGCTTTCACTGCCGACTCTCCGAGGTCGTCCCCATCCCCAGTGAAGAAGCCCCAGAGCTCACGGAGGCGCGTCACCGACCTCGACGAGGATGTGGAGATGGACGAACTCGTCGAAGTGCAGGCCCCGTCCAAGAACAAGCCGAAGAAGATAGGACCTCCCGGGATACGCGTAACGAAGGTCAAACCAGCCGCCGCACCGCCGGAGCCCAAGAAACGCAGCGCGCTCGATGAACTCCTCGATGGCGACTCTGACTCATCGGACGAGGAGGACGTGCGGTCTGTCCTGGGGGACCTCGTGAAGAACGGGAGGACGTCGCGGACGGGCGCCGCACGCAATGCAGACTCGAAATTAGGCCACACGCCGCAGCGGCTGGATTCCGTCCTTGTACCGACTGTAGAATCGCTATACGGCTCACCGACGAAGAAGGGTGGAAAGGCAGAGGCGTTGGGTGCCGCGAAAGCCCCCGCAAAGACCGCCGCTCCCAAGGGGACACGAAAGGCGCCAGGCCCCATGGACCCTCCCCCCATTGCTGCGAAGAAGCCCACGCGCGCACCATCCCCTATCGAATCCGAGCGGTCAGCATCCCCCCCTCCTCGGAAGCCCGCGCGCAAAGCAAAGCCCGCTCCCGTAGAAGTGCCAGAGGCAGGCCCAAGCCTTGCGCCATCGGACACGAGCCCCACGAAGACCGGGCGGACGCCGTCCCGACGCTCCGCCGCGACCAAAGCGACGCAGAAGCTGCACGACGTCATCATGCCGGACCTGGTATCGTTCCAGAAGGAGATGAAGAATGGCACGGTGCGGTCGGCGCACGAGATCGAGCAGTCCGCGGCGAAGGGCAAGGGGCGCGCAAGCGAGCCTGGGGCGGGCGCGGAGCTCAAGACGAAGGGGAAGAAGCGACCGTCTCTGGGATCCGGGGACGAGGAAGCAGAAGAGGAGATGCCGGAGAAGAAGAAGCGGAAGGCGATCGACGCTGATGCGCCAGCGACGAAAGGCAAGAAGAAGGGACCCGGTCCACGGAAGTCAGCGCCCGCGGAGACGTCGGCGGAGCCACAGAGCCAGGAGTCCGCGACGGGGAGTCGCAGGAAGTCGCTCGCGGCAGTCACGGACAACGAGCCTGCGCGCGCGGAGGCGAAGGGCGTGCGCGTGATGACCACGCAGCTCTCGTTCCCGGACGAGGTTATGCGGGTGAGTGCGGCGTGCGCGCTCTGAGTGGCCCGTGTGGACGTGTTGCTGATGTTCTGAGAAGGCGTTGGGGCGGCTAGGCGTCAAGTTCGTGCAGAAGCCGTCGGAGTGTACGCATCTGGTGGTGAAGAGCGTCGTGCGAACGGAGAAGTTCCTGTGTGCGATGGCCACCGCGCCGTACATACTGAACGAGAAGTGGGCTGTTATCTCCGCTGCGTCACGGAAGCTGCTACGTGAGTGTCTCTACGCGGAGTGCTTGCCAGGCGAATGCTGACCCGGGCGGTGCATACAGCTGAGGAGGATTACATGATCCAAGACCCAGAGACAGAGAAGAAGTATGGGGTCAATGTTTCCGACGCTCTGAAGCGCGCGAAGAAGAACGCAGGAAAACTCTTCGCCGGGAAGACGTTCTACGTGACACCCAAGGTACCGGTGGAGACCAAGCTACTCAAGAACGTCGTCGCGGCAAATGGTGGACAGGTGTGTATCACATGTCGGCCCAGGGGCTGCCTCCGTGTACTGACAGTATTCCACAGCTGCTGTCCTCCAAGACGCCGACGGTCCGTATACTTAATGGGCACGACAATCACTTCGTCATATCCTGCCCGGCCGACGTCTCCATCTGGCGGCCGCTCGCCGAGCATGGACACCGGGTCTACACGCAGGAGTTGATACTCACCAGTGCTCTCAGGCAGCAGTTCTCTCCAAACGAGACCGCGTTCCAAGTACCCGGCTCGTATTGATGTGTGGCAGATAGCCGTAGCCAGAGGTCTTCTTGGGTAGTCGAAAGGAATGTATTATTGGTTATGTCTCTTATCATTTGCAATCGGCCATGTTCGTACATCGTCGGACGTGACGCACACTCATTATCGTACATGTGCAAGCTGTTGAAACGACACCAACTCCCTCAAAAGTGGCGACTGTGTACAGACTTACGAGCCAAGAGCCTCCGGGCTTACTCGCTTGGCCAAACGTCAAGTCCGACAACCTGTAAGGCTAGCGCAAATGATTCGTTTTAGCCCTGGCTCCATATAAGCTAGTAGCCCCAACTAATGCTCACCATGGTGACTGCCTTCATTGCCTTCTACGTTTCCTAGGTCGCCCACTCTTTTCGTTTTGAGTTTCGTACGACTGCGAGGGGCCCGCCTGATCTCTGCCGCTCCCATCATGTCCGTCGCTCCACCGTCCCCGCTCGTGTGTTTCCATGCCATATCCAGCGCGATGAACGGGAGTGTGGAGAATCGAGCTCGACGCCGCGGACGCTTCTGAGGTACCTGACGACCTAGAAACGGTGGTCCGTACCGGTATGATTTTTCTGTGCTTGCTTCCGTCTCTCGCTTGCGCGGCGCGTGTCAGGGGCCGTTCCGTTCGCGACCTAGTGGATGGCCTTAGGCGCAAGGAAGAAGGGGCCAGGCTCGATGCACCTGACTCGTCCTCCGGACGGCTACGCTTCGCCGTCCTCTTCGGCGTTGACGTCTCCCCAACGTCTTGTCGGACATCCCTCGTCGGTGGTTGAGGCGCAGCCACAGGGGGATCCTGATGGCTACCTTCGCTGGGCGGAGGCGAGCCCTGGAACGATAGCGGCTCTTCCGTAAGCACGGACAAGGAGACGTTCAAGTCACTGTGCGCCTGCGGCATATAGAACTGAGATGGCAACGACCGCCTTCGCTCATTCCGGCGGTGCCTGTCATCTCGCGGAATGCGTTCAGGCGGACGCCGCTCGGTCTCCATGGGTCTGAAATCTGCAGGGAAAGGGGGACGGCTTTCTGAGGGCGTAGGACGCAGGACATCCAGCGTGTTCGACTTGTGTGGCGGCCTAACCACGGAGCGCGAGGAGTTCGGGATGGAAGGGTCTGAACGTCGATGTGTGGGCGGCCCAAGGTGAGTCGTTGCATACGACACCTGTGAATCTACCGGGCTCAACGCGGGCGTCACGTCGACATCCATCCGGGAGTGCGAGCCCTCTGATGGCTGATAACCAATCCCATACCAGGATTCTGCATCGGTACCGTGATCGGAGCCCCATGGGCTGAGCATGGCGCCGTTTAGCATTGACGTGTTCCGGGACATGGGGGGTGTGAGGAGCGGCGACAAACCGCCCTGCGTCACCGCCGTCAGTGCCGGAGAGAGGAAGTTGTTTTGCTGCGACTCGGTGGGGCTCGGCGCAGATACTTCAATAGGGATAGGTTCGGGAGGGTACGAGCTTGAGCGGCTTCGCAAGAGAGGTGGCGCTGCGGATCTCCTAGAATCCAGAAAGCGAGGACGGCTACCCGAGTCCTGCGATGACGGGGCTTTTTGCGCCTTCCCAGTCACCCTCGACTTGATCCGCTCGCGTTCGCGCTCGACGTCCGCTCCACGAGTCTTCCACAGCTCGACGCCGATCATGTACGACTCGGAATGGTGGGACTCTGTCGCCTTGGTGAGGGAAAGACGCACAGTGATCCGTTTGTCCGTCGCTGACCGTAGACAGAACTCCTTCGAAGCCGCGCCATTACGAAACTTCCATGATTGGATATGGCCGTCGTGGTTCCGCTTGTGTGGCGCCGGACGGGTGACCTGCGTGGGCCTATCAGGGCGGTTCAAGCATACATCGACGCTGAGGAATCGCTCGTGGTCTCCGAATTGACAGTCGCAGCGCCCAACGTAGATGCTGATGGTTTCGGATTCTGCAGTGTTCGCGATGTCGATCGTGAATGGATTCCTGCGCAGACCGGTCAGCTCATTTAAAGCGATTTGTCTGATCCCGACTACGTACCTGCCAGGCTGGTGGGTGATGCAATAGCCATGCATCTTCAGCAGGTCATGGGACCACGAAGAGACGCGGAGATCGAAGTCGTTCGAAGAGATGCTGCGCAGATTGGAATGCATCGGGACGTCGCGTTGAAGGCTGTATGACGCCAAAGATGGTCGGTACGGAATGTAGATGTCCTCCGAGTGGAACCGCATCGAGCAGGCGTTGAGCTCGTCGGGAGACAAGAATGCAGTGCGGAAGTAGTAATGGGGAAAGGCGGGGGTCATTGAGTAAGGCTCGATGTTGTCGAACGAGCCCATGATGTCGCGCAGCTGCCCAACTACCGCGCCCACAAAGTAGTCCTTTTCCGGCCGCTTAGGCTGAGAACGAAGGAGCAGCGTCGTGAGGTTTCCCTCAGCATCCTTGCAGGCGAGAAGTGCGATGCATGTAGGGACATTCGTTTGGGGGTTCTTCGCGCGAACGGCAAGAAGAGGAAGCCGAGTGCGCACTCCATACGATGTCATCGTATACGTCGGGCGGTCCTCGAGAGGGGCGCCAAGCAGCCGCATGAACTCATCCCACGGGATGCTGATGAGGTTTGACGAGTATCGGAAGTCCTTTGGAGATGACGCGAGTAGGAACTGGTGTTGCGAGGAGGTCTCCATCTGGAACTTTGCCAAAAGATCGGACTCCGCGCGGTAGGTGTGAGGATGATGGAACGAGAAGTTGTGGTTCGAGAGAACGGGACCCCACGCGAAGATCGTCTGGTCGGAGTGGTGCTTCAGGATCTCCTCTTGTAGGCGTATGAAGGCGTACCGGCCCTCTCCGTACGTCGTCGGCATGTTGACCCCAAAGATCCCCATGAGCGAGTACGCCTTGTCCTCTACACGCTTCGTCTCCCTTGAAGACGCCCATGACATGCGACAGGCGACGCTGAAGTCCTCGAGAGCCCGCTCGCCGGTGAGGATACAAGTATCGATTCCGGTGATGGCGTGGATGAGGTGAGCGAGAGAATGCTTTGTGCCTATGATGCGCCAATCACAGGACAAGAAGACGACCACGGTAGGGGCAAGGAGTTCTTGCAGAGTCCACCCACGTTTATGCCATCTGCTCTTCCGGAAAGGACTTTCGGGGGCTTCGAGCTTGGAGGACGTCGCAGGAGTGGGCACGTCGTAGAGGAAGACGTAGCACACACCGGCGTATCGATACCAATCGTACATGGAGTTGATCGCCTCAGAAAGCTCGGAGCTGCTCGTCTGATCGGTGCAACAAAGGTCGGCCCACGCATAGTCGTAGTTGTGCTCCGCCGCGATCTTGCACAAGCGCTTGATTTTCTCGGAGGGGAAGAAGTCGATGACTGAAGAATGATCGGCCGAGCTGTTCGAATCGGATGTTGAAGGTCCCTTAGCAGGGTGAGCCTGGTGGATATCACAGACTGTTTGGTAGGACATCTCCGGATAGTGGGCCTCGCCCTCCCGAGCCCAGACGTGAGAGAGGATTGCATAGCGAACCGTCCGCGGGTCGTCGAATTCGTGGAACCGACCTGTCTTCGTGTGTAGCAGCCTCATCGTGCGCTGTAAGAATGAGAGGTGTCAACATTTGCGCACGGATACATGACGACAGGTAGCTAGAGATCTACTCACGAAGGTTCTCTAAGCCGTTCGGAATACAGGCTTCTGTCGATCGCTGAGGGTCTTTAGGTGTTCATTTGTGCTGGGATGAAAGTGAGAAGTAGGTTGTGGACGACGTATGAAGGCGTACGTGAGTGGCTTCCCAAAGTCTCGAGGGTCGCGATATGGCAGAGGGATCGGGCGAGGAGCTTGATGCGCCCGTTCCTAACTGCGTGCCCGGCCTCAATACTCAAAGCAGGGGGAGAAGGCTGTCAAGAGTTAGTCATGCGGTGCACCCGTCAGGAATGGAACAAGAAGTTGGCACTCGTGTGGCAAGCTAGTGAAATGGCATGGGAACTGGGGAGGACAGACTCGGAGAATGTGCGAGTCCGACGGAAGATTGGACCAGCGTCGCATAGCCGACCCAGCCACTGCCACACTGGTGGCACCGGTATGTTGCGAACGCTACCGTACCGTTACGCCCGTCTGCTACGAGCATGGTCATCAGCCTTGACACTATACGCATGCACGAATGTATACAACTAACAAACTTCCCGACCGTGATATCGAGGAGCTGCAAACCGCTTGGATCCCGAGCATTCAGGGCGCGCACGTCGGCATACTTAGGGGTTTGAGCGGTATGCAGCCATCTTGGGAAAGGACATGCCATCTACAGCTGGCAGAACCGTCCCTCAAATCAAGGTCCTTCCTCGCTATCAGAATCCTGACCACCACGAGGTGATGCCCTTGAGCGCAGTCGTCGGTCCGCATCTCCTCATAGTTGGACTTCCCACTGAGCGAGTCGGCGACACCGAGGCCGGTTTCTCAGACGTCTTATGCCCGACGACCATAGCGGGTAGATCGGTCATGAGACAGTCTTTTTCACTCGTTGCTGTAATCGCTGTCAGCCTACTATGCTTACCATGTTCGCAACAATCGCAAAAGGCATCACTCAGCTGTGTTGCCATCTCGCCGATTGTATGGCTGAATATCCTCAGTCGCGAGCAAGCATGCAATACGCCCGTTAGTGGGTTGTCGGGTACGGATACATGGTGGTTGAGCATAAGATGAGCATCGCTCGGCAACCTCCGCGTGTCGCCTCCACGGTCACCGCGGACCGCGCATCCGAAGCTCGACCGACTGTCCGCCGCGCTCCTCCTGCCGCTGCCTGCGACCCCACTTGCCAAACCTACTACTGATAATCCGACTGATTCTGCTCAACGCGGCTGTAGCGATCTTCCTCCGCATCCGCGGCACCTTGGGGGTGGTCTCGACATCGCCCGCGACGTTGTTCTGCGGCGTGCGCTCTACTACGACCTCGGCGACATCTCCAAGACCGCTTGGAGCGAGTCGCTCAGGTAGCCTGGATGGACCAGCGACAGGCAATGAAGGTTCGGGAGCCGTGGCATTGCGTACCACGAGGATCGGAGCCATGGGGGAAGGAGACGGGATAGACGGAGGCGCAGCAGGGGTTCGCGCGACGGGGATGGCGGGTGCGGGCGCGGGAGTAATGAGGATGGGTACCGGCGGGAACGATGGTGTCGGGGATGGATCGCCCGAGAAACTAGCCGACCTTGTACGCCGCTGACCGATATCTGGAACCGGGAGGTCTCCTTGACCAACGGCAGGACTTGCAGTTGAGAGGTTCGCGACCGAATTGGACCGGGTGCGCACCATCGGCCATAGGTTACTGTGCTGTCTTCCAAACTCAGCTGTCGGGGACGTGTGCGTCGGGCGGAGGAAATTTGGGTCGATTTCTGAGCCGCGTACAGGGGACGAGGCGGCGGTCACGGAGCGCGTTTGCTTGCAGATGTCGACTTCGAGCAGAAACTCGTGGTTCTCTTCGGACCGCTCGGACGGCATCCGCTTGAGAGCCAGCGTGACTAGTATGCTCTGGCTGCGTGTGTCGCGCGGTCGAGGATAGGACGAATCCGGGGTAGAGATATCTTGCATCTTTCGGATCTGGAAGTTGAACGCCTTGAGGGCGACGCCGTCTCGCAGCGTCCATGACGTGACATGGTGCTGGACGCCTCTGCAGCCTTCCGCGGCAGGGTTCGGGAGCATGGATGTCTTCGGAGAAGCTACGTCGATCTTGACATCACCCCACAAATAGCGATTTGGGGGATCGGGCCTCCTGCAAGTGCTCGAGTCGCAATTGGAGAACGTGATCTTGAGAACCGCCGAAGAGTCGGGACACTGTTGTGCTCCTGACGCGAAGGGACAGGTGTCGGAGCTGCTTGTCATGTGGGGACACGTCTCGTAGTCCGGCGGAAGGGAGAGGAGGTACGTATGCGGCTCGGAGGACTCGAACAGGTAGTACTGGCTCACTCCAAGCGTCACCGCACACCACCCCGAGAGCTTGATAGTGAACTGCCCGTCGTTCTGGGAGAGTGCACGATGGACCGAGGTGGACTGCGATGAGTCCCCGGCAGAGGGCGGCGCGCTAAGCGGCGCGTAAACGCTCGCAGTCGCCGACGTCGGGACACAGAGTTCCCGCGAATCCAAGGCCACGATGCGGACGACGGAGGGGTCCCGGATTACCATGGTGTCCATAGGCACAGACGACTGACTCCCAATGCACCAGTATGTCCCACCTGGGGATCGCTGAACGGAGAACAGCAGAGCAAGGGCCTTCCCGGTATGGGTCTCACATCCCAACAGGGCCAGATGAGCGACGGGTGGTTTCGACGCCCGCTCGACGGGGGATGTGGCAATCGGGTATAAAGGTATGAGGGGCGCGCGCATGTGGAGCATGTGGCACGGCACACTTTGAAAAGGGAATGGCCCAAGGGGCTGGGAGGGCAGATGCTCCGCGCGCCGGATGGAGAGCCCTTCTCTACCCCGGCCGGCTCGGGCGAAGTCGTCCGGCGACGCTGCGAAGAGGAACCGGTCCACCTGGATGGGAGATTGGGGCGCTTGGACGTGGATCGAGGCGAAATCCTCGGGAGTGACACAGATTGGTGAATGCGGCGAGTTCGAGTCCGAACGCATGGTGAGCCCTAGGTCGGCGCAGTCATTGCAGGGGAGACCCCACGCCAAGAGAGTGGGGTCTGGGATCCGCTTGAGGATCTCCTCCTGGAGACGGATGAATGCGTAGGTGCCTTCACCGTACATGACTGGAATTTGGATTCCGAAGAGGCCCATGAGACAGTACGCTTGGTCTTCCGGCCGCAAGGTGTGTCTTCCTGCGGCCCACGACATCCTCTGAGCCACGCTGACGGAGTGGACACTCTGCTCGTGGATGAGAACCGCTGTGGGGATGTGCGTGATCGACATGATGTAGTTCGCGAGAGAGCTCTTCGTGCCGAAAGCCCGCCAGTCGGACGAGAGAAAGATGAGGGAGCGAGGAGCGAGGAGTTCCTGAAGCGTCCAGCCGCGCCGAAACCATTCGCTCGATAGCAGTACGATCTCGGGTGACACCAGAGGCTGCACAGAGGAAGGTACGTCCTTGAGGTAGGCGTAGCAGACGTCGGCAGTGCGGTACCAATAGAACATGGAGGCGATGGCCTCCGAAACCTCTGCGCTGCTCGTTTTGTCGATGCAGCACATGTCTGCCCAGGCGAGCTTATAACCGTGGGTGTGAGCTACCTGGCAGAAGCTACGCAGCTTGTCGAATTTGGGCTCCTCTGGAAGAACGCCAGAATGTTGAAGAACGACTTCGGCGACCTCCTGGAACGTCGGCTCGGGAATGAAGCCGCCCTCGTCCTTCTCCTTATTCCAAACATGAGACAGAACTGCATAGCGCGCTTTGTTGAGGTCGGTGACTTCGCAGAACTTCAACTTGGGGAACTGGCTGATGTCTAGTAGACGCATAGCTCTAACAGGAGGGACGCCATTGATGTATGGATTAGCGACTGCAGGAAACAAGCAAGATAGAGATAGTATCTACCTGGGTGAAGGTCCAGCGCTATACGGATGAGAGTTAGGGGAAGTGGCGATTGCTAGGTGGTAGGAGCTGATACGAAAGGCCAAGGTCAGCGCGTGCTACATCGTGTGGGCTTTGCACACACCTAACTACCGAAGCACTATACAGTGAGCCAGTCGTCTGAGGGGCTGCGGTTGCTTATAAGTAACAGCGGTGCGCTCTGCAGCTAGATGTTCCTTTGCTGCGGTACCGTTGACTCGAACCGGCCCAAAAGAAGGCAGCATAGCCCGACATGCCACTGGCGTACTTGTATCTGTATTGCCCGTGAACGTTGGGCGACAGGTGGACGGCAAGGACGGTGTCGTCATGATCTATTCGAGTCTTAGTCCCTGGCTCGGGACTCTAACTCCGGTATTCCTGTCAGCAAATCGGCAATTTACACCGCCGTGTTAGCCAAAGTTCGGAGAGCGCTCACCCGGAAGACGATGGGCTTCCTGTATCCGGTGCAAACTATGATGTACACCGTCCACCTTCTGTGTTCCCTGGCTGTTCCTCAAAACGCATGGCATGTCGACTGTGAGAGGATCCCGCGGGGTTGCGCCCGACCGTAATACTTCCTAGAAAGCGCAAAATGAGCCTGACATCCTACTACGGTCGCCAATAGGAATTCAAACCGTTAGCACAATATATCAAAGATCAGCGTTACGAGCCACGTCAAAATAAAGCTACATATACAGGCACTAGCATAAGTCATGACAGACATCTCCGACTGTGCGTGCGATGCACCAGAGGCCATATGCACATGCGGAAGAGTCTCCACGTGCGAAGCTAGTACATCAAGTGCCGCGCCTGTAGGAACACGACCCTGGGTCTCCGAGCATGCGAAGGGAACGGTGCCGCCGTACCTGCGGCACTATGCCGGCACTCGCGCCTCTTGAGGCGGTAGCACGGCTGTGAGAGATGCGGCGCAGCGGGTCTATGCGCCGAGTCCAATGTGCATCTATCGCAAAACTGTCAACGCAGGGTGTTCTTGAATGTTCCCTCGTTTACTGTGTTTTCCTGGGAGACCACGACATAGTACGCAGCGGTGAGTCTAGATGTCATTGTTTCCCCCGGGGCCCACGAGGTTGACTGTAGTACTACACTGTTTCCAGTGCATATTCAGCAACGTCAAAAACATACCGAGTGCTTCTTTTGATTCGAAGTGTTTACCCGGTGAGTGAAGAAGACAGCCGCAGCGAAAAACGAGAGCGTCGCCGAGTCGGAGGTGCGGATGAGGGACGCGTCGCGAAGACGTCGCCGTCACGTCGGGCAGCCTCGGCGACATTCAGGCGCCCAAGCAATTAGATTCGAAGGCGTCTATCTTATCTTATTTGCGCTCAATTGATTTCGTCGAACTTCGCGGCTTCGTCGACTTGCGCGAGCTCCCTTTCATCTCTCGACCTCAACGACCTCCCATGGCCTGCGAACGTATAACCTACGTTGTCTGTCTTCTCAGCCGCCGGAACTATTCGTTAAAATTATCTTACAAGCTACAGCTACTTGGTCTTGGTCGCCTAAGAGAAAACAAGGGCGTCGACTTGCGATCCTTGGAGTCCGGACCTGTTGCCAGCAAGGGCTCGAACATACAGACAAGACTTCCATAATATCGGCGCAGTTTAAAGAAGGCCGAAGTTGAGAATGATCCGTAGGATTATTCGGCTTATCATCCCGTGCAGGATTCTCACCTTTTCACGGCGGTGGCTGTACCTCTTGCGCGTCCAGTTTTCACACGCCTCCACTTATGGGAATAGCTCGCGTGGCATCCACGTGTCTCCCCTCAACGCAGCGATGTCACAGGACCCATGACAATGGTAGGCGAACCTCAAGCACTTGGGCGGACAAAATTGGCCCGCCAGACCCCCCTTATGCCTCCGCCGAGACGGACAAAAGGTCCCAAAATCGGGACCAACCCTCTGGCCGGTCGCGGACAAAAGTGCCCGTCCGGGACCCTCAGGCGGGCTAAGCGCCGTTTAAGCGCCAGGGTCCTCGGCTGTCAACGAGCGCCTAATCAAAAATTACCATTTCTGGACGTCTGGAGCGCCAAAAATGAGCGCTTATGGCCAAAAAAGGGCCTTCAACCCTCCGCCCGGGCGGACATTTTTGGCCAAATTTCGGCGCTTTTGTCCGGACATTTTGGCCGAAATTCGGGACTTTCTGCAGAGGGTTCCCCTACCATTGTCATGGGTCCTGATGTCACTGCCAGCGACTGACTCCGACTGAGTGCAAGGGTTACTGTGCTGCCAGTGTCTCTACCTACGACGAAACTCATATCGAGAGATCGTTGCTCGCAAGGCTTAGAGAGCGGGGGCTTGTGGGGAGTGTAAAGCCTATCAATTCCAAATTATTCCGGTCACATTCACGAGCAAAAAATATATACTACTGCGACGTATCGACTGGGCCTCAGAGCTTCGCCATATATCACGTAGTTAGTACTACTCCGACCCGTCTCTCCCTCAATTTAAGGGATCATTCTCAGCGGGTGTGCGGGGACCGCAGCGCCTTACTTAGCCCACGTTCATAGAGGCTCAGGGCTGTGTGTGCCGTCCAGCCAGTACTACGCCTGGATTTGCGGTCGTGGCTATGTACGTACTAATCAGTACGTGCTTGGAGATTGCACACCACCCGTCGGAAGATGACAAAGGTACGCAAATCCGATACTCTACTGACCGGACACATCGGGCTTCTTCGCCGTCGTACACCTTGCTGATACTCCACGACTAGGTAAAAGCAACGCACACAAGACTCACAAGATATCAAATCTCTCCCCCCATTTCGCTGCTATTTGTCGTCTGAGACGACAATCATGTCCCCTGTTTACCCGACACCGCTCTCCGTATACGACGCCCCATGTGTCCGCCCGCGGCAGTGCGATTCTGACACGGTGATCAGACGGCGACGAAGCGTGCGCGAGGGAGCGAGAGAGCCACCTTCGTCACCTCCCGCCTTTTTAATATGCGCAGACATCGCTCCGCTTGGCGGTGGCGTATCGCACAGCATCGTCACCTGAGATCGTACTCAATTAAGACAGACCCCCTCTCGAGTGGCAATTCTGGCTCGGGCGATCCTATATAAGACCTGCGCACTCGAGGTTAGCTCAATCACCACCGCGCTCGTTCACCTCTCATCCAGATACCAAAGAGCATCCCCTATCGCCAAACACCTCCAGCAGCACAACATGGCCTACCAGCCTTCGTACCCCCAGCCAGGCTACCCTGGCCAGTCTTCGCCTTCCGGATACCCTGCCCCTAGTCCCGGATACCCCGGTCAAGCACCAACCCCTGGCTACCCCGGACACCACCACCAGTCCTCTTTCTCTGGCAGTGCTCCTCCACCCGGACCACCACCCTCGCATGGTGCGCCACCCCCGCAGGCCGCCGCCGGTGCGTCGAACCTGCCCACGACTGGCCAAATCGAGGGCGTGCAATTCCGCATCGACCACCGCGACAGCAACTCGATGCTCTACCTGCGTCTGCAGCCGGGCGCCGAGGTGAAGGCAAAGCCGGGTAGCATGGTGGCTATGGACGCCACCGTCAAGATTAAGGGAAAGCTGAAGTTCAGCGTGAAGAAGCTCCTCACAGGCGGCGAGGTACGAGGCTACGGACAAATTACGCGTGCTATCGTATTCGCTGACGGTGATCCTAATTGCCAGATGTCCGAGTCGATTTTCACCGGTCCCGGCGAAGTCATGGTCGCGCCTGAGACCTGGGGCGACATTGTGCCCATCCACCTCGACGGCCGCACGCAATGGAGCGTCGGGAGAGACGCGTATCTTGCGTGCACGATGGGCGTCTCGCGCACTACTAAGTCGCAGGGCGTTGGGAAGGCGCTATGTACGTTTTATCTGCCGCGGATCGGTATGTAGATGCTGACACTGCCCGCACAGTCTCCGGGGAAGGCCTTTTCGTGCACAATGTAGTGGGCGGCGGCATGATGTGGGTTACGAGTCTGGGGGCGATATTCTCGCAGACGCTGCAGCCTGGCGAACAGTGGATCGGTGTGTATCTCAGTGAATGTTGTGCTCGAATTCTGTGATGCTGACAGGTGTCGCAGTGGACAACGGCCACCTTGTCGCGTGGACGGCCAAGTACAAGGTCGAGCGCATCGACGCGGGCGGGTTCTTCTCCGGCTCGCACACCGACGAGGGCCTCATCTGCCGGTAAGTTCTAGTTGTGGGTCCGCGCGGCGTGCGCCACGAAACTGATCCGGCCAAACCCTAGGTTTACCGGCCCCGGGATTGTGTACATCCAGACGAGGAACCCCGAGACTCTCGGAGAGTGGATAAGAGACCAGGTCCCTCAAAACTCGTAAGGTGTTCGTAGACTCGCAGTCCAGAATATCCCGTGTACTAGGCTTTGGCATGTATACCATTGTAAGTAATATCAAGAGGCGTAAAGCACCGCCTCCAGTGTTTTTGATCTACGCGGTCGCGATGTTCGATGGGGTTATTCCAGGAAGATGCATCGCATCGCGATCTCATTGACTTTTGCCACTGATTTTGATGACATACAACTTGACCAGCGTTAGATGATCAGCCTCGCTCACCGATTGCAGCTGCAAGGTCAGAGCCTACCAGAGCATACAACGCAAGAACAAACATGTGAGTGCACTGCATAGATTTCAGATTCATCGCATTTGTTATCAAATCCCTCCATCACATGAACAGATCATTTCGCCAGGGCCCTCTACGCCTCGACAATGATCTTGCGCAATTCGCGCCCGTCGCTCAACATGTTGCGCCTTCGCAACCGCGCCTGCAGTGCCTCGCGCTCCTTTGCAGACACGGTCGACGTCTGATTCCGCTCTTGGCTCTACCCCCGAAAGCCCCGCGCGTATTCGAAGCCCGGTACTACAATCCACCGTTTGCGCAGAACGTCATCGGAAGCTCAAAACGTACCTGCTGACGGGCCACAGTCAGAAATGCCGGCGTCGGCGTGGACACCATCTGCAAACCTATGTCTTCCATCAAGATGCAAGCATTGAGCGCCACGAAGAGGCTGTAGCGACACGGGAATATAAGCACATCGGTGCGCTCAGAGCTAGTCTCATACTTCCCTCAGCTACTCTACCCGGCATACCTCTCGCACTCACATCTACTATCAACAAAAATGTCCTACTCCCCACAATACCCCCAAGCAAACCTAGGTTACCCTGGCCAAGCTGCGCACTCAGGCTACCCCGGCGGGTTCCCCGGCGCCGGCGGCCCCAACCCTCCTTACGGCGGCCAAGGACCCCCTCCCCCTCAGGCTCCCCAGCAACACGCGCACCACGCGCCACCCGCGGTGGGCGCGTCGAACATCGCGACGACGGGGCAGGTTGAGGGCGCGCAGTTCCGGATCGACCACCGCGACAGCAACAGCATGCTCTACCTGCGGCTGCAGCCGGGGTACGAGATCAAGGCGAAGCCGGGGAGCATGGTCGCGATGGACGCGACGGTGCAGATCAAGGGCAAGCTCAAGTTCAGCATGAAGAAGATGTTCACCGGGAGCGACGTGAGTCACTTGCTCGGACCGCCCGCGCGGGAAGCGTAGTTCGGACGAGCGCTGACGGGCGGTGGGCGCGTGCGTAGATGACGGAGTCGCTCTTCACTGGGCCTGGAGAGGTCCTCCTGGCGCCTGAGATATGGGGCGATATCGTGCCGATCCATCTGGACGGGCAGACGCCGTGGAATGTCGGGAAGCACGCGTTCCTTGCGTCTACTCCTGGCGTCAGCCGTACCGCCAAGTCACAAGGCTTCGGGAAGGCGCTTTGTACGTGCTCTGGCTGATCTTCTGGTGGTAAGGTACTGACAGATGGGATGATACAACAGTCTCGGGGGAAGGCCTCTTTGTCCAGCAGGTCACCGGCCAAGGGACTATGTGGGTGACGAGCCTCGGCGCGATCTTCCAGCGGACGCTGCAGCCGGGAGAGCAGTGGATTGGTACGTATTGCGCGGGAAATACCAGCCAGAGGAACGAGTATCTGACTGGTATTTACAGTCGACAATGGCCACCTCGTTGCATGGACGGCGGGGTACAAAGTCGAGCGCATCAACGCCGGCGGCCTGTTCTCGATGTCCCACACAGACGAAGGCCTAGTCTGCCGGTGAGTCAGCGAAGCGGCATACAACTCGCCGTGATATGCAAATGCTCACCCATGATTATTCTAGGTTCACTGGCCCTGGAGTGATCTACATCCAGACGAGAAACCCGGAGACGCTGGGAGAGTGGATAAGAGCCCAGGTGCCGCCCTCGTCGACCACGATCGTAGAACATGCATAGTGGCCCTCCTGCCGGTGTATCCGGGGGAATTCATACCCAGCACACCAGAATGGGAACGACTGAGAAGAGCAAAACTGAGAAGCTGAGAGAGATCTTTTGTCAATGAATCACTGGCCGCAGAACTTGTTACAGGATCCGGATCCGGTGCTCGGCGTTCAAAGTTCAGCGCTCAGTGTGTACTACTTGTGCGCCTTTGCACTGCCTTCGCACTCTATAAGAGTTCTGTATACACTGCTTAGCGCTTCGTCCGTGATTCTGAGTCTCCTGCAGCTGGTCGACGTCGACTCCTCCCTCCGACTCGAGAGGACTCATGTAATGACTTTCTAGCTCGGATCAGTGACCAAATCTCCTGCGAGTTTCTACTATAAATCGCTGTCCGGCGGTATAATTACTTATGGTGCGACTGATCAGATATAGAGCCTAAGACACACAGTGCGCAAGGCCAACTTGCCACACCCACGGCCTCCTGCCAATCAAACCGCACGGAACGATCCGTTTGACGGCGACATATGGCACACAGCGCCTTCACCCAAGAACCTACTCATATCAGGCAGCCCTTCCTGTTGAGCGGGGATACCCGCAAGAATAAAATCCTACTAATATATAAAACCTGGGCGGATGAAGTCGCACACCACCGCCCTCGTTCACATCTCACTCAGATATTAGGGAGCACCACCCACTCCCCCCACTCCCCATACACCTCCAGCACCGCATGGCCTACCAACATTCGTACTCCCAGCCAGCCTATGCCGGCCAGCCTTCGCCCTCTGGCTACCCTGCCCCTGGTCCCGGATACGCTGATCAATTAGCCGCGCCTGGCTACCCCGTACACTACCACCAGCCCTACTTCTCCAACGGCACACCCCCTCCGCTGCCCCCGCGTAGAGCGCCATCCCCGCAGGGCGGCGCCGGCGCGTCGAGCCTCCCCATGACGGGCCAGATCGAGGGCGTGCAGTTCCGCATCAACTACCGCGACAGCAACTCGATGCTCTTCCTTCAGCTGGAGCCGGGCGCCGAGGTGAAGGCGAAGTCCGGCAGCATGGTCGCAATGGATGCTACGGTCAAGATCAAGGGAAAGCTCAAGTTCAGCGTGGCAAAGCTGCTCTCAGGTGATAAAGTGCGTACCATACATTAGTTGTATTGAGCTTGGTGCATGTCATGGTTGCATTTGCTAACGATTCTGTTTCGTAGATGTCAGAGTCGACGTTCACCGGTCCCGGCGAGGTTATGATCGCGCCCTCGACGTGGGGGGACATCGTACCCATCTACCTTGACGGCCATACCCAGTGGAGCGTCGGAAAAGACGCCTACCTTGCGTGCACGATCGGCGTTACACACAAAAACAAGTCCCAGGGTGTCGGGAAGGCGTTGTGTACGTTGTCTCCTCGCGGTCCTGCGCACGAATTAGGTGCGGTCGTAATACTCACACTGTTCGCAGTGTCCGGGGAATTTCTCTCCGCGTATAACGTGATCGGGGCCGGAATAATGTGGATTACCAGTCTGGGGGCGATCTACTCGCGGACCCTCCAACCTGGCGAGCAGTGGATCGGTGCGTCGTTCTGTTCCTTCATTTTCGAGGGTCTGTGACGCTGACAGGCGTCGCAGTGGACAAAGGTCACCTTGTCGCGTGGACGGCCACATGTAAGGACGAGGACATCGACGCAGGCGGGCTTTTCTCCAGCATGAACACGGATGAGGACTCTGTCTGCCGGTGAGTGTTTGTGGGTCCGTACGGCCTATGACACGACACTGACCTCATTCAATCTTAGCTTCACCGGTCCTGGAATTGTGTACATCCAGACGAGGAACCCCGAGACCCTCGGAGGGTGGATCAACGACCGGGTCAACCCTCCAGATGTGTATCACAAAGTCAACCGCGTTCTTGTATCAGGGTCATAAGCACTTCAGAATCCTTATCCACTTGACCAAATGACTCCTTGTGGATGGGGACCTTGAGATATCCTTGTAGTAGACAACGGTCACCTTGTTTTGCGCAAACGGCCGGGTAGTCAAGCGTGTTGATATCAGTAACTTGTTCTCCGAGTCGACGATTCACATGGACGAAGGCCTAGTACTTGTACTGATAGATCAGCAAAACGACGTACACCACGCTACGGTATGCAAGTACTCATCTGTGTTCATCCTAGACGAACTCGGAGACCCTGGGCGATTGCTGCATCAGAGCCCAGGTGCCGCCTTCGCGAGTCAGCCACAATTGTAGAGCATGCGTAGTAGCACGCTCGCAGCTAGCGGGCGAGCGTATGGAGTCATGAGGAATACTACGTATACGTTGTGCCAACACAGACACGCATGTGCAACGTTGCCTGAGAGTGACCGTATTTGTTCGGTGATGGACGAGTCAGAGCAGTGACTCCGGTGATATTCAAGTTCCGAAAGGGGAACGCACCTTCCGCATTCGATACTCCCTTCTTGGACCATGTTCCCATCCCGTTTGTCATTCATCCCGGGACCGCAACGGTCGGCCCAGTGGGAGAGGCCCCGAGGGATGTATATAAGAGCACGCACAGCCCAAGCAGCGCCCGGTGCTCTTCCTTCCCCCCGTGGCCAGTGTGAGCAATCGAGCGTTCAACTCCCCCTCAACGGAAGACAAACGGGCACATGAGCATAATCCACAAGATACATACACAAGACAACACGATAGCAAGAGAAGTGTCGGAAGATTTCAGTTTCTAAACAAACCAAGACTATGAGAACAAGAGACTATCCAAAGGAGCCAAGGTGGGCGATGGCCGCACGAACATGTTGAACCCGGACCTGCCACACACCGTTGTGAGTATCAGCTTGACCTTGTAGCGCCGCAGACAAGAACGGCATGGTTACTTACCCTGCCGGGATCAACGTGCCCCTCTGGATGGGAGAGCGCGGGTCAAACGATATGTCGTGCGTCACCGCGGACGCGCCGCCGCTTCTCGCCGGCGTTGACCGGACCAGCGCATCCAAGCCTTCCTGCAGGCTTGCTGCGGACGCGGCCGACGCCGACCGCCTCTCGCTGGATCCTAACAGAGGGGTATGCCCTCCAAGCAAAGACTGCGCTGAGGACCGCGCGGAATGGAACGAAGCTGGCGAGGTCCTTGCCGAAGAGGACGGTGGGGACGAGGCCAGCGATGTGTACGCTAAGGGAGACGAGAAACACGTAGAAGACGTGACGGACGAGCGCAACGCCGGGGACGCGACCGTGGAGTGTTTCGCTGGAGACGAGACGGAGGCGCGCGACGCTGGAGATGCCACAGCGGAGCGCGAGGCTGGAGATGTCACAGAAGGGTGCGCCGCCGGGGATGATTCAAGAGAACGCGCCGACGGGGTCGCGACAGTAGAGCGCCTGCCCGGGGTCGAAACGGAAGAGCGCGGCGCCGGTGATACAACAGAGGAGCCCGCCGCCGGGGATGCGACAGACACAGGGGAGGCCAGCGTCGGCGTCGCGATATGGTTCGCCACCGACTGCATGACCCGCGCCGGGAGCCCACAGTGCCGGCACACATGCGCTGGATGCTCGCACCCACACTCGCCCTGAGCACCATCTGAGGCGCCTCCGGTGTCATTTGGCGTGCGCGGCGGCGGCATCGCGCGCTCCCACAGCGCGGGCGATGTCTGAGCCTCTGCAGTCGCATATTGTCGCTCGTCGGACGCCTGAACTTGGGCTACTGTGTAAGCGCGCTTGCGAGTTGGGCGGTCCACCTGGATGCTCGCGTCGCTGTAGTCCTTGCCGACCTTCCTCCGCCGGGTCTTCGTGGCCGGAGACACGGGCGCGACAGGCGACTGAAGGATCGTGGACTGCGTCGCGGGAGGCGGCATCGGGTTTCCGGATGCCAGGGGACTCAACTCGGACTGTCGGGTCTGCGCAGAGCCTGATGGCGTTGCGTATTCGGACACGGTCAGCGCCGGGCTTCGGACAAGCAGCCTGGATGCGTCGCGCTCTCTTGCCTTGGTGTACGCGTCGCGCGGGCGAATCGCAAAGTCCGCGGGGAAGTACTTGGTCGCGTTCGTCGATGGTAAGGAAACGTCGCTCCTGCGGTCACTCGACGCGAGCGCACTGCTGCCCGTCGCGGGCGAGGCCATGTGCACGTCGCTCTGGACGGCCGGGGACGTATCGGACGCGTAGGAGAGCGACTGCGCATACCGAGGACCTTGGACAGGCTCGGAGCCATATTCCCTTGTGGTGACACACGTTGGAGGCGAAGACGAGGTCGACGGGTTGCTGGACGCGCTCTTCGGGTTTGCTTGACCTTGCACGGCTGGACGTGGTACTTGCTGCACTCTTGGTTCTGGCTGTCTCGGAGGCACCTGTTGCGTCGGCTGGGTTTGGGCCCGCGTCATAGACCTCGTCGATGGGCCGCGTTCGCCATCTCTTACGGTGACACCGCTGGTGCTGTTATGCTGGCTCTCGCGTCTGGCTGCTTCTAGTTCCTCGGCTATGATCGCGTCGCGCGCCGCACGTCCGGCCGACGACAGAGTCGTCGTGCTTCGAGTCCCTGTGCTTCGCCTAGGTTCCTGCTTCGGCCGTGCGCCCTTCGAAGGACCGTCCCTAACGATCTTGGTCTCCCCACGCGCATAAGCTTCCTCGAACGCATCGTTGGCCGAGCCCCAGTCTGGGAACCCTTGGAAGACCGGGTTCGAGACATTCTGAATGAGCGGAGCAACGTCGAGCCTGCCGTCAGGAAAACACATTAGGACTTGTCGTCGACGTCAACAGAGGTCGGTTTGCAAGAGAGAACGGCGCGGACAGACGCGATGTCGTCTTGAAGCACGCCCCGACACCGATGCTGCGGCAGCACGAGCTCGACACGCACCATTTCGTGAACACCCCGATCTTCTTGCCGACGGTGACGACGTAGGCTTTGGATTTTGCCATGCTTCAGTCGTTCTTGAGCTCACGAATGCAGCTGTAGGGTCGCAAACGGCACAGACGAGTTCATAGTTGGAGGGAAAGGGCAGGACGGATGGGCGTCGGGTAACCACGCGCCTCCCACATATAACGGAACCGCCATTGCCATCGCGAGTCTCAAGATGGACAGGGTCCCCGCCTAGTCCCGCGTAGCGGCGCCGTCGGTCGGCGCGCCCTTCCATCAGATGCTCCCGCGACGCAGGCGCGCACCCGGGACCAGGATCGGTCCCTCATTTGGTCCCGCGATTGTCGATTGCGGTCGAGAGTCTCGAGAATCTCCCGCGGAGGTCCTGCAACATCAGGAGCAACTTTCTCGTCCATAGAATGGAGGGACATCACACGGGGCCAGGTCCCAGGAATCCTCGGCAGTCACCGCGGGATAATGGCTCACAAAATAACGAAATGCACAGCAGGGTCCAAAGCAATTACCGTGGTTATCATAGCAGGTGTGGTACTGTAATCCAGGGAGTAGAATAGCATGATAGAGTGCCGCGGAGTCACCTACCGCGGCGCCAAAATCCAGCTGCAGCAGCCCAGGCATGACGGCTGCCTACCGCAGCAGACATCGCGTACGCAGAGCTTACTGCTGCGTAGCGGGTCATACGGCGATATACCCTCCGCGGCTCGCTTGCCGTGGTCGGAAGGCCGAGCAAAGATGTGAGACGACATCTCTCAGCATGTACGGCACTTCTCTCCAGAAATCGCGGTGTCTGCAACGCAAGGAATGTGTGAGAAGATCAGCGATACATAAAAGCTTGAGAATTGCTCACGGAATGAGGTCAACACCGCTTGCGCCGTACGTCGAGTAGTTGTAGTACGCCCCGAGACCAAAGTACGCCACGAATGCGAGCAGGAATCTGCATTCGTAGGTCAATACACATGTACGTGGAGCGCGAATAAGCTTATGCTGTGCCACTCACATCAGGAAGAAATATCCGAGGCCGGAGCCGACAGACTCCTCCTTGTGGTCTCCAGACCCACCGCTGTCGTCTCCCTTGTCGTCCGGTGTCTTCTCCCCGTCCTTGGGTGTACCGAACCCGCATGCGCCGACAGTGCTCCATTCTAAATGCAGGTCCTTGCCATCGTATGAGGTGAAGTTGACAGCTGACGGCTCGGAGTCGGGCGAGCACAGCAGCTTGAGATGGAGGAACTGGGGTATTGGATCCGTGTCCCCGTGGACGCTTGGGTATGTTGAGCCGGCGAACGTCAACTCGAGGCCCTTGGGTGCTAAATCAGGAGATGTGGTTAGCTTCGGCGTTCTCGGTATGCATAAACGGAGGCGGAGGAGAAGTGTGGACGCACAGCGCAGAGCCGAGACAGTCACTGCATCCGCGGATGAGTTGGCGACGGGAATGACAGAGAACACGCGGTTGGGCTGGCCGTCCTTGACGTTCGTGCGCACGAGGCATGCGCGCGATCCTTCCGGGCACTATCGGGTCTGCCAATGAGCTCCTCCGTTCACTCTCCCGCTGGAGATACTGGGTGCGCATATACCTGGTCTTCTGATGGCACGTCGCTTTTGCGCTCGAGGTCCGCACACAGGTTGAACGTGACCTTGTCCTCTATCGTCGTGGGCGGCACCTTGACCTCACGCGTAGCCGTATGCTCGCCACCAGCCTTGGTGAGGTCGTAGTCGAGGTCGCCGATGGTAAGATGACAGTCAAACGGCTTTGGGTCATCCTGCGCGGCCGCGAGGCTGGAAACGAGCGTAAGAAGGGCGAGGCGCGAGAGCGGGTGCCGCAGGAAAGCCATCATAGCCCAGCTATGCTTCAAGGGGTGATTAGAGGCGAAAGCGAAGACGAGGAGCCTGCAAGTAGGTACTTGTGGAGAGAAAGACGGATTCGAGACGCGTGCGCATGCAGAGGCGCGTATGCACCGCGCGCCTGCGCACTCTCCGGGCCCCCGGTGACTCCTGCTTACATAAGACACGCGCGGTGCGGTAGGACCTCGGGCATTCCGATATACACAAGCAGGACGCGTAACGGAGACGCGTCAGTCCGCGCACTGCAGCCTCCCGCTACGATTATCCTGATCTCTACCGTCACCTTCCCAGCAGGACATAGATACATCAAGGCGTGCAGAACAACCCACCGACTCCAATATGGCCTCCATCGACGCCCTGATTCCGCTGATCTACCACGAGAAGCAGCAGGAGGGCTCCATGCTATGCGCCCAGCATGCCCTTAACTCTCTGCTTCGTGAGTACTCTACTAAAGTACTTGTAGCTTACTAACAAGATCCACTCATACTCACAGAAGGATCATATGTGAATCATCTTTTTTCTCTGGTGACCTGAGTGGCTCACAAACCTCCCGCCACAGTTCACTGCACCTGATCTCTCCGAGATTGCGCGCAAGCTAGACGAGACCGAGCATGGCTATCTGGAAGAGGAGGCAGGTGCTGCGGCCGCTACCAGCACCAACATGGACGACACAGGTACGTAGACGGCCTACGCTCGCTCGTTGCAGCACTAACCCTTAGCGCCATAGGCTTCTTCTCGGTCCAAGTACTCGAGGAGGCCCTTAAAGTCTGGAACCTCACGTCCGTGCTGTCTCGCGCATCTGACATGCTTGCGTTCCTAACTCACTCCCTACAGGCTCGTACGCTGGAGAAGCGAAGCTATGCGCCCGTACCAGGACCACCCGCAGTACGCCCCAATCTCGCAGCACACGACCGCCCCGGTAATCTAACTCTATGCCCAGCACCCAGATGGGTTTCATCCTGAACCAGTCCCAGCACTGGTACACCCTCCGCCGCTTCGGGCGCGTGTCTCCGGACCCTGCGTTGGACGCCGACCCAGGAGACGGCCACTGGTTCAACCTCAACTCCTTCCTCACCAAACCAGAGCGCATCGGCAAGCTTTACCTCGGCATGTTCCTCCAGCAGGCAGAGACGGAAGGTAAGTCTCCAACCTGCATGTGGCACGCGCGCGTAGCGTTACTGGTCACTCATCATACGCGCCACAGGCTACTCCGTATTTGCCGTGGTCCAGCGCGATCCGGAAGGCCCGCTCGCCCTCTCCCGCACCGAAGCTGACGAGTTCGCAGCAGACATCTCCGAGTCCGCGGCCGGTAACTTCACCTCCCGCCCCACTGCCTCCACATCTAGGTCCGCCCATCCATTCGCCGGTGTGGAAGGGCTAGAGGACGAGGACATGGAACTGCAGGCCGCGCTCCAAGCCTCACTCTCCGGAGGCACCTACGAGGCACCCGCGTTCTCTTTCACGAGCACTCGCCATACGTCCTTCCAAACCTCGTCATCTGCATCTTATTCTCGCGTCGCGGCTGCGTCCGCCCCCGCTGCAGCACAGCCCGACTACGAAGTCATCGAGGACGATGACGATGACGAGGACTACATCCCAGATCCGCCCACACGCGCCGCCGAAGCGGAGCCCGAAGACCCCGTCGCAGCCAGCATGGCGCGACAGCAGGCCCTTCTGAAGCGTATGCAGCGCGACCAGCAGGCGGCCCTGCAGGAGCAGTACGAGGAAGAGATCGCGCGGTTTCAAGCGGGCACGCGTGGGTCGCAACCCCCGAGCGGCCCGAGCAGAGGTGAAGACGAGGACGAGATGCTCCGGCGCGCGATCGCGGAGAGCGAGGCATTAGCGCAAGCGCAGGGCAGCCGCATGGAGCAGGCAAGCGAGCCCCCAGCACCGGCTGCGCCACCAGCGTGGCACCAGCACAGAATGTACGACGACGAGGATGCGGAGCTGCAGGCTGCGCTGCGCGCGTCGCTCGAGGGCGTCCCAGAGGGCTTCCGCGTACCTAGCCCACCGCCTATCGTCCATCCGCCGCCGGCCTCCCATCCCTCCGCAACCTCTGCATCTGCGGCGCTTCAGCCGCCCCCGATACAGCAACAGGCGTCGTCTGACGTGGACACGGAGTCTGAAGCAGATGTCGAAGAGCCCCCAGAACAGCTGAGCATGGAGGAGATTCGGAGGAGGCGGCTGGCGAGGTTCGGTGGCTGAACTGGTAGCAGCTAGACGACGATGAACTCTTGTACGTTAGAATGTAAACGCAGCTGTAGAGTCTGAGCATCATCATCTGTAAACCAATGCAAACATTTACCTGCTTCCACTGGTTGAGGGAACGATGAGCTTCAGACAACTTGTCAGTTCTCTAGCAGCGGTATAAACGGAAATTTCCCTAAGCAGAATGCAAAGCACTGCAACCTATCAATAGTTCTCACACACGTCGAAAAATCACTCGCGAAGCAGCAAGCGTTTCCGGTGGAAAAAATGCCATGGTAGGGTGCTTTTGGTGCATGTGCGGTGGGGAGTACATGGCGAGCAATAGGATCATAGCGGAGAGAGCGACGGCATAAAAACTGATGATACAAATCCTCTCTACTTCGCCTACGTACATAAAAGCGAAACATCAGCCTTACATTCTCGACCGCAAGACAACGGGTACGCACCAAGATGATACCGTCGAACCTCTGCTTGAACCACGCCATCGTGTCCTCCTTCTTGATACGGTGCGAGAACCCGACACGGGCCTTCTTCTGCTTCCGCCTCGCCACCCGCGCGCCCGGGCGGCCCATCACGACGTAGAAGTCCATGCCGAAGATACCGATCGTGGGGTCGTAGCGCGCGCCGAGGTCGATGTGCTCCTGGATGCCGAACCCGAAGTTGCCGGTCTCGGAGAAGTTGCGGCGGATGAGCTCGTACTCCTTCACCTTCAGGCCGCGCTCGAGGATCTCCTCCGCCTTCGGCCCCCGGATCGTGACGTGCGCCGCGATCTTCTCGTTACGACGGATACCGAACTGACGGACGGTGTACCGCGCCTTCGAGGTCACCGGGGTCTGACCGGTGAGCTGCTCCAGCACCTTGGACGCCCGCGTCAGACGATCACCGGATTCGCCGACCGAGATGTCTGTAGGGGGCGACACGCAGAGGTTGAATACGCCCGCTTTTTGCAGGCAAAAGCAGAGGGTACGCACTAATGACGAGCTTGTCAATGCGAAGCTCCTTCATGGGGTTGGTGGGGGCGGTCTTCTGCTCGGCCTAAAGTACCAGCATAGTTTAGCCATAGAACCGACAGAGCAGCATGCAGCGAGACGGACCATCTTGTCTGGGGGGCGTTAGTCTTGTCGCTGTCGTCGATGTTCTCGATAATTGCCAGTATCCCGCACCAGTGGACGGTGGCTGTGGGAACAGCTGTATAGTACCACCGGCACCTTCCGGCATTCCTAATTTGGCGCGCGCTATACCAACCTTCCGGCGCCTAAACGACTATCCGTTCGCTCGAGCTCGTCGATTTGGTTTGTATGCATCTACGTGCTTTGTGATCTTACCATTTCACCCATGGTGGCTGAGATTTCTGTTGTCTGAAAAGGGTTTCCTAACTTATTAATATACACACATCTAAACCTAAACACGATGACAGCAATGTCAAAAGCAGCGAAGACAACGTCGAAAGCGTACGATGGAGAGGCAAACACAGTCGATGTCCGTCCACATCTACGCGAGTTCGTGTGCAGGAATCCCGTCCATTGAGAAAACGTCGCCCGAGGGTCGAACCAATAATAATGTACTGCGCTACGGTAACAATAAGGATAACATTCCCGACAAAACATGCCGCTGGCGAACGACCACGTCCAGCTACACATCCGAACTCGCGTTCACATTCGAAACCATATGCCGAAGCGAAGGCGTATCCGCCATATAGTCAATGCTTGGCGTCGATCTCGCCCTCCCCACGCTCCGCCCTTGCAGCCTCCAGCTCCCGAGTCAACCACCTGAGAAACCCGTCCGCACCCTCGTGCGTGCGCACATTGGGGTCTGCGCGCAGCACGTCGAGCACGCGCTGTCCGACCGCAATGCCGCACTCCTCCGCGCGCCCGAAACCGCCCAGGCAGCCCTTGCGGTACTCAGCCTCGGCCAAGCCGAGCAGGCTGTGCACGGGGCGCTCCCCGGGAAGGAACGTCCTGAGCAGGATTGGCGTAGCGATAACGATGGGCAGGTCCGCCGTGAGGAGTTCCAAGTCTGCCTCAAGCTCCGCCAGCGGGGCCTTGGGGCTTGCGCCGGGGGCGACTGGCCGCGCAGGGGTCGCGTGAAGCTGAATGGACTCCAGCAGAGCGATGAGCGAGCTGAGACCATCGAAGGCCTCGTCGACGACCTCGCGTGCTAGGCGCGTCTGTTCCTTGTCCTGAGACGGCTTGGGGAGCTGGTCCAGCAGGTTGTACAGAGCACGGGCATCCGCTACAACGGTAGCCCCGCGCAGACCCGGAGACGGTGGGGTCGGAGGGCGCGAAGGCGGCAGCTTCAGGGTAAACTTCCCCGCTGGAGGAGTGGCCGGAGGCGTTGTCGAAGGCTTCCTCGGATCCTTCGGCTTCAGCGAAGTAGAGTTCATGGCAGGCGATGCCGGAGGTGACTGCGGTGGTGTCGGCCTGTGCGAGAGGGCCACTAGACCACGCCATACGAGCGAGATGACGAAGGAAGCCAGTGCACTCTCTGCGTACGCAGACGCGACGTATCGCGAGAGTGCGCGGGCGTAAAGGGGTATACGCGCTTGGAGGATCACGATCGAGGGGTGAAGAGCCTGAGACTTCACAACCGCGGAGGGCTTCCCAGCGACGCTGGTCGTAGCTGTCGGGGGAGGAGGGACAGTCTCCAAGCTGTCGAGGAGAGGCATCAACTCATTCTTCATGCCGTTGATGAGAGGCTCGACGACCCTCTTGACGATCGAGACAAGACCCTCGCGGACGCCCTTCAGGTTCTCAACCCTCGTGTCGACGTCGAGTCCCAGACCAATCTCGTCGAACGCTTCCAACAACTCGCCAACAAAGGTCGCGAGGGCAACCGCATGGAGCTGAGTCGCGTTCGGGTATGGTTCCTGTGGAGTAGGCGCCGCCGGAGTGTGAAATGCCGGTGAGGACAAGAGCGGAATGAGATTGGTGGAGATGTTGGTAAGCAGGACGGACAGCGGCCGCTGGAGAGTCCTGATGACTGCACGGTAGAGATGCGGATTCTCGCGAGAGGCTTGAACCTCACTGTACGAGGTTGAGTCATAAATCCATATGAAAGGGACGAGAGAATAACTTACGAGATGATCAATGCGCCGAGCGCATACCCACGACCTTGAGGAATAGGCCGTCTCCCGCCAAGCAGCTCACCAGGGACTCCAGGGCCAGACGGCTGAGCGAGAGCCTTGGACACAGCTTCGCTAAGCTTCAGGCCGAGGACCTCCATGAAGGAGCCATCCTGTACGACCGTCGAAACGGAGGCAAGACCTGTGGCTGGAGAAGGCGACGGCCGTCTGAAGTTGGAGAGGGAGAGCTTGGAGAGTGGACGAGCAACCCGTTCGGTCGCGGCCACGGGAGGAGTGTCCTGGCGGCCAGGCGGCACTGGGACGGGAGAGGTGGGGCGGCTTGACGGACGGAAGAAAGACGTCGGCCTGAGGGTGTACATCTTGGGAGCGGTAGTGGATGAGGTCGCAAGTCGTGTGCTTAAAAGTGAGGTGTATGGTGCCCTGAGGCGTTTCTATGTCTATGACTTGAGTGGAGGTGTGTTGATGTTAGTTTTGTGTTGCGACGGAGCAGGCGACCTGAATCCGTTGAAGTAGTGTGACGAGTTTAGCCCATAGGTAACGAGGTGGATATATGCGCGGGGTTGGGTGACGCAAGCGGTTCTAAGGAGGACGGTCTGTGTCGACGAGGAAGAGGCCAAGGGGTGCGAAGTGAATGGTGTTCAGGTGTTGTGGTGTGCTGTGGCAGAAGTCAGCGGGCGCTGCCGCAGGCGCAGAGTGTGACAGGGACGCACCAGAGGGGCGAGAGTACCATATAGATCGAGCAGGATACGCTGGAGGCGACAATGCGCTGGCGAGAGGCGAGGGTGCTCGAGGAGGAGAAGGAGGGAGTCCTTGACGAAGGAACGGCCAAAATTCTCGCTCACCTATAAGACGGGCCGTATTTCCCACGTTACCCGCCAGGCGCGTTCCCCGCCTCCGGCCAATATATTTGCTGGGAGAGCCCACGACGGACGTCCGTGCATTGTCCGGATCTCTCGAACCCCCGGCCGTTCGCTCCTGGTCCTGGCCGTCGCACCCCTGCTTCGGACATCTCGTCAAACGCCCTGGCTGCCCTCATCGGGGTGATCAGCGCGGACTTCTTGCAGGCGCCTGCGAACTCGAACCCTGCACCCCCGCTCCCTCTCCAGAACCCTCTCAACTTCGCCGTCATCTGCGCCCGGGACCGCGTATGGGTCGGCCCTAGCGTTATCCGCTCACAGCGTCGCATGATGCGCGCCGTGCGAGACAGGAAACGCGTCTCAGGCGCCACTGTGTGCGCCTGCCTGCCCCTGCCGCATGCGCACACGAGTGCCTTTTGTGCCCAAACTAAACCTTCACCGGCATCTTTCCAGGCCACATAACAACAACAGGCGGCACTTCCAAATGCAGGCTTGGCGATGGGAATCGCGATGGTATCCAGATCGCAACCCCCGCGGGCGGCGCGTGCACTGAGCGCGGAGGCCGGGGAAGCGCCGCCAGTGGCAAGAAGCCAACGCACGCCTCGACACATCGGAACCCCGGTCAGACGCGTGGAACGAGCTATCACGATAAAGCGCGCATTGACTGCAGGCGTCCGAGCTAAACCCGTCTTCCACCAATCCATCTTTGTTCATTCGATGGTTCGACGTACGACACACGACGCACGATCGCGCAGTCCGTGCTCGCCGTCGTTCTAGGTGCGTCCACAATCCATTCGGAGCTGTAAATGCGACATAGACTGGACACTAACCGGTTTGTCCTGAGGGCCATGCAAATTGCCCTTGGCGCGTCCGACGCAAACCGATTGGAATCCTCGGGTGCTGCTTGGAACCCCGCTGTCCTTTAGAACCTGGCTTCGTTGCGGCCAGCATCGGAGGGATGCCCGCTCGCATTCGCCCTTACTCGGGCGCGGCGGGCAGGTGAACAGATGCACCTGCGTGGCTGTTCCGTCTGATGTTGCGGCCGTGTGTTGCAGGACAGCAACACACGAAGCATTATGTTAACCTCGCACATGGTGCGGACCGCCCCAATAAAATACCAAATATCTATAGCAGTCTCTGAATCACCCCGTCAGCTCAGGGATTCCGCCATAGTGTGTCACACACGGTCTTCCGAGCCTAGGCTTGTCGTGCTCCGGAATACCCACCACCTCGGGCATACACATCTCGACTGCGTCCTCCGGCAGGTGGACACCCGCAGCACGGGTCGCCCTGGGCACCCCGGGTTCTCAAGTAGAGGCATCAAGATATCTGGACGCAGGTACAGCCAAAAGCGTCATTACCGTGACGGCGTCCCGAAAGTGCCACATTGCGTGCGGTGAGTACCTTCCCTGCAGTGGCGTCTCGGGCCAATCTCACGCAATGATCGAAGTTCATACAGTACCAGATGGCCGACTCTGGATAGAAGTTGAAAGTTACTGCCGCATCTCAGTAGCTATCTATCGCTCAGGTAAGGTTGAAGCACTGCTGATCGCCAGCACGTTACGCGCCCCGGCGTGCCCCCAAGCTGCTGGGCAGATCTCTCACACACCTCGCGGGAACAGGCAGTGGTGGCGCATTAACGATTGATACAAACACATGCGTGCGGGTGGCACAATACAACAGCTCGTGAAGCCCGTGGATATCGTCGAGGCGTGTCGTAAATGAAAGAAGAAGGTACGTAAGAACCCGAATGAAGACAGCACACAGAAAGGAAGAAACACGCAAGCCCTCCGCACGCCCCCTCCGGGTCACCACGCCTCCGGCGGGCCTCCCGATGCCCCCCAGGGCGCCCTCGATGCACCTTCCTTTGCGCTCCAACCCCCTTCTCCTTCCCTCGACCCGGACCTTCTCGCGCTGTGAGACCTTCTTTCCTTGTGACCCCGGTGTCCTCGACTATGACCGCGTCCACGATGTCACCGTCTGCGCGAACCCGGCCCTGTTCGCCGAGTTCGGGACGACGCCCTGGCCGTTGACGCTGATCTGGAACTGCGACGCGACCGTCGAGAGGCTGTAGATCGCGACCGTCGACGCCGAGTCGATGTTCACAATCTGCTGCTGGCAGTTGAACGTGTTCAAGCACCCCTGCCCGTAGTTCTGCACAGAATCACAAACGGTGAGCACTTGCGCTATACATCCGGGGCTCGGAGCGGAGCGGCAGCGGGATCCCACGCACCTGGAAGAAGCTGTAGAGCCCGGCGCCTGCGCGGGGATGAAGGTGAGAAGCGCACTCGGGATGGACGCAGGGCGGCCAATTTGGAGTGACGTACCGAAGACGAGGATGTTCTGCGAGTTGGACACCGTGAGGGCCCACGCCGCGCCCGGCCCGAGCGACGGATCCTTGTACGCCGAGTTCGGGATGAACGGGGCAGGCGGGACAGGGTTCGGCTGGAAGTACGGCTGTGGATAGGACGCGCGGTGCGCGTGTTCGTCACCTGCGCGCGGGAGCGGTGGAGGCTCGGATGGACGTACCGTCTCGGTTTGGATCAGGCCCATGTAGTGGTTCTGCGCGTTCACGAGGTAGTACTGGTACAGGATGTTGTGTTCGCCTGCGTTGCGGTCAGCGGACGCACTCGGGCGCGCGTGTACGGAGGGCACTCACTCGCTGTTCCGATCATCCAGACGGGTCCTTGCGACTCAGACATGATCCCGCGCCCAGTGTAGATGTCGATTTGTGGGCCCTGGTCCAAATCATGGTCGGCGGTCCATACCCACAGGCCCTGAGCGAGAAATCGAACACGGTGAGTTTGAGTCATGGGACTCAGGAGGAGACGTACCTCAAGGTAGGCACTCGAAGACGGGGTCAGGTGCAGCGCGAGGAAGGCCGCGAAGCAGTTGTTGCCTCCAGATCCGGAAGTAGGACAGTTGTTTGCCTGCAGGTTCGTGCCGATCTCTGCCGAGAAGCAGTCAGCCAACTCCGCGCGCGACGCCGTCTAGGGTTGGACGCACTTCCGCCGAGGATGATATGGGTGTCCCAAGTGCCCGCGGCGCCTTGCTGGCCTGCGGGATCATGCACGTTCCATTCCAGCACGATGGCGCCGGCGGCTGCAGGATGCGAAATGAACGTCAGTGTGGTGGCCTGATTCTCATCGCGCGTTTTGCTTACTGGGTCCACGCGTGGAGAAGATCATGTCGGATATCTCAAGCACGCCTTGCGAGCCACTGGCGCCAGCTCGAATAACGGGCTTCGCTATAAACGTAATGAGCACGACTCCGTTAGCACGCATGGACTTTGCAGACATACGATTGTTGTAGTCGAAGAAGGCATTGCCAGTCCCGAGTATGGTCGACCATGCCTCGCCAACGACCTGGCTACCCGCAGGAATGGTGATCGTGTTCGTCACGACGTAGACACCCGCGTCAAAGAAAATGACCCTGCAGCCCGCAAACTGTTCAAAGACAGCGTGATACCGTCAGTCTCATTGCTTCCACCAGACCGCAGAGACGGAGATGAAACGAACCTTGTCAAACACGGCCTGGATGGCAGCGGTGTCGTCCGTCTGCCCATCGCCCTTCGCGCCCTGCGACTTGACGCTGATGAACTGGCCAGGCGCATAATTCGCGTACTGCGGGTGCGTCTTCCCGAAAATCCTACCCGAGGAGTCGAGCAGGCTGCCAGCCTTGTTGATCGCGGCGATGTTCGACTGGATGAAGCGGCCGTTCGCGTTCGTGCCCGTGTACACGTTCCCCTGCGCCCACGAGTTGATCGCGGTGGTCCCTCCATTGAGCACTACAGCGCCGCCCACGACGCCGACCGCGATCGGGACATTGTTGAGCTTGATGTTATTGAGCACAAGAGACCCACGCAGGGCACCGTTGCTCGCTTGAGAGCTCCGTACGAAGACGGGGGTGTTAGTTACAACGGCGTCGATGATTGCCTCGCCCTGGACGCCCTGGCTGTCCTGGGTGGTGCCCCCTGTGGCGAGATCGAACCCGACCTTGACGCGACATTAGTTTCGATCACGGATGCGAGGAGGCTCAGTGCAGGACCGACCTGACAGTTGTTGATCGTGACGCCTGCGCGAAGCGCACATCAGTAAGCGAAGATGGTCTTCTTGAATAGGAGCGTACCTTGGAAGGTCCATCCCCAGTTCCACAACCCGTAGACCTGTTGGACAGAATGGTGAGCTATGTTGGTATAGCTTCCGAGCAAAAGAAGCGTACAGCTGTTGATAGAGCGTCAGTCAAGTGTGCATAGCTCACGATGAGAATCGAGCTTACCAGTGTTGGCGTTGTTGACTGTGATGTTGCGAACAGTGAACCTGTGACCGATTCCCCTTTAGCTTCTGAATCTCGGCCAGGAGGCAAGTGATCGCTCTTACTGTTGGTTGCCGACCCACATACCAAACTTGCCGCCATTGAAGACAAGGTCTGAACCAGATACTCAGTATGGTCAACTGCCACTGCGCTGAACTTCCGACGTACCGCCCATAAAGCCACCACTAATAAGAATGATCGATCAGCATACTCGCTCATGAACCTGATACAGGCATCCGATGCGTCAACATACCTTCCGTTCTCCATCCAGATACCTATCATAGTGCAGCGGATCAGTTCCGGAAGCTTCGCAGAGCCGGGATAGTGCGACGAACCTTGGTGGGCATTGCCGGCCGCAGTGGACATTTGGAAGACGATGTTGATGAGGGAAGTCGCCTGCGATACTTGCCAATGGATCCCAGTCGCCGAGGCGCCAGTGGGCATCCGCGAGACATCGATATGGAAGTTCCGAATAGAGTGGTAGCTGGGCGTAGCATGAAGTGTCGAACGACACTCGACCACCGGAGGTACTTACAAGTTGTTCTGGTTGACGTACCAGCCCGGATCCGCGTCTATTGAGAAGAGACGGAATCGGGTGAGCTCGCACGTTCGCACGAGGTAAGGAAAGACACATACCGATTACTGCGATACCCTGGAAGTTAGGGCTCGCGACGAGGGAGGGTATATGTTTGGCATCTCCGATCAGCTGTGTGTAGAAGTAGGAGACAATGGGTGCCGAGACGAGGTATGTTCTGTATGGTGTGTCAGTCAGAATGATCGCGCAATATGGAGTATTCTGCATACCCTTGAGGGAAGTATACGACCGCAGGAGAAGTTCTTGTGAAGACGCGCGGTGATCAGGTCAGGATCGACGAAAGACACGCAAGTCTCTTACGTGGATTGACCACAGCCATTGCCGCAACGGTTTCCGGAGGCAATGGCGTTACTATGAGAGGTCAGTACAAGAGCGTCCACAAACAGATGACACAGATAAAGACTAACTTTATAGCCACGGTATCATCCGTAACGCCGTCGCCCTTGGCGCCGAAGTCCTATAAGAATACACAATTAGCCTCGAGCATACCTAGAAGGGACGAAAACGAAAAACATACCTTAACATTGCGGAAGACTTGGTACCCGCCGGGGTTGCTATTGAACGGGGCGCTGCCTTGGTGTTGGATCTGCTCCATCCAGAACGGCGCACTAGGAGCAGCAGTTCCACTGGTGACGGGTGCAGAGCATTGCGACCCCAGACCAGAGACGAGCGCCCCTAGCCCAAGGAGCGTCAGAAGATGTAGGAACAGCGTTGACGGGGATATGAGATTCATTCTTGCAGACGGGGAGAAGAGCGGGAGGTATGAGGAATCGAAAGGGCTGCCACGACACCTCTGCCCATCGCGCTTTTTATACGACACGAAACTAGGTTGGGCTGGGCTTTTTGGAAGCTCGCCTACAATGGATAGAAATACTGCAGATAGAGCATGAGCTACCCCCATACGTGCATTGCTCGTGACATAGCACGGAGAAATCGTACCAATGCAGGCATGTCACGGAGACGGGCGACGTCGCGCATTGCCAGCTGTCGAGGATCTTCGAGAGTGCCTGGCACAAAAGGAAGGCGAAGGCGCTCGCGGGGCGTTATATTGAGCGTTGCTCGATGGTCGCATGATGGTGTCGCGCCGAGTATGCGTCCACGATGGGTCGCATGGTGGCAAGGGACGGGTCTTCGTCGTTCACGTGTTACCGTTGCAGCGTGGTCGAAGTGATGGCCTCCGTCTTCGACGACGAGGCCGGTCGTGTCTATTGGACAGAAGATCGTCTGAGCCACCTCGAAGAGGCGCACCCGCCAGTTAACTCTGTACGGAAGCTGTGGGTAGTAACGCGTGCAGTTGAATCACGCCAGATCAGCACATGACGGAAGCCCTCGGGAACTCTCCTGCAGGCAGACGGAGATCATGAATGACCGAGGCATCCAATGGCACATCCTCCAGAGGGCCGACACAAGAACACTGAGAGGAAGTAAGATGTCCGCGCCGAGGACTGGATCGGGCGACAGTCGGCAGAATACGAGGCCAGACCGACGGCGGAAATGAGTATGCACGGCTTCGCGAATGCCGTCGACATGTTGAATCCGAGGCCATGCAGAAGTGGAGTATGCTAGTTAAACTGCCTGTCGCGGTATACACACGTTGATAGAAATCAGACGCCACCCGCGTGTGAACTTGGAGGAGCTACAATACCCAAGAACGTCCCTTTCTCGATCTTGCTACATGAGATGGTTGGCGGTGAGTAACTCCTGATAAGGTGCATCCAAGGGTTCGTTGCGCCATGAGTTGCACTCGCTGTTATGTCGGGAGTATCAGTAGACGTGCATGCAAGCGAGTTCGAAGGTAGAAGCGTGCCTTACAGATCTCATTGGCCAATATTGCAGCCAGTGCACTGTATGGGAATCCGGGTAAACCATGTATATGGGTGACCATACGGCTCGCCCAGTCGTACACGAGCGGAGATGTAAGCAAGGTCTCACGAGGCCAGATCTTCAAACGCGTTGTACTAGATGTTGTATCGCGTTTGCATCCACGACAAGAACAGGTCAGTGCAGTACCCTGCATTGATGTAGACACACCAAGTCGATTCTGTGGCATTCAGAACATGACGCGAGAGCGATTAGAAGACCTAGACTCGCGAACGACTGCAGACTCCCATGCAGAGGATCGCACACCCACGGCTGAGTGAGTCGCTCAGAGGGCAAGAACCATCCCATGTGAGTGTACGAGGTTCGCTCGCAGGTTAGGAATTGGCTCGGCGTCTGCGAACGCGTCAGGTACAAGACAGGTGACATGAGGGAAACTTACTTGAAACGTGCGCCCGAACCAAGGACACCGGATGACCACGGCGGTCGGCCCTGTGGTATCATTGGAACGGATGTAGCAAATGTATTATGAAACTTACGGACATATCAGCGAGATATAGATGTCAGGCTTGTGCACAAAGCAAACGATCAAGAGACGCACCTCGCTAGCGCAGAGCGCCGCGGCGCTGTATACGCGCGATGTCAACTCAGCAGGAGGGTCCGGTCAGCAGCTATGGCATACGTCACTCAAAACCGATACCAATACTTCTGGACAATTGGTTGTCCATTGTCGGCCTTAGACAGCTAGGTGCATCGTCTGATCAGCTTAAGGAGCAGCGTACTTGTTTATGCGTAGTCGATACGAGGTCGATGATATCGTGATGAGAGTAGGAAAGAGCAGCCGTGGGAACGTTTCCGAGGCGGTGCGTCTACAAAATAGGCGCGCCAATCGCCCTGCGACTGGCCACCACTTCGCAAAATAACACTCTTGCATTCGCGTTGCGCGTATGCAATTAGAAGGGATAGCGCGGGTAATATATAGTATGTATTCGCCTCTATATCCTGCCCATGCCGAGCGTACACGCGAGCATCTACTAGGTTCCTAATCTACAACCCAAAGCTTGCAGTCCATCTTCAAGCCTTCTGGGTCTTCAAGAACTCCTCCGAGAAGGGGTACGTCGTGTAACCCTTCTCGCTCATCGCCAGGTAGAACGTGTCATACTCGGGCTCGTTCAGCTTGATGTTCTTCTCTAGGCGGAACACAAGGTCGGGCTGCATGCGCGCATCCCCGGTGTCAGCCGGCCACCCTGTGTATGATGCGTTGTAGAGTACTCACGTTTGACAGGAAAGCGCGGCCGTAGCCAATGAGCTGGCCCGTCTCCTCCGCGACCTTGAGGCCGGACTCGCGGTCGTAGCCGCCGGTCGTAATGACCGGTCGGGGCGCCCACAACTTGAGGATGAAATCAGGGTCCTGTAATCGCCGCACATTTATTAGTCCCCCGCGCAGTACCAAAAGCAGGTCTCCGAGTACTCACCGAACCATCCTTGGGACCCTCGTTACCGGGGCCGCCGGGGGAGACGACATGGATGTATGCCAGGTCGGGGTACTTCTGCTTGTACTGCTCGACGAGGTACGAGAACGTCGGGACCGGGTGCTCCTCGCGCATATCTAAAGACCACACCATCAGAATCGGGCTCTGAGGGGTGCGAGCACGGTATGTGCATACCTTGGTACTGGCTCCATGGGCTCAGACGGATCGAGGTCTTCTTCTGGCCGACAGCCGCGACAACGGCCTCGGTGACCTCGAGCGCGAACCGTGCCCGGTTCTCGATAGGGCCGCCGTACGCGTCCGTGCGCTTGTTCGAGACGTCCTGGAGGAACTGGTCCACGAGGTATCCGTTCGCGCCGTGAATCTCCACGCCATCGAAGCCGGCCTTGATCGCATTCTTCGCTGCGGTGGCGTACCACCCGACGTACTCCTTGATCTCTACAGACCGCGGATGATTAACGTGGGTCAGCCAAGCCTCAAAATCGGCGCTGATGCAGGCACGTACCATCGAGAGTCAGCGCGCGCGGCACGTCGTCGGGGCTCGTGCTCAGCCCGATGGGCGACGCCGAGATGTACGGGTAGTCGGGGCTCTCCTGGTGCAGCGCGGCGGGGCGCGCGGCGCGTCCGAGGGCCCACAGCTGGCAGTAGATGAACGACTTGTTCGCGTGGACGGCGTCCGTGATCTACGCGCAGCGAAAACACGGTATCAGCACAAGTCGCGTGTCCCTCCGGTTCGTCCGGAGGCTCTTAGCAATACACGTACCTTTTTCCAGGCCGCGATCTGCGCGTCGCTCCAGATCCCCGGCGCGTTGGGCATCCCGCCCGCCTGCGCGGTGATGTACGTGGCCTCGGTGATGAGGAGCGTGCCGGGCACGCTCGAGCGCTGCTTGTAGTACTCGAGCCCGAGGTCGGTGGGCACATGCGCGTTGTCCGCGCGGAAACGCGTGAGGGGCGCGAGCACGACGCGGTTGCTCAGCTTCGCGTCGCCGATCTGGATGGGCTGGAAGAGGGCGGGGGTGGACATGGTGCTGTAGTGGTGGTGGTAGTGATGTGGTGGGGATGAGGAGGATGAGGAGATGGGTCTGAGAGAACGGTGAGCGCAAGGGGCTCTTATATACACGTTCTGCTGGGATCCCTGGGTAAACAGTCGGTGGCTGAGTGAGATCAGGAAACCTCCGCCCGGTTCGGTGAGTGTGGACGCGTGGCAGACGCGAAGCAGCATTTTCGAATGTTTTCACGAGCCGATGGCGACATGCATTCCAGGCTGCACGTCCTTATTAAGAACATGTCACCAGTGTTGATAACGACGTGTGGACTTGTGGGGGAGGATTCCCTGATGATGTTGAAACGATTTGTCATCGAATTGTAGACCGATCTCAGGCGATCTGGTATAAAGCACACCGTCGCGACGCGTAACGCAGGCCCAGTTTCATGTTAGATGTCAGCCCGAGTGGACATAACAAATACGGGAGTCCTGAGAGGGAGCATGTCTCAGCTGAGAGGTGAGAGGACTCGGGGAGACGGGCAGGGGCGGAATGAAGACGCGTGGAAGCGGTTGTGTGACCGTGGAAATGCTCGAATCTACGCTGCTTTCGCGTAGACCAGCGGAAGCGCGCTGCACAGCTTCCCCAACCTGTCTGCGCGTCGACCGAGTCAACTCTGCATCTACTGGTGACAAAGACCCTGCGCTCCCGCTGCCGCGCAAGTGCCTTGTGACTGGACGTACTGCAAGGTACTCAGGCCGCCGCCGCAGTGTGCACTAGCTTTACCTAGTTGAAATATGCTGAGCAATCCGCATGCCATTGACGTGAGAATGTTGACTGGTGGGCGGCATTTCGAACTCTGAACGTTGTCAGTCCATTGTGCTACGTGTAGGCGACTGCAAGCGGCTAGTTAGCGGGACGCGGAAGCCATGCCCACCGTGTGTATGCCGGAGCGCCTGGCTATGGTTCGGGTTATAGACGTACAAAGTGCGTCCCGGTACGTATCAGGCGAATTTTGGGGTAGCGCGCTCAGGCAACGCTGAGACCACATGAACTGACCTGCCGGGTCCACAATAGCTATCGGATTCACTTGAGGGTCGGCCCATATCAGAGGTGCTGATTGGACTATTTGAGCCTAAGTCAGGGAATGCCCATGTATATTTGGATGCTACACTCACCGAACACTCTGCCGCAGAGAGGCTCGAACACCTTGAGCTACTGAGGCATCGTATACCGCGGCTCGCAGAGGCTTGTTCAATAAATACACTCACAAAGAGTAGAGTCTTCACGATTATGAAAACAGGACGTTCATCAACATCGACCATCGATCGTCGTCGACACAGTAGACTGTTAGAAGCATCCTGGCGGGATAGCTTGAAGTGGGTGTCCTGCATCCGGGGTACACAGAGCGGCATCTTCCGAGTGCCGACGATTGCCCGATTCGGATCAGGTACTCCGGCTCTGCGCTTCGAGCGTCTATTCGATGTCTGTTGTCCTCAAGAACGATTGGCGCCAAACGTACCACAAGGTTTCTGCGCACCACAGCACACGTCCACCGTGTGATGCCCACCAGCTGCAGCATTATCTGCTCGAACGTGTCCGACGGCGTGCAAGCCACCAGGAGACGGAACTTTCCATCCGCACAGTGACCGATGTTACCCGCCCACGATGACATCCGTCGGAGCAGACGCGGGCAAGTATCTGCGCCATGACGTCGAACCGACGTAACGACCACCTCCCCCTCACCCGCCCTCCAATTGTCTGTCTCGGCCGAATGCATTGCCCCTTGCAAGACACATCCGAGGCCTCCCTATGTGGATCCGCCTCTCCTCAACGTTCTCTCATCTCTGACGCCGCACCGAGCGCATGGCCTACCTGTTTGGGTTTCCGCCGTGTGTTCTCTTCTCCAACAAGCTTCCGCCCCAGGCGCGAGCGCGGCCGCCTTAGCGTCCCATCCGTCATCCGCCTCCTCCGCAGGGATCCATCGCACCACACCGGACCATGAGCAGAGTATTTCGGCGTCCGACTCGTCTCTGTAGACTATAAGGACAGGCCTGCGGGCCAAACCCTGTTCAAGACAGCCGACCAACATGCTTCGCCTCGCACTCCCCTTCGTACTCGCTGCTGTCACTCGCGGAGCCCTCGCGGCCCCATATACACCCTCGGGAGGACTGGGCTTCAACTCAACACCGGTTTATCAGCCGATGAGCGATTTTGATTTCCAGTCACTCGTGAGTACACGACGCATAGCCATTGTATGGTCGATCATGCTCAACCTTCTTTCCAGGCGCTGGCACTGCACCAAGAGTATATCGAGCTCGATTTATTCCATCACGGTCTCGCCATGTTTTCCGACGCCGAGTTCGAGGCGGCGGGCCTCGGCGCCCACGACCGCTTCCTGATTGAGTTCATGGCGGACCAAGAAGTGGGCCACGCGACCCTCATATCAAACATTCTTGGTCGTATGTCCACCCAGTCGATCTACTGCAGCACGCTCCTGATACAATTTTTTCGCAGCGGATGCGGCGCCAAAGCAATGCAATTATACGTACCCCTTCGAGAGCGTCCGCGACTTCGTAGATTTCTCCCAGAAGGTATGTGCCAGCGTGCTCCCTCCGCACAAAATCCGCAACTAACAGGAATATTTTCAGCTCACGCGCTTCGGTGAGTCTGGGGTATATGGGTTCCTCGAGCACCTCGACTCCCGGGCATCTGCCTCACTCCTTCTGGAGTCTATCACCACCGAGGCGCGTCAGCAAATGATCTTCCGGCAATTCGAAGGACTATTCCCAATGCCGGTGAGTAATCATTTCTCTCTCGACATGCATATTCTGACGCCCGAATATTAGGAGTGGTTTATTCCTGGCATCACACAGAGCATGGCGTGGACGCTTCTTGCGCCATATATCACCTCATGCCCTGAGAACAACACGCACCTCGCATGGCAGAACTTCCCCGCACTAAACATCACAGTAAGCCATACGTCAAATGTGTATGACATTGTGCTTAGTACAATCATGCAGAACAACCCCAACGCTTCAGTTCTGACTAACGAGACGGGGCCTGCGATCACGCATAACCGGTCCACACCGTTGTCGTCTCCTGGGATGACGGTCAACTTGACCTGGGAAAACCCGGGCCTTGCGGTCGGCCCTAACGGATCGTACACGACGTCCACTAGCGCGGGCGAGCCTAAAGTGCGCACATACACACCTTCTCAAGGTGACCGTACTGACTAGCTTTCTAGTTCGTCGCGTGGATATCGCAAATAAACACCACGTTCACCGACCTCACCATCCTGGGCAACAACACGGGTTCGACCATCCAGCCGGGCAGCGAGATTTTCGGCAACAACACGTTCTCAACCATCAACGGCACCATGTACGTGCACCGAGGCACCTATTATCGCGCTATGCTAACAGCACCCAACGCAGGTTCATCCTGATCACGGATGATAGCCCATTTGTCACCCCCTTCAACCTATCGATGCTCAACGACCATGTTGTTGCCGGGCCAGCTATGTACCAGTCTGGCTGAACGTGCACGGACAGTATGACATTTTAGTACCGTTTTCCTCATGTTGTATATTAACAATCTCCCTCGTCAAATCGAAACGCTCTGCATCCGTACCGTGCTTTCGCTATCTGCAACCTATTTATACACTTGCCGTGTTAAGGGAAAAGAAAAGCCCCACAACATGTGGATGAGGTAATTAGCTTGCTATTCGTCCTTCCCCCAGGGCAGCACACGTTTGTATACCTATCCGCCGTTCGATGGCCGGATTCGGGCGAGGAAAATCCGGCAGCAAGCGCACGATATTGGAGGAACACTCTTCTTGTGCTAGCGGTTTTCGCTATGAATCGATGAGCCTACCGTTCAATATCTTCGTTCTTGCGCGTAGTCTGTGGTATCTTGTACAAGCCATTCTAATTCTATCACGAAATGCATTAAACCAGAACATTTCACACCGCCGTCACGCCAACTGCGCATCCCCCGCCTCATGCTCGCTCACCTGCTCCTCATGCACGCTCTCCAGCCCCACGCCCCTCAAAATCACGCCCAGCCCCTCGCCCTTCACCGCCTCCATCTCCCTCTCGCTCTTCACCAACAGCATCCCCGCGAACCCGAGCGCGTTCACGCTCAGCTCCTCGCCCGTGCCCGCGAGCACGTGCGTCTCGCGCCGCCGCGGCACGACGTGCATGTGCTCGAGCGTGAGCACGACGTTGTACGAGGGCGGCCCGGGCGGGTACGTGCCGTCGCGCCGCACGGTCGAGATCGCGAGGTCGAGCAGGGAGAGGAAGGCGTCGGTGAGGATGGGCTCGAGTGCGGCGGGGCGCGTGGTGGGGAGCGAGGAGGGCAGGCGGCGGACGTGGTTTGCGTAGGGGACGCTGGAGAGCGCGAAGGGACGATCTAAGGGCGCAGGTCAGAGAGGGGATCGTGCGGGTAGATGTAGGGAAGTGTACCTTCTTGCTCGAGCTTGACCCCGCGCGCGAGGTGCTCTATCGGGGGGCCGTCGTCCTCAACGGGTATTAGCTGTAGGTGCTTATGCGGTTGACTCGCGCCGCTTAGGTCCCCGCCTGTGTGCTCATGAGCGAATGCTGCGTAAGTCGTACAATAATTCCGCTTACAGTTGTAGAAGGCGAAGAACTTCCGCCCTGCCTTCCTCGCAGCGACGAGGAAGAGGTAAGCCTGCACGAGGTCGGGCGGCATCAAAGGTGATGTCTGGGACTGGAACTCTGCGGATTATGAACGTAGTCAGTACACAATGTAAGAACCGACCCGGATCGCGTACCCTTCGTGACCATCAGGATATGGTGGGGCTGGACCGAGTACTTGTTGAACTGCAGTTGTCCAACCCACAATGCAGAACATCACGAAAAAGCAGAGGACGCGTCTCCCGTCAATCACCATCCTCGCAGGCGCGTTCCAACTGTGGCACTGACCAGGATCACATACTCGTCCCCCTCCTCCGCATCGCGCACCTCGCCAAGGTACAGGTTGGGCACATACGGCGGCGCGAACGGGTCCGGCTTCTTCTTCTCCTTCTCCTCCACTGCAGGCGCGTCCGCGCTGAAGTCCGGCGTCGGGAGGCGCGGCTTGTTCTGCAGCGCCGGGCACAGGCGGATCTCGAACTGCGCGTCGCGCGCGTACGCACGAGCAAGGAAGAGGGAATCCTAGGTCAGAAATACGAACGGATCACTAGTAGAGCCAGGGCGCACCTCTACACCATTCTCGGTGTGCTTATGCACAGTCGACGGGAAGAAGAGCAGATCCCCCGACGCCTGCGCCTTCTCGAACGCCTCGGGGAGCTTCGCAAGGATCGCTTCCTGCGCAGCCATGCCTGATCTCGCAGCAGAAGCACTCGTGGAGTAGGAAGTCGGCCTGCTCGCAGATGCAGATAGAGTATTCAGAGAAGCCGAGGGATGCCAGACGCTGGTTGCAGGCGAGGTCGACGGATGAGTGCAAGGAGCGCGGGGTGTCCACAGCCTGAGAGATACGCTCGTTGTATGCGCGATAGAGGCCGAGAAATGACGCGATCTGGAGCGTGTCAGTTCGCGCTGCAGTGGTTGGGACAGAGGGTGGCGGACTCGATCGACGAGCTGCATGAGCATGGACCATGCAGCGTGGGCCAATTTCAGGACGCGCGCATACCGCGCCGCCAGCGCCTGTACCGCAATTCGATCGCGTACACAAGCAACGAGTCTCGCATTCGCTCTCGGCCGGGCACAAGCAACAGAATGGGGGCGCTCATCAACGCTGCGTATTAGACCGTCATTATACGCTAGTACAGAAAAGCGTCGCGCATTTCATTGCTGGTACAACAAACTAGGAACGGGGAAAGCAGGTCCGGCGGCAGCAGGCGAGTGTTCGGGATCCGCGGAGCACTCGCGCGGAGGTACGGGCAGTTATACGTTGTTTGTATGTTCGCTGTGCGTGCGAGTTTGGAAAGCAATGAATGACAACAAGAAAGACGGTAGAAAGTTGGAAGGGGTGCGGGAGGAGGGGGATGGGGGAACGGAGGCGGCGGAGGGGAGGGGAGGGGAAGGGGAACGACAGGATGGACCAGTCCATCCGCCGGCAGTCTGCATGTTCTCCCCGTACCGTAACCAGGAGCGAAAGCTCAGGCTCTTCCGCCCCGCCCCTTATTGTCCTTCGCTTCCGGCATAATCTCCCCAAGCATTTGCGCTCGTATGTAGCAGCACGCAGCTATGAAGGAGTATAGCGCCCCGTTCGTTCCCTGTCGCGCCCATGATTGGTAAGTACGCGCTCGCGCGGGAAAGGAGCAGAGCCAAACTGACCTGGTAGTACAGGATCGCGAAGAAGGTCTGCAGCAACAGGACGACTATCCGGATGGGGAAGCTCCGGTGTATCGCCGTATTCTTCAAGAACGGCGCGGGATAGTCCAGCATAAGGTAGACGAAGCCGACCAGCATGCTCAGGATCTGAATGACGGGTGCCTTGACGATGATAGAGACAAAGATCGAGTCGCTCGCGGCCGGTCTGAACAAGGGAACGGCAGTGAGTACAAGGGAGCGGCTATTGTAGGCGTGAGACGGGTACTCACTGCACACCGCCGGGGGAGCGGATGATGCCGTTCACAAAGTCAAAGAAGAACTTCCGGTAGTAGAACCCCCAGAAGGCGCTCCAAATCGTGTCTTTGGGTGTGGGAGGTCAGCACCGGCGCAACGTCTCCCCTCCGTCATGTTCGAGTTGAACGCAGACACTCACAAGCCGTGGCGGAGAGGGCGACGTAGCGCGCGTATTCGTGCCAGACCAAGTTACCCATTGCGAGAGTGCGTGTGGGGGGTGTGAAGAGTTGGCTGGCGGGTGGCTGAAGGGTGCAGTTGCTGCGAGATGGACCAAGACCAGACAGGGAAGGGGAAGGTGAACGGGGATGGAGGAGCGCTGCTCTGTTCTGAAGGAAGCGGAGAACGAGATGCACGGACTAAGCAGGCAGAGAGAGTGGAAAGGCCGGTGGTCCAGCGAGCGCAGCTCGACCAAGGAGAAAGAGACTGAAGAAGGGAGGAAGAGGAGACGGAGAGGAATGCACGCAGCGTTGGCCCACCCGCCCCTGCCCTCCAACCGTCTTTGATATAACGTCGTGACCCGTCACTGTCCACTGCCACCCGTCGCCAGGGCCCGCGTCCGTCACGCCGGCCTCCCCGCCCATGTCCGCCCTCGATGCCCCGCACCCTCGGTCGGTCGTGATGCATCAAAGTTGGCAAGAGTGCGCGCACATCCCCCGGCTGCATCAATCGCGGCTTTCCGAGGCGTCGAGTACCTGCGTGCCTCCCCCAGCACTGCCCGCGACGCCCGGGCGCGAGATGTGACACGCTGTGACGCTCGAGCCAAAACTCCCGATATGATGCGGCTGCCGTGATGGAGCTGCCAGAACCCCGCGCGCGCGTCGAGACGGGACCAGATCGTGTAGGTAGCCGCCATGCCGTCAATCGATCGCGACAGTAGTTAGAGCTAACGGCCCAGGAACGAGTCCCGGTCTCGATAATTGTCCCACCTACGCAACATGAGCAGCAGATCGACATGTTCGCAGCACTCGCAGCGAACGGTATGCATATGCGTGGTCGCCTATTCGTACAACATGAGCGGAGCATGCGAGGCGTGTGTCGCAGTCATGACATGAATTCGGAATGTCCGAAGTCGCACTAGGGCGACGGGGCCCGGAATGAGAACATGGCGATAGGAAGGCCATAGCAGAGCCGCCATAACGACGGCAAGCTTCCGCTGGAAACGCGCTGCACCCGGGCGCGTCACTCAAGGCTGCCGCGCTCACACGCTTAGGCGTAGCTCTGGGGGTCTCGGAGGACGAATGGGAGCCCCAGGATCCTGCAATGCACGGCGCAGGTGAGATTCGAAGCCCGCGCGGAGACTGCGAGTGCGACTGACCATGTGAGAGTAGAGGTCCGCGATGTCATACCCGTCGTCGTCCCCGTTCAGCGTGGCCGATTCCGAGGTGTACGAACTGTCACGGACGAAGATGGGTGGCGGGGGCGTGGGCATCCCCTTGGTGTTCTGTCCCTTCAATGGTGGAGCGTACGCCCCAAGCGTCGCGGCGGTGTTGCTTGAAGTCTGTGACATCCGCGATGGAGGGGATTGTTCAACATACCGACCGTGCATATCGGTCGTTCCACCGTGTCCTCCGAAGAAGTACCCGGACTCCTTCTCCGGATCTTGAAGCGGAAGAACGGGAGAGGGGAGGACGGTCCTCCGCCTGCTGTTTCTCGCGCGGCGTCTTCGGCGCAGAAACATGAACAGGAAGGCCACAATAAGAAGGATGACCACGACGCAGCCGACGATGATACCGATGACTGCACCAATAGGCAGGCCACCTTTCGGCTGAGACGTGCCGGAAACCGTGCTAAAACATGTTTTGAGCGTCGTGGTCGGTGGCAGCGGACCGGAAGAAACTTACGGGTTGCCTGCCCTTTCTGCTTGACTGCCAGAGGGGAGCGCATGCGGCGATGCTGTTATGGGTGTAGCACGCGCGCCTGCAATTGCCGGTGTAACCGTGTTCTGCGCACCGGTGCCTACCTGTGTCGTCGGTGGCGGCGGGTCAGGGGATGCGGTGATGGGCACCGCCGTCAACGGCGCCGAGGAGTCTGCAGTGGAGTCGCCATTGCCTGAACCTGTAATGGCGTGTCTGCGAGAAGATGAGACGCCGCAAAAAATGATAGGCGATGAACGTACGGCTTCGCAGATACCCCACTGGACTGAGTAGAAGGTGAGCTCGAGGACGTTCGAGATGCGTCACTGGAAGGAGCGGCTTGCGGAGGAGCATCTCTGCACACATCAGTTATATCACATGCGATGAACCTAACGCGTGCGCGGAAAGACGTACTGTTGCGTCTGGCCAACCGTCTCGTACACGATAGCATCGAGGTCGATAGGCCCCGAGCCCGCGTTCATGATCGACACCACATGTTGTCCCATCTCCAAGTTCTGGACCGCTCCCAACAATTGACCGGTCGTAGGCTTGGAAGCAGTAGCATTAGAGTATGCAGCCACCTCGTTGTCGACCACGAGGATGAAGGAGCCGTAATCCGGCTGGCGCGCGCCGTAAAGCCATACTCCGGTCCCGGTGAACGTGAGCTTAGCGGTCGCACCACTGACAGATGTCCCGTGGAATGTCGAGTTCATGTACGCCTGTGCATCGTTCCCAGACGGAGATGTCCATGCACTCGGCGGGTCGTAAAGAATGGAAGATGAACTGTCGTCAACTGTGTGCGGCGTGAGTATGCATCGACCGCTGGGAAGATGGTGGGAACGTACTCGTAACGTTGGTGAAAGCAGCCATCAAGGCCGAGCGATAAGTTACCGCGGAAAGTACAAGGGTCCCGCCCGGAAGAAAGAGGGAGAAAAAGTGACGAGAGGTGGTGGAGACTCACGAGGAGACTCTCTGAGGTCAGTGCATTGCGTTGGAGACATATGAGGCTCTCCGCTGAGGCGGCACCAGTGGTGATGATCATAACGACATGTCATGCTGTGGCCCTGAGTTTGCACTAGGCCGCGCGCAGAAGGTTTCAATCTGGCGGCAATATATGACGCGACCAATCACAAAGTGTCAGGCCATCTCTTGCATGTGAATAGCCTATCATCAAAGCCGGCGTGTTACGAGTATGCGCAAGAATGTAGACGGCGGTACACCGGGAAAACGCAGTGAGTGGGGGGCAGATGGGCGTCGAAAGCAAGAGACGATGCGCGACGGAGCGCCCGCAGCGGGCGATCCGCTTCGCATGCTACTTCCATTCTGGGTCTAGCGCGTGATCTGCGCCAGGTACCGAGCTGAATCCAAGTTGGATGAGATCTCAGAAAGTTCGTCTGAGACGTACCAATATCACCCTCTGTTCTCTCGAAGCATGTTTATGTTCCACCCATCGCGACAAATCTCGGCATGAAACTGAATACATTGTTCTGCGTAGGGCTGTATACGAGCATCGTACAACGTCGTGCAACTGACTACCCGCTGGCTGTTACTAGTCGCTGTCCTCGGCCGCTTGGGTAGCCTTCAAGAACTCTTCGGGATCCCATCCGTAGTATTCCTGGAGTTTCTTGGAGAAGTCTCTCAGCTTCTTGGGATGAATGGTCGGGTTGGGATGCGCTACAGGAACATATTCAGCAGATGACTACTCCACGGGTGGACTAAATAGCTCACGTTTGTGGAAACTGATCGCCTGCGACACCAGCCATTTATCAGGATCTCGCCGTGCAAGAATATGAAGCAAGAGACTCACCCTATCCTTCGGGTTTGGAGGGTCGAAGCGGACACTTGAGCCGGCCGTTCCAGGGTGGTAAGTGAATCCGAGGTCGGTCATCATCTGAAAGCACAATGAGGCGTAGCTCGACAACAAGGTATTACGCACGTCCTCACCCGAACGAATTTCTCCCATCGCATGTCCGCAATGCCTTGCTTCTTGTCCGCTGAAGTGCGTAGGAGCTGATGCACAAGCTCCGCCGTCTTCTTCTTGATCTTCCCCGTCCAATAGCTGCTCTTCTTTCCCTCATCCTCCGAGTCACTGTCGTCATTTTGGGCCTTGCTCTTCGAGAAAGGACTGAAAAGGCGCTTCTTCTTTTGCTCGGGCACGGCGTCGAGGTTACCTAAATTTCCGGCGGCAGAGCGCGTCTTGACCTTGGTCTTACCCCCTGCTAAGCCCTCGGTCTTCAGGTAAGTGCGCGCGGACTGTGCGGTCTGCTCCTGCTGAAGCGGCAAGGAGGTCGTAGAACCAAATTGGTTCAGCGTCGTGGTCGAGCTGTTGATAGAAGTCCGAGGCGGCGCGGGCTTCGCCGGGGCTTTCGCCTTCGGTGCAGGCGTGGGCTTGGCGGGGCTCGCAGGGGTCTTCGTCGCCGGAGCGGGAGCAGGAGGTTGCACTGGCGAAGCGGGTACAGGGGCGGGCGCAGGAGTCTCGGGAGTAGCGTCCGTTCCTTGGGTGGCAGATGCGGGCTTTTTCTTCTTCTTCGGTTTCTTCTTTTTCTTCTTGGCGGACGTAGTGGGGGCCTCGTCGTCTTCGACCTCCTCTACCGTAGTCTGGAGAGGCTTGTGCGGAGCGCGAGGCGGTGCGCTGCTAGCGGTCGGTTTGCCCTGAGCACCTCCAGCAGTAGGAGGAGCGGCGGGCTTCTTGCCCCCAAATCGTTTCCGCGGTTCATCCCTGTCCGCGGTGGTCACGGCCGGACTCGCCGGGAACATACGTCCTGGCGATATCGCGTCTACATTATGAAGTTGTATATACGACAAAAGACGCACCTCTCAGGGACCCCAGCAGCTTCAGGAATGGGTTTCCTTTGCGCTCCTCTGCCATTGAGTCGAACTCCGGCGCAGGGGCCTTGGGGTCGAAGAAGTCGCCTGACGCGACGGCGGCGTCCATGGCCTCGCGAAGCAGATCGCGTAGGTCGTCCTCTTCGTCCGTGTCGTACTCTTCCTCCGAGCCGCCATCGCTATCGTCTTCGTCGGGGAAGAGATCGTCCTCACTGTCCTCCTCATACTCCGACTCCGGATCCTCCGACTCTGAGACGGTCTGCAAGGACGGCATCGACCCGTCGCTTTCATCCCCATTAGTGATGGCGAGAGGTTTCGCCTTGCCTCCGGCGCGTTTGCCCCGTCCCGCAGGCACGAGTGCCATTGCGTCGTCGTCAGGGTTGCGAGCACCACCATGCCACGAGGGCTTGATGTGCCGGATGTCCTTGACTCCCCATGTGTCGTCGACGTCCTTGCCTGACGTGCTTTGGTAGTTCTGAGGTGGATCAATATGGCGACCTCCAAACTGATAAGGACGGCGTACCTTGTCGATGATCGACCAGACTTTATTGAGGACCTCTTTCTTGCGCGTCTTCTCTAGCGGGAATACGGTATCGATGTAGTTGTTCCATAGCTCGGACGCTTCCTTAGAATATATCTGCGCGTCGACCCAGCTCTCGTAGGATTCTGGCATCTTTCGTGCTTCCTTCTTCCACTTCTCGCCGTCGGGGTCGTAGAACACGCCATCCAGCATGGACTGCAGCTCGATGATACTCTACGTAGAATGCGCGGGCGGCGGCGTAGGAGTGGTGAGCATCCGTCTGTATCGCACATGCCGTCTAGCGAGCGCGGTCGAGTGTGGTCACCTACCGAAAGGTCTCCCACAGCGTCCCACAACCCTTGTGAGAAACGTTTCGCATCCTTGGGTGATTCTTCTGTTGCCTCTCCGAGAAGTTGGACCAGGACTTGTTTGGGTATCGGTGAGTCGGGCAGACATAGCTCGACGATGATAGAGTCCAAGAATGACTTGTGAACTGCCTTCAGCTGGTCCCAATCAAACGAGTACTCGGGCTTGCCAGATGCCGGGTCTTTGACTAATTTGAAGTACTGCGTGTAATGCTCTAACAAGCAGACGACCCAAAATTAGACACAGTACCAAGTAGTGCAGGAAACAAAACACACCAGCAGTTGTCGCGAGTACACCAAAATTCTTCTGGCCTGCCTGTACCAGGACGTTGACGGTGTCGTACAGCACAAGGAAGCGTGATCGCATAGATTTGCTGGTCTTAAGCTGCAACTTGATGGTGACATCGTCTAGCCCGTCTTCTGCGAGGTCGCGGATGATATCTCCGACGACGCGCCAACCCGAGGCCATCATGTATGTGTTGTGGATGCTAAGAGAGCCATATGAACTAAATGGAGCAGACAGATCCGGCTGACACCCACTGGCTAGCACACATCGAGACGACGTGGGCCTTGAGCTTTGAGGGCCCTTGCTTGCTCAGTTGTTGAAGCTGCGCCGGACTCGTATGGGCATCAACATCAGCCATAATATGGTCGGCGAAGAGCTCAGGATCACGGAGAGCGTTGATCTCATCCAAGTATGCTATAACAGACATATCTGAGTGTCTTCTCACGCATTCCATTCCATCAGCAGGCCATACCACTGAGCTGCGAGTCCGCAATCTTGAGGCAAACTTCGAGTTTGAAAGGTGCAGCTATCGCCTGTCTCACAAGATCCTCTGATTAAAAACACCGTGAATATGTTGGATCTTCGCGTCTGGCTAGTTTGTGGGTGTCCTATACGTACCCGCTAGGAGTTCGAGCTTCTCTCTGCCGCTCATCTTTGATGCAAGCATGACTTCGCCCGTGCCCATGGCACCATGCTTCCCGTTCCGCAGAACGAGTGCGCGGGCGGTCAGGGGCTTGTTTCCGTTTGCATCGCGCTCGCGTCCGGCGTGTTTCTTGAAGACTTCGCGGGGGCCGACCGTGACTAGCTCGCGCGAGTTCGAGGGAACAGGCTTTGTCTTCGCTTGTGGCTTTGCGGGAGGCATCGTAGCCAACGACGGTCAACGGCGTCGAGAGCGAGAGGTCGGAAGCGAGAACGGTTTCGAATTCGTGCAACTCTGTACATACTAGGCGCCCGCAGAAGCGTGCCTCCGGACCAGAGTGATCCTTCACTCAGACCACATCCTCGAAATGGCTGCCCGACCACCCCCCGCTCGCCCCCACATCGGTCTGAATCCGTCTAACAAGTTCTCATCTTACTCGACCAACGACTGGGGTGAAGACGATGCGTGGGACAGTGCCTCCGACTCTGAATCTGCGAACAAACCGGACTGGAAACGGTCCAAGGCTCGTGCATCCTCGTCCACTGGCACATCGGCGCCGAAACCAGTCCCCAGACCGACGCTGAACAACTCGTCGACCACACTCGCCTTCTCGTATACCCATGTGCACGCCCCTAGCTCGTACCCGCCGAAAGGCGAGCAGCAAGGTCCGCCTGGCGCACGGAACGGCTGGACGATCGTCAGGAAGTCGACGGACCGCGGGAGCCTCGAGAGTCGCGAGTCCAGTCAGCATGTGAACCATGCAGGGTACGACGAGCTCGAGGCCGACATGGTGATAGGCGACATGGAATCGGAGGTGGATGACCGGGTGGCTGCGCATACTGCAAAGCCGCGGTACGAGCAGGGTACCCTCAGAGAGGACGCGGAGGAGATCGTCAATGGTGCGCATCCATGGATCGTATGGTCTCATTGACCTCTCATCCAACGCGTAGATCCTCTCTGTCTCTTGCAACGTCAGTCCGAGAAGTCCTCCAGTAAAAGCAAGCCTGCGATAGACTCCGCCGGTGGCGATACCGAAAAGCTCATGAGGGAACACTCGATCCGTACCAACAGGCGGACGAGATTTATCAACTGTATCACCCGCGACGACGTAGATATCGGTATGTGTGACATCGCTGCTGCCGCAGTACAGGTCGCTCATTCTAGTAGCACAACTGCGCAAGCTCGCTTGGAATGGTGTTCCGGACGACCTAAGACCGCTTGTCTGGCCACTGCTCCTGGTATGTCTCTGCATGGTGTTAGACCATCCATGTTTTCTCAACGTCAGGGAAGGGGTACCTGCCGCTGCCAAAAGCCACCCGTACATCTACACTTGCGAGGAAACGACGGGAATATGCGTCGCTTGCGGAGCATACCTTTTCCAGGGGGCGCGAAGGGCTCGACCAGCCAATATGGCACCAAATTGAGATCGACGTTCCTCGTACGCGGCCGGGAGTACGACTATGGATGCAGGGATGCACGCAGCGGGTGTGTGAATTCTGTCCTGCAAGTCAAGCTACCACGATCTTATAGCCTGGGATCAAGAGTCTTGAACGTATACTATACGTATGGGCAATCAGGCATCCTGCAAGCGGTTATGTGCAAGGTATCAATGACCTTGTCACACCCTTCTTTCAAGTTTTCTTGTCCGCATATATCGGTCTGTCAACCATCGCAGCTATTGGGAGGTGTCTATACTGACAGCCTGTACTAGACACGGATCCGGAGGATTTCGACACGGCGTTGCTTACCGATAATATACGGATGGCGGTGGAGGCGGACACCTTCTGGTGTCTATCACGACTGTTGGACGGCATACAGGACAACTACATCGCTGGACAGCCCGGCATTCACAGAAGTGTGAAGCGCATGGCGGAGCTCGTTGCTCGAATAGACGGTTTGTCGCCCATCTACTCATGCATCTTGGGAATCCTTCTCATACCACTTTCTTTAGCCCCGCTATCGGCCCATCTGGATGTCGAGAACGTCGAGTTCATGCAATTCGCGTTCCGGTGGATGAACTGTCTTCTTATGCGGGAGATCAGCGTCCAGAACACCATCCGAATGTGGGATACCTATCTGGTACGTTCCCTTGTCGAATTGGCTATTGCGTATATTTGAACGGATGGAACGCCAGGCCGAAGGGACGGACGCGTTCTCCCAGTTCCACCTCTATGTCTGTTCCGCTTTCCTGGTGCGGTGGAGCAAGAAGTTGCAGGAGATGGACTTCCAGGTGGGTGTATGCTACTCATCTTCGCCGCGGCGACTTTACTCACTGCTATACCTTCCAGGGCATCATCATGTTCCTCCAGTCGCTGCCCACGCAAGACTGGGGCGACCACGAGATCGAGATGCTTCTCAGCGAGGCGTTCGTCCACTACTCGACATGGCACAACGCCCAGAGCCACTTTGGCAAATGATACCTCCGAGTCCCGATTTCTCCGGGCAGCGGTGTATGCAGATGGAAAATAATGCAGGGATGTGTAGAAGACGGATGTATTTATGCGTGTACAACAAACATAAATCACGATGCATGGGCGAGCGCGCATATAGCCATGGGGCGCCATAACAAAGCATGAGTGTAGTGAAAGTCCGGGGCTCCGTGTGGCGAGACGGCGAACGGAAGATGTGAGACGAAGGGGACGTTCATGAACCCTCCGACTTCGCCTTGACGAACTCGATCTCGCGGTTGAGCGCTGCCTTGAGCTCGTTTGCCTGGGCGGCGGTCTTGCAACGTATCCGGTAGGGCGTCGAGTGGCCTTCATCGTGGCCGATGAATGAGACGACCTTATCTGCCACAGATGCGTTCATGCCACTGTAGAGGATAAAGTTCTACGCCCGGACACGAAGTCAGGACTGAGATTGCACTGCACTCCGGGAAACACTCACGATGGTGATCTTGCCAGTGCTGCTATTCCGCAGCAGCATGCGCCGCGACTCCGTCTCCTTGTGCTTCTTGAGACGCAGGACACCTGGAAGATAGCCGTCCGGATCAGATCAGGGATCCACCTTTACTGCGAACACGCTAACGCACCGACGCCGAGATCGCCCCACTGCGAGTTGCCGTCCTTGTCCTTCGTCATCTTGTACACCTTGCTCCTGACCTCGTGCGTCGTGACCTCATGCTCCTCGCCCTCGCCCTCCTGATCATGTATAGACGTCCCAGCCGCCAGGACAGGTGTAGACTCAGGCGCTGGGGTGCCGTCGCCCGAGGAAGCGTCCTTCTCGTCCGACCCGCTGGGCTCAACAGCCTTCGGGGCGCCAAACGCGAAGGGGAGGGACTTGACCGGGCCATCCGCGCTCTCAGCATCTGGGGTCTTGGGCGGGCTGCCGAAGCCAAAGCCGACGGGATTTCCGATGCTGCCCGCTTTGGGGAACCCACTGAAGAAGGTGCCCTTACTGGGGGAGGCGGACCCGAACGAAAACCCGGAGGAGCCCCCTGGCGACGTCTTCTCGGGCGTGCTGGTGACGAACGGGTTCGACCCGCCAGTGGAGCTCGTCCCGAAGAACGTGCTGGACGAGCCAGAGCCAGAGGACGTGATCGCGTTTGACGACTCTTTGTCTTCGGTCTTGTCGGCGTCTTTGTCTTTGGAGGCGTCGCTGGACTTGCCGCCGAAGAGGTTGCTGCCGAAGACAGAGGTCGCAGAGGGCGCCGAGCTGCCGAAGAACGAAGGCGTAGAGCTGGACGATGCGCTAGGTTTTGAGAACAGGGAGGAGCCAGGTGTAGACGCGCCAAACGTGAATGGCGTGGGCGCGGCCGAGCTCGTCGCCGAAGTCGCTGACGAGGGGCCGAAGCTGAACGAGGACTTTGGGGCTTCCGCAGCAGCAGGTTCTGATGCAGCGGGTTTGGGCGCGAAGCTGAACGGGCTCCCTAACGAGCTTGCACCTCCAGTGTCAACCTTGGGAATAAAGCCCGATCCGAACGGTGTGTTGCCAGAAGGCGTTGAAGATGACCCTATGGGTTTGAAGCCCGAGAAGCTGCTGGGAGGCGCGGGCATCGTGAAAGAAGGAGTAGCGGCGGGAGGCTTAGAGCTCTCGGCAGGTTTCGGCGCAGAACCGAACGACGTGGGCGTATTTGAGGGCGCACTCGAGGAAGTCTTCGGCGTTTCTGCTCTGTCAGAACCTACGGATACACGCAGCGACTTGTAGCGTTCCAGCAAGTCTGCGACATCCACGAATGGGTCGGCCTCAATGGCTTTTGAAATGGCGGAGAGCAATGAAACATTGAGACCCCGAAGCGCCTTGAAGTATTCAATATCCTTCTCGTCCGCTTTCGCTGAAATACTGGGAGCACTTGGAACCGATGACAGCGCAGGTTCAGAAGACGAGGACACGATGGAAGCGAATGCTTTAGTGGCAGGCGACGCATTAGATGACACGGACGTGCCAAAAAGCGAGGAAGGCTGGGAGGAAGACGCCCCGGAGAACGAGAATGAAGACGAGGGAGCTGACGTTGCTGGTTTGGAGGCAGCAGAGGGTGCTCCAAAAGAGAAGGGTGTTGTAGTGGTCGCGCCAGACCCGAAGCCACTGAAGCCCGAGAACTTTCCGGGAGCTGGAGGGGCCTTAATGACATCGTGAGTTCTTGAAAAGCCAGCACTGGTCCACACAAACGCACCTCTGTGGCTGCGGCAGAAGGTGGCGGAGACAAACTTGCAGCGGCAGTTGTCGCGCTCGAACGTTTCGGGAGGCCTCTTATGCTATATTTTAAGCGTAAATTAGCCTCATCCAACTGGAATTGGCATGGAACACGTACGGACGCGCGGCCAAGACGGACTCATCTGCTTTCCGGAAGCCTCTGCCAACTTCCTGCCAGGCGAGTTCAAAGGCTTTCCCGGTTCATGTCAGAAAATACACATACCTCAACCTCTTCGTCATCATCATCGTCCTTGATTAGCTGTCTGTCTGCGACTCTCTTCATGGTGGCACCGGGAATGTGTGGGCAGGAGGGTTGAATGTGGCAGAGAGTGAACCGTGCACTCAGTGGTCCTCGCGTCCTTCGCCTTTCGCGTCGGGCGTTTAACAGCTGCACGTGCTCCGAATGAGCGCCTGTCGGGCAATCAAATATCTACGCGGAGTCCTCAGAGTCATTATGGCCTTGTAAGCGCGTTGTACTTACGGCGATCCATGAGCTGGTTCAGCTGAAGATGTGGACAATGTCTACCTCTTTTATGATCATATACGAGGTGTCATCAGAGCTGCGAGATGGGGTGTCCATGACCAGCGGGAGCGGAGGACGCTCTGGAGCGCGAAAGGGGAGGAAAGGGGTGGCGCCGGAGTGCCACAGGGCGCGCTAATGCGCTTACGTAACGCGCTCTGCAGGACTGCTCCCGGGGCGCCGAGACGACCACAGGGGCGTGTACGAACTTGGATCTGCACCAGTTCTCTGTGCTCTTCTCTCTTTCTCCTTCTTGGTGCCCCATGTCGTCTTCGTCGACGACCGCATGCTCGCGGTCTCCCTCACCATCACCTGCAACGCCCGAGGCGTCCGACAACCTAGGACCGATTATGAACCAGGAGGATCTTTCTGCTTGGTGCAATTCTCTTCCGGACGCACAATTCCTCGTCAAGGGCGAAATCCAGTATGGACAGAACGGCGGAAAGCGTGATGCGAATGCCACGTTGGACTTGGAGGATCTTTTGCAGGACCACGTATATGAGGAGTGAGTCGTGTCTCATCAATGAGTTTACTCTGACTGCGCATGCTGATTGCGTGCATTGCACGAAGTGTAACACCCGCTACCCAACCAGGACCTATGTTCTGCCCTGTAACGAGTCCAGCATCCTCACCGAACGCACCAGGCGCAGGGGTTCGCAATACCCTCTCAGTCACGAAGCCGATACCCCCTCCCGCGCAGGTGCGGAAGGAGCCGCCCGCCTTGCAGCGTGTCGTGTTTCCCCCAAAGGATTCGTGTTCGAAGTATGTATATCTTGCCGTCCCCAGTTCAATTGCTTATCGCCGCGCAGCCTCCCCGTTTTGTTCCCAAGCCTTCCGGAGGGCGGCACGAAGTCCAGAGTGGAGACACAGATTCGTCTTACTGTCGATCTAGCCCACGCGAGCTCTTCGTCGGGGGAGCCATTGAAATACGACAAGGTCGGTAGCTGGAAATGGTTACGGTTACCCAAGGGCACTTCGACGAAGAAGAGGACGCGTAAAGAAGGCAAAGTTGGTAAGTGAGGAAGCTCCTCGTTATGCTTCTTTTCCTCATGGCAAAGCCTAGATGCCGCGTCGGAGGAGTCACTTTATCTCACCACGGACATTACGTGCGCCACGCCTCCACATACTCCTGTCGCTGCCTGTTCAAGTTGTCAAACGCGCGAGGTGCGTCACTTATCGCCATCTATAACCCCAATGTTCTCACCCGGTGTTTAGGCCAAGCGCGTTGCACGCAAGATTGCCGCACGTGTGAGGCCCGCACGCTCCGACTCGGACTCTCAGGAGGAACCCCCGGTCATACCAGGGAAGGGCAAGCATGAAGATACCTCCAACATTCTGCAGTTCAACTGCCCAGAGGTGCTTGACTTCTCGTCCGGTTCGGTGATCCTGCCCCTGCGGATTACCTGCTACTGCCGCCATCATCGGGAGAAGGTAGGATTCCATCTCCACTTTACGATGCTTGACCACACCGGTCGGGTCGTCGGAACGGGGACCACAAAGCCGATCATGATCACCGACGATCACAAGAGTACGGGCGTCAGTGCACAGAAGGCGACCACCGAGTTTGGTTCGAAGCTTGATTGGACTGTCGGCGGCGCAGAATCCCCAGAGGGCTCTGCGACGAAGCGGAAGAAGGGTCAGGGCTCGAACGGGGCGGATCGGTCCAAGAAACGCGCGAAGCCGTACGATGCCAACAACCGGGTGTCGCGGCTTAACCGACAGAGCAGCAGCGGAAGCTTGCAGTCTCCGTCCGACATGCCTTCTGCATTCGCGACGAGGTCATCGTCGCCGATGCAAAGCTCGCTAGCCTCGCCCCTGCAAAGCAACGTCTCAACTCCGGCGATGTCTTTCGGTTTCGGCAGCGAACCACCCCCAATATCGTCGGCCCCCCCAGCAGATATCCTCGATAGCGTTGCTTCTACAGCAGCCGCTAGCCCGATGATGCCTGCTTTCGATATGAACGCGCCGCTGAGCGACTTCATCAACGCGAGCTTCCAAACTGACATCCCTATGCCGGACTGCTCTGAACTCGGTTCTCCGGCCGTCTCCTTCCCCGATCCCTCCAGCTCACCCTTCGCGCACCCGCTCCAACCTCCACATCCGCAAACAATGCTAGACCCCATGACTATGTCTGTACCTGCGGCAGCTTCCCTGCCGTATATGCTGTTCAAGCATGACCCGCCACCGCCCATCAGCCTTCCGACACCGAGGATTCACCGTCTCATACCATCCTCAGGGCCGACATACGGCGGTATCGAGGTTACGGTGCTAGGCGCCAACTTCCATCCTTCGATGCAGCTGAACTGTGTGTTTGGTGGCTCGGCCTCGACCTCGACGCAACGCTGGAGCGATAACACGCTCGTGTGTGTCTTGCCCCCGAGTACACAACCTGGTTCCGTACATGTGTGGTTTGAAGGTTTGCCAACGGAGGAAGATGGCTCGCCGCCGTGCTTGTTCACCTACACGGACGAGACCGACCGAGCACTGTAAGTGCAATTGACTCCATATCGCTACACAACGCGAGCTCACCTATCTTCAGCATGGAGCTCGCTCTGCAGGTCGTCGGCCTGAAGATGACCGGCAAGATCGAAGATGCGCGCAACATCGCCATGCGCATCGTTGGCAACACTGGCGGCCCTGAAGCGGATCCGAGCATATCTAGCAGCAGCGCGATGCAGCTATCTTCCCAGGCAGATCTCCCTCGCCATCTCCTGTTGGGCAGCGCCGGTGACAGCGGTGACTTCGAGAAACTCCTTCTGGACTTCCTCTCGGTGCTCGACGTCCCCACGGATGCCCCCAGTGACCGCTCGGCGTCGATCTCGCGGCAGACTATCAGCGGGCAGACGCTCCTCCACCTGGCGACACTTGCGAAGTTCCCCGCGCTTGTCAAGTTCTTACTAGCGCGAGAGATCGACGTCGATGCGCGCGACCAGAACGGCTGCACCGCGCTGTGCCTCGCAGCGCTCTCAAACTCCCGCGAGTGCGCACGTGTGCTCGTCGACGCAGGCGCGGCACTCGATGTCGTGAACGCGGCCGGCAAGACCCCAGCGGAGGTCGGCTCGGCCGGCTTCTTCGACTTCATCGCATCCGAGAGCGAGCGGTCGTCCGAAGACGGCCGCGACATAGACGACGACGAAGGCGTCTGGGGCGATGGGGAAGAAGAGTCGGAGGACGGCACCGAGGTGCGCGCGCCGAAGAGCCGCACCAGCCGACGGCCTTCACACCGCAACCTGAAGCAACGCCACGGCCTCCCCACACCCGACTCGCAACGCACAGACACGGACGAGAGCCCCACGCCCACCTCCGCCGAGAAGAAGGCCGTCGAGGCCGGGCTCGCCGGCGTCGACGAGAAGCAGGCGGCCGCGACGTTCACGGAGACGCTCTACCGCACGCTCGCGCAGCTGCAGTACCCGCAGGGCATGATCCCGCAGCTCCCGCTGCTGCACATGCCGAACCTGCCCGGCATGCCGGCGTGGGGCGCGCTCCCGCAGATCCCCGCCGTCTTCCCCGTGCTCGTCCCCATCCAACAGCTCTGGGGCGACCGCCGCGCCCGTGGGGGCGAGGGCGAGGAGAAGGATGAGGGCGCCCCAGCGGATGCTGCGCAGCAGCCGTGGCTCGGCATCCCGTCCGCGCAGGACTGGAAGGCGTTCTGGGAGAAGTGGATGCAGCAGATGAACCGCGCGACGGACGTGCACGATAACCCGCCCCCGGCGTACACGCCGCGCGAGACCGTCGAGGCGGAGAAGCTGGAGAAGGAGAAGGCACACTCGCAGGAGCAGACACAGGAGGAGCCCGTTGCAGTCGCTGAGGTGCCGAGCGTCGTTGAGCCCGGGCCTGAGCCCGAGCTCCTGCGGGTCGCCGCGGAGCGGGTGGTGGTTGCGCGGCCGGCCGAATACCCTGAGGCGGCTATTCCTGAAGAAGAGGTACAATTGTATGCATACAGGCCTACGCGCAAGCCCGCTCGGCGGGCGCAGAAGAAGCGTGAGTGCCCCTTTGCTGCAGCCACCACACGCATAATACTGACTTCACTCGCAGACGACCGAATGCTGGTCTTGTTCTGGATTCCCATACTTCTTGGTGCGTATCTCGCCATCTCGTCTTACGTCCGTGTTTCTGACACACTGCCTATATAGTTGGTTTCGCGTGGGCGTTCCTACAGGCGTTCCGCATCGCGTTGCACGCAACGCGCGCGGCCGTCACGCTCAAAGTCGGGCTCCGTGCCTAATTGCGCTGGAGCACCGGTCGCACGGATTGCTTGGATTATCCCGAATGTCTCGTTGTACGTTATCTGTCCCCATCTCGCCTATTGACGCTCCCTCGCCGTCGTCGTCAAATACTAGCCTACCCCTCCCGCCAGGACTGTTCTAAGTGTAGCTTCCCTCCTGCCCCCGTTACCCTCCTTCTATCCTCCGTTCCCCATTTTTACACGAATCTGCGACCCGTGCTGGGGCTCTATGTACGCATCCCGTCCGGAGTTGGCCATAGCGCCACTCTCGTTCTCCACCCTCGTTTTGTTTCTACAGGTTATACCGTCCGTCCGTCCCGTATCTTATGCCGTCCCGAAGGCCTCCCTGGTGTTTTCTTAGATGCAAAGTGTACTAGCTCCCCGACTGATAATATGATCATACATGCTTTAAAGTTCATAATAGGTTCGAGCAAGTTGAACGTATGTGTAGGAGTGAGCGGCACGTAGTTGGAAGCATGATATTTAGGAGCATTGGTGGCCTCAGACGGCCCCAGCCAGCCCTTTCACCCTCCACATCCCATCCAACGCCTTCATCTTCATGTCCGCCGGACGATCAGTACATCACACAGAATGAACTAGCAGGGAAGAAAAGGCGCGCACCAGGTCCGCAAAGCCCTCCTCGCGGATCACCTCCGCGACGAGCTTCTCAAGCTCTTCCTTTGGGAGCGCGTACAGACCCGCACTATCCCGCAAACTCGCCATGATGTCCGCAGCGGGCACCGCGCCGGCAAAGGAGTCGACAGTAGCAGGTTCCGCACGAACCTCCAGGGGCGTCGAGACCGCCGTCGACGGAGCTACGATAGGCACAACAGGAGAAAGAACAGGAGCAGAGACCACAGCAGCCTGCGTAACAGCCGGAGAGGGGGTCGATATCCTCGAGACGATAGCAGGCACCGGGGGCGGGGGCATCAGGTCCGGCGAGCTCGGGCGCATGCGGGGCGAGGAGCTCGAGGTCGGGAAGGACGAGCTCGGAAGGGAGTCGCTGGACCCGGTGTGCGCGAGCGGGGTCGTGGAGGGCTGGATTTGCGGTGGGCGGGCGGTGGAAGTGGAGCTTGCTGGAGTAGCGGCGGGGGCAGCGGCAGAGACGGGAACAGATATAGCAACAGAGACCGGGGTGGGTGGTTGAGCGTGAGCAGGAGTCGGAGCAGCAGCAGCAGCAGCAGCAGGAATAGCAGGAGAAGGTCCAGAAGAAGACGAGGAGTGATGAGCAACAGCAGAAGACGGGCGGGACGAACCATAAGAGGGGTCCTCGCGCACGGAGCCCACGCCAGAACCGGACGAATACGCAGGGGAAACGGACACCGCCTGCACCTGAGCCGCCTGGGTGAAGTAGTACGGCGCCGGAGGGACCTCCCAGTTCGAGGCGGCGTCGGACAGAGTAGCGAATGACGAAAGCGTCGTTCCCGCGCGCCTGATCGCGGACGCAGAGTTGTCCTCTGGTGCTGGTGCTACTGACATTGCTTGCTTGAGAGCTGGTCGGCCGGTAGGACGGGCTGGGGAGGGCGCAGGCATCTGCGAGTTCTGCGGAGCTGTGTATCCGCTTTGTGCAACGGACGCCCGCTGCGCGACGCGGGGAGGAGGCGGGGCGTTGGCCTTGCACGGGCAGATGAAGCGGATGGACTCTATGAATGCGGTCGCCGCGAGGGGGCTGTCGAACACCACCTGGAAACGGCGGTATTGCTAAAACGTGTTCGTCGCGTTAGGCACTGTATAGCAGATTTAGGGCGCATATAGCCTACCGGTGTTGTCCCGGGCGGTGCAATGCGAGGGTGCTGGTAGCGTATGCCCACAACGCCTTCTTGGTAGACAGCCTTTAGCGGCATGCCTTGCGGCGTCTGAAGAGAGGGCAGAGAGGAGTACGCGACCAAGTCCAGGTCTTCCTATATGCGCCCCCAACACATCAGCATGTAGAACGATCGAAGTCAAAGGTAGTGTTAGCTGCATACAAAGCCGACTTCACGCTGGTCGACGTCCATGGCGTCCAGCCCTGCACTGAATGTCCACACGATCTTGAGGCGGTACGACTCGAGGTGGCCGTCGAGCGATTTCCGGGTTTCCATCGTGAGCCTGATGATGGGATTGACGAAGTGCTGCCATTGCAGCTCGCCCTGGTCTGACTGGGTACTACTCGGGGTCTGGTTGTATGCCCTCGAGTATTTGGTCAGGTCATATGTCGTGGTGGTGCTGGTAGAGAGGGACATGTTGGTCGAGCGTCTGGGAAGACGTGAGGTGGTGGTGGTGGTTGAAAGAAGGCGTAGACGCCGTGCTGTGGCAGACGTTGTCTTACAATTCGTACTGTTGAGACGTTGCATACACTTCTGCTGTTCCTAACAGCCATTCGCAGCACTCATTCTAAACCGTGCACTCGATGTAGATAGCAAAAATTGGATGTCGTGTACGTCAATTATACATTCCGCAATACAATGATGTTACATATGCTGTTATGATTGTCCATCCACTCCCGCTTAGTTGTTGCCGAGACCAACGGCGTTCTTCGCCTTCTGCGTGAGCGAGGGCTGCGACAAGGGGCGATCAGCGAAGTGCGCTAAAATTGCCAACGCAAAGGCAGCATACCTCGGTCTGGTTGGAGTTGCCGCTGACGGCGTCGCCGACGCGCTGCGAGGTGGACTTCTCGCCCTGGGGCTCGAGGGTGGAAGCGGCCGAGTCGCTCTTGCCCTTGAACTTGTCGCCGATGTGCTCGGTCGTCGACTTCTCAGAGTCGGGCTGCAATCGCGGCGCGTCAGTACGAGGAGCCGAGCAGGGGCGCAGGGGATCGACAGCGTACCTTGAGCGCGGCGGAGGCCTTGTCGGTGAAGCTCTGGCGGCCGGTGTCGGACATGATGATGATAGAGAAGTGGTGGTGGTGAGGGTGGTTAAGAGTGGGTGTAGTAGTCGTAGAAAGTCGTGAACTTGATGCTCTCTCCCCGCCGCATCCGCCGCCGCTCTTATACCCGCGCAGAGGGGCTGGAGCGCCGGGTTGCGTGCGCGGTGTCGTCGGGAGCGGTGCGCATGCACGCCGCAAAGTGAGGCCGGTATGACGCTGCAGGGGGCGCGGGCGTTGGGGCAGCGCGTCATCGTTCCCGGGACAGGCTGATTGACTCCAGCACTGGACGCGTCGCGGTCACTGGACCGCCATTCATTCTGCAGCACCTGCCTCAACCGGCAGTCCTCCTTCCTCTCTCGGCCGCCAAGGGTGACGTCAACGCCCGTCGGTGTATCTTGGACGCCCGTCGGTGACGTCTGCTACCGATCCATACCCAATCCCTACCACAACGGCTGCTCATCCTGCTCTGGGCCGTCGAGCGCAGTCGGCCTCCACGCAATCAGTCGTGCTTCGCCATCCAGTCGTGCGACGTGTGTACGTGGACGACTGCAATCACATGGACCATCCTATACACCCCACGTCGGTATTCGTCTTCGCCGACATCCACGATGGGTTGCGTTGCTCACGATGTTATGGCGCGGAAAACGCGAGCCAGCTCTCGTATCGTGAACAATCGTGATTTACGCGCATTACATATCGTAACTGAACTCATAACTGACGACAGCGAAGCAACACTGGCAGAGCACAACTGCTATTGATACATGTCCCAACGACGCGCCCCTCGCACGATGCCACATCCCTCCGACCCGCAGACAGTTATTCAGATATCCACCTCCAAGTCGCAGGGACGCAACCGCATCCGCACGCAAGGCACTAGAGACGTACGTCCATCCATCCAAAATCAGAATCGTACAACCCACAGTACATCAAGCAGACGGCTCCTCCGCGACCGACATCGGCCGGTTCGTCGTGTCGTACCCGCTCGCGTCGCCGCGCACGCGCCGCTGCTGCCGCCGCCTCCGTGCGAACTTGAGGTATCGCGAGAACCGCGCGGCCGCGGTCGACATCGGGCGGGCCGCCCCGGGCATGTGCGGCGGCTCTAGGTGCTCGCCGGAGTCGCTCGCCGCCATCATCGTCTGCAGCGCGTGGAAGTCTATAGGGTAATGACATCAGCCAGTGTACCCAATCAAAACACAACTCTATGTAAGATGGAGGACGCACCCTGCCTGCACAGCGGACAGCTGCTCGAAAGCTCCAGCAGCCACTGGTCGACGCACTCCTGGTGGAACCGATGGTGCCCCTCGCACGGGAGCACGCGCAAATCGTCGCCCTCCTCGAAGTCGACGATGCAGATCGGACACGTCTCCCGCCCAATCGCATCCGGGACGACGTCCCGCTCGCTTGCAGATGCGCGTGCGTCCTCGCGCGGCGGCCGCCTCACCGGGCGTGGGACCGCCGGGGGGACGTGCGACGACGAGCTCGCACGCTTCGACGGGTCCTCGTCCTCTTCCCGGGCGTCTCCGTGGGGGCCGTGGCGGAGCGTGGGCACCGCAGCAAGGGCGTGTGCGTGCGCGTCGCCGTCCCTGTCGCCGTCCCCGATATCGCCGTCGCTGTCCCCATAGCGCGCCTTGCTGTCTGGGTCATCGAGCTGGCTGGCGGCAATCTGCCACTCGCGCAGCTCGAGCTCGACGCCCTGCGCGTCGTCGGGCGGCGCGCGCGCGGGCGACTTGCTGTCGCGCGAGGTGTACGGGAGCTCGTCCGTGCCCACGCTCTCGATGTCTTTCGCAGAGGCGGGTGCGTCTGTGGGAGCGTCGGCGCGCCCGAACTTGACGACCGGGAACGTGTCGAGGATCGCGCGCGTGAGGCCGCGCGCACGGCTCTGGGGCCCGAACGCCCCTTGGGGCCCAGCGAAGCCGTCGGTGCCCGCAGAGCGCGGGCCATACCGCTCGGGGTGTCGGATGGCTCTGACCGCCTGTGGATAGGAGGGGGCGTAAGACCGTTGTCTGCGCGCACGTACGGTGAGGCACTCACGCCGGATATGATGACCACGCAGAACAGCGCGGAGACGCAGCCCGTGATGGCGTAGAGTATGATCCTGCGGGCAGTCAGTCGCGCGAACGAGGGAATTGAAAGGTAGTAGAGGGCGACGCACATTGCGAGACTCGTGTTTGTGTTCTTGTCTGGACCACCCGTGCCAGTCTGCCCGCCATCGGTGCTGGTGGCCGTCCCCGTCGCCGTGCTGTTGTCCGTCGCATTCCACGCGGCGAGCGTCGCGAACAGGTATCCCGCCTGTGGCATGGTGTGGTTCACGATCGCGGTCTGGATAACGGCCGAGGAGTCGTTCAGGGTCGACGCGCTGAACCAGTAGTACTTGGACGAGCTATTTTCGAACTGATCCTCAATCAGTCTAAGCGGGCGGAGGTGAGCACAGCGCAGGGGAGCGGGAAAGGAGAGAGAGAAGGCGCACTGGGACGACGTGAGATTCTGGGTGGCGAAGATGTCCATGACCTGGTCGAACTTTGCGGGGTTCGAATACTCCGGGTTGATGAAACATGTGACTGACTTCAGCGAGTATAGGAGCTATTAGTGTCGCGAGAAGGCGATGAGTGGGCGCGACAGCGGAACAAAGGAGAAGACGTACTGCGGCGACCGCTCCCCTGTCTCGCGCCAATGTGAAGATATCGTCCTCCATGGATGCGTTGGTGGAGTTGGCGTCGCACGACACGAGGGCTATCCAAGGGGTTCCACCTTTGAGAAAGGCGCATGACCGCATAAAAATACCATACACCACTGAAGCAAGTGTCGCACTCACTGGTGTCGTTGACCAACTTGTCCTCCGAAAAGTGTACTAGTGCTCCCTGGAGGACCAGAGGGTAAGCAATCCGATCCATGGGTAGGTAACATTTTGAGAAAAGGAAGTTGCGGCGGGTACGCGCGGATCGTTCCCTCTCCGTCCGTCCGCTTAGGCGGATTGTCAGAACGCGAGGGATACATGTTACACCTCGCTCCGTGTGAGTCTGCGAGTACATATCCGAACCACCCTACGCTCGTCCCTGGGCAGACCGATATCCTCCGCCACCACACCAATCAAGCATCTCCGGACGAACACTCTTCGGCCGGATGCCGAAAAATGGCGAAGACATGTCGATCGCGAAGCGTACCTTGCTGATCCCGAGACTATCTGCGCCCACCAACTGGTACGACACCGTCTCCGAGTACGAGCCCATCGGGAACCACTGCAGGCTGAGACGCGACACATCCGTGAAGTTGATCCCAGCGGCCTGCGCAACGTTCGTCTCGTTCGTGCCCTGCGCAGGAATATACGCGCGCGCAGGCGTCGGCAACGCGACCAAGAGGACGAAAGCAGCAACAATCGCGGTCCAGTGCAGCAGCATTCCAAGTCCGAAGGCCCCGGAACGGAAGACACAGCCAGAGCCCAGCGCGGATCGGATGTCAAGCCCAGAGGAACGCATCCTGCATGTGCGGGGGGCTGCACAGGTCCGGCGGGGGGGAGGGTGGTGGTGGGAGGAGGCTGATGTCCGCCTGGAGGGGGTTGGAGGAGAAGTGCGGGGAACGGCACGATGCCGGCCAGGCAGGATTTGCGGCACGAACGGCTCCCGTCAGGCTCAAGGGCGCGGAGCTCGCCGAAGGTGTTGCACCGCGACCAGTGGGAAAAAATAGATAATCTCGGTGTTCGCAAAGACAACGGCCGCACATGTCCCAGGCAGAGCGCGATGCCAGGAATAAAACATACAGGCAGCGAAGACAGCTCGAGTGTAAACAGCTGCAGCCGGAGGAGACCGCGGAACAGTTGAGAAATATGTGGGCGCCTATCCCTCTTCGTTCGGCGCCGCGCGCCAGTGGCGCGCCTAGTCTCCAGTTCACTCACTCCAAACTTAAAGTCAAGCCCCCAGGCTTCGCTGCTCTCTCTCGAACCATCACGGTCCTGAGTATCTTTGTCCCCTACACCGAGACACTATCACTACACCAGACTTCCGGCATGGCGTCCTCGTAAGCCTCTTACTGTGATAAGATAGACAGTCTCTCAAAGCCGTATTATCTCCATAGCCTGGAGCGTCTCAGCGACGACGTTCTCGTACCAATATACGAGCTACTTCTCCCTGAGCAGGGCTTGCGCTCGCTGTCTCTCTCTTGCAAGTCGATCCGGGAGTCATGCATGCCCGTCCTATTCAGAGCTTCGCGGTGCTGGGCACAATTTGCTACTTGGGACAACTTCATTTCTCCTCCTCTTTGGCCCTACGTGCGGTACGTCGATGTAATGGGTTATGTATATATGTGTGTGTGTGTGCTGACGTCGTTTAGTCATCTATCTATCATTGGTATATGGAGAAACATCGATTTCGCCCGTCTTGAGCCGGAGCGCATCCCCATACCCCTGGTTGACGCATTATCACGTCTACCCAACGTTTCAGAAGTAGCCTTCCGAAACACAGGTCTTGATGGAATTCCTCGCGCTGCTTTGGTCTCTGTACTTTCTTTTCCGGGCCTTCGCTCCCTAGATGTTGAGGACATTCTCCATTTCATCGCAGAAAAGTCGCCTGCACACATCACCTTTGCAGTGGCCCCACTCGTATCCTTGCGGCAAGTCCTCCCCAAATATCGTCGACAACCCCGCCGGTCTGCGGAGGACATGGAGTTTCTGCGATACCTTACGGATCAGCTGCAACTGCGACAGTCTCTAGAGACTCTCGTCATCCCCAGCGAAAACGCCCCTCTCGAGAACATTGCAACATACGAATGGCCACGGCTCAAGGTCCTCTCCCTTTGCGGAGAGAGCCAGCGGCCAGCTACCCCGCTCATTTCCGTTTTTGAGCGGATGCCGGCGCTCCGGGAGCTCGTCCTCGAAACGGCGTGCGCTTCCAAGATGGGACGTAACCTGTTCTGCCCCTCTGGTTGGACGGGCCGTTGTCCGTGGCCGGAGCTGACGAGTCTGGTTGTGTCCTATCCACACCCCGACGATCTGCTGTATGCCCACCTCCCCTACACTCTCCGACGCCTTACCTTTCGTTGCTGGCCCCGCCATTATGTCACCCTTCTACCACATGAGGCTCACTATGTCGCAGACGATATGGGGTGGTTTTCCCCGATCGTGTCCTCCTCTGAAATGCTGCAGATACTCTCACGATGCCCCCCGTCTAATCTGGAGGAACTCGAGCTCGAATTCGAAGAGGACGGGCACGATTTGGAGCTGTTCACTCTAATCCCGCTCATTTTCCCCAATCTCATCAAATTGACCGTCCTTCGGTATCGAAAATGGGGCAATCCCGAGGCACCGGTCGTAAGTCTCCACCACTCGAGTCTTCGATCATGCCGCGCTAACGTGGAGACATCGCAGCGGGAGATAGGGAAGGCGCTAGCGCCCCTGCGCAACCTCGTCGTGATGTACCTTCATCTAGACTTCAAGATCGCGCCCCACCCGTACGCGCTATGCAACGATACCGCAGTGGAGGAATTCGGAAAACTCCAAGTGACTTTGCAGGACGCGGTGGATGTCCTCGCACACGAACTCAGTGACTCAGTCGACACCGTATATTTTCTACAACGACGCATGAGCAAGAACTTTTGGGTCCCCTACCATATGACACGCACGAGGGACGCCGTGCATGCCAACGAGCTGGATTCCAGGTACGTTGCTTAGCCGTCTTTCGCGCAAATACACTGACGGCTGCATTGCAGGCAGGAGGACGAGCGGGGACCGCCTTACTTCACAGATTTCCATTACCGATATTATATCGTGGACGATCGGTAGTCTCCCATACTTTCTCTTCGGGGTTGCTACTCATCTGTCCAAGGACGCCTCTCAGGCATTTCTGCCATCTTGCACTCGGTATGTGGGGATCCCGGACCGGTATATGGGGACTCCGGGTTGGTAGATCTAGTCAGTGTCAATGCATTCGCTATTGTTTTCGAATACTGTGTCGGATGTCGCCGTGCGCCATCAGGAAAAACCCCCCGCCCTAATTAGGAGTAATTTAGCCATGTCCCGACAATAATGCATATACTCACTCATGTTGTCCGGCTACTTGCACTAATTCGACGAAGGCCGAAATGATCATCATATAATGGCCCGGAGAGACATATAATTGTGCCTATCGGTGTACGAGCATGTAGGTATAGCGGTCTACAAAAGTGTTTAGGAAGAAAGACGGGCACTCCTCCAACACGTTGGCGCTTGTCCATTGTCGAGCAGCTACAGATCCAAACTCCGGGAAAAGGTGACAGCTACGCTCGATCTCATCTACTGCTATAACGCTAGCGAGACGCGCACCTTGACGCACGGAACGTGCGACCCTGTGAAGTCCATGATCTGGATGCGGGTTAGCTGCAGCACCGAAAGGCGCGAACCACTCGACGTATGCGAGATGGCGTGGCCGAGAGCCCGGGTCTATGAGCGGGAATAGCTGCTCCTTTGCCTTCTCTGGCAGCTGAAATACTACGCGCACCTGCGCAACGCGAAAGCCTTTGCCACGAGGATTCAGTTGGCATTGAGACAACACACCGAGTGCAGACTGCTCACCACAAATGACATCACGCCCGTCGTCGTTGGGAGCGCGCACGAGCACTGTGTCATGCCGCGCGGCGACATCAATGTCGTACTTGCCCTTCCGTGCTGGCCTAACGTGAGCGACGTCTTCGATTGATGCTCTGGACGTCCCAAGACCCAGAATGTCTTCAATCGCGAACTTGATCTTGTGGTACACAGGAACGGCGCGAAAATTGAAGTAGACCGAGCCCGAGGCCAGCTCGACTTGCGCAGGAGTCAGGGTAGGCTGATTCCGGATAACCACAAATCGCGCGAGGGCGTCACGAAAGAATGTGGCGCCATACTGAGAGATTAGGTTCTCGAACGTGACCGCTTTGACCGAAGGATGCCGTGTCATGACGATGCGTAGCGGCACTTCGCAGACCACCTTTCGCGGACGACCTGGTTGTTTAAAGGTAAGACTCGGACGCAGTCAAATCGATACAAACAGACTGATTACTAACCAGGCAGACGCGAGAGGGCAGGGGCAGAAGGGCGGGAGGACGTGTGGATCACATGGGGCCCGGATGTGAGCGTAGTGGCGGGCTGGTTTGCGCGTGAGGCAGACACGATGGAGGTATGGGCAGAAGCGGACCCGGGGTTGTGCGGGGTTGTGGGCGCAGTGGCACGGGCGGCGGCAAACTCGGACGTGCGGGCAGACTCGAGCGTGCGTACAGAGGTAGACGTTGGCGTGTGCGAGAGGGAAGTGGGCATGTGCATGCGCGACGCGGAAGATGTTGATGCAGCGTTGGCTGCGGTGGACTCGAGCGTGTGGGCGTTGTCAGAGATCGCCCGGACTCGTGTGCGCACAGCAGATGTAGAGTTGGATGTGCGCGCAGCGTCAGAGTCAGCCATACTTGCGGCGGCGGCGGTAGAGCGGACGGAACTCGAGAGGGAAGCAGGAGCCGCGACAGGCTGGGAGATGTGCGCTGCGACAGACATGGGAGACGGCGTAGCTGCAGCGTTGGACAGGCGCCATAGAATGTACTTTTCATGCCGATCGACCTTCTCCTTCCGCTCGAGCCACACGGTCATCTGCGCGAACTCATCCTTGTGATTGGTCGCACGATAGGCATCCTTCGCGAAGTCGATGTGGAGACGCTCTGAATACTGCGTGTCGTAGTTGTCTGTCGTGCCGAATAGCTCTATCGAGCGGCGGTAGTGCTCTAGAGAGTGGAGCTTAGGAAGCTTGAAATGGTCGCGAATTCCTAGCTCCTGGAAGATGACCTTGTTGGCGTGGAACGACGCAAGAGCGTCGTCGAGAGACTTGAGGGTTGCCGAAGTGTGGGTGGGGTACTGAGCAAAGTACAGGAAGTCTAGCAGTGCTCGAGTGGCGCGTACGAGACGAGAGGGCGAAACACCGTCAGGAAGCGGCAGACCGATGATCAGGCCAAGCAGAATGCGCGACATGTCCTGATGCTCCTTGCCGGTGACGCGCGAGAGGTTGGAGATACCCTTGGAAAAGTGGCGCAGGCTATGGTTTGGGGGAAGGCGCGAGCACCGAGCGTCAACCTCTTCGGCACCGTAGGCATCCTGCACCCACGAGATGAGGTGCTTGATGACGCCTTGGTACAACTGATGCAAGATGTCTGGGGTGATGCTGGCGAAGATGTTCGTGTACGGGAGGTCCTGCCAGAAGGGATGGTGGATTGGTTTAATCCCCACTCCGGCGCATGCCTTCGTAAACGCAAGAGGCCCCTCATCCAGTGCTGCGAGGGCGTCGAGTATCAACGCGAAGTTACGGAATGGTCGGGAGGTGTCCACCGTGCGTCCGAGGTCGTTGCGCCCAATGGTGCACTTCGGACACTCGCCGTTCTTGCCACCCATGACGAGCAACTGCTCCGGATAGTCTCCGACGTAGGTGGCCAAGATAGGATGACCACGGCGAACCACACCATCGCCGCTAGCGAAGTGCATGCCGCTGATACCCGCCGTCGCAAGCGGGGCAAGCACACGGGTCATACAGGCGTGAAACAGATTTGCCAGCGTACGACGTCGCGCAGCCTTGTTAGATATGTGGAGAAGACGACTCGTCGGGAGATATGCGAGGAGTATTTGACCGCGACGCGACGGCTTGCAGCGGATATCCTTTGGCAGGTTGCCGAGGGTCATGTACACAGGGTAGGCACTCTTGTTGCCGATGAGGGTGAGCTGCGTCTTGTCGGAGGAGATGATGACGGGGATCACGGTCGCGCCAGGCTTCTTCTCCTCGAGTGCGCGCTAATACAATATTATATTCTGCGATAACTGGAACTGCAGAATGTAGCACACACCTGCGTCGCCCACCACCATTTGCCTGTGTTCATATCAAAGTAGACCTGCATCGTCTTAGTCCCGTCGGTGTAGTGCTGTTCTGGAACGAGGAGGAGCAAGGGTGCGAACTCGGGATCACCGAGCAGAGCACGAATGCATTCGAGGATGTCCCTGAAGTACACCTCGAACGCCTCGCCGGCTACAACGATTTCCTCGCGTACGAACCGCGGCCGACCTGTGGGCAGTTTGTCGATGATGGCATTGAGTTCGCGCGAGTTCTTGTACGAAAGCGCAAGGCGCTGAGCTACCTGAAGGAGGATCAGAGCGATACAAATAAGCAGACTGCAGAATTACATACCCCTTCGACAGCAAGGAGATCGCTGAACGCGGTAGAGCCCGCACCACATCGCGCCTTAGCCCATCGTGCCACACCCCAGTCCAGTTCGGATAGAAATGGGGCGTAAGGGCTCGTCGAGGTTCCATGTTCAACTTCAGACTGATAGTGAGCGTACGTTGGGTCGGTGACCGCCGTGCCGTCTGGAACTGCTGCGCCGGCCAAAGCTCCTGGAAACGGTACAACGAAGGTCTTGATCTTGGACGCCCTCATTGCAGCGTCTCTGTCGACTGCCGTCTGAGCCGGTGGTCCATGAGCAGACCTCGGTGGAGGTGGAGAGTGATCAGGACTCGAGGTGGCCATGTTGGCGACACCATCGGCGTGTTGTCCAGAGGTCTCAGGACTCGCTGACGGCTCCGCGGGATTTGGCGCATCTTGCTCGGGAAAATCACCGGTGCCATACATTCCGAAGAAGTCGCCCTCAAAGGGGCCTGGTGGGGCGTCCAAGTCGGGATCGGCAGGCAAAGCGGCCGGAATGGGTGGAATGCTGGATTCCGTACGAGTTGTCGAGTCCGAGTCGATGTTGAACTGTCTGGCCCGTGCGGTGGCACATCGAGAATCGGTGGACTGAGTGAGGTGGCTGGCAAATCCTCGGACGGTTAAGCCCTCCTTGCCGCAGCCGGGACACTTCGTATGGGGTACTGACATGTTGCTGAGGATTTGGAGGTGCGCGGCGTGCTGAATGGACGAGTTGTGAATGACTGGGACCCCGGGTGCGCGAACCCTGGTCCACTCCACGTGTGGTATCCCGCCACCATCTCTGTAATCAGGAATCAGTGCTCTGAGTGGGACGTCGTCTCTCTGCGAGTCACTCCTCACCTTTCTTCTTGACCACGACCTCCCCCTCAAGTTTCCTATTTCTTATAATCCTCCCTTCGCTCCCTGCATCCCAATGTCAACGCGTGCATCCTCTGCCAAAAGAAAGGCAGCTTCTCACCAAGTCGCTGGTCTCTCTTCGACAGAGGACGCAAATGTTGAGGGCACGGGTGCGGCGAGTCGTCCCAAAAAAATTCGCAAGGCGCAAGCGCCTTCTGGGAACATCTTGACGCCTGAGATACACAGTGAGTAAGGGCTATCATCACCCGATCAACCTGCCTTACCGCTGCATCTCTTGTAGCCAATGCCACTGGCAACACCGCCGCCGTTGTAGTTGCTGCAGTGGTGCCGACTCCTCTACGCCGCCCGAAGGGGCAGCGTAGTGCCAAGCTTGTGGCGACCACCCACAAGTCTACAGAAGGAAAGTCAGTCCCGTGTGATGGGGAATGAACACGAGCCTGATGGATATAGATAGGCTTACCTCTGCCAGAGGTCCCGCCGTCCGAGTCACGCAAGCGCCCCAGCTCCGCGGCAGCTCCGAGCCAGGTTATGCAGGACTCAGCTGTCCCGCCACCGTCAAAACGGCCCAGGCGTGCTCCAAATGTTGACGTATCTGCTGGAAAATCTGTTTGTAAGTATGAACTGCTACATAACATGATATACACTGACCAGCGGTACACATCTAATGCAGCGGTGGAGAAGGCCAATGCTGTGAAGGCGCCGCATATGCTAGCGCCCACCGCGGTACAGTCAGAGCCGGCTCGCACTCGTCGTAGTACGTCCACTTGCACACACCTGGTGAATGCCATGAAGTGCTCAATGCTACAGCAGAAGCACGTGTACCTCTCATCGACTTTGAGGAGGTCCTTGCTGCACCAGCCTCAGTCCCTGAGCCACGCACCGAACAGCCGCATCAGAGTACCACTGGCAGTGGTAATACGCAGCCTATCCTCAAGTCTGGTGAGTTTGGAACACGATGTGCTATCAGATGGATGATACTTACCGGTTTTGTTAGCCGTCGGGACCCGTACTCTCGCCTCGAAAGGATCTCTTGCAGAACCTGCGGCTGATGAGGGTGCCGACAGTGACGGGGAGGATGAGGTGTCTGAAGAGAACTCACAGAGTGACGAGGACAACGCCGAGCTCTCTGAGTCTGAAGACGATCTTGAGGGACGTGCACCGGCTGCATTGGGAGCTTCTCTGGCCGCAGAGGTGAGTCCAACTGCACCGTGTACTTCAGAGCACCCTTGTTGATGTGGGGTTTTTGTGAATCTATCAGCGCGCGGTCTGGTCAGGTCGCTCAACGGCAACAGGGAAGGGAAAGGCACGTGCTGTCGATGCGGAAGAGTTTGTTGTCGATGAATCCAGCAACGAGAGTCAGCGTGGGTCCGACGAGGATGAGTATGATGATGATGATATGTATGCCGTCGAGGAGGAGCACGAGATGATGGAGACGAGCGATGTGGGGTTTGCTGGACCAAGTTCAACGAAGGCAGCGGCCACTGCCAGCAAAAACAAGGTTTGTCCCACGTCAAGTGATTTCCCAGGCCGGCTGCAATTGAACTTTCCTAACCTTGGCTCCCAGGCCCCAACGAAACGCGACTTGAAGAGTGCGCTCGAGGTCTGTCTCTTTTTGACCTTCATGTCTGCCACCTAGCATGCTTATCATCCTGCCGACGCACACAAGCAACCTGCCTGGAAACCCGTTCAGTCGGCGACCTCCACGTCAGCTCCATGCGCCCTTCAGATCTGGACTCCTGTCGCCTCTTCCAGCACACCATCGACTGCAGCCACGCCTGCCGTTCCCGGAACCATCCCCGTCACTCTGCCTATCGCCCCGACCACTGCAGCAGCTCAGCAGGCCGTCACGGTCGTCGCCGGACCCGCAGCAACTCTCGCAGCAGAACATGCCATCGTTCCTCCGGTTGCAGTCGCTCCTGTCGCCATCGCCGCTCCGACATTTCTCGCTCCTCATCAAGCTCAAGCGCCGCCTCCTCAGCCCTGGCCGCTTGTTATGCCTGCACTGCTCCCCCCTGCTGGTCACGACTACGAGTACGAGTCCGACGATGAAGGCGTACGTCACTCATTAGAACACAGACTTACGGTCTAACCATCTCTGACACCGGATGCTGGATGTAGCTCGATAACGATCAACCCGGCGATTATCTTCTTATTCCGCCTGCAACTGCAGGCGGGGTTCTTACACTTACTGTACAGCACTCACGCATCAAGGCCATGATGAAGAACGCTTTCCCTCGGATCGACGCAGACTTGGCCTTTCATCAGGCGTTCCCGGACTCACTCGGCCGGAGTCAGTCCGTAGTCAAAGCCATGGTCAACGCCTCAAACGAATTAGGGTTTCGCGGCCTCGCAGCACGTATTCGCATGGACAACACGTTCACCCGGATCCTCACGTCAATCGTCTGTGTGCCCCCTCCTTTTGCTAGCTATGTCACTGATATTGTCCGCCCAGCCCAACCAACGTGTCAGCACGTTTCGGAGCGCCATCAAGAAGAGCACGGACGCCCATGTCACCGCGTTCTACCAGATCGTTCCGAATGCGTGCGCTGAGAAGATCACCTGGTTGTTTGAGCACCTCACGTACATATATCCTTATGATGTAAGTGAATGCGTGGACGGGCCATCTCACCATGAACTAACCGATGTGATATACAGTATGAAAGGCGTACAATCCCGTGGAACAAGCCTTACCAAAATCCGGCAGTAGGGGCGCTCCTGCGCACCAACTTCTTTGGCGGTGGAGGCTCCTTCGCTCACAAGCACGCCGGACGGTTCTCGTCGAGCCTGGTGTCCCGCCCTAATGAGATCGAGATCCCGCCCGCAATGCTTGCGCTTGTCGCCACTGCTGTAAGTCTTTGTGTTGTCTCGTCTCGTACCGCTCATCACTAACTGTGGTACCATCACATGGACTGTGCATGTAGCTGCACGCCTCCCTCATGGAATGGAAGTCAGGGGTCCATAGGCCCTTCCCGTTCTCGGCGGAGGCCTATGTTGATGTATACAACGAGCACTACATGCTCATCATGGGCATTCGCAAGCAGAACGCCCGTGCTTATCATACCATGATGCACCGTCTCTTCAACGTCGCCTCGTACGTCCTTTGCACCACTCTCATCGTATGCCTGAACTGCGCTCACTAGAATGTCTTTCGGACAGCGGAGAGCTCCCCGCGGTGGGTCCGGCACCTGGTGCGAATGCGTTCGCACAGGTCGACGTCGACGCTATGGACGTCGACTGAGGGCATCGCCCCATCGTATGTATCCAACACGCTCCCGGCTCAGTCAGCAGCGATCACTTGAAGCTGCCAACGTCCTGTCATTACCCATCTCCTATCACTGTTCCCGTCACAGTGTTCTATCTCTGTTTCGCCCCTGTTCCTGCCGCGGCCTGATGCGCTCATCACCACTGTCATTTCTCCTCTGCACCATCATTACCCCCCTCTCCACTGTCATTACCCGGTGACGGCTATGTCTGCTTATACCCTCGACACTCAACAGCCTCCTGCTGATGTTTCCCTCGATGTAGGACTTGCACCTGTACTTACCGTGTCCGTATATCCAGTAGATTGCAGTCGTCTTATAGTGATGAGAATTGCGTTGAATATACACGGTTCTCAGATCATTATCAGCCTGCCTCGATGTGTTCTCGCCAGTGTGAATAAGTTCTTATGCAGGTCTAAAATATATCATCATAAGGGCGGAATAATCGATGCTAATAGCGCTACTCGTCGCTGGTTATTCCGGGACGTTTCGAACCAGGATAACGCCCTAATTATGATCATTAGTCCTCATTATGCTACTTTATTGCTCAATAGGCCGGGAGGTTTTTCCTGATGCGGCTGCTCGAAGTTGCATCTCAGGCCTCAGCACCAAAACAACAGGAACGTGCGTTTGTTCACTTCATCGCCTTGATTCACCCGAGGCAGGGCGCTCTTCCTGAGGGGTTCAACCCGCTCCGACCAAGTACTGGCGGTCACAGATGCCTGCCTGCTTTGCACATCGTATACACCCGTGGTAGAGTCTTTCCTCGCACTGGCTTTTAGTTTCGACAATGCTATTCAATACATTCTTCGTACCGTCTATTCACCGTAGCACTGTCTACAACGCGCCACAAACCGTCTTAGCCCTCCTTGGCAGCAGCCTCGACCGCCTCCGCGAAGGTCGCGCAGCCCTGTGCAAGGTCCGCCAGCGAGATGTTGACTGCAGGAATGAACAAGATTGTCGCGTAAACGCTCGTCGTCAGGATCAGCCAGCTCTTCTTGCTCTTCTCCACGGATTTCTTCGCGACACGACTCGCGAGCTGCCCCAATATGCTCGCGTTCCGGAGCGCGCCGTACGGGCGAGTAGCCTCTAGCAATGCACTCAACGGCGACCATGAGGCGCCGTCCGCGCGCGGCGAGGATCGCCTGCGCAGTTTTGAGGTTCGCGCACAACGCGCTCAACGGGGCGAAGAGCTCTTCGGTTTTTCTGGAAGGCGTTCAGTCGCGTCACGTCGGAATGCTAGATGGGAACGCATTAATATTGACGGCCGCGAGAATGTTTCCTTTATTTGTTACCTTGGCGGCCCTGGACAAGTGTTACTGCGGTACGTGCCGCCCAGGCAGCCCGACTTAAGTTTTCCCATAAACTCTTTGCGCCCGATGACGCCTCGTTCGCGAGACCCGAGGAGAGTATTCGGACCACTACGGTGCTCATGTATGGGCAGAACCTGTGCCTCTACATGCATCAACTAATCAAGCATCCTCAGATAGCTACTCTGCGACTATATGCGCCAAAGCTGCGAGCTGGGGTCAATTGAGATGCGTACCTTGCTGATCCTCAGGCCAGGCAGGCCCACCCACCAGAGGTAGGACTAAGGACATAGTCACCGCGGAACGCGCCTGTCGGAAACCTCACAGGGGAAGAAGGGGGAAACGGCACCGTGATGCCGGCCAGGCACGATCCGGGAGTGCCGTAGGCGCTTACTTACTCCAAATGTTACGGTCAGGCAATGAGACGCCCTTTCGACTGCTTTCGTTCAACCACGACCTGGGAACCCACCTGGCACGCTGGCCTACGAATCAGGCGATTGCACCAAGCTCGCCATGACATCTCTGTAAGTATGCCGTTAATGACAACAGTCTGCGATACTAAAGTGGTCACCTCCACAGTTTTGAGGGTCTCGGCTACGACATCCTGTGGCAGATTTCCGACACGTTTCTCCTGGCGCGGGACCTGTCTTCTCTGTCGCTAACCTCCAAATCAATTCGGAACGCTTGCGTACCCCTGCTATTTAGAAACGCAAGTGCCACATCAGCATACATCACATCCGATCGGTTCATTCCCCGCCACCTTTGGTTATATGTGCAGTAAGTCGCCAAATTCATTCGAGAGAACGCTCATGCAGATAGCAAATTGTTTAGATGCTTGACTTTCCACGGCCCCTGGATGGAGAGGCATCCGACGCGTGTTCCTCGTCGAGAACCACCCTTGTCTCTCGCCGAGGTTTTCGCTCACATGCCCAGGCTCTCTCACATTTCTATCCAAGATATCCAGTTGTATGGCGTCCCTTGGGCTTCTCTGGTCGCGATACTGTCACATACGGGCCTTCGGATTCTAGACGTGCAAGACAGTCTCCACCACTGGGACATAGAGGACAGTCCTGCGAGTGCCCTCTTCTTCCCCGCTCCCCCGCTCACGACCTACCGACACTCCCTCCCAGACTATCGTAGCCGCCCGCGCGATCTTGAGGGCGATCTAGGCCCCTTGGCCTGTCTCGCCAGTCAGCGGCAATTTCAGCTGTCCTTGGAAACCCTCATTGTCCCAAGCGAGGCAGTTCCTTTCGCTGAACTAGCGGCCGTAGAGTGGCACCGCCTCAAAATGCTTCATATCCGAGGAGAGCGCCCGTCGGTAACTCCGCCGTTGGTCTGCGCTTTCGGCAAGATGCCCGTGCTCCAGGAGCTCCATGTGAACCTGGCTTGTACACGCACCACAGGCAGCGTGATGATCTGCACCTCCGACTGGAGAGGTCCCGTTCCATGGCCGGAGCTGAAGACCTTGGTCGTTTCGAATCCGCATCCCGAGGACCCGCTGTACTCATACCTTCCCACCAGCTTGCGGCATTTCGCGCTGCGCTGTTGGCCGCGCCGATATGTTCACGTTCTATCGCACGAGCGCCCCATCCTGACGGAATTAGGATGGTATCCCTATATCCTCACTGCGTCGGAGATGATCCAAGTCCTCTCGCGATGCGGCTCGCTCGATCTCGAAGAGCTGGAACTCGAGTTCGAAGTAGACGAGCGCCATATGGAACTGCTACACTTGATCACCGTCGCCTTTCCAAACCTTGTCAGCTTGACGGTTTTTCGCTATTGCCAGCCTGGACATCCCCATATTCCCACTGTGAGCACCCCAGCGTGACGCTTTTCGGCGATCGTGTACTGACGCCCAAGCGAGAATAGCAAGACATAGGGAAAGCTCTGGCGCCTCTCGTCTGCCTCCGAACGTTGTATCTGCATCTAGACTTTCAGGGTGTGCCCCATCCGTACGCGATGTCCAACCACGGTGGACCTCGGGAATTCGAACGTCACCACAACACCTTACAAAGTACTGCGAACATACTCGCACAAGAGCTCGCACCTTCGGTCAACGTCATATGTCTCCTTCAACGAAGGAAGAGCCAAAACCTCTGGACGCCCTTCCGCATCGCTTCGCACTCCTATGATGTTGTGCACGCTCCCTTCTGTCCCGATGTCACAGGTCCTCTCGACTTAAGGTTGGTTCGATAGTGAATGGGAATCATCAAAGGTCGTTATGGTTAACAATTGGCTTGTAGAAGAGAAGACGAACCCGGTCCGCCGTATCTCCCTCCGATCAGGATGGGGCACTACAATGATGACGATCGATGAGTTAGCAAGCTTCTGCCTGGGAGACTCCTGTTCAAACGCCTCTCACACTTGTGTTGTTGTTGTCCGGTTACCAGGATGTCCGTGATCCATGTTGTATGGGCAGCTGCTTCCTCTCCATCGTCGTTCCCATATAATTGTTGTCGTCTTTGTTCTCTCAAAAAAGTTCTGGTCATCTTCGGCGTGTTTTCAGCTTCGCGCACAACTGCATGAACCTCGGGGTCATCGAACCCATATGTCGCCACATTCTCTGCTCTCAGAAGGCCTTCGGACTGAGAAGTACGAGCCCTCTATTGTTCTAACTCAGCACTCTGCTGACCACGTATGCAATCTGCAGAGGCATGTCCGCGCCAGTGTCTGGCCCGGAGGAGGTATAAAATCGGGTGTCGCCTCTGCGAAGGGGTCAACACCACGACACTATTCCAGATGGCCGCACCCCTCACGAGCTCGACACGTCCCAACCTCGTACTTTTACTCGCCGGCCCCACCAGTGCTGAACCAGCGTCAGTGCGGGTAAGTCGCACATGTTCAGTTCAAGCAGTCATTCCAGTCTGACGTTTGGCGCAGCATGCCTGGGACCTAATTTACAGGCATTCCGTCGTATTTCCGCCGCAGCCAGATACCCCGGCAGTGGCAGAGAAGGGCACTGTCCATGTCCTTGGCCATGCCACTAGCACTGGCGACTCGGAGACTTCTCCGACTAGCCCCACTATGACACTTGTGGACGTTGATGTGAGATATATTCTGTCAGCTCTTGAAGCACTCCGATGACTTATATCGTTCTCATTGCAGGAGCCCACTCCCAAGTGGGGCATCGACTCGGAAAATCATCGCCATGCTGTCATTTCGCCATTCATCGGAGCCAGTGGCAGTAGCGGTCTCAGTTCGTCTGACGCGTCCGGCCAGTTCATGTTGCTGGATCGTATCATGTCGAATACATCCATCGATGTGCATGATGCGAACATGCCTCTGAAGACTCAGGCGTACAAAGTGATTATGGTATGCCCCGCGTCTAAGTGTCTACGATATCCCTATGATCAATGTCGTCTCTAATATGTTCCCCTTTAGGTCCTCGATCAATCTATCCCAGAGAATCTTCGGAAAGAATTTAGCGGCGCGAAGAACAAGCTGACTGCGTTCAAACTCATAGTCGATATAGGTACCTACCTGTTCGCGCTCTCTTTTCCGTGTACATTCACACTCACGCTACGTGCGATGTACAGGCTCCACCTTCACGTGAGTGGCGGTGTAACGGTCACGTGACTGAGGATGACTGAGGACGTGCGCGTCACGCCTATCGGCGTCGAGGCGAGTCGGAAGAACTCATCGACTGGGAAGACGAGTACGACGATCCACCCGCTAGAGATGGACCGCCGCCGCTATTTGGAGCCGAGGACGACCCTCCTTCTGCATAGGACCGTGAAGTCGGTCCAGAGGGGGAGGGTGTAACGGTCACGTGACTGAGGATGACTGAGGACGTGCGCGTCACGGATAAGCGTCGTGACGCGCGGTGGCTTGGTACTGTATAGTAGACCTAGAAGTAGCCGCGCACCGCGCCCGCATGTACCTCATCGCTTTACACTACGCTGGACTATATACTGCTTGAAACAGTTCACTCCCCAGCGTGCTAGGCGACACCCTTG